GTCAGTGAAATTGTGTTTCCTCGTCAATGTTTTTCTCTCTTGCGCAATAAATTTCATTCTTTGCGTTTTTGACATATTTGTTAAATGTAATGAAATTTAAATGAGTTCATTAACTTGTCAGATATGTCAAAAAACGTTAAGAGAATTCAACATATGAATACGAGGATATTTCAGCATTATTGTTCGAATTTCCAACCTTTTTCCGAAACGCCCAGTAATTCCAAATCTTCGCAAAATCGTGTGTCGCGTCGGCTACAAGTACAGGATTTTGAAGTGTGTTTGAAGATTTCATTTTAGAATCCTATACTTATAGTTGACACATGCACTTTCAGCAGCTCCAGATATTGGGCGTAATGTGTAATAAATGTAGTGATTGTATTAGAAAATGAAAATTAGAACTAGAGTTTTGACCATTTCAAATATTGTTCCTCAAAATTTAAAATTTTAGTTTAATCCGTGCCATAGGGATTGAGAAATTGGGATTATTCGAAATTATGGGTGGATTTGCTTATATGTTGCTTTTTTACTACGTGGGTCTATTCACGAAAGATTTTTTTGTCATTTACGATAATGTTTTACTATTTATACAGAACTATTAGATTTTTAACATGATTTAAAAAAAAGAAAGTATTTTTGAAATTAGTTTTGTCGTAGGAAAGATTACAATTTTTCTGTGACAATATATCTACTGGATTGCGCAATACTTTTTTGTGCCAATGACATTGCAAAGCAACATTTTTTTCTTCTTCCTTTTTTGCTCCAATTATAAGGTTCTAATCATAATTTTAGTCTTCAAATGGTTCTAAATATGGACACAATTCATTTGGATGCGCTTCTAGATTTTCCAAGAAAAGAAATACAATTTTTTCAGTCACAAATTGTGACAAGCAAACGCCACGGCAAGCTTCTGGGTGAGCTGAACGACGCGAAGAACTCGAAATGTAACCGACACAATTTGAATAAAAAATATCAAACCTCCGTAACTCGGGTTCGATGGCGTTTGCAAAAAAGTATAACCAAATTTTGAAATAGTCGCGAACTGAACTATTGAGGTATTGAAAAATTACTCTCAAAACAGAATGAAGTCAAAACAAAATTTTAGACTTTCAAAATTTTAGCGCCTCTAACGGTGGTCAGATGAACTTCCATTGTTCTTTTATATTTTTGCTACAGCTTTTATACGGGCCTAAAAATATTAAAATCGTATAAATAGAACCGATGTTAAAATACATACAAAATTAAAACTTTGAACACGTAAATGTGTGAACTCTGACTCCCCATAGCAAACCTCCAAGGATTTCAATCCCCATGAATGGGGTTCATTCAAAAGATCTCAATATTAACTTCAACATACTAAAATTTTAAGAAAATGTACTTTCTATTTTTTGAAATATTTGATTTCAAATTTTCGAAAATCGTTTTTTTTTTTTTTTAATTTAAGCGCCTCTAGCGGTGGTCCTATCAACTTATAATGTTTGAGTAAAAGATTGTATTTTACGAGACCTTTCTAATGAACTCAAAATCATTCCAATCGGTTAATTAGAGCGGAGCTATGGCCATTTAAATTTTCGAAATCAGGACTCTAAAATCTAGGAGCCGGAAGGACCTAGATCCTTAAATGGCGGTTCGTTGGAAAGGTCTTGAAGTCAGCTATAACATGCCAGAATTTGGGCCCAAACCAATTGCCGTAGGAGCTGAACAAATGAGCAGCATTTTTTTGGGGTGATCAAAATGGCAGACGGAGGGGTGGGTGGTATGATTTGACATCATCATTCTCTAGCAAGAGTAGAACTTTTGACCTTTGATAGAAACCGCGTGTCGAGATCTCTTATCGTTCAGGCGCTACAAGTCCATTTACGACAGACGAACCGACAGACGGAAACCAGGAAAAAGACTCCCATTTTGTTAGACTTCGTCATATTTGCTCTCGCTAACGTCACTTTAGTCCAAGTAGTGTAAACAACTCTGTTGAGAAGAGGAGATACAGTAAAATATCAGAGCAGTCTACATTCGATTTGCACGTGCCTTGTGACGTCACAGTGCCTTATTTCCTCGCCTCTCTACACACTGTGAGATTCACACTCTTTGATTTTACTCGATTTTCTGAGCGTTTGCCAATAAAGCCGGACTTCGTCCAGCTCAATGTGACCAATCCATTTTTTTTTACCAAAACGCGCGCTTCTGTGTTCGGCGGGAACATTTTTAGCGACATGGATTTAATGGATTTTTTAATTGCATTAACGCCAATGCATGATATGACAAAGGGCGGAAATTAGTTTATCGCTATTTTATTATCATCACCGGAAAATATGCCAATAATTGAATTTCATAAATTGCATTATGATTATGTGGTGAAATGGACAAATTTTTTTATATGTTTAATGTCGTCCTCCCAAACTTCCCTCGGTTCTCCCTTTAATGGATTAAAAGGTTGCAAAACCACAGCGTAATTCAATTAAATGCGCGTATTTTTCGGGCCACCAAAAGTGCACGCACAGAATCCTGTTTGTTCATCAGTGCATTGGCAGCATTCAGTGCGGACGGACGCGTTGAAAGCTCCCTCCTGTGCTTGCAAACACTGTGAATTCTCCAAGGATTGTGTGCAGGGAAACTTGGCGCCCAGACGCATTTCACGATGGATCGTTTCTACTTCGTAAGTTTTTCATTCAACCCTGCTCCTTTTGTCGCTTCCCTGCCCGCCCGTGCCTCGCGCCGCTGTGTCTTAATCCTGAACTGAAGAAGAGTGCTTTCTCGAAACGCCCAGTGAATCGACTTGTCCCAGCGACGCTTCCTGCTCTCGCTTCCCGTCCTGCGGACGCGAAAAGGACGTGCATTCCCGTCTGACTTCTTGCCCAACGCAACCGCGCGCCTTCGACGGATTTCGCCGCCTCTCTTGATCTTGTGCGGTTGTTGAGACGTCTTTACTAGGACAAGATGTAGCCACAGCTTTGACTTGGTTTTACATATATGTACAATGCTTTTATATATCCATGCTGAGGTGAATTAGAAAAAGCGACGAGCGAATTTGAAAGCGACTTTTCAATGTTTTTCTCTCTTGCGCAAATTTTTTCATTCTTTGCGTTTTTTACATAATTATTGAATATCATGACTTTTTAACGGACATGGTTTCATTAAATATGTGAAATAACGTTAAGAAAATTCAACATATGAATACGACGAAATTTCAGAATTATTGTTCGAATTTCCAACCTCTTTCCGGAACGCCCAATAATTTCCAATCTTTGCATAATTTCGTGATGTGGCGGCTTTATATGCAGGATTTTGAAGTGTGTTGAAAGATTTCACTTTGGAATCCTGCACTGTAGAACTGACGCATGTACATATTTTGAAGAGCTCAAGTGTTTAAACGCAAAAGTGACCATTCACTGCTGGCGAGCGAGAGCCAAAAATGTGATGAACACACCTGATATTGAACGAGAATTAGTCACAATGAACTAGATATAATTTTAATAAATATAGGATGTGAATTGGAAAAGTGAATTTGAGTTTCCTTGTTTATGCTTCTGTGTCCTGCACAATTAATTATTCCTTAGCTTTTTAATCATATTTGTTGAAAGCAATGAAATATAAATGAATTCATTGAATCATCAAATGTGAAAAAAATCTAAAGGACTTTCATCATATGAATACGACGTAATTTCAATTAATCTCAATCTTAAAGTGTAATGAATAATTTTGGAGCGATAATGAACTGAAATTGGTGTAAAACAGTGAGATTATATCAGCCCGTCCTGATGCTGGGATGGGCTGACCTCTCTCGTCCTGCGCCGATGAGTGCTGCCTGACTGCTCTCTGTCCTGCTGTGCCCGTTCTGCGCGGTCCTTCCACGACGAACCGTGTGCTGCTGCTCTTTTCCCGCGCTTTAAATTTTGCCGTCATAAGTTGAGAGATTGCGTTACTCTTATAGTAAATAAGTGTTGAATAAAAATACACTTTGAGGGAATCGCGAGATTGGTTCTTGTTGAACGGCGAGGAGGAAGAAGCGCGAATCTTCCGGACCGAAGACTGAGAGAACTGAGGATATTTTCTGGGCAGATTGGCTGGAGGAGAGAGCCTGGAGTTCGCGAGTGAATTTAACTCATTGCTCTGCCATCTTTTAAAGGTGTGTACATCATATTCCTCATCATTGAGTGCATTTTCCACATTTCAGGGCCACTCAATCTCGCCTGGCAAGGAGGATATTTGCATTAGGGACACCATGGCAACAGCGCTTCCCACCGCCGTGCCGTACCATCCGTCGCTCTTCAGTAACGTATCCCCTTTGTCATGTCTTCCATCCCCAAATGCCACAGCCTCATTAGCCATTCAAGAGCAATTACGGCGACTGCAGAATCAACTGTCGCATCGATTAGCCATTGAGAGCCGCGCTTTGTGCGCGCTTTTTGTCTTAAACATTCCGAGGAAAATGCAAAATTCACGTAACCTTCAACTGCAGATGTTTCTGAGAAATGGCAGGAATTTCAAGGGGAAATTGCATGAAAAAGGACTCCATATGTTTTATGTAATGCAAGAGACGCAGAACAATTTCAATTTAGAATAGCAAGGAGTTGATTTTGCAGTTTACTATAAACGTAAAATGATTGTAGTTTGAGCATTGATTCTATTTTGCATTTTAAGCTATACGTGAATGTAATAATAATCAATATTTCAACTTTACTGCATCAGCTTTAAAGCTTACAAAATATCACACTGAAAACTTTTTCATAATTGCATTGCAACAGTTTGACTGGTTTTGCCCCGCTCAAAGGACACAAAAAGGGGAAAAGCGCTTCGCTTAATTGAGCAAAAAGTGATATTTCCGTTCACAAAACATCCCCTTTGGATGAATTGACGCTCGTGTAATTGCGTTGCAAGTCAGTAACTGGCATTAAGCGAATTATAAAGTTTTTCCGTGAGCGACGATTCAATGCAGAATCCTTGTGAATCGATGGTGTTGATGGAAATGTGGGAAAAATTCAAGCGCAAATTGACTTGCAGGCATGACGGCGGCCTCATTTCCCGAGGCTTTTCCCTCCACTTCCGCCGGCTATGGCGGCTGCTTCGACTCCGATCTGTCCATCTTCGAGAACAAGAGCGGCCTGGCGGAGGACATGAAGTTCCTGGCCTCCATGCCAGAGCTCTGCGACGTGACGTTCCTCGTGGGAGAGACGCGGGAGCCAGTCTGTGCTGTGAAGGTCAGACACTGCGAAGCTTCTCCCGATCTTGCATTAATGCCCGCTTTTCTTGGACTTGCAGGCTGTCCTGGCGGCGCGCTCGAGGGTCTTCCAGAAGCTCCTGTACCAGGCGCCGTCGCCGCAGAGGCGCAAGGAGCCGCCGCAGCGCGAGAACAAGCTCAGGCTCTTCCTCAAGCGCTCCTCGGAGCCGCTGCTGAACCTGCAGAACGCCGCCCAGCAGGTAGCTACGAGGGTGGAAGCGCGCTCTCGCCTCATCCTTGTCTTTTAATTTCTTTTGTGTCCCTTCTCGTGCCCCCTTCCGTGTAAAGAAGATCCTCTGTGTGATGGGTTTTCGGGATGATATGGCAATTGGTAAAAGGACGCGCTGGAAGTTCTCAAATTGAGCGGTCGAGCGGTGATTGCCGATAATTGGCGTGGGTGGAAACTGAGTGTCCTCAGAGTGTGTCCAATTCATGTGGTCACTTTACTCGCCGATGCACTGGCAATTACCGCAACTCAATTATGGCGAAGCATTTGATGCCCATGATGGCATTTGATTCGGCGTTTTGAAGGATTGTAAATAGGACGAAATCTGACGAAAAAATGGGTCTTTTTCCTGGTTTCCGTCTGTCGGTTCGTCTGTCGTAAATGGACTTGTAGCGCTTGAACGGTAAGAGATCTCGACACGCGGTTTCTATCGAAGGTCAAAATTCCCACTACCGCGTGCCAGGGCGGGCGCCCAGTCTCTCCTTCGTCAAGCTAAGGCCGCTTCGCGGCTGTAGGCTACACTAACAGGATGCGGCACATCGACGTCAGTATCATTATGTCGACAGTACCAGAGTATTCTCCACGGACGCTGGACAGAGCACTAAACGGCGCTTTAGGATCACCGGGATCACCAATGTCAGGGCGGCAGTAAGGATTCCTCGTCCTAGACGACGTTCCACTCAAAAGGGCACTTGTGAGGTAGTGTTCTCGGACGCATTGACGGAGCGACTGGCGTTGCTAGACTCACCGAGTCTCGACACACTCAGAGTAAGGAGAATGTGGGGGTCTTTCCAGCCGTCTGTTCTGCTCTAAGGGGACTTGTCTTTGGACGAAGTTTAAAATCCACCCGCTGAACGTCGCGAACTTATACTGTTACACTATGAATCTTTTCTGACTTCCCAGGCTGTTCTGCCATCACTAACTCCACCCTTTTGAAACCCTCTCCAGCCAACCGGACATCAGCACCAGACGCTGATCATTGAGGAATTCGAGCCGGACGTCTTCAGGCAGTTGATCGAGTACATTCACACCGGCGGCGTGACGCTGCAGCCGCGGACGCTGCTGGGCGTCATGAACGCCGCCGACTACTACGGCCTGGAGGAGCTGCGCAGAGCCTCCGCCGGATTCGTGCAGTACTGCATCAACGTGGACACGGTGTGCGCCTTGCTGGCCTCCGCTGAGCGCTACATCCAGTACAAGTGCACCAAGAACCTCGTGCAGAAGGTGCTGGAGTTCGTGGACGAGCACGGGAACGAGGTGCTAAAACAGGGCAGTGTCACCCTTCTGCCACAGCACGTGGTGCGGCTGATTCTGGCCAGGGAGAAACTCAGAGCCGATGAATTCACCAAGTTCCAGGCGGCTCTCATGTGGAGCAAGAAGTACTGCGACAGCAGCCCGGTGAGTTGATCCACCCCTAAATGATGGCAAGCATTTGAGTTTTCAATTCCTCCTTTCCAGGCGAACCCTCTGAAGGAGATCCTGGGCAACTTCCTGGAGTACATCCAGTTCCACAAGATACCGGCGAATGTGCTGATGCGGGAAATCCACCCACTTGGCCTTGTGCCGTATTCGATTATCATGAACGCACTGGCCTTCCAAGCTGATCCCGCCAGTGTGGATCCGGGAAAGTTGTCGCCCAACTCCAGCCGAGTGCGACGAGCGAGACACGCAAAGGGGCGCTCCATGTCCGTGCAGAGCTCCCTCGATCCCTATGGCTCCAACACCACGCTCAGCTCAGCCAAATCCCAGAGCTTCCGCACCAGGCGCAGTCCATCTGAGCGCAAGAGCAGCTCCTCGGCCATCGCGCCGACGTCCGGTCAGCTCAACCTGGCCATCGAGCGCGTGGGCAGCAAGAGGAGTCCCAGCGGAGTGTCGCCACACGACAGCAAGAGCCCCAGCAGCACGTCCCAGAAGAGCCCCATGTCCCTGTCGCGCCAGAACACCGTCCGGCAGTCGCACAGGCGAAAGAACAGCACGACGCCGTCGCTGAACTTGCAGGGCCGGCGGAGTCCCAGCGGAGCCGCGCCCGAGCAGCGCAGTCCGCAGGGGCGTCGCAGCCCCGTCTTCCTCAGCTACGAGCCGTCGCGCTCGGGACACAGAAGTCCCACGGACCGGAGGAGTCCCACGTCCTTCATTCACGTGCAGCAGCAGTCCGGACACCGGAGCCCCATCGACTACGAGCGACGGAGCCCGTTGTCCGGCGTGGCGCCTCCGCTGGACCGGCGGATGTCAGGAGGAGTTTCGCCGGATGAGAGGAGGTGAGTTGACTGTTGTTTCCACCGATCCGGGCGGATAATTGGCCTTGCTCGCTTTCAGAACTTCTCTGCAGCAATCCCTGATCCTCGGGCGACGCAGCCCCATTGGATTCTCGCAAGGCATGATGATCCCGCTCACGCCCAGCCGGAGTCCCACGGTGCCAATCCCACCCATTACGATCTCCAACCCTTCGGAGACCATCGCCATCATCCAGCGCCAGGTGGAGAGCAACGTCGAGTCCTCGGCGGTCGAGAAGAGTCCGCCGGCGGCGGAGCGGAAGGAGAAGACCAGCGTCATGCGCGAGATCCTGGCGTTCGTGCGGAAGCCATCGAAGAAAGTCACCACGCGATCCAGCAGATTCGCCGCGGCCTTCTCGAGAGCCGAGTCGACATCAGGAAGTCCTCTGCTTCGCCAAAGCACCTTCTCTAGCGCCCCCACGGCGTCCAGCCGGGCGGCCAAGAGTGCTGTGACAAAGCAGATGTCGGAGGTGAGCTTAGAGCCGAAAATATCGCAACGCTTCAAGAATCTCGCCTACACGACTAAGCTGTCTCTGAGACTGCGGCGCTCGGACACCAGCAAAGCCAAGGATGCCAAGAAGTCCAGCGGAGAAGAAGCCAGCGACGTGGAGAGTATCTCAGACACAAAGGCAGTGGAGAAACTGGGATCCAAACCATCGTTGAACAATGCAAACGGTAGGAAAATCTGCACTTTGGGTTCGATGTCTGGCTTAATGTTAATCCTTGTCTCGCAGGTGGATTGTCGTTTGAGCTGGAGAACGTGCACTTCGAGAAGGTGGGCGATTCCTACATCAAGCACGAGCAGATCCGCGAGGAGACCATCGAGGAGTCCAGTCCGGTGAAGTCCGTCTCGAGCGGCGAGCGCCGTCCGGAGACGCTGGAGCCGAACGTGATCGTGGTGAGCGGGAAGACGCCGCTGCAGGAGGAGACGGAGCGCATTGAGGAGCTGAAGCGGAGGCTCTTGAGCCTCCTGCCGCCGGCCAAGATGCTCAGAAGCCCGGCCGGCCGAGACGATGCGAATGGCGTGCGCAGGGATTCGGGGGCGGATAGTTTCGAAATTGTGGACACGGATCGCAATCGTGAGTCCAGCTTTGAGGATCGCTACTCCTCCATCGACACGAATTTCGTTATTTCCAGGTGTGCATGGATCAGCGCTGCACTGCCATCTTTAAGCCCAGGCTGCTGCGCTCCTCATCGCCCTATCTCATCTACTCCAGCGGAAGCGAGTTCGAGTCGTCATCACCGCGGCTCGCCTCCTCCGTGTCGCGGCTTTCTTTCGGCAAATCTGTTATGCATTTTGATAGCATTTGTATCATATGATATATATGTGTTGTCTAGGTCCGGACGTCTCTAAAAATAGGTCATAACTTTTAGGTTCTTTCGGTTCTTTTTGTACGATCTTAAAAAGTTCAGGCTCGTTGGAAAGCTCATGCGAAACGTTCGAATTTTATGAGTTGGATATCATATTGCAGACGAAAATTTCCATGCTTTCTTTTCTTTTGACCAAATCGAGTTGGCAACGGACAAAACTATAGTAAATCCCAGCTAGATACATGAAGTACACGCAAAACGTGTGCTTATCTACATTTTTTATTATATTTACAATATGTCATTGTTGTGAAGCATTTTCTATGAGGGATCTATTAAGTGTAGAACTAATAAGAACAGATACTACACTTTGATCTTTGGCCGAAAAGCGATGTGAAGCATTTTCTGTAGCATAAAATTTTGTATTGTCAGCACTGTAAAGACATCCTTTTGGGACAAAACATACGTTTCTGTTCAACAGGAGTCATTTATACCAACATGCAATTTATTGATTTTCAATCGCATTAACGGTGATGCATGATATGACAAAGGGTGAAATTTACCCTATCGCTAATTTATTTTTATCCCCACCGGAAAATATACCAATAATTGAGTTTAATAATTTAATTATGATGCCATATTCGTCCGTGAAGTGAACTTTCTGTCGGGATCGTTTAATGTTTGCGTTTAAAAATTTTCCCCATTCTACCTTTTTACGGATTAAAAGGATCCAAAAATAGAATGAGATTCAATTAAATTTTCCCCATTTTTGAGCCTACAAAAGCGCACGCACAGAATCCTGTTTGTTCATCAGTGCATTGGCGACATTCAGCGCGGACGGACGCGTCGAAAGCTCCTTCCTGTGCTTGCAAACACTGTGAATTCTCCAAGGATTGTGTGCAGGAAAAATTTAACGCGAAAGCACATCGTGAAATGAGTAATCAACATAGAGTGAGTTTCCTACTGAATCTGTATTTCTTTGGGTGTTGATTTGTTCTTCTTCATCTCCATCACTGAAATCAGTGTGATTTTTTTTTTTGAATTGTGACCTTGTTTTTAATAACTATTGATTGCTCTCAAGTGCAAACAACTTAAATAATGATTAATCTTAGGATTATCGTGTTTTCGTGAGATCTTGAAGTTTTGCGATGATTTTTCAAGGAACTCTTAGGATACTGTATTCCACTATTGCATTCCTAAAATTTCTGGCATATACAAGGGCACATATCATGGCACGGATAAAAACCGTAAAAGCTGAAGTGTTTTATTATATTGGTGGCCACTGTATGTGAACTTTTGAATACTCCCCGCACTCTTGAAATCTTCCTGTCCATCGGTTGTGCGCTATAAATAGCTATGATGAACGGAAATTATTCCATACTGTTCATGCAGTTTCACTTTTCTCCCTTTTAATAGGGGTTAATTGGCACAATATTAATTGAATTAAATTTCCACCATATCGTGTATCGTGAGCCTTTGTACACAAAAAATCCTTAATTTCATTATCAGTGCTTTTTCACCGTTCAATGCGGAAGAATTTACTCGTAAATCCTCGTTTGAATTTTTATTTGCATTTTGTTAGAGTTAAGTATATAGTATGCTTCCTACTTATGTACCTCCAGTCACACATATCTGAAGATGAGATTTTCTTCCATTGTCATTTAATCGTTCCGTTCTCTTAGAAAATATCACCCAAGGAGTTGTCTTCTTTGTCGAGTCTAACAAGAAAATGATTTAGATGTTTTGGCACCCTTATAAATTGGCAAATTAACGACTTAGACAGGAGGAATCTGCGCGCTGTTACAACTGGAAGACAAAATTGTCCCTGATTGTAATACAGATGATCTTCTTATTTTTAATTATATCCCACAAATTCACTTGGTTTTTTAAATGACCGGAAGTTGATTTACTCTCCACGAGTCACATTTCATTTTCCTTCAAACTAATATGTACAAACGAATGTTCGTAGATTCGTAGCTTTTTCATGAGTATGACCGCTTATCCATCGCAGGACCGACTAAGCCACATTGAGCCTCTTTATGCCGTGTCGGATTTAATATAAATGCAGCATTTATGTTTAGTCTAGTCCGACATGGACTTAAAAGTCGGCTCAAACTGCGCGGTTGCGCATGCGTGTGCGCTGTCAAATTCTCACACACATCCTCACTGAACGTCATTCGCAACTGCGCGTCGCGTTGCGACATGATTCGATTTCTGTTTAAGCGCGTGTGTCCCGGTATCAACGCCATGGACTAAATAAAACCGAATATTGTTAAATGCTACATTAATGATAAATGCAGCATTTAACTTGGCCCGGCATAAAGAGGCTCAATGAGCATATACATACATACTTGGTGTCTCATGGAAATCTAAATGTGTTTTGAGCGTATTTACCGAGAGTCACTTTTCATGGATATATTTAATACTATCATTTTGTGGACTTCTAGGAATTCCCATACAAAGTAATATTCTGAATAATACAAACTACTTTATAGATTTATAAAATGTAAACTCTACATGATATCAATGAAAATGATCAAAGAAGTATCCAATGTTGCGTGAGTGTTTGAATGAATTTGTTTCAACTTATTTTGACACAGAATTTCTCTCGCTTACAGATACACAATCGAGCACCTAAGATGTCAATCGCTGATATAAAATTACTCTTCACAATTACAATGCCGCACTATGACATTTTAACTTCTTACCACAGAACTCATTTTGTGAACGATTTGAAAGCTTCGCTTTGGAAGCACTTTCATACTCAGTTTAATCGTTTGGCAGAAGTTGAGAGATCTCTGACTTATCTCAGACTGGTGTATCACCGACTTATGAGAAAAATAAAGAAGGACTCTCTTAGAAATGCCAATGAAAATACTTTAGAATAAAAATTAACATATAAAAAAAAACATGTGAGAAATATTTCATTGTAGGTATTTACGTATTTATCTATGCATTTTAAGTAAATTTTGAGTATATTATTAGTAATTCAATAAATAAAGTTATATCGATAAACTCGATCAAATCATACAATTAACTCAATGGAATTTAAGTTATTGACAAAAATGTTTACCGTAAGCTTTCTGTACGTCTACGTTAATATATGTATTAATATATATTTGTGTGGTCGTGAAATTGTCAAATATTTCAAAACCATCTAAGAACCCAGCAAGCCAAATTAGGTAAAAAAAACAGTGAATTCAGTTAAAAAGTGCTAAGATTACTGAGCTAAAATTTGAGCAGTACTTGTAAGAAAAGTACTCAGCTGAAGTATTAAAATGGAACCGATAAAGCGATCGCAGCGAACGATGGAGGAAACTCAATAGTGTAAAAATACATCACTTTACAGCACATTTTTAAGCTAATTTTACTGCTTTGGCCAGCTAATTTTTCATTAATGTTTTTTAGCAATTTTCAAAATTCTCCGAATTGTTCTGCTGGTTTTTTGCTAAATATTGTGTGCAGTTTTGAGCTTTTTTTTATGATAAAAATTAAGCAAGAAATCAGGAACTTCCATGGACTTCCGTTCATCCGGTTTCCCGTATCATATAAAAATATGTTTGTGGCCTAAGAGGCAAGAGAGCATGCAAATCTCTCACTTTTGAAGGGATTTGCATGGCGCTATTTATACAATACACTTGAATGGTTGTATTCACGAAGTATATTATTGAAATGGTATGGTTTTTGCATGGTTTTATATGATGCGACATCTATGTATTTAAGTGTGCATCAATACTTTGACTGGTCACCGCTACGTTTGCTAGTGCAGCAACCGAATGGTTAAAATTTGATCGGATAATAGCACAAAAATCAACTATTTCAAGCTCAACATTTGAGACTTAGCATTTTGCGTTTGCTGGGAAATAAAATAAATAAATAAAAATAAATATTGTAATGGTTGTAATAATGAAAAATATCTTGTTTATTCACTTGCAACACTTTTAACTGAAAGTTCTTTTAAAAGTAAGTTGGGAATGTATTCTTTATACAACAAAAAAGGAAGGAAAATTTTTGCTTCTATTTAGCGCTTCAATAGTCGTTTAGTATTCCGATATTTTGGATTAAATATATTGTCTTCGTGTTAAATGACGCTTTAAATCGTAGTTTTGTGTAATCGCTGAGAAGAAGAACAGCAATTATATAAAATTACGCCAATAAACGTCTTTCCATGCAGCAAAATCGACAATATATAAATATCTCGGGTTTATATCTATGCACCAGCGATAATATACGCAATTTCGAAAATCTTCACCTGTGTTGTCCGAGGAAATCGATGAAAAATGTGAAAATGGTGTATGTTAGTTATAAGTATAATAATCTGAGATGTTTAAATATAGATTGCATTTCGGGTTTTTATACTTTAACTAAAATATACACTTTCAGCAATTCCAGCAAAAGTGCGAATCAATGGTGTGAAACTCATAAAACTGTCTTTCATGCTGATGAAGCAAACCTTATAGGAAAATGGTTAATAATATTTAGTATTCATCTATCTACAAAAAATGTAAAACCATGAATTAAGTCAATTACATACAAAATATATTTAAATAAATAAAAAAAAGATTAGCCATCTCATTTCTTCTTCTGATCTGAAAATTAATGTCCCTTCATTTTCTGGCAAATTTGCAAATTAGCAAGAAAGCTTACAGTCATAATAAAGATTTCTGGTAAAACAAGAGTAAAATCTGTGTTTTTATTCCATCACATATACCCAGTTAGCCAAAATAAGCCCCGAGGACGTCCTCATAAGCCGTTCGGCGCCCTCTTGACGTTGTCAGATTCGCCTAAAACACGTCGAACGACTTTTCGTGCGATTTGCGGCGACTATCTGAGGGCTTCGACGAAATTTGCCCAAAGTTGTCTCGCTATCGTGGGCACACGACCAGTGGCGGTGGCGCTGATGTCAAAAAGTATTCGACACGATCGCTCGCTGGTGCGAATATTTAATTGCATATTAAGAGCATTTGCTAACTCAATTCGGCGTCTCATCTTTTCATCTCGAGCACAAATTTCAGCCATCTCGAGAATACAGCGTGGGCAATAATTATAGTTCCAGCATTTGAGCACTTCTTCCGCGGTCTTTCTCTTCTTCTATGAGCCCAAACCACTCCATCCCCCGGGCAACCCCCAATGAAATGGGGAAAAAAGTTCTTCGGACACTTCTAGGAAACCCGAGGACCCTAGATCCTGGGACGGGAAGCGCCCCGGAGGGAGCGCCCCACCGTGGAACGAGACCCAGTCCACAAATTTCTAAATCCTGAGCAAGCCCTCAAGTGGACGTCTCGAGGGCGAACTCAGAAAGCCCCCAAAGTTGAAGTCGCGACTTGTTGCTTGGGTATATACAATAAGACAATGTTGTGAGGTATTTTCCAATTCAGCCTCTTGACTTTGTGGCGACCGCAGCGCCGGTGTGCGATGCGAGGAGTAGAGGACGCGAGGATAAGCAGAAGGAGCTGGAGAGCGAGTGTGAATGAGCGGACGAAATATCGGGAATTAAGTCTTATAAGAAGTTATTCGTGAGTGTTTAATTGGCTGATTGCTACAGATTTCAACCCTAAATTTCGGAGCTTCGCCCAATTAAAAGACATCCTTTTGTTGCCAATCAGTGGGAGCGAAAATGCATGCGCCTCTTTTCGGCGGAAATATATTTTTGCAATCATGTCATACGTTCATGACGAGTGTCGTGACGAGGGATTGCAATCTCCATTAGCCAATGGCAGTTGTGGAGGAATGCGAGTGCGCAGAACCTGGACAGCGCCTGCGTGAAGCATGAGGAATCACTTCCACGACTGTTGATAGGCCAGATTTCCTTTGGCAGGGACGTCGCGTTGTTCCTCCCACGGAAAGGGACAAGCAATTACGAAATAACTCACAATTGCGAGTGCGCAGAACCTGGACAGCGCCTGCGTGAAGCATGAGGAATCACTTCCACGACTGTTGATTGGCCAGATTTCCTTTGGCAGGGACGTCGAATAAAGGGACAAGCAATTACGAAATAACTCACAATTGCGTCGACTCGAGCGAAATACAGCGTGGGCAATAATTATAGTTCCAGCATAGGTTTCCAGGGTGTAGGTAGTCTGGGGCAAAAACAGAAAATATCAAATATGGCGTTTGATAGCCTATCTATAGCCAAAACAAAACCCCCAATATGAGGCCCCTCCGCCGGATCCTAGGGATTCTAGGGAACTATATCACTTTCTGGGTTGAAACTTGACCTTGTATGTATAAGAATTGAAACTGAACCATTTGTTAAAGATGAAACAAAACCAAGATAAACTCACTCAGTGTACATGTATTTCATTTGCCAAAGAATCTCTCCTTTCACATTGAATGCACCTCTGCAAGTGACGCTTCTTTTCCCGCCGAACCACGCGCTCACCAGCTGGCGCTCCGTTCGCTGTCAGTGTTGCCACTCGCCACCCTTTAAATATTCATGCGTGGAGTCGTCTAAACGGCGACTTCCGGTAACACCACTATTGGCTAAGCGTTGAACGTCTTTTTGGCAGCCCTTCACCCTCACGGTCTATGTGCTCACGTAATTCAATAACGAGCGTTCAGGGTGTGTTGTGAATGTATTCCCGAAAAGATGAATGGACTGAATAAACTAGAGGATTTCGATGTATACTAATGAAATTATCACACCCCCAAAAGTGGGCAATAACGGAGGGGTAGCATGAAAATGCGGAATTAATCTGTTAATCGAACATATGCGCACATGTGTCGGTGTTGCGGAACCGCCCTCTTAATTATCACCAATAATCTCGATATTGCCTACGCCGTCTGATTCGGCTCCTTTCTGCCCTTTCACTTTTCAAGGGCGTTTTGTTTCACCCTTCGTGCGTGCGGTGCGTGCGCTTTTGCGCTGACTTTTGCTTTGATCCTTGGGCACTCTTGCAGTGCATTGCTCGGTCGTTGGTCCTCATCGATTCCGCTCCAATCGTTTGCCTTTCCTGCCCGCCTGCGCTGCTTATTAATTGCGCAAAATGTTGCTTTTTTCCAATAACCTATCGTAGTAATATGATATATGTGTATATAATCATAAACATAAAATGTCCTGACAACCCGTTTTCTTCCCGTAAAATCAAGCGTAAAATTGTACCTCTTGTAGTTCTTTAATTATGCAATCAGTAAAATAATTGTACAAAAGAAATTAAATTCTGTACAGAAAATAGATTAAAAAAAAAACTCTTTGTGATCTAGAAGATCCAAATGAAGGGTTGAAAATTACCGGTCTTTCCCAAGGGGCAGATATTACGGCCGGAAGTGGTGTACAGCTTTTGAGGAAGTGTTAGGAATTAGAAGTGGTAAAATATTTAGAATATTTGCATTGCAGAAGAGTCCATTTCAACAAATTCAGGCATTTTCTAAATTATTTTGCCTATGAAATTCAATTATATTGCTTTTTTTTAAGGTTATGTGATTGATGAAATACGCATATTACTTGAATTAATATTCAAGTAAAGAATATTTCTCTTTTTCTCATCAGAATTGAGCATTTTTGTGCAATTAAAACTTCATATTGATTGAAAATAATGCTTTAAAATCAACCATAACCTCAAATAATATCATTTCAGTCTAGAAGAATGTCTCTTTGCTTAGTTATTTCTGCGGTTTGTGCTTAAAATTGGCAAATTCAACCTCATTATCCAGTTAAAACATTGTGATATTCGCAATATTTACTCATTTTCAGATTCAAAAGGATTAAAATTAGTCCAAAGATAATTTTTAAACTTCATTCACAACCTTACAATTTGGTCAGAAATGTTCTAAGCATTTTCTGAGACATTGAGATCAGTTCATACAATGTAAAAACTATGAAAAATCTAGATTAAGAGACTAAAAAGCGATGGAAAATGCCTTAAAAGCATTCAGAAGTGTCTGAAGTGTTGAAGATTCTGCATAGAATCTGTGGAAATGTCAGAAAGTAGTGTACAAAGCATATTATCTCCCCCTTGGACTATTTTTTTTGTCACCTGTTTGAATGAATCAAGTGAAAGACAATGATTTACATTTTAAAATCACATTTATTTCAGATACGCGCATAAAGTTACAATGCATCATTACAGAGCTTTGCACACTCCTTACGAATTACATGAAAAATGTCTAGTGAACAGTATTCAATAATATGCAGAATGTGTTAGAAATGATGCCTCTCAGAAAATGGATAACAGTTTTTTTTCTTCATCTTCTTCTCCTCTTCTCAATACGCACTATTTTGGGCATTTTTTTTTACATTCTATTTCAATAAAATAATTCAACTATTGCATTCCTATGTTAACCACAATCAACACGGAGCATTTATTTCAATCGGCCACGAGTTTGATTAGTTGCTAATTGCGCGCCTCAGAGTTCCAATTCGTCCTACATATATTTCTACCATTTATTTATGGTTTTTCTTTCTTTTTCACGGGGCAATAACACAAAAGAGATCGAGCAATTGGGGGGACTTTTGAGAGTGATTCGGGGATGAACATTTGCTGCTTAGCCTGGGTGTGAAGACAACGGCGCATCACTGCTCCTCGGCAATGATGCTGGCCGGCCGCCGGTCGCACGTGTGCCGTCAAGCCGCCACCTTCACGTCGTGCTTGCGCGTCCGGCCGGGATTGACGGCCTGCTGGCAGGAGAGCGGCGGCGGCCAGATCTTGGGAAAGGCAGTCGCCGCGTACAGCGTCACCGAGGCGATGTAGCTGTTCGGCATCACCTCGAAGATGATGTCCTGGTAGCCGTAGCAGAACGTCGAGCCGAAGGGATTCGCCGTGTTGGTGGAGCCGGCACGGTGCAGCACCACCGGCCGCTCCGACGGCTCCAGACGCGTGCTGATGGAGTCCCACTTGGTGTACGCCGAAATGCTCACCGCGCTGGAAGTCTCCTCGTCGGGTGACCTGCAAAGAGAGTTGTTTCCAAGACATTCCACGGAGATCATAGAGATTCTCCCTGCTGCATCGCAGACAGCCTGTTCTACTTACTTGTCCGCCGGCAGCTGCAGCTGGAACTCGCATCGGTGGTACATGTTGAAGTTGTAATGTCCCGGGAAGTTGGTGTGCATGATGATCTTCTTGCAGCGCTGCGTGCGCGCGTCGAACAGCACGTCGATGCCCAGCGTGAAGTAGTTGAAGAAGAAGTCACTGCGCTTGGCCTGCGATTGGCGATTGGCGCTGGGCGCGTGAATCCTCATCTTGTCCTCACTCTTGAAGAACACCCTGTTCGGCGCACCCAGATTGCTCGCCACGTCCTGGCAGCTGTCGCCGAAGAGGATCTCGCGCGTCACACACTGCTTCCTGGGCTCCAGTGCACGCCCATTGCCCTCCGTGTACAGCTGCAGGCGCAGCCCCTTCGTGCCCGCGGCGTTCCTCAGCACCGCCGCGGACTCCAGATAGAGTTGCTGGCTGTAGCAGGACAGCGGCATGGCGGGCGCGCGCGCCTCCAGCACGCTGCCGCCGCAGTAGATGGCCATCTTGGAGACAACGGGCGAGGCGCCGTTGGGAAAGTGCAGCGAGCCCAGTCCGTGCGCATATCCGGGCTGCAGCTTGCTGTCCACCGGAAAGTAGAAGCTCAGGCCGCGGAAGTGCAGCGCGAACAGCTGCTTGGCGGCATCGTACACACCCGGATGCGTCGCCCCGAACGAGTGCTCGATCTGCTCAATCGACGGCGCCACTTCGGGCGAGTTGAACGGCAAACCACTGCGAAGACAACACACTGTCAGAGACATCCAGGCGCACAGGGCGCGGCCCAGAAACACTCACCAGTACTTCAACTTGACCAGCTTCATGTTGAACACTTCGATTATTTTGAGACGCTGCACGACAGGATCGAAAATCAGCCTTATTCCGTCTTGCGGCAAGTTTATCACAATGTCCACCCCGAGAGGATTCTGCAAACCAAGGAGGAATCATTATTTCTACAAACTTGAACCGCATGAAAATCCTATAGGACATTTCTGGACAATTGTAAGCCAATTGGATCCAATTATGGCAATCATGCGACAATCCGAACGAAATATAACTGACATTCTTAGGACAAATAACATAAAAGATATTTTTAATTAATTCAAAATTAATTTCCACATTCAGTGCAATATTCAAAGATTTCTCTAAATATTCAGAAATTAATTAAAAATTCATCCTCCGAAATATTCTGCACTCAATCCGTGGACAGATATAAATAAATACACATCAAGGTCACTCTCGTGCGACATTCACACGGAGTGTCCGTCGACAGAGTGTCTCTTGGGCGATGTTTGTAAACAAGTCAGCGAGTTATTAAACTCTGATAGGGAAGTGTTGCGAAATAGCAGACGAAAGGGAGTCGCAGACAAAGAGAAAGACGCTTTCCTGGGCACTCACCGTGTCTGAATAGAGCACTTGGACGCCCTTTATCACGCCAACTTGGGACTGGATGATGCCCACGGCCTGAGAGAAGTGCATTCCTGTGGGAGTGGCAGACAAAAGGGCACCATTAATTGCTGCTGAATTACATTTTCCCCAGAATATCCGTAGAAAATTGATATTGAGAAGCTCCTCTCCACTCATGTTCCACCGTCTCGCTGCCCTCGATGCGTCTCAGTGGGAGAGGGCTTTTTTTTCTACACAATGCTCAGGGCGACATTCGAGTGAGAGAGAAAGAAAAATCCCTGAGATGATTTTTCCCTTGACTTTTGGACACTCACCCAAAATAAATTCCCATTGTTTCTCACTCAGATCACTCAGGGATCTCTCAGGAACCACCTCAAGGTCGAGCATTCTTCTAATCTAACGCGAAAAGAGATGATTTTCACCTCACAAACACTTTTTGCACAGTTTTTACGCAGTTTTCCTTACTTCGCATTCACTCAAGCAGTTTCTTTGTTGTTGATTCGTGACAGCTGGCTGCGTCAAATCAGCTGATGCCATTGACAGCACGTTCGTGGGCAACTTCACACCACCCATCAAATTCAACCTGCGTAACGACCAAAAGCCAGAGTGCTTAGCGAGACCTCTGTGAGTGAGCTTCTTCAATTGCCGCCACAAATTCATTTAGGATTCATTAGCAAAAACAAACGACAGAGAAATTGCATTAAATAGCTTTTTAATAGGCCTAAAATTTTACAATTTAAATTTCTTGCTTCATTTTTGTCAAATAGTATTATTTCTTCACTTGAATCTTCTAGCCTTAGTGAGTGTTAGTGGGTGTTTTTTTTTACAAGAATTTTACAACATTCCTTCAACATTATTTTCTCCCTCTTGCGCTCAAATACTTTTTTTTAGTTTACATCGAAGAGAACACTGAAAATATACATTATTGAGAGATTTTTCATCAACAAGTTTTCCTTTAAACTCTTTGCCTCTTATTTCTCTCACACAATTTCCCTTTTTTTTATTACTCTTTTCATATATTTTACCATCACTGGTTTTGTGACTGATTTTTCCCACACTTTGCTATCATTTTTCTACTTTATTCAAATATTGTCTGGCGTGATTTTGTCATCTCTTCTTCTTTCTCAACTCTTTATCTCGTAGTTTTTTTTTTCTTCTTTTTCTATGCATTTAGAGAGAAAACTTATGTTCAGAGAGAGAGTGCTTCAATGGATGGATTTTGGGTGAATTAACACCATCGAAGTGTGACTTGAAAGTCTTCCACACAATTTATTTACATTTTACAAGAAAAGTGTCCTTTCTTTTTATACAAGACAAAAGAAAAGAAAAATAGTGGCGCATGTGAAAAAGTATCTTCTTGTTGCTTTATTTTTTTTCACAGAAAAAAGGGATGAAAATTAGAAAGAAAATAAAAGAACTACAGAGATGCTTTCTACTTCTAAGAGGAGACTTAATATCTTTACATTTTTTTTCCCTAACACTAAACTTTGATATAATCATGTGATTTTCTACCCATTTTGCTATTATGTTTCACTTATTTTTCTTACAAGATTATCTTCAATGTTCCAACGTTATTTCATCTTCAGTGTTTTTCATTTGGTGAATTCTTAATAGTTAAAAAATATAAAGACAAATACTCATTTTGGTTGCGACATTAATACAAAGTTCAAAAAAAAAACATGTGTGAGATTCCATTTTATTTTCATATCGCTTATCAATTAAACAAATTGTCCATTTTCACTTGAGGTAAAAATATTTCAAACAAGATTCTTCTTATTCTTCTCTGCACAAATTCCAATCTTCTTCCGCGCTTGCGCCTAAATTCTGCTCTTTGAACACATAAAATACAAAAATTGGACCAATTCTAATTGCTTTGGAGTATCTAAAATTGTTAATTACACACTACAAAGAGAATTTCTCAAAAAACACCTTCTGGAATGTTCTTCTTCACATCTTGTGTGTGTTGCGCGCGCTTGCGTGAATTTCTGATTCTCTCTCTTGTCAAGAAGAATTCTTCATTGAACGTCGATGGAAATGTTTCTTTTTTTTTGTTTTCTCGCGTCTTTGGATAAATAAATAAATTGCTTTCTTTCTTTCCTACCAAAAAAAAATACAGTAATTGCACAATTAAAGTGAAAAACAATATTCTGAAGTCAAAACATCTGTCATGAATAATGCCAACTTCGATTTAATGGCGATATTTTGAAATCTTGATATTCAAGACACAAACCAATTTAGTAATCCTTGATCTTTAAGTTGGATTGAGATTCTCTCCTATTGAATTCAATTTCAATATCAGCACAGCATTATTATTAATGACCACAGTTTGTGTTTTCCTTTGACTTCTCAATATATTAATTCTATGAATTTAGAATCCAAAATCAAAAATCCTCTCTTTCTCCTCTCGTTAAATTGTGCAATACGAAATTCTCAACAACATCATGTCACGGAGGCGTGACTTTGAGCCCCATTCTCGCTCGACGGTTCAATGAATGCCGAGAGCTAAGAGTGCGCGAAACACGCCACAAGGAGAGCTGCTCACCTGGTCACTCGGCCGGCCTCAATTCTGCTTCTGCTGGATCGTGATGCGGATCTTGTTGGCCTCCGGGGCGCCATGGTGGCTTCTGTGCTTCAGCGGATACTCGTACGCGTTCCTCTGGTCGTTCGGCGGCGATCCGGCCATCAGCAGAGGCACCATCTCATTGACTGGCGTCGCGAGCAGCGACTTGGGACTAGAAGAGCTGTCATCCGATGACTTTTTCTGCCTGTCGTCGTCCTCCTCCTCGTCATCATCGGCGCCCAGCGGCTGCAGGCGCTGATGCAGGGACTTGTACTCGATGCTGGACGACGACGGCAGCGCTCTGTACTGAATATTGCAGTCACTCGCGAATCTGTCATCCTTGGGGCGCGACGAGAAGTAGCTGTAGCTGAACTCCTCCTCATCCGACGCCGGTCGCACGTGGCTGTTCTCACTGCGCGACATGCGATTGTCAATGCCCACGATCACCCGCTGTCGCTCCTGCTCCTTCCTGGCCAACTCCTCGAACGACGTCATGGCGCGCTGCCCATTGGCCACCACCGCGCCCCTCTCCTTCGCCTTCATGTGGCTGCACTCAATCACAAACTCTGACTCCAGCGCCGACGACGGCGACTTCCGGCTCATGCTGCCCCGCCGCGACGACGACGACGAGTGGCGCCCGTTCTCGATCTCGCGCAGCGTCTGCGCCAACTCCTCCTCCGACCTGTACAGCGCTGAGTTCCTGATCGGCGTCACTTCGCCGGACACCACTGAGTCCCTCTTCCTGTGCACCTCCGCCACCGTGCCCGGCAGCTGCACGCCGCCGCCGTTCACCTCCTCCGGCGGCGGCGGCGGCACGTAGATCCGCACAATGTCCTGCGGCGAGATGGCGCGTGGCGTCGGCGTGATCATCATGGACGAGGGCGTGCGTCCCACGATGCTGAGCGAGCAGAAGCCAGACCTGCGAACGGGAAGAGCGTCAGAAGACTGATCCACGAGCGTATTCTGGATAGCGGACGCGATGGAATTGAGAGTACAATGTTGAATTTTGGGCAACAAAGCATGAAAATCCCATTACTTCTTTACTCAGTGGAATTGTAGATTATTCCATATTATTATTTTGTGTATAGTTAATTAAGCGCAGCGATTTTTACTTAAATCTTTCTCACTTTAAGTCCTCAAGTGACACGAGAGCAAATCCACAATAAGAATATTAATTGAGCATTCACACTTTGACTAATAAATTGATTGATAAATCACAAAAAAACAGCCCTTAATCAAATAATTTACCACAAAATTATTTATTCACGCCCTCGAGAAGTCAAGTTTGTGAACTTTTTGCCGCGTGGGAGGCGAAAAGGAGTGTGTTTATTCTAACTCACCCAGGACTGCTTTCGTCCTCATCCTCAACGATGCCACCGCCTTCGGTGTGTAGACTTTGTGTGTCGTCCTGATGGTGGTAAATGTCGAATGCCTGATGAGATCTCTGACCACCCGAGAAGATGCTCAAATCCGCTGTGGAAGTCACTGAAGTGTCTGCCAGGGATTTCCTCGAGCTGCCCAAACCCAGTGATCCGCCATCCTCCGATTCAGCCACGTGAACTGCACAAAAACACCGCGATTAGTGGTGTTAAAGACAAAGAAAAGCAGGGAAGACAAAATGCAGCCAAAAGGCTGAAGAAGTTATTAGAAAGAGAGGCAAAAACACACCAACCTGATGGAAAAATCATCCAAATTTGCTTGTCATGCCATGCAAAAGAACCCCTCTTCTCAAGTGACTTTAACTTTATGCAAAAGCCACAGAATAAGAAAAAAAAAGAAAACAAACCGCAAAAGAAACTGAGAATTTCATGCAAATTTTCTGCTCATAAAATCACCTATAAAAATTCCACCAACACCAACGAAGAGAGAAAAAAAATGTTAATTATACTATATTGTTGAAAATACAAGAGGCAATTAAAGAGTTTAACATGTTAAAGAAAAGAAAACTACACTTTAAGAGATATTCACCCAGGATTTTCTTTCTTTTCTTATCACTCTTTTGGTGCTTTTTTTTTTCATACACAAACACGAGGCAATACTATAAAAAAGAGGGAGGAAATATCAACACCAATCAAAGTCTTGTACTTTCAACAATACAGAAAGAGTCACTTAAGCTACTATCGTCGAGTGACGTGAGACTTTTGGTGCTGGGAAGCGTGAGGAGGCTCTTTTGGGACAAGTGGAAGGTTGCTAGTGACAAACTACTGTTGCCTAACAGAGTCGAGGAAGAGAGAAAGAGTTGCAGAAGAGAAAAGAGAAAAGTGATTAAAGGGAATAGAGTGCATGCTGTAATTGAGGATTGTGAGTGCACTTACCGGTATTTAATTGACTATTTGATCCACCAATCGCACCCTCAGACAGGCGCGATTCCGCAATTTCCTGCTGTGTCAACTCACGCCGCAAAATCACATTGTCCGTCACTTCCCGCTCAGTGTCTGAGAAGATTGACTTCCGTCTGCCAATCTGCAAATACACACACACACACAATGTTTCTTCTCTCTAAGAATAGCCTGTGTCGAAAAGGATACAGAGAAAATTGCATTTTTCCGCTCCAAACCTTTGACTCGATGCTCGGCTCGCGGAATTCGCCGAATGGACGCTTTGGCAATTCATTGGGTCCCGGCGGTGGCGGAAGCTCCATCTTGCTCTTCTTCAGCTCCTCCATGCAGTGCTCCAGCGTCTTGATGGCATTGTCATCGTCATAGCCAAAGTCCGTGTGCAGCTGCACCTGCAAGTACTGCACAATCAAGTCCATGTCCTTCAGCTTCAGGATCTTGCTCTTGTGCAGTCGCAGAATTGTGTACGCCATTCCCGTCACCACCTTCTCACCATCCAGCAGATAGATGTCCCACACGCGCAAGCAGAGACTGAAGGGAATCTGTGCAACAAGGCGGAATTTCACACTAAATGCCAAACACATTTTGCGTCTCGCCAAATCACACTCACTCGCTCGACGAAGATGACAAAGAACCACTTGAGAGAGTAAAGAATGGAGTCAAGGTTGAACTGATCAAAGTGCTTCTTGACCTTTGGAAGAAACTTCGCGATGATCTTGTCATGATGCGCCAGGAAGCGTGTCAACTTTGGGAATCCTATGGAGAAGGATTTAGGATGAGAAATCACAGCAGAGAAGAACATCTCTCTCACTCACCTTCAATGTACAGACCGTGCATGGCGTACTTCTTGTCCGCCAGCAGCACACTCAGCGCCCAGAACGCCTCCTCCTCGTCCATGTACATGAGCAGCACACCCGCCAGACCCGACATGCCCTGACAGTAGCCCACCTCCATGTTGTACATGCTGTACGCCGTGAGGACGTTGAACAGGCTCTGCTGCTTTATGCTGTACCGCTCGCGGTAGAAGAGATGCTCCCTGAACTGCCTGTTCACGTCCGAATCAATCTGACGCGCCTCCGTTGAGCACTGCCTCGCCAGGCGCAGCATATTCTTGTACACATCCTTCTGCTCCGCCATCACCTGCTCCAAATTCAGCAGCTTCACCCACACACGCGACCGCAGCTTGTCCGGAATGCCCTTGTACACGCGACTGTGCAGCTTCTCGCCCGTCTCACGGCTATTCCACTTGTTCAGCATCTTCAGCCACTTCTTCACGCGCTCCAGCTCAATGGCGCGCGCCTTTGCCTCATTGGGATTCACCTGGAAAGTCACCACACACCCAATCCATTACAGTACCGCTACTATTTCACTACTACAAAAGGTGTCCAGGCTAAATACTCATCCAAAATAGGCCCTCTCAATAGGCCTTTCTGTCTCCTCATCGTAAAATCATAGATTTGCTCACCTTCTGCGGCAGACGGCGATCGTGAATGAATCCATAGCGATCTGTCTGGTGGTAAACCTCGAATCCCGGATCCTCCCACGGATCAATCTCAGCTCCGGGCTCTCGACCGCGCTCGTAGCGCTGGAAGAGCTTCTCGCGCTCCTCATTGGCTCGCGCCACGAGCGCCTCCTCATCAGTATTGCTCTTGCCGCCACTGGACGCCATTTCCGGCCACTTCACTTGGACATCCCAACCATTTTACATGCTGCGCCGCTCGCGTGATGCTCTCTCGCCTTTCCCACGAGACTGGCGTTGAGTGTGAAAACTGGAGAAGAGATGGAAAGCGAAAGAGAAAATACAGGAGCGCGCTTCTTCAGCGATGGAGGAGGAGAAGAAGAAAAAAACCAGTCTTTTGAGGGGAGTAGAATTGGAATATGAGTTGCATGGTCAGCACGAGCCGAGAATTTTGATTTACGACTCAGTTGGAAAGTATCTAATCGCACATGATGCTTTTTAAGCTCATCGCACTGTTTATCGAGGTGAGTGTCTCATTGATTTACACGCATGATTAGCCGCGAATAAAAATACCGAGAAATGAGTGGGGGAGGGCCTCTTTTCAGCTGAAATTTTGACGTTTCGCAGGTGTGTTTTGGGTGTCTTGGCTAAAAAAAAAGGATCATTCGGGACACTCGCATTGCAAGGTCGCTGATTGGTAAGCGAAAAGGGTGAAAAGACGACAATCAAACACTGAGTCAACTGGGTTGCTTGCAAATAAGGCAAATTTCCTGGGAAACACAGGAAAAATCAATGGAAGAAAAACTGCAACAATCTCCTTTTCGCAATCCTCGAGGAAAATCTCCCCTTTTCCGGACACACTGTTCTCTGCACTCCCCCTTTGAGAGACTTTCACTCGCCGAATCTCAATCCATCGAGTCTCCCGCGAGATTGCCTAATGAAAAACAGTTAATGCCACTTTGTGCGGAAGCATTAAACCCCCGTTAATGGGTTTTAGAGCACGATTTGCCGTTCACGAAGGAGCGCCCCACGGGCCTTTCGTGGCAATTTCCACTGGCACACTCACTCACCGCTCTCGTGCACTCACGCGTCACTCACGCGCGTCCCACTTCGACTGGCTGTCACGCAGGAAATCAGGCGAAACCCCACGACACCTCGTAAATTGTTTGCAATTGTAAATTTCTCCAGCACGAGCAAAAAAAAACTCACGCGAAATGTCAAATGTGAACGAGTTTGCGGAGAAATGCCGTGTGGAGGCGTTGTAGCGACGACAGCGCCACACTGACAGCATTGCACAGGGGCGCGAAAACTCACAGCATCGTGTGTTTTTTTTTTGTGGCAAAACTGCCTTTCGCACTTTATTTACATCCTTTTTTTCATTCCTTTTTACAATAAATATTTCCTTTGTACTGAAAAATGACTTGATTATTACATTTCATCTCTAAAATTAACCTCTATATCTGTCTCATCATCTCAATTATCTAGTGATTATTTATTACTTTTTCATCTGTACTTTATGTTTTTTTTGTTATCATCATTTTGCAATTTATTAATAATAATCATTGTTTGTGTTATTTCCCGTTTTTAAAAATGTTATTTTTTTGTTTTTATATATATTTGCTCTTTGTAATAGTGATTCTTGTGATATTAATCATCATCATCGTCTCTTGTTAGAATAACGCTATTTCTTTCTCCTCTCTCTCTCTCTCTCTCTCTCTTTTCACATTTGCCATCTAACTTCAAAAGAAAAAGAACATTTAACAATTTACAACAGCAAAAGAGCTCCACCTCCCTCTATATATAAATTCATTTGGAATCTTAGTACAAAAAATTCTCTCTCACATTCTTCTAATTTGAAAATTATACAACACTTAGAGGTGGATAAATTAAAATCTCACACTCCCGCGAGCAACTTTATCGCTAAAATTAAATCCGTTTCACACCAATTACAATTTTTTTTCTCCCCTTTTCTCTCTACTTCCTCCCTTAATCGACCCTATTAAATGATTGTTTTGCTTTCATTGTCTCGTTCTTGTGTCTTCATTCGTCGAGCTTTTCTCCCAAAAATCCACTCATTCCATTGCATTGCTTATTATTTCTCTCTTCGCCCCTTCAGAACCCGTACAGAATAGAAACCTAAATATATATATATATATATAGCGCGTAACAAGTATTTTTGCCTTAAAATTAAACCTGGGTTAAAATATAATTATAGTAGATTCTATGGCGCGTGGACTGTGGAAGCCTTAAGAGAGGTTAAAACTAAGTGGTAAATACAATTATTCATGTTTTTTTACACTACGATAGTTTGATTTGTTTTTTTTTGTTTTTTTTTAGAAAATGAAAAGAAATATTCTAGTATAGGTAAATATTACAATTTTTTCTCTTCTCTTCGTGTGCTTTTCCTCGCAATAATTACACGCTTTTCTCTCTCTCTCTCTCTTTCTCCCTCTTGTTTGTCCCCTTCTAATGCCTAACGAACACAGTGTTATCAATAAGTTATCAATTCATCTCTAAACTCTAACCGCAAGTCCTCTGCGCGTGGATCAAAAAGTATTTTCATCAGATAATCAGTGGTTGTTACGCATCAAAACTCCGAGGATTCCTTCTGCCCTCTCACAATAATCATCACTGCAGCAGCTTTCTCTCCTCTTCCTTACTCTCTCGCTCTCTCTTTCCTTTCTTCAACACAATCACAACAACGTCCGTAAAATCGCAAGCACGACAGCAAAAAACAGAAAAGTCCGGAGAACACTCAATCATCAGACAATGCCCACAAAGTGCTTATCTCCTGGCCACTTCATCATCACCTCATAGTCATCGTGGTCGGCCTTCTTTTCCCTTCTCTGCTCGCCGTCGTGTTGCGATCTCCATCATCGGCTCACAATGGGCGACTCCTTGGCACTCTGGTGGCTGCTGCTGCTGCTCGCACTGCTGCTGCACCCGCGCTCCTTTTGCTTCTCTCCCGGCATCTTCTTGCGCTTCGGATTCTTGCGCTGCACCGCCGCGGACGCCTTGTGGTGCATCACTTGCGAACCGTGATCCTTCTGGCTGCCATTGCTGCTGCCGCCGGATTTATCCGCATACGTGCCGCCACTCGACGACGAGTCGTTCTCAACTGCAAAGACAGAAAGAGAAGAAATACAGCAGTGAGTCAGGCTCCGCCCACTCGAAAGCCCCGCCCAGTTGAAACTCAGTGTGACGATTTTCCACACCGTCAACACGATGCCATCAAAAAGCCAATCAAGCCCGATCTTGTGGCTCCCAGACGATGCGTGACACGCACTCACCAGTCTTCGCCATGGACGTGGAAGCGGCGGCTTCTGCGACGGCTCGCGTGAGGATGCTGTTGCGACGCGGCTTGGACACCTGCCGACCGCCGGACTGCGGCTGCCCTTGCTGCAGTTGCTGCGGCAATCCGCCGTGAGCCGCCAGCTCGCCGCCACTCCGGGCGTTCGTGAGGCGGCTGTTGATGTACATCTGCGGATACGTCACCGCCGGCGGTGGCTGGACCATCGTCACGGGCAGCACCACGGGCATGTTGGGCTGACTGGGCGACGCACTGCTCCGTACGCTCAGCATCTCCTCCATCTGCGCATGCACAGTCATATCATTTTCACCCCCTCTGAAGAATCCCTCCCCACTCTTTCACCCCATTTATCATCATCGTCTCAACTCACAATGACACCGTTGTTCTGCGGCACTTGCGACGTCCGCTGCATCTGTGCGTGCACATGATATGGGGCAGGTACAATGATTTGCTGTCTCGCCATGAGATTCCCCGGCGTGCTCTCCGTCGGCACATCCTCCTGCACGACTGTCGGCTGGTGCACGAGGAACGGCTGCTGCTGATGCGTGTGCGTGACAGATGTCGGCGACACGTCTCTCGATGCTGAATTGCTGTCCGCGTAGCTGTCCATGCTCTCCTCCGACGTCTCCAGGCTGGAAATGCTGCCGCGCCGTCTCGCCAGATTGCCGCCGCCCACTTGCAGCGACGGCGACGACGGCTGCGACAGCATCAGACGCGACTCAAATGTCTTCTGCACCCACTCACGATAGTCCACCACTTCGTCAGTCACGCGAATTATCCTGCCCAGAATGCTGTTGCGCGAGCAATCGTTGAGTTCTGTGTTGAGTGGCGAAACGGCCTGTGCCAGCACGATGTAGGCATACTCAAAGGCCTGTTTCACCTGAAGAGCACCTGCAGAGAGAGAGAGAGGAAAGAGAAATACACCGTGTGTAAAGTGGCAATTTGTCACGCTTCTTGCACGAGTGCACTAAGTAGAAAAAGCAACTTCAATGTTCCACACAAACGCCCTGAGCTTGACACACTCACCATATGAAGACCTCCCAATGTCATTGCCAGCCGTCAGTGGATCCTCAATGCAGAGCAAACTGGGTCTGTGGCCATCCACCATCTCCTTCTGCAGCTCCTCCTTCGGTATGTAACGCCCGCCATTCTTAATACTAATCCCAGTCTTCATGTAATTGAACTTTCTGCCGTACAACTCGAGAAATTCCAGCAGAAGAACACCCAAGTCCGCCTTCTCGCGGATATTCTGACGCGGATGCAGCTGAAGGAAGCTGATGCACATGAGTATCAGTGAGTAGGATGAAATGCCACCGGTGAACACCTCATTGAGGTCACGCTGCAGGAGGAATTGCTTGAGAACGAGCACAAGCTTCGACAGCACCGGATACTTTCTCTTGTAGCTCTTTATCAATTCCGCCGATTGCACACCACTCTGCATGTTGAACGAAATGTCCACCTTCACCTGACTCTCGCGATCTGTTAACTTTATTATGGGCACCGATGCCTTGTCCAGCACACGCAGTGACATCGGCTCGGCAATGCGACGATTCGTCAACTCTGTCTCAAGCGTCCTCAGCGGCAACTTATCCCATCGTCCAATTACAACGAGATCTGCAAACGTTGCAATTCATTCTTAGCCAGTTTATCAGCAAAAATCACCCTCATCTCCTCACCAATATCACTTGTTGGCAAATACAGTCCCGTCCGGAATGATCCGAAGACCTCAACTTGTGCTGTCGGCCATAAACTCAGCACAACACACTCAATCTTCGTCACCACGTCAACTCTGAGCGCGTGTTCGGTGGATGTGGGAATCATGTGCGAGTAGAAATGCTCAATCTCCTGATGGAGGCTGCAAAAGAAAGAGGAAGAGTGACAAGTGCATTAGTATCACGGAATTCAATAAACTCCTCTTCCTGCCCCGAAGGCATGTTTGTGCAAAATATTTGCCACGCATCAACACAGTATCGATTGATAACGCCGGGGTGAGAATTTATTGAGCCCCAAGCATGAGGAGAGGAAAGTGAATTATGTGCCTTTGACGAAAGGAAAAATAAATACTCTTCTCTGACACACAGAGACTTTTTGAGTTGAAGTTTTCTCTAAACACACTTCACTCTTTTTTTTCCACATCAATTTGCTTTTCCTGCAAACAAGATATTTTATAAATATAGACACTATTCGTTAGACGACAATTAAATAATAATATTGAAAAGAAAGCTTCTGGAAATCAAATTTATGCAAAGAAAATGCTTGATAAACTTCGAGAAATGAAGCAAAAGTTAGGAAATCAAATAGAAGCCACGCCCACTTCTTAGCTCCGCCCATTAATTCCCTCTGCAAATCTATTTTAGACATTTTCCGGTCAATTGACTAACTTTCGTCTGTCTTCTATCATTCAATACACTTCAGTCGAGATGTCTGTTTCTCCCTCTTCGCGGAAAACTCCCCAAATCTCCGGTGTAATTACACACGAAAGCCAGGAAGTCTTGCTCGAGTCTCTCGTCCATCAACAAGTATATAACTTGTTGCTTCATCAGTCAACCGAGAGCATTTCCCACGAGCTGCAAAAGCCTGAGTGCGCAAGTTAAATGCGCGATCCTCTCTCTGACTGACTTCCATCCAAATTTCACTGTATTCTCTCGCCGTCCTCCCCCCACCCCACTCCAGCACCTCACTGGGCGATTAAACATTGACTTTTGAGAGCGTGCAAAGTGAAGGCGCGAGAAATGAATGGAGGAAATTCATTATCACTCAGCTTTTTGACCAACAAAAATTATGTGGCGATCACTGAACGCACACAACAACTCTCGTCGTTCACTCAATCATTGTTGCCGTCTCTGTTTGGCGGATTGCACAAAAATTGCGCAACACCCGCAAGAATCCGATATATTCAATTAACTTTTACATACAGAAATATTAATTGAAGAGCACAAATTTTGCTCTCTTTCTCACACTTCCACCTTCTTTTTTTCCTACTTCTCCTCCTCTCTCTCTCTCTCTCTTGCTTTTTGCCTTTCGTCCGTGAAGCACATAACAGGCGCGATATTTATATGTTTTAATGTCGAGGTCACAACGAAAAAGAAGTACACAAGAAATGTGAGCGCGAATGGTCAACGCAAGGAAATTCACAAGCAAATGCACACACTTTTCTCTATTGATTCCACTATTCGCGTCTCCAAGATTGGAATTCCTCTTTGTCTCAGCCATTTTTCATTCTTTCTTTCACTGTTTGCACAGTGAAAATTCACAGTGTGAAAGAAAATAGGCAAAAAGTGAGTGTGGAGGAGAAATAGAAAATCGCAATCTTCTCTATTTCATCCATTAATTTATTACAATATTAACAAATATTTTATTCTTTCTCTCTCTCTCTCTCTCTCTCTCTCTCTCTCTCTCTCTCTCTCTCTCTCTGAGCACTTCACAGTAAAAGAAAAAAAGCGCTTATAACGAAACTCAAGGCGATTTTCACCAATTACAGTTTAAATTAATTCACAACTGTCTTTCTTTAGTGCTTATCGTGATTTTTCTCTCTCTTGCAACTCAACTCATCTCACAAATAAGGAGAGAATAGTGAGTATATTAAAAAATATATGAAACATTCCTTTTCATTCAACAGAATGCATGAATTTCCATGTTTTTTTCTTCTCTTTCTCTTAAGAATGAATCAGGAGAGAAAAATTGAGAGTACAAAGAAAGAAATTAATCCACAATGTGCAGAGAAAATTACTTTTTTTTTTTCATTCAACATCGAGAATTGACATTGAAATTCACGAACAGAGAGAGAGAGAGAACAATGATTTCCTCAACTTCCGAGTTAATTAGAGAAGGAAAAGCTGTTGTCATGAAATCATTGAGCATTTCGACAAATCAACTTTGAGTTTTGACCAATCTTGATTTATGTGGAATGTCTGGAAGGCAATCATCTTCTGCCTTTGTTCTGCTCAATTCTTCTGCTTTTGCAGTGTCTTGAATCAAAAAGACTTTGAGAAACAATTCAAGATTGAATTTGACAAATTCTGAACAATTATGAGCTTTTTTGAGGCAAAAGAAGGTGTTTTTGACTTACAAAAAATCTCAAGATTGCAAGTGATTATCAAGAAGACATTTTTGCAGAAATTCCCCAATTTCCACAGTGAAAACAAGTCCAAGAATCATTAAAGAAAAAAACATTTGCTTATTTCCCTTTCACAAACCGTGATAAAAAGCGATTATTGTTGAGGAGATTTGAACTCATTGACCCCAAAGATATTTACATTGTGCGCGCAAAGGAAGCGAGATGAGAGAGTTTCCTTACCCGGTGACACCGCGCTCGTAGGTGAATTTGTGGGGGCGCCACGGGCATCCGCCGTGCTTTCCCACGAGTCTCTCATGGAATTTGTTCATGTTGTACGTGCTGGCCTTGTTGTCCAGCTGGCTGCCGGCTTTCCTGCGCGACGGATTGTAGTAGTTGCGCTCCAGCGTGGCCCCAGTGGTGGAGCCGTTGGACTCGTGGGGCTCCTTGGACTGCTGACGCTCAATCAGAGCACTCACCGCCGCCGCATTCCCGTCCATTTCCGAGAATGTGTCCCAGATTTGCTGCCAGATGCGCTTCGCTGGGCCGTCCTGTTCCTCCTGAAACCACGCCACGGCGGGATCCATCGAGTGGGGTGGCGGCTCAGGGATGCCGGGATGTGTGGGTGTCAGGTGGTTGGGCTGGTCTGCTTGGTGTCCGAGTTCTAAAGCGCCCCAGCAGCGGTTCTCATCAGCCCACAAGGAGTGACAGCCACGGGAGGAAAAGGTTATCTTCTCTCTCGCTCACGCTCTCGCCTCTGCAGACTCTCTGTCAATTGGGACAACGAAGAGTCTGTCTCAGTGCTCGTGCAGGAACAGCATGAACATTGTTCGGGACGAGAGGAGGGCAGAATGTCCAGGAAACAGTGATTTTTCTCTCTTCTTCAGCCCCACAAATTATACGCGAATCCGACGGAGCGCGTCAACACACACACACACGCACGCACACAACACCAAAATCGGTTCACACACACTCGCACGCGCCACGGGAAATTTTCACGTCTCCTTTTCCAGACAATCTGTGCCACCCACAGCGCAGCACCGCACTTTTCTCCACCTGCACCACACACAACACACAACAGGGTGCAATTTGGAGGAGTTTTCCTTCAGTTTTTCACAGGAAATATGTGCTTTCAGCAGCGCTTTTCCATACCACACACTTCGCGAAACGTTCGCAATCGGGAGTGTTGCATTCCCGGTTCGTCGGTCCCGATTGGCGCTGACAGCAGTCTCACATGCTGTCAGTGGATGTAACCACAATTTTCTGGACTTTCCGCGTTTGGTTTGTTTACCACCAGATTTATCAGGCGAATTTTGGGCTTTTTCCTCCCAATGGACGGACCAGAGTGCATTTACGTAAGTCTCAGTAGAGTTGTGAGCAGATTTAGAGTGAATTTGTGCACTTACCGATTGACTTTGCAGACTATTTTCGATGACAAATGCAAAGCTGCCGGCATCACGGGACAGTGGGCTTCTCCGGATATTCTCTCTGTCACAGCCTTCCGGCCGGTGCTCAGGTGAATGCCCCCCTTGTGATTGACTCTCATCGGTCTGTCTAATATGTTGTCTGGATTTGCAGCAATACGAAGGATGAAGTGTCGAAATTTGCCTGCAAAGAAGACACCCGGATTCATCATCTCAAGTTCCCATTCATCTTCTCTGAGCCCATTCTCGCGGACTTTGTGGGCGAGACGTGTGCTATTTTCCGCAGTCTGCGCTCTCTCAAAGCCACCGAGCAGAAGCTGGACTATGTGAAGATCTCACAGTCGTACAGAAGCACAGTCAGAACTTACCTGGAGAAGCTCCAAGATGCCATAGCCTCAGGCTCCGATGACACCTTGATAGAGAGGCACAAGAACCTCATCACTCAACTGTACTACACAGAGTGCATCTGGCATCTGTGTGAGATTCTCTTCATTGATCGCGCAGCATCGGGAATGATCGTTCTGAAGCTGCTGGAGTGGATTCGCTTTCACATTCCGCAATCGGAGCGCTTGGCCACGGAATTGCTCATCCACGGCCGCGAGGCGGACGCCCACGAGGACTACTGGGATGTTGTGAGGGATCTCATCCTTCAGGGTCAAGTGGATGTGGCCAGAGCTCTGCTGAAGCTCCACTCTGCGGCGGAGAGTCTCAACTTCCAGCTCACCGAGCAGATTCTCAAGTCAATGCCGGTGTTCAACAGCTACGGCGGCCTTCCGGTGCAGAAGTTTCACTCCCAGTGGCAATACTGGGTCACAGACACGCGCTCCAAGCTGTCCACGGGTGTCCTGATGGAGCAGCCAGAGCTGGAGACGCTCGTGTTGCTGGCCATCGGCGACGAGGCGACTTGGAGCAACCAGGCAAAGTCCTCCAACTGTTGGTACGAATATCTGCCCGGCTTCCTCTTCTACACTACGCCCACGTGCAAGTTCTTCGAGCTCGGCACCTTCGCCGGCCAGTGGCTGACGCGCTGGATGACCGCGCATGGCCAGACGAGCTCCATGCCGATGAAGCAACTCGATCGCGTGATCCTGAGCGTGATGGAGAACGACATGCACCAGGTGCTGCACGATGTGCAGAACATCTATGACAACAAGTGGTTCGTCACGCACTTGGCGGATCTGCTGCACGCGTGCGGGCAGCTCGAGGTGCTCGTGGAGCAGCAGCAGAATGTGGCCAGTGAGCTGCGCGACTCGCTGCTGTTCGAGTACGGCTGCACGCTGATGAGTCAGTGCGAGTTCTGGCCCTTCGGCCTGGACTACCTCGAGCACGGTCCTCCCGAGGGTCTGGGCGCCATTGAGATTCACCTCTCGCGTCTGCCCATCGCGTCGGACGACGACGCTGAGCAGATTCTGGCCGCGGCCAAGGCCAGAGGACTGTCGTCGATCGAGAGGGACGTTTGTCGTGTGCTCGCGGCCAGATATCTGGCCAGCGACGATCACGGAAGCGCCCTGATGTGGGGAGTGCGCTCGCAGGACAACATCTACGTCACTTCCATCGCGGATATCATCCTGAACGTGAGTATTTTCCAACGCGGGAAGACTCAAAGTACTCTGAAATTCCTGATTTTCAGCACTACTGCAAGCACGGCGTCATTCTCTGTCCGGACGTCCTCGCGCACATCGGCCAGAAGATGTTTGTGTCACCGCGCCTCGTCTTCCTGGTGAAATATTATGACTTCCAGCAGTTCTACAAACGCAAGGAATTCCCACAAGCCGCTGAGTTGCTGATAAATCTGCTGGACTCGCGAATAACGCCAGAATTGTGAGTCCTTTTGACATCCACACAGTCTGCCAGGAATCGCTAACACTTTCCTTTGCAGCTTCTGGCCGACGCTCTTGGCCGACACAATTCCACTGCTTGAGTCCAGCGATCCGAAGATTCCCTCCAAGGAAACCACGCAGATCATTCATCACTTGGAGGCGGAATTCCTGCCACTTGTCGACAAGGTGCGCAGCTCAAGTGCCATCAGTGGCGAATCGAGGACGCCAATCCTGAATCACAGTCGCCTGGAGGACATTGATCAGCTGATAAGACTCCTGCGAATGGCGGCGGCGCGGAATCTCGCACGGATGCTCATCATCGAGAACACAGTTCTGTAGATGAGAAGCAACGAAGGCGATTTACAAATTTCACATCCTTTATTCTCACGATTTTTCACCAATCCTTGTTTCTCTTGTCAACCTCAATAAAGGAAATGTGCTGCAAAAGTGTTTCTCTCTCTCTCTTTCGGAAGGAATTATAAATATTGAGGGTGTTTTTTTCTTATGTACACATTTTTCTTATCTCTTGTCTTGTCTTGTATGCAAAATTTAGAATTATTTATCGTTTTTTTTTATACTTCGCGAGCAGACAACGGAAGATTGGCATTAAGCTCAGTCTCAAAAATTAAACCTCAAATTAATAAAGACGCGCGCGCACAGAGCAAAATTCGCCACCAAGAAGACTCTCTCTCTCACTTATCCTCCATGCTCAGCTTCAGCGCCTCCTCGAGCATCTCCTGCTCGCGCCGCAACTCCTGCTCCCTGACATTCTGCTCCTCCTGACTCAGGCGCAGCGCCATGGCCAGATCGGCGTCAATGGAGGGCGAGGATGGCGTGGAAGCGCCCTCGGGTGTATCACTGGAATGTCGCACGTTGAGAGATTCGTGCAGAGCTCTGAAAAGGCAGAAGAAAGATGGGGATTTTGCAGGGGGATTCAGAAGCGCCTAGCAGGACTCTTTCTCCTACTTGCCAACAAGCGAGCATATTTCACAGTAGGACAATCAGAATCACACTCGAAAAAGCAAAGATTAACAAACTCTCACCTCTGCAACTGACTGTCTTCATCACTCAGCGCTCCCGGCGTCAGTGGCCTTTGCGCCCTGAGAGCCTCCCAAATGTCCACCTGGTCGTTTTCACTGCCCGCATCGATGAGACTCTGCTGGATGGCATACTGTAGCAGATCATCCTCATCCTGGCCTCGCGATCTCAGATATTCTCCACCTGAAAATCACAACAAATTGCACAATTGAGAAACTCAATAAGAATAATTCCTCAATCATCTCACCGTGTTTCTCATAATCCGGCGGAATGTGGAAGCACCGATCATCCACAACGCACGTCAGACGATCGCCTTCCTCAATGTGAGTCACATTTGGCACAGGAGTCTCAAGTGCAAACACATTTCCAAACGTCACGCACGCATTGATAACGTGAAAGAGTGGAATTTCTGCAAGAAAAATAATAATTTCAGATCAGATTCGACACGAGATATTAGGGTTAATTCCTGACTTTACATTTCATTGCATAAAAAAAAATCCTTCAAGTCAAAATAATTGCTTTGCACAAATATTATTAATTCACTTGCATCACGCTTAGCCTTGTTGCAAATGCATCGCGTTTGACTCTCAAGATCAGTTCGGAATGAGATCGGAATGAGACTCACCAACTTTAACCGGAAAGCCCGCCGGAAGTTGCATGGTGATGAAGTCCTTGAGCTTGCTCACGTGCGGACTCATGATGCTGGACATGAGATCCAGAATGGGAATCACCTGCTCCTGCAGTTTGATGGGAAAATCCTCGCTCAGCCACAAGTTCGCCTTGAAATTCTGCACCTTCTTGGTCTGCCTCTTTGGTCTGCCCACGTCCTTCTCGCCCAAATCCATGTCCGAGAAGTATTCCTCCGGCGACACGAAATCCGGCGTGAATTCCGGCGGCGGCGGAATTGGCGGCACATTCATGCCATTCTCATCGATCGTGATCTGCTCCAAACCCCTCTCGGCGCCCTCCTCGGACACCCCAAACAGACTCTGCAGCGGCATGCCGCCGGGCTTCTTCGTCTTGGCCGGCAGCTCGGCCAGATGTTCCGTGCGCGTCCGCGTGATGAACTCCACATTCGTGGCGGAATACACTTTGCACTCGTAGCCATTCACGGGCTCATTCTTCTCGCTGCGCCAGCCCCAGATGCCCGACTTGTTGCGCTCGAAGCTGATCTTGTCCATGTCCACCGTGTTGGACGTCACGGGCGCCGTGAGGCGATAGTAGAGCAGCTCCGGCGGCGTCGTTATGCTCTCGATGGGCTCCTGGATCTCCTGCATCGTGTCCACTGTGGCCTCGCGCGTATCGTGATTCACCTCAATCATCACGGCAGTGTCCATCTGACCCTTGAAGATGTAACTGCGCCGCCCGCGCTGCCACGACGCGTGATCGAAGCCCAGCAGAGTCGTGTCGATGCGCACATTGGAGCCCCTCTTGTACACCCGGTACGTGTCACTGGGACAGAGGCGCGACATTAAAGGCACTGCAAAACACACACCGTGTGTGAGAATGATAAAGCAAAACAGCTGCTGATTGATTAGCGGCTAGGAAAGGAATTTTTTGAATAATCGGATTACGTCCGGAGACAAGCAACTTTGCGCGCTTTCCCTTGAGCACTTCAAGTGGAAAATCCAGGTCAGTCGGCGCCAAATGGGCCACTCACTATCGCGCCACTGCCTTATCAGTGACTCATGCTGGCGGAAAAGCCCCCCAAACTCACCCCAAGTGGTGAACTCCCACTTCATCTCCACGTAGAAATCGGGCGCATCGTGCAGACGCTGCAGCAGCAGGGGCACGTGCGTTGTCCGCTGCAGGTGTCTCTGGAGGTCCCTCACCTCCATCACGGCTCTCAGGATGTCCGGATTGCCCGTGCAGACTGCCTCCTGCACCAGCGACCAGCCGTCGCTCTCGATGTTTGTCTTCGCCCGCGTCACGAGGATTTTCACGCACTCCAAGTGACACAGACGCACAGCCAGCATCACGGGTGTCCTCCCGCGTGGATCCCTCTTCTCCACATCGAACTTCTGCCCGAGAAAACAGTCTTTTTAGCGCGCTTTTGCATGATAATTCAATTAATGGAACGCCTCTAATTGGATTATGTGATGAGTAATCACAACATTTCCCTGCAAATTTTCATGTCACCACACAGGAAAACACACCAAACACCTTTGCAGGAGAATGGAGAGTGAGATTATGTGCCTTTCAGAGCGGAAAATGAGGAAAATCTAGGGATTTCCAGGGAAAATTGTGCAGATTGCTAGAGTGTGAGGTTATGTGGAATTCTTACATTCTCCTGATTTAGGGCCTCCCGGAGCTGTTCTGGCTCATCATTCCACACCATCAAGTGCAATGGATATTGCTGCTTGATCTGCTCGATAGTCAGCATGCCTCTTCGATGCACTTTTCACACGGAAAACCAGCTATTCTCTCAGTTTTCCACCCACTAAACAAACCACCGAAAAGGGAACAAAACAACCGGAGGGGAAATGCTGTCAGTCCCGGGGAAAATGGAGGGGAGGCATTGGGATATTTTCAGATATATTTGGGATATTTTTTCCCTCTCCTAAATACTGTAAATCAGCAATTTTCACGAGTTTCCTTCACACTGTCTGATCGGAAAATATTTAAAATTGAAGGATAAGCATTGAAATCACTGTCATAGTTGGAAAAATGTTTGAAAACCCTACGAAATTTGCACGGAGAAATTTAACGGCTAACTTGCAGTGTTGCCATGCGTGTCACTCTGGCAGCACTAAACAAAAATCTCCCAGAGAGAAAACAGTCAGTCGTCACTTTGCTGTCTGGGGGAGGAAACGCGATGCCTTTTCCGCCCAAATAGCCGCATTTTCCGCCGCTTTTCCCCACTCAAACTTATCCCTTGGTGCTCTACAAGTGTCCAGTGAGTGTATTCCCTGTGAAATCCAGTGATTTTTGTGCCTTTTCGCTGTGGAAAAAGTGTCGTCGAAAATGAAAGTCACAGGTAGCCAACAACATTCTTTTCTGCCTCTTTTCCGTGTACCTGGAAAAAAAACCACCTTCGTGAGTGAGTCAAGATGCCGTATTAGGTCCCTCGGCACCATCTGCCATGACTCACGAGGGCGTCCCAGCGAGTGGGGCCCATTTTTCACTTGATAACGCTAATGGGGCCGCACGCGAGGAAGGCAAATGTCAAATGACGGCTTCCAAAGATGGACCTTTCGGGCCGCCTTTGCGGCTCCGCCGCCGCACCAGGGCTTCTCAGGTGGACAAAACAGGTGGATTTGCTCGTGATGAGACACCATCGCGCACTTCCTACACCTTTTCAGCCGTGCTTCTTGCGGAAAACACGAAATATGTTTGCTCAGTGCCAAGGGGTTGATGCACTCAGCAAATGAGTGACCCTGCAATGCACTTTTCCCGGACTTTGTTGCAATTTTTCACTAGTTGGGATAATTGGAGGAATTACAGAATTCTAGAAAGTGTAGGAATTTCAAATGAGGTCTTGTTGGGGGGTTTGAGTAAGAAAGAGAATTGGAAAAAGATAAAATCCTATAGGAAAACAGGTGATTTTCAAGTTTCTTTCCTCCAGTTTTATCATTTCAGACATTTTTCCAAACATTTCTTATCAAAATAGCAAAATTGTAATTTATTTGTGAGTGAAAATATCTATAAATATAGGTAATGCGTTTAGTTCTTATAGCAAATTTGTCGTCTAACAAGAAAAGTCGAGTAAGATTTTCCAGCGATTGAATGAATTTGTGATGAATTTCTTTGAAATTCTCCATCTATGAACCCCTCAAAGCGACCTTTTCGATCCAGCAATAGTGCAAAGCTGACCCAGAATCGTCCATTGAGGCGCTAAATGACTTCGCTGACTCCGTTTTGTGTGTGTCTTTCTCTTTGGCTAAACAGGTGCTTTAGATTAATGGGCTGCGAGTGTGTCTTCCTGCATATTTGATTCCGGGAAGAGAGAGTCCTCCAGGGGAAGGAAGGAAGGGTTCACTCTCGACTGAGTCACGCGTAAAATGCTGCTCAGTGGCATTTTGTGCATCGCAGCGTGAGCAATTTGGGTTTTAGAGAGAGAGTGAGAAACTGTTCAGTGGCCAGGAAGACGCTGAGACGCGATGGCGGCGGAGAGTGATGAGATTGTGAGTGTTGTGGGCAACGGCGGCGCGGCGTCCGGCGGACAGCAGGGCGCGGACAGTGGCCAGGAGGCGAAGGATGCCAATGCGAATGGTGAGACGGCGGCGGAGCAGGACAGCGGCTCGCGTGGCCAGGAAGCGAGTCGGAGTGTCAATGGGAATAAATTCCGAGGTGAGTGAATTTCATGGTGACTCCCACACACGATCGAATTGAGATGTGTGTTGTGCTGCACTGAATAATGCATGAAAAAAAAGAGGAGAAGAAGAGAGAAAGAAATGTGCAACAGCAGAAGTTAGGCGTCGCATTATATAAAATGTCTTGCTTTAATTTGCCGTGCGTGAGAAGAAATCAAACATTGTCTCTCTTTGTAATGACGGAAGAGAGTTATTTTCGATGTGTCCAATGTTTTTGAGTGTGACTCAAGAGAGAAATTGTTGCTCTTTTCCGAGGAAATCTCTGGAATCACTGTGTTATTATATCCATGAAACTGTCACTTAGATTTTCCCTAGAAATTATGCCTAATATTTGGGTGGAAGTGAAACTGTAAAGAAATCACAGATTTGCAGTTAAAAAGGAACATTTCAGCGATGTCAAAGAAGCTAAAAGAGAGCAGATAATTTAGCTGAAAAGTGTGCTAAAATATTAGCAGGCTGATTAAGCGATCGCAGCGGACGGTGGAGGAAACTCAAAAGCGTTACAAACGCAGCAATTTCAAGCTAAATTAATTAGCAAGTTTTTTTCTTGGCAAATTCCTTAATTTACCAAATTTTTCTGTGGTTTTTCACTGAAAATTTGGCTAATTTTGTTGTTGCTCACCGAATGGCTAAAATCTTAGCGAAAGAAAGCCAAAACATTAGCTTTTTTCATCTCAACTTTGAGATTTTATCATTTTCTGCTCGCTGGGAAATGCAAAAGAGTTTTGGATGCTGTGGAATCGCAACAAAGTTTAGAAAAAAAAAGAGTGAAATCTGAACATTTGATGTATAAAAATCATCATTTGGCACTCTTGCATGAGTTGCTGTGCGAAGAGTCTTTAAGCAATTTTCTCAAACAACAGCATTTCTTAATTGCATTCACGATAAGATAAAGCTTCCTAATTATTTCCATTACACTCATAATTGTCTCGTTATGCACGGTAATCTCGTTAGTATGCAAAATAGGTCGAAAAGTGTTGATGATGATTCTGATGTGGGCAAAAAGAAGGTGGAATTTTTAAGAAATTGTGGCCGAATGTGTTGCGGAAGAGACGAGAAATCTCACAAATGTTGCAAAATGAAGTGAGTGGAAGTTAAGAAAATGTAGCATGATAATTAAAAGGAATTCTATTCTCACTTTGAGTGCGAATTAATTTTACTTTATACCGCTAGACACTCTTTATCTGTCTAGCAAGATCACTCATCGCCTAATATCATAATTAATGGCGGGAGTTTTGCTTGGATATTTTTTTTTCTTCTCCTTCTTCTTTTTCTACTGAATATAATTGTTTGCTATTTAAACAATTTTGCAATGCTGCAAATGTAAGAGAGAAGAGTTTTAGTGAAAAATGTTTGCAAAGTGTGAAAGTCGGGAAATTCTATTGTGAATTCTTTCTGACAACTAAAATGAATTTTCACTTCACAATTGAATAATAAAATAAATTGTGTAAAATTATTTTTTTCTTTCATTCTGCAATATTGTAAGTTGAATCATCGATCTTGAGAAAATTTGAATGAATTGTTTGAATGAATGAAGAGTGGAAGAAGGTTTTATTGTCTCTCATTTTGTGGGGTGAATCATTGTTGAAAAATGTCTGTATATAAATAATTTCAAGATCTTATCTTTTTATCTCCTCTTCTGTCGAAATATTTACCTGAATATTTTCGGTTAGAGCGACAGTTTAGGACCACTTTCAGATCACTTTTCAGGCTTTCAATCAGCATATTTTCTTCTCTTTTGCCTCTTGCAATTTTTGCTGTGTTGTTTCTTTTCTTTTACACAAAACTCGCCTGTCAACTTGTTTTGCTTTCACTCATTCATAATTCGCCAAATCGATGGGTGAATGGAAAACTATAAAAAGTCAATTTGTTCATAGTTTTTGTCTTATGAATTTTTGAAAATCTTCTTATTTATTCTTTCTGGAAAAAAAAATTGAAATTTGTATCTTATGAGACAATAATAAAAAAAATCTTATTTATCAAAAAAGCACAAATTCCAATAAATACGATAAAATCAACTAAATATTGACAAAATAATAAATACAAATCAATATTTGCACTTTAACGGACAATTTGAAAGCGTTTTGAGAGTTTTGAAGTAAATTTAGCAAATTTCGCAGCTTTATTGATGCTAAATTTTGAACTCGCTTTGCTGAAAAATGACGATTTTAACTTTTGATAGTTTTCGAGACACCCGTCGATATAGAAATCTTTGGCGACTCTGAACTAAGACAGTAAATATCTATAAAGTCACTCCCTTTTTGCCTTTTTCAGTTTGCACTTGATATTCTGCTGTAGGTCTTCGCGTGAGTTTGTGGTCTTTTTGCCATTCTGTGCAACATTGTGGGATTTTCTCTCACTTGTCTTGAGTCACAATCTTGCACTGTGCGCAATTGCCTTCTCTTTCCGTCACTCTCTGGCTCTCAATGTTGTTGGAAAACTTGCCCGAAGGGAAGAGAAGAAAGAGAGACGCACAAGCGCGAGAGTTGAGGAATATTAAATGGATGATCAATGAGTGAATGAGTGAGAGATTATGACTTTTTTCTCTTCTTCTTCTCTTGAGATCAACCTGGTGAATTTTCACCGCACAACTTTCTTCGCAAGGCGACTTTTTTCTCTGCTTCTCTTTCACTGTTGGCAATTTTCACTCATCGGCGCGCGCGCGCACCTTCTTTCTCGTCCGCAGGCACACCGAGCTACTACGGTGACGTGTTGGATCATCGATCCCGTGTTTTGGGCGGCGGCGACGACGATGATGACGGTCTTGGCCCATTGCCCTACAAATGGGAGAAAGCCTACACGGAGGGCGGCGAGGCGTACTTCATAGAGTGAGTGGAAAATTAGCATTCTTAGCATCGCTCAATTGCTCTGCGCGCGCGTCTTCGCTGCTCAGGCGGAGACTTTTACTTTTATATTGTGCGATTTTGTAACAGTCAAACAATCTGGCGCAGTCATTTTATCGGTTTATTGACTCACAAGACTTTTGGCGCTTTTCACGTGAGGCCAATTATTTGTTTCTTAAATTATAGCCTTAAGAGGTATCTCAAGATAGCGATCATCTTACTAAAAAGGCGTTAAGAGGTTCTTTTTTTTGTGTGCGTCTCCCTCGTTGTATGGTAAATTGTAGCCAAATGAGCTGATAAATGATGCTTAATTCACATCGCTTTGTGACCTTTTCGCTGGATAAATACTCAAATATTTAATAAATAAACTCGTCAGCGCAGCAATTGGACGCGCTTAGAGATTTAATTCATGGAGTCGCAATGTTGTGCACAGTTTGAAATTGCAATGCATGACAAAAATCTTACCTTATCATGATAAAAAATCTTCTTAAGACGTTGCAAGGCGAAATTTTGAGTTTATTTAATACGAATTTCAGCTGAAAATGGATAAATGAGTTTCTTTGGCATGAAACGAAAGATTCTCAAATTCTGTGTTTAGATAATTAAATTCCTCAAATTCTTCTTGCCACTCCGTGCGAATAATATCGTTTTGTTTAAAGAAATCACACTCTGTATTAAGAGAGCCATAAATATTTTTCCTCTTCGCTGCCTTGACTCAAATATTTAGCCACTCATGAGTGCTATCTTGCCTTCCTCCAGTCACAACACCGGCACGTCACACTGGCTGGATCCGCGACTGTCCAAATTCCAGAAGAAATCCCTGGAAGATTGCCTAGACGACGAGTTGCCGTACGGTTGGGAGAAGATCGATGATCCGCAGTATGGAACGTACTTCATTGACCATGTAAATCGCCGGACGCAGTATGAGAATCCGGTGTTGGAGGCGAAGAGGCGCTTGGAGAGGAGTCGTCCGCCGAAGGGGCCGATCTTCACGAGGAATCCACTGGAGTTGAGAGGCGAGCGCATCACGACGACGCTGCTGAAGTCATCGAGAGGATTGGGATTTACCATTGTGGGTGGCGATGACAATGTGGATGAGTTTCTGCAGATTAAGTCAATTGTGCCGAATGGACCGGCTTGGCTGGATGGCAAACTGCAGACGGGCGATGTTCTGGTGTACGTGAATGACATCTGCGTGCTGGGTTTCACGCATCACGACATGGTGAATGTGTTTCAGTCAATCTTGCCGGGTGAAACGGTGCCGCTGGAGGTTTGCCGAGGCTATCCATTGCCATTTGATCCAAATGATCCCAACACGGAAGTGGTGACGACGATTGCCGTGGATGGGATTAACAGTGATCCGGAGAAGGCGAGAATTCTCATGGATCTCAACATGGATGGGAATTACAATTTCCTCGATATGAGCGATCCGGTGAGTCCGCCGGGCGCCATGGGCGGTGCGAAGAGTCCGCTGGCCAGACTGCAGGCGGATGGCTTCTTTGCGGATGGCAAGAGTGAGCCGGAAGTGCACAATATCAGCATTGTGAAGGGCGCAATGGGCTTCGGCTTCACCATTGCCGACAGTGCGTACGGGCAGAAGGTGAAGAAGATTCTGGACAGGCAGTGCTGCAAGAATCTACAAGAGGGTGACATTCTCCTGGCCATCAATTCCATTGGAGTGAAGCAGATGACGCACAATGAAGTGGTGCAGGTGCTGAAGGATTGTCCCAAGAGTCAGGAGGCTGTTCTGAAGGTGCAGCGCGGACAGTTTCTTCCATCCGGCGCTGCGGGGAAGAACAATTCGTTGACTGGTGAGAGGAAGATGCTGAAGAAGAGCAGTGATGGATTGTTTAGGTTTGGAAAGGATGGCGGATTGTTCAGGAGTAAGACGCCAACGGCTGATTTGTACAGCACGCAGCCGAAGGAGATTCTGCCAACTAGACCAAAAACACCACTTGTGGACACACGAGCGCGCGCCAAGACGCCCTCAAATGAGCTCAACACCGACGAGGCGTCCGGCGGAGTGGAGAAAGTGACGGAAAAGGAGGGAATTCCAGTGGATTCCAAGTCAAACACCAGCTTTGCCGATCATGATTCCATCAACAATGACATCCCGTACATTGATCCCTTCCCAAAGATGGTCATGGCGCTCACGGACAGACTGTCGGAGGCAAATATCAATCCGCAGCACGATAAGTATCATCAGGATCGCCTCCACTCGGCCAGCAAGACGTTCGCCTCAAGTCAATCGGATCTCAACAACTACGATCACATTGGTGCGGATTTCTACGTGAATGCACCCGGTTTTGGCGTCGGTCCGGTGCCACTGATGGCGCCCATTCCCACCTACCATCAGGACACGTGCTACTGCTTCGAGTGCCAGGACTTCAATCGGCAGCAGATGGAGTACATGCAGCAGCAGCAGAGGAACATGTATTGGCAGCAGAATGGGCGCGCGAGGAAGGTCAATGAGTACCTGATGGACAGACGGCGGGCGGGCTTCAGTCCGCTGGAGAGTCATCAGGGCATGTGGAAGTTGGGTCAGGTGTCGCCGGGTGAGGGAGGATTTGTGCAGGCGCCGATTCAGGTGAGGAACTTCAAGATTTTCTCTCATTCATTGCTGCGAATTCTCTGTTTTCTCTTCTTCCAGGAGGAATATGCTCTGTCTGAGGTGACACTTGAGCGCCAAACTCTGGGCTTTGGCTTCAGAATTGTCGGTGGCACTGAAGAGGGATCTCAAGTCACTGTTGGTCACATTGTTCCCGGTGGATCGGCCGATCGTGATCCTCGAATTGCGACTGGAGATGAAATTCTCAGCATTGATGGTGTGAATGTGGTGAGTTACACGCTTCCTTCTGTCTCCCGTTTTTGATGGATTGAGAGATGTTTTTGTTCTTAAAGGTTAATGCGTCACATCATCGTGTGGTGCAATTGATGGGCGAGGCGGCTTTGCGTGGCCAAGTGACGATGATCCTGAGGCGGAAGACGGTGCAGAAGCACAAAATCTATCCCTATGACATCATTGTGAGTCGCAATGAGAATGAGGGCTTCGGTTTTGTCATCATTTCGTCCACAAGTCAGTACTATGGATCGACAATTGGTGAGTTGTGATATGTAGGGAAGAAATTGTGTTTATTTCTCTCATTCTCTCTTCTCTCTTGCGCAATAGGGAAACTCATTCCCGGCAGTCCGGCTGATCGGTGTGCTGAATTGAAGGTTGGCGATCGAATTGTGGCGGTGAATCGGATTGATATTGCCGGAATGAGTCATGGCGATGTGGTGAATCTCATCAAGGAGTCGGGATTGCATGTGCGATTGACCATTGGCAGTCCGCAGGTCGTGAACAGTCAGCAAATGAAGGCGCCAGTGAAGAATGAGGGATTCTTTGTCGACGCTCGCTTCGCTGGTGTGCCAAATCATCCTCAATTATGACTCTGAAAGTGGCACAGGAGACGCTCAAAGTCTCCCTGTTGGCACTGCATTGTCTAATGATGTTTGATGGATGATGATGATTGAATATTTTTGGTATAGAATTAGGATGGAAAAATTCTTGTATTCACACCGATTATTGACAGTTAATCTCAAAGAGATCTCCAAAACAATTTCACATTTTATTGGGTATTTTAGAGGACAATTGTGTACTTAAAAAGAGAAATGAAGCAATATTAATTGGTGAAATTGTGTACAAAAGCAGATTCAATTTCATCTTATAAGAGAAAGGAAAGAGTGTAAAATCTCTCAAAGAAAAAAGAATGCAATAAGACTGATAAAGAGAGATTGCATTATAGACATTTTTCAATACTTATAAAGAAAAAAAAGGAAAGATATTTTTCAAATTAATGGTTTAAAAATTTAAATGAAGAGTTTATAGATTGACACAAGCAGAGCCTTAAAGTTTTTAAACGCGAGGATCACTTTTATTCATGATCGAGAGAGAGACATATTATCTAACGTTTAAGCCTATACAAATTGTTAAAAGAGTTTTTTTTTTGTCTTAGATAATAAATGTATTGCAAGAATCTAAGCCGAGAGTTGTGAATGCGTGTGAATTACGATCTTGACCGTGAGTTGTTGGCAGAAGTTCATCACAATTTGGAGGTCTTTTGTATTCAGACGCTGAACTGTATTTATTCTTGGCTGCTTCTCTACACAGAGATCAACAGGAGAGCGCGTCAGAGTCGCGGGAAATCAGTCGAGAGCGATCCAGCGACGCGGCAACATGATCTTCATCGTGAATCGTGGAAAAGTTGTGCAGATCTTTGTGGGTTTTGCCGGTGAGTTGATTTGAGTGATAATATTGATTGCATCGTCAATTTATCAGGGATTGTTGGAAGAAAAAGGCCTCTTCGTTAAGATTTGTACGAAAAACTTTCAGTGCATTTCAAAGCCAAGATTCTATTGATGATATCAGAATCAGAAATCAAGTTCATCCAGTCTTCGAATGCATCTTATTAATTATAAAATTTAATTCACTGTGCTGCGCATTTATTTCCGTGAATACACATAAGAAGAAAAGTCACACATTGTATATCAATAGTGAATGAATGAGAGGAATAAGAGGAATGAGAAGTGAAATTAGGTGATAACACGAACAATACATCTTAAGACAATCTAAAGAAATACTTATTATCATCTATTTACAATTTCATTTATGAGATAAAGCAGATAAAGTATATTCATCTTCTAGACCAGTCACTAAACCTATAGGAATTCTCATGAAGATTAAAGTGGACAGTGAAGAAAAACGTGTCTTAAAGGTGTTTTGAACGTTTTGAAATATAATACGGAAATTAAAGTTGATATAATTAACAGTTAATGAGCAAAAAACACTGGACTAAACTAAGCCTAATTCCAAAGTTCGTTATCACAAAGCCTTTCCTCAATGAGCTAAAAATTGGGTGAAGTTCAGAGATTTTCTCTCTTGTTCTTGTCCCAAATTATTCAATGTTTATCAGTGAACTCAGATTGGGTGCTTTTCGAAGAGAAATTGTGCTGATAATTGCTGACAATTGATGGATTGCGACACAGAAATTGGTGGAATTTTGCAAATTGTGAAACACTTTTTGGTCGAACAAATCACATTTGTCTGCTTCTTCTTAAATATTCTTGTCTGAAGATTTTGCCTACATTTGGAAACTTGCCGAAGAGATAATATGTACAGTAGCGAAAATTAAATTAGGACACCTATGAAATTTAGACTAATTTTCCTGACACTCAACAATGAATAATACGAACGAAACAAACTTTGCACAAAACCAAGAGAATTTAGGTGTTTTCTAGTAGAAAATTGTATATTAGGCATGCAAAGAAGCAAAGCCTTTGCTAGTTCTCATTATTATTGTATTTTTGAGTATTTCTGTGTGCTAAAATCACTACAATCCTGGATTTCTTGACATGGCATGGAACGCTTTAATGCTAGAGAATATGGAAATGCAATTAGAATCATTTTCCTGCCAAGCTTCAATTATAAATTGAATAATTCTTTCACGTTCTTAATCTGTAAATTTACAACTTGTGTGAGTTTTCATGCTTGTGAAGCCAAAGAATGCAAACATTTTAAAGTGTATTTTAATCATTTCAAAACTCAACCGAAACATGAAATAATTTGCAATTTTTGCGAGGGAAAAAAAAACTCTCACTTTCCATGCATAAAAAGTGTGGAATTTTCTTGGGAATTCTTATAAAATATTTATTGGTTTAGAATTCGAACGTCACGCATAACGAATTGCACGATCTTCAATTGATCTGCGCACTCTTTCGCTGCAGCGAACTTCCTGTCCGTCCTCTTCGGTCTGGTCACGGCATGGACTTCCCCGACGATCTTCCTGCTGCAGTCGCCAGAGACGCCGCTGGAGGCGCCCATGACGGACGATGAGGTGTCGTGGATGACGTCCGTGATCTACTTGGTGGCCGTCGTGGGCTCGCTGATCGCCGGCTGGATGGCGAACGTGGTGGGCCGGAAGTGGACGCTGTTCGTCAGCGCCATTCCGCAGCTCGTCGCCTTCATTCTCATCTTCTTCGCCCACAACGTCACTCACATCCTGATCTCGCGCATCATGAGCGGACTCTCCATTGGCCTGTCCATTGTCATCATTCCGATCTTCGTGGCGGAAATTGCCGATAAGGAGTAATCAATTGGCGTGATTGGGATGATTTGGTGATAGCTTGATGGTCACGAGGACATTTTTTTCTCTCCCTGTTTCAGCCTGAGGACAACTTTGGGAAACTTCATGGGTGTGTCCATCAGCTTTGGCAGTCTTCTGGGCAAATTCCTGCCCAATCTGGGCGGATTCTATCTCACGCCCATCGTCGTTTGCGCCATGGTGGCGATCTTCACGCCAATCATCGCCATTCTGCCGGACTCTCCGCAATATCTGCTGCTGCGGAATCGTCCTGCGGAGGCTGAGAAGGCCCTCAAGTTCTACAGGGGCACCGTGAAGAGTGCACAAGGTGATGATGTGCAGCAGGAGTTTCAGGAGCTGCAGAAGTCACCCAGTTTGAGTGGACAGAAGATGTCAATCAGTCTCAGAGATTTCTGTGGCGGCGCCACAATTCTCACCATTCTCACCAGCTTCTGGCTCAGCAATCATCCCACATTCACCGGCAATCGCACTCTCGTCTCCTTCACGGACAAACTCTTCAGGATGTCTGGCACAACACTGGACATCGCAATGATGGACATCGCCATCGCCGTGCTGCAATTCGTCGCCTCTGTCGTCTCCACCTTCATCATCAATCGCTTCGGCAGTCGTCTGGTGCTCATCTACTCCTTCGTGATCAGCTTCATTGCCCAGATCACCGTCGGCACTTACTTCACACTCACGGAGCACGGCTGGGACTTGAGCCACCTCTCGTGGCTCCTCTTTGTCGCCCTCGCGCTGGCCATCGCCATTCCCGGCAGCGCCATCAACAGTCTCGCCTTCGGCATGGCGGCAGAGATTGTCTCGCCGAAGCTCCGTGGATTCCTGCTCAGCATCTACATCGTTCTCACCTTCATTCTGGGCTTCGTCTCTGCGAACTACTTCATTGCTCTCGGGAATTTCTGGGGAATCTCAGGATGGATGTGGATTTTCGGCGGTTGGTCACTAATCAGCATCTTCTTGTGCTTCTTCCTTCCAGACATACGAAATACCAAAACATTCGACGATGTTCTTGAGCTCTTCAACAAGAAATTACCACTGAAGTGGCGCGAAAACACCAATTTGATTCACGGTTTATCTGTTGTGTCCGCAAATAGAACGAATTATGGTTCTTAGAGTTTGGTTTTAAGGGTAATTTATTAATTAAAATATACAATTTGGCCACACAAGTTGATGGAAAGGGGGAAATTAATGTGTTCAAGATGGTTTTTGGACGACACGGAGAAAGAGACAGAAATTGTTAGAGACACAATTATATTTATTTCATTATTTAAATTAAATGTTTAGCCTAAGAATGTTTCATTGATGTTTCACTTAGCGGAGATTCACACTATTTTATGGATAACTTTTCAGCGCGCGTTAATCAGCAATGGAGTTCCGAAGCAGGAAGTTTATGGTGAAAACACAGCATTTGTAATTTGTAATTTGTCCGCGATCATCTCTTTCTTCCCCTCGCGTTTCGTGTATTTTCTTTCCTACTCTGTCAGCGTCCGACTCTGACATGTCGAGACAGCCACTGTGCGAGTAGGAAGGAAAATACACGAAACGCGTGGGGAAGAAAGAGATGATCGTGGACAAATTACAAATTACAAATGCTGTGTTTTCACCATTAGGATCGCTCAGCATTTAGCAATTGAAAATGTTGATTTTGTATTTTATTGTGGTCTGAATCTTTGTCGCATAATAGTTTTTAATCAAGGCAGAAAACCTTCTTCAAATGGTGAGAAAGAAGTAAAAATCGCGACTCACAATCTCAAGACGCACAATCGAAGATAGTAAGCGAGATTCAAATTCTAACAAGCAACGTATTTTAGCATCTATTAAGAAGAGAATCCTTTTTCCCCACCCTTGCCGAGTGTTTTCCACTTTCAATGCTGTCAATTGTCGACGCTTTAGCTTTAAGTTCCTTCACAACATCCAGAAGAAAGGACATAATTTGATCTCTTTTGTTCTGCAAAAGCAAGAAGTCTTCGTGTATTTGAAAGGGAGAAAAATCAGACTTATTGGAGATTATCGATCTGTTTCCTTAAGGATATTCCAAGAGGATTTCTTAAATAAACTCGATAAGTAGATTATCTTCCCTTAACAAAATGTGATAAGCATCCGGAGTCAGAGAAATGAACTGATAATCGAAGAATTGGGCTTTCTATATAGATTATAATCCTAATCGTAGGTTGTTATCATGGAAGCTTTCATATCAACGTCATGTGTGTGATAAATACTTGAAGACAGAATAAAACTCATTTCTTGCTCACCTTTTTATTATTCAATTGAATATTTGATAAATATACCAAGACTTAATTGTGCTAAGGAGGCCATATGGGCAAAAATGCCTGTGGCCGTAAAGCTCTGAAAGGCAAAAAAAATTGTGCTAAGAATAGAATCCTCCGGCAGCTGTTGACACAGTTAGATCGTTTATCAGTTTAAGATAAACCTTCTTCAAATCGCCATACGAGTTTTCTTCGACATTCTTCATCATGCGATTGTAAACTTCCTTAAAATATGCCGCATAGATTTCGGGCACTTTTACATCCAAATACAGCTGCTTGATGATGGCTTCATCTTCGGGCGTGTCTCGTCCGTAGTGAGCCAGCATGATTTCCTTCTGAGCCGGCGTTGCGTGCTCCAGACAAGCGATCGCCATCCAGCGACACTTTCCCTCCTGAATGTCCCTTCCGACCTTCCCGGTGATCTTCGGGTCGCCGAAGCAGTCCAAGAAGTCGTTCTCAATCAGGACAATGTATCCCAATTCAGTGAGAATCGAGCGAGCCTTGCCCAGCTCTGAATCCTTGTAGCCAGCCAATGTCATTCCCATGGCGACTGGAAAGAAGCCGATAATGTTGGAGCTGATTCTGGCCGCGATGGCCTCATAATTCTTTATCGTCATTTTCTTGAAATTGTGCGCACTGGAAATTTCAAGATGTTGGCCCATATACGTGATGAACATTGTTTCGTTTACGATATCCAAAAGACGCGGGAAGCATTCAAGATGGCCGAAATGTTTTCTGAGTAGATAAAATGCTGCGGTTTGAAGCAAGCAAGAATCGTTCACGGCACTCATTTTCACATCTTCCAAGCGATACCAACATGTTTTATTCCTTCTTGTGTGACCGCCATCTAATATATCGTCACACATGTTGATGCCGTCGAAAAGCTGCAAATATTATTCTTGAAAAACATTGGAAAACTTCAAGAGCAAAGTTAGAGTCTTACAACTTCCACTGCCCATCCAAGGTAGTAAGCTTGCTTCAGTTTCTCCGGTGTTAAATTGGGCGTCAGCATTTTGCATGTCTCAGTGACCATAATGCCGCCATATTTCTTTCCACCTTCACTCACGTAGTCTAGAACCTATTTGAAAAAAGTCCTTTTTGCACATCATCCCAATTTCCATGCAAGATTTTCTCTTTTTCATACCCTTCGCAAGTGTTTTCCACTGCCAGTGCCGTCAATTGTCGCCGCTTTTGCCTCAAGTTCATCAGCAATTTCAGGATAATAAGCCAAGAAGTCATTCAATGTCTTCTGCGACAGCAACATATCGTCGGGTATTTCAACGCGAGACAAGTTAGGTTTACTGAAAGCACGAAACTTTTTAGTCAACACACTTTCGAAGTCAATGGAATTCCTTCCAATTTCAACATACTCGACAAGAGGTTTATCCTTAATACTCGGTAGCAAGGAATATTTGTTGATTTTATCCAAATGTTCCACACTCTTAACCGTAATTGTTGCAGAAAAACACCTTTTCTTCGGAATACTTGCATAAACTTGCAGCAAATTCCTCGCAAGCACTTTCTGAGTAGCTAAGAAAACTCTATTCAAAATCATGTTAAACACTTTAAAGATTCTTTGCTTGATTTTATCGAGTTACTTTGCCCAAAGTCACAGACTGAACTGATAATTAAAGAAAGATCACTTTGTGTTTATATATCTATTTGGCTACACCGTAAAATCAACATTTTTATTGCAAATTTATAGTCTTATCATCTGCGTTATAATAGGCTATAATTCAATATCTCGATGACTTGAAAGCTCTTGCATCGAAATATCGACGGATAATGTGTTATCAGAAAAAGAAAATTTTGCTAACGAATCTGGCAATCAAACTTTTCAATGGTTCTTCGAACAGTTTACAACTGTATAAAAGTGTTCAAATCACAAGACTTAATTAGTTAGTAATTTTAATTGCCTTTAAATGACATTTAAGAGACATTCTTGCAGTTTGAGTTGATCAATGATGAAATTTTAGCAAGATTTTTGTGAAAAATTCCATGTCTTTTAAACTATTCATTCCATACCTGATAATTACTTTTAAAGCTGTATTTTTCGTGTAATTTAAAATCTGTGAGTTTGTGTCATGAGAAAGATAATTTGTAGTCTATGTCCACATTAACTCCCAAATTATAATGAATCTGTTAAGTTTCCATTCAATCTTTCTATAAGAATCATCTTTAAACAGCAATTTTTGGACATCTTTTTCGACCATAACCTCAAAATATCCACTAAGAGATCTTCAAAAACTCAGTTTGGAAGCTTTCCAGGTTGCAAAATCATCTCTTCTTGCTTGCTAATGAGCTCAAAACAGCTGATTCTGCGTCAAGATTGCTAAGAGAGTCTTCTAAATGAACATTTTCGACGTCCAAATGGCTATTTTTGAGGTTATGTTATACTTCAACATGATTCAAAGTTTTTCTTAGCATCAACTATGTAGAATATTGTGCATATTCTCTTTAATTTCAACAATATAAGCAGAATAGATGTGCTAGAATGCAAATTATTCACTAAATCTGTCCTTGATTCATTGACATAACCTAGAAATGGATTATTGTCAATTATTTCTACCCAAAAATTAAGAGAAATCCAAAGAATTGTGAGTATTTGGCTGTAAAAGAAACACTCAGAAATTGGAATATTATATGTTATTGAACACTTCCACTTCTGAAGTACTTCCCGCTCAGCTGTACACCACTTCTGACTGTATTATCTCCCCCTTGTTTTGCGTTTATTTGGGGCAATTTTCGCATTTTTTGCTCAGTAGAGAATGAAAATTCTCAGTATTTGTGTATGTCAAAGAATGTGTGTTTCTTACGTTTTAATTACCCCAATTGTCCTGATATGGAGAAAGAGAATTTCAAATATATTGTCCTTATAAATTCTTTCTTCTGCTTATCACTTTTCAGTCGTCGCGTCACTATAAAATATATGATTTTTTATAGTATCTTTTGTGCATAGATTGTGTGGCAAAATGTTGAATCAATTGATGTTGTGACGATGAGCAACTTTTAAGAGTAAAATTCGCTGTGTGTTTTTATTCGTACGAAAATTATATTTCATAATAAACGATATAAATATTTACTTTTTACACAAAGTCACAATATTATGTACAAATTGTCAAAATATTCCAAGTGAAGCCCAAAAAAACTATATCAATTTTTATTTTATGCATTAATTTCTCTCAAATGTTGTGCAATTTATATCAAGATTATTATTCTATTCTATTGCAGTGTGTGTCTTTTCTTTTTACTTCAATCATCAATATGTGTACTTAATAATTAATATCCATATAAATGTAACTTACGAAACTCTCAAGTAATCTCTAATTTACATATTTGTTACTTATAAAAAAAAGAAACTTACATTTTACAATGTGTTTTATGCATTTAAAAAATCCCTTAATCAGTCTATACAGCAATTTATCATTGATTTTTATGCCTAAAAATCCTACCAAAAGTTGACTAAATGTAACTCTTATTTTCTCTTATGTTTCTGATACCCTTTTTTATTTTTGGTTTAGAGACAAAAAGCATTTTCTCTCTCTCTCTCTCTTCCTTTTCTTTTGTCTCTTTGTAAAATGGAATTGTAAAATTTTTATTTGCCCCCCAAAAAACTGTTGGTTTCACGACAATATTATACATTTTATGTACTCTCTCTCTCTCTCTCTCTTCACAAATTAATCGTAGGCTAACATAGTTAATTCTCTCTTCAATGACAATATATTTCATTCCAAAGATTGCAACTGTTTTTCTTCTTTTTTTTTGTTTTTACAGGTAGTGTGAATTATCATGGCAATGATGTTCTTCAAGAGCCTGAAGGCCAACATCAATCCACTTCTTCATATTTAGGCAATATATAGGTACAGCTCGAGACACATTTTCACCGATTTTTCCACATTAAGAACATCAAAATTCAACAGGAAGACGATGGAAATGAAGTCTTTTTATCTGTAAAATTGTCTTTTATTGTTTCATTTATCCAGACACAGATGAAAAACGTGAAGAACTCGCTTTCTTCTCTTCTAGTCATTTGGTTATTGTGTTAAAGAATCATCTGTCTATGAAAAATGGTAAGATAAATTCGGGAAAAAGGGGAAATAATCGATCAATTTCCAGTCAAAAATAGACATGTTAAATTTAAAACATGTAAAAGTTAAACATTCGAAGTGAATAAAGAAAAACTGCCCTTTTTATTCTCGCTAAAACAGTGTTTTAACGGAGTTTTAGCTGATTCCACAATGTTTAAGAGGAAGAAAAATTGTGAAATTTGGCAAAATTACTAAAATTCCAGTTCATAATTAGTAAATCCGTGATAAAAAGAATTTAATGCAAACATAATTCATGTTTATACATAAAAAATTAGAGCTACAATTGCAGATTGATTCATTTTTGTAAGATATTTGCAGATTTAAATCTGTCACTCACCTTTTGAAATAGTTTAACACATTTTGGGCCAGAATAGCAAATAACACAAGTCCTAATTTTGTCATATTCTTTCTAGGTTATGTGACTGATTTCAGACTAAATAACATCTTCAAGTAGTAATTCTTGGGCCTAAATTGAAAGTATTATCACTTTATTATAAGAATTGCGTTTTTTACTTTTCTTTTCTTCACTTTTCTTCAATAGTCTTGGCATGAGAGGTAGAAGAGTTTTCAGTGTGAACTTTTCTCAAAAAATGTCCCAAAATGCCCCCATTTAGAATGGCATTAAAACATTGCGATCTCGAGTGCAGAGAAATCGGTCAAAAGTGCCTCAATGGGAGTGAAATGGCTCCAGTTTAACAGATAAATGTCACCCAAGTGAATCGGGCTGTGTGCATGGTCAATCTTTACCTCTCAAGAATCTCAATTTGCATGCTCAACATCATCTCACCTTGCACGCTTAGTCCTCCGGACTCACGCTGGCCAGCGTCTTCTTGATCCTGAGCGCCGTGAGGCGTGCGGCGGGATTCTGATACCAGCACTCCTTCATCACCTTGGCGATGCTGTGCTGCACGCCGTTGGCGTGCCAGCGCGCCGGCACGTGCGGCCGCTGGCGGTCCGTGCACACGACCTTGCGCATCTCCTCGATGGTGGGATCGGGCTGCACGAGATCGAAGTAGGGCAGCTGGTAGTCGTCGTGCACGCCGGCCACGCTGCAGCGCCGCGCGATCTCCCACAGGATCAGCCCGAAGGCGTACACGTCGGCGCGCTTGAAGGCGTCGAACTGCGTGGGATTGATGGTGTCCTCGAGCACCTCGGGCGCCATGTAGCGCTTCGTGCCCACACGATGCGTGGCCGGGATGTCCACGGTGTCGTTCTTCACGTCGTGGCGCACGGCCAGACCCAGATCGCCAATGGCGCAGCTCAGATTGGCCTTCACCAGCACATTCTTGGTCTTGAGGTCACGATGCGCGATCGCGGGCTTGCCGCGTGTGCCCACAATGTCCATGTGCAGATGCGCCAGGCCCGTGGCAATGGACAGCGCCATGGTGAGCATCGTGCGCGTGTCCACGGTGCGCAGCGCCAAGAAGTCAAACAGCGAGCCATTCTCATGGTAATCCGTCACCAGCCACAGCTGCGTCCACGTGCCGTTGTCCTTGTTGTCCGCAGCAATGAAGCCCAGGATGTTCTCGTGGCGCAGCATCACCGTCTGATAGATCTCCGCCTCGCGGAACCACGAGCACTCTTCGCGCGACGAGAAGATCTTCACGGCCACATTCTCACCGCGCCAGCGACCCTGATACACCTCACCGAAGCGCCCCTTGCCGATGATCTCCACCAGCTGGATCTGCCGCGCGATGGAGCGCTGCACCAGAAGCGGCAGCCCGGCCGATCCCGAGCCGGACGTCGTCAGCTCAATCATGTCCTGAATTGTGTGTCCGTGCAGGATGCGATCGCACTCTGAGTCGTCAATCACGAAGGATCGCATGTTGGCGCATCGCTTCCGCCGATAGATCAGACAATACGTGAGCAGAGCGATGCAGCAGAGGAGAAACGTCGCAGCCACGAGATACAGCACGATGTCCCAGTTCACCAGCTCCTGATCCTCGTACAGCTTGTTCCGCAGGATCTTCACTGTGATGTCATTGTTGCAGAAGTCCGTGTCGCAGCACTGAACGTTGTACTCGCGCAGTTTCTCCTTGGACGTCAAGCACTGAATCGGCAGACGATTGCGCAGCGTGCTGGACTCCGTGATGCATCGATAGGAGACAATTTCTCTGCTCCTCTTCAGCTCCACGGACGTGAAGCAGAGCGCCTCGGTTTCGCAGATGTAGTTGGTGTCGAAGCACAAATCACAGTGGCACTTGAGCTTAGGCCTCGGCGTGGAGAACTCAATGTCGCTGGCATTCTTGTACGCTTCGAGAACTCGTCGCCGGGACGACTTTGCCGGCTTCTCAGTCTCCTGGACAATCTCTGAGGAGTCCTCAGACACTTCCACATCGCTGACATAGTGATTCTCAGCTGATCTGAATGCTGAGGCGGCGTTTGCGGTCCGCAGAAGGCAAACAGTGGTCAAAATGACCTGAATTAGCATCACACTTGGTCTCATGCTAGGAATTAGAGAGTCTGTGTCACTGGGAAATTCACTGGAATGTCCTGTCCACTCAATCACCAAGTGATTCTCGGTATTTTGTCCATTTTTCTCACAACTTCCCAGAAGATTCACGCCACATTTCCACCGTCTGTAATGAAAAAAAGGAGAACTTTTATTAAGAGTCAATTCGTCAAGTTCAATGCTTTGTTTTCCGTGATTTCTCTTGCATTTGCAAAATTTGTGTGTGTGTCTCAAGTTTCTCCTGAAATTCATTGCTTTGCTATTTGACTGGCAAATGGAACAAGTTGAGAAGCCTTCGTGAATGCATAAGAAATGGGGATGATCTGAGGCAGATAAGATTAGGGCATTTCTTCTGGGGCTCATCGACAAATTGCTCAATTCTCGCGCTTTCTGATGGCAGGAAGTGGCGGAAATCATCCGCTTCTTCTCTGTCTTCATCCCAGCAATGTGTTTATGGAGTATTTCGTGAAAATATAGTGAAAAACTTGAGGGAAAACACAAAATTCTGCACTTGATGCAAACCAGCCAGTTAAACGTCAAATCATTATTACGACGATTTCTACCCAAAAATGATCAAAATCTCGTGATATTCTACTTGAACACCAACAGAGAATACTTACAGAAGACTAAAAACAGTCTCTTCTCTGTCAATTCACTGCACTTCCAGGGATTTTAGCCACTTTTTCTCACAGACTTTTTCAAGAAGATAACAAAAAGTCCACCATATTTGCAACACGAACACGAATTCCACACGATTTCCACAAAAGCCGAAAGTGCGAGACTTTCCCGATTCGCCCGAATGACAGCCGCGCGCGTGAAAAAGCAAAACAACAGTGCGGAATTTTGCGAAATTTCTGGATTTTCCAAGTGTACGTTTTGCCTGGACTGTTGGTGACGTTCGTGAGGATATTCAGGATGGGTGTGACAGTGTTGCAACCATACATGATGCCGGAGAACAAGACTGGAGCTCAAACAATCGAATCCCTGACAAAGCAGGTAAACATTGAATTGTGTTTTGGAAGAGTTTTTTCACACTCATCTTGCTGTTTTGGGCAATTTTCCAGCTCACCGCTCTGGGGGCAATTCAGGCTGGTCACTTCCTGGTGGATTGCGATACGTACATGAGTTCGCTGCAGCAAATGGGTCATCCGCCAAAGACAGTTCACGTTCTGCACTCGGTAAGTCTTCGGATGATTTCTTCAAAAGTGCTTTCTGATTGTCTTCACTCTGACAAATCCTCCTCCAGTCTGAACACCCTGCCTCCGTCTTCTCCATCCTGGACACGGGCAGCAAGCAGATTCCGCTGGTGGCTGATGGTCTCTTCGATCTGCTCATGCTGAAGATGACGCCGCACTACACTTCCAAGAAGCAAACCAAGACGGAGTCCAAGGGGCCTCGATTCGAGCTGGGAGACTTCCTGGTGAAGCTGGGCAGCGTCACCATGAGTCAGTCCTTCAAGGGGATCCTCGTGGAGGTGGAATATCGACCGTGCGTCCTGCCGGCGAGTTGCTGGGAACTCACGAGAGAATTCCTGCAGGGCTTCCTCGGCTCGTGCGTGCCCAACACAATTCCCTCCTACTTCACGAACCACAACAGACTGAATGAGATCTACCAGCCGCTGGACACCATCCAGCAGTATCTCGAGCACTTCACCAACTATCGCAAGCAAACGGCGCCCGGCGTTGGCATGCGACAATGATTTTGGGAGTAAAAGCGAGTGTTGCTCAAGAGAAGAATGGATGAAGCACACTTCAGCTAGAATATCAAGGAATGGAAGAATGAACGGGAATGATAGAAATGGATAAAAAAAAAAACCCCCAAGAAATACGTGAAAAATGTAAATATTTCCTTTTCCAATCGGAATAACAGATTTTCTACTAAACTCGTTTGGGAAACTACTAAAATCGCATTTTCGCGCCAGTTTCCTTCCATTTTCACACTCTCTATGACTTCCTAATAACTTTCCAAGCTTTTATAGCATTTACAACAACATTTAGAATAGTTTCAAGCCCCAAAATAAACATTAAAGCGTTACAAAGATTTTAGGAGTAAAAAGTTAGTGAAAGAAAGGCAATTCCGAGCATCAAATTGAGTTATTAGAGATAATTCTAGGAAAAATTGAGGGAAAAATGCTGATATGAAGCGATAAAGGGAAGGAAAATATACAAAAAATGAAAGAGAAGTGAAAACAGTGTGAAAAAATCACAACTGAAGGAGAATCGAACCCGCGACTTCACGATCTTGTGCTAAATTCTCTTCTATAGAAGATTTGCGCTGGAATTTCTACATATCTTTCTAACTAGACGATTTCGAAAACACAATTTCGAATTAGTTTTGGAGGGAAAGAATATTTCGAAGAATGAATCGGAATGGATTGTGGAATATTTATGGAAATTTGAGGAATGGAAATCACTTTTCTTCCACTTGAGGAACCTTTGAGTAAAAGACAAACGTTTATTTGTGAGTTTTTGTAATCTCAATTTGTACAGTTAAGATTCTATCCTAGACTCTCGGCATATATGTTCTCCTTACAATCCTAAAAATGTCCTAACAATCTACCTTTATCCTATCACAGATACATAATTTACAGCTATTAATTATGCATTTCACGTCATATTTTTTTGAGCACACACGCATTTTTTGTCGCCTATTCAAAACGATAGAAGAGAAATTTTTTTCACTAAAAAAAGACGTTAACAAATTGATCCATAATGTAAGCATCATCAAAAATAGAGAATATCAAAAAGACGTAAGAAAAAACTGCTCAATCCACGCGCTATAAATAATCCGGCCAGGCAATTCAGCCCTCCTTCTGGACTCGATGGTGTCAGTCAATGTGGATCACACTGTGATGTGGATCTGTGGAGACTAAAAGTCGTCGAAAAGCTTCCTTTCCGCACTCGATGGAAGACGCGTCTTTTTGGCATCGGCCTCGGGATACTCGTCAAAATTGCTTGTGTCGCCATCGAATCGCACTTGTGGCACAATTGGAGGCTGAAAAAGAAGTAAAACAAGCACATTTCAATGTAAATAAACATCCAGCGAGACTCAATCGATTGATGTATTGAGCAATAGAGGGATATTTAGAGTTGAGATCTCAATGCTAAGTTGGATCGCAAAAGGGTCTTCTTTAGAGCGATTATAGACTTGCCGCTTATCCTCGAATTGGCGCGAACTCGGATCAATCCTCCGAGGATGAGCTTTGAGTGTGTAAGGATCAGATCAGCGATAAGTCGTGGTTGATCTGAACCTTTACACACTCAATATATGGATCAGCCATAATTCGTGGCTGAACTGACGCTAAACACAATCAGTTATTCTTCTTTGTCGACACTAGCGACACTGTGCGGTGTGTTCAGCTGTCAGTTGATTTGCATACTTCAAAAGCGTGAAATTTTACGTTAAAATTGCGAAAATTGATAGTTCGCAGAAGAATTTAATGATTTTAATAATCCAGGAAATCATTCGCAAGAGATTCGCCATTTTGCGCCTTTCCTGAGTCGTGCAATGTTTCGGCGCATTTTCGCATGAGCGTGCTGCCGTCGGTAACCCCCAAATAATCGGCTGAACCTTCGTTACATCGAGGAATTAATCGCGTTTTGTGGCTGAGCGAGCAGTCGCGCACTCGCTGAACCTCCCGTGGATAATCGCCTAGTCTGTAATCGCTCTTAGGTAGATTATTCAGAGCATCACCTTCAATTTCCTGTTGTACACGTCCGTCCAGTCGAGATGCTTGAACCACCGATGCCTCTTCACGTCGTCCGAGCCATTCTTCATGTTGCCCATCCTCTTGGTGCGATCCAACACCAGCAGCTTCTTCACGAGATCCTTCGCCACGGCGTCCATCTGGCGTGGCCACTCCACCTTCCCGCTGAGGATCTTCTCGTAGATGCCAAGCGGATTGTCGTCATAGAACGGCGGATAGCCCACGAGCATCTCGTAAATGAGAACACCTGTTTCGCAAGAATTGAAGCACACATTTAGCATTGAAAGAGAGAGAGAAGGAGAACTATTTTCGCTCGTGATCCTCCAACACACATTTTTCCATGAAAAACGCGCCTAAGACGAGGGATTGATTGTGAAAATCCACGGGATTTTGGCGTTAAGGCAAGAAAATCGCCAGAGTATTTTCAATTGGGTCACAAAAAAGTATACTTTGAGTGTGAGGATTTTATTTGAGTTTAAATTTAGCCACCAATATATTGTGCAATTTCCCAAGCTATATAAATTCAAATCAATTCCAGAGTGTTTGTTTGATCGTTTGCAGATTATGGTGAAAAAAAAAAATGTGTAGCAGAAATAGAAACTATTTTGCAAGATCATGAAATTTTGACTTGCAGTTTAATGATTCTCTCAATTCACTATAAATATTGACTTATTTCATCATGTGCATGAGGAATTGTTTCGACCATTTGGACATTTCCTATGAACACACGAGAGAAACTGATTGTATAAATAACGAAATGCGCCTCACGAGCCAAAAATCACGTTCATTCTCTGCAAATTGTGGTTGGTTTTCAATAAATTTAACGACACATTTTCCATCATTTGAAGCATTTGTCAAGGGGGAGATAATATTTGCCTTAAATCTGTACTGAAGTTCTTTGACTGTTTTCACATAGATTCCCAAGATATTATGAATTTCTTAAGTTTCTATCCGATAATTCTGTAAGAATCGACTTAAAAACGCATTTTTGGACATCTTTTTCGATCATAACCTCAAAATATCCACTAAGAGATCTTCAAAAACTCCGTTTCAAAGCTTTCCAGATCGCAAAATCATCTCTTCTGGCTTGCTAATAAACTCAAAACTGCCGATTAAGAGTCAAAATTGTCCAAAAAGCTTTCTAAATGTACATTTTCCAAGTCAACATGACTACTTTGAGGTTATGTTCGAGTTCAATACAATTTGCACTGTTTCTTGGCATCAAATTGTCTAATTCCGCGAATAGAATACGAATTATTAACTAAATTTGTCTCAGATTCGCTACATAACCTCAAAAAAAAATTTTGTTATCGTTTCTTCGTGATAATCGAAGGAAATCCAACGAAATGAGATAATTTGTCAGTAAAATAAGCACTCAGGAAAGGAAGATTTTGGAAGCTTTTGATCACTTCCACTTCTGAAGTACTTCTGCTGCACTGTACACCACTTCTGACTGTATTATCTCCCCCTTGGCAATTGTTGCGAGAGTGGGAAAAAATGATTTTCAAGGAACAACACTCAGTCCGTGCAGAAATCGCATAAATCTCGTGTATGCCACAAAAATGTAAATTAAAGATTTACTGCCAAACGGCGGTAAACACTATAGAAAGTCTCTTTCTGCGTGTACAACATCAACATTGGCGAAAACATACAGTGTGAGGGAAGCTATTTTCGCGAACTTGGCACAAACAAACAAAGGGGCACAAATTTATATGCCATCATTAACGTGATTTTTCTGCAGTGTCATTGTCTCTGCTGTGTGTGCTGAAAAAGATTTGGGGTGCAAATATTTGTGATATTATTTTGACATTCTCACTTGTGGTTTTCTCACCACAAATCTTTCCATTCAGCATTTGTGGCATTTTCCTTCTGTTTCACAGCTAAATTGGAGCATTTTATTTTTGTATTTTGGGATTTTGTGTCACACTTTAATCTTCCATAATATTTTTCGTGTGAAAATTCCGGATTAGTGGAAATTCTAAAAAAGTCTGTATGTCAATGTCACAAAGTATTTAAGTGGTTAAAATGCAGCATTTTGATCATCTTTGGCGCATTTTACAAAAGAAACATATTCTAAACTTGGCAAAATTGACAAATAGAAAGAAATGATAGAAATTAATGAAGATCAATTTGAATTTCCATGTAATAGACATAGAAATCAATAAATTCTTTAAGTCACATTTGCGACAATCTTAAAGAATGTTTCTGTATTTCTCAATAGAACATAATGTGACGAAATGTCTGAATAATTATTACTTCAGACTGGCAAATTAATGATGCCTCTTTGGCAAGTGGAAGCAAAGAAGATCTTTGCCGACAATCTTAATTGCTTCTCTTAATGTTTAACGTCTCAGACATTATAAAGTCCACCAGTTGTTGTTTGAGCATCAAAACAACTGTTCTTTTTGAGTGCGACTTACCCAAAGCCCACCAATCGACGGCTTTGTTGTGTCCTTTCGACTGCAGGATCTCTGGCGCGAGGTATTCTGGGGTGCCACAGAGTGTCCAGGTGCGATCCTTCAGCTTCTTCGCGAAGCCAAAGTCCGTGATCTTGAGGTGTCCGTCGCGATCCAGCAGCAGATTCTCTGGCTTCAAGTCGCGATACACGATGGACAGCGAGTGAAGATATTCGAGCGCCATCACGATCTCGCAGGCATAGAAGTTGGCTGGAATGAGAAGAAGAGGAATTGCGTGGGTGGCGATGAGTGACGGATAGTCTATTTGTAAAGTCATAAGGAGAGATAGAGATAAAGGTGAGCCGGAGATATGACGAGTTTGTCTGCCAGACGCAGAGGAAAGTTTATGGATTTGAGGCACTTTTTCTTCCCAATTGCAAATTGTCTGCCAAAAACATGCTTGAAAATATATCTATACGAATATGAAGTCTTCGCCAATTAATCTGCCTTTGCCAAACATTCCAATAAGACATGTTTATTGATCTCTTTTCCCTTCAAGAGAGCAACCAAGGAGGAGATATTTGCTGAAACATGTTTAAATGATAAGAATTCAAATGTTACTTAAGTTGGACGATTGATTACTGCTTCGGTTCTATTGTAGTATCATAAAGGGATTAAGAATTGGCCGAATGTCTTCAAACTTGGTATGGTACTTACTTATTAAGTAGGGAAGATTGGTGGAAAAATTCAGACCTCTAGCTTTACGTGGAAATTCGTGGCATATCGATATGTCTCAGAGCTTCTATTTAATTTTCAGAATCTATCATATGCTTAACAACACAGAAAAGTGAATAAAATATATCTTCCCCTTTGAGAAAGACATCCCCTCGTGAGTCGAACAGTGCCTTCGGCCTCTTGAATGTGAGCGATGAACCAAAAAAGAAATTTCGAAAGCTATAAAATATGATTTCCGGACTTCCGACTTTCTATTTTTGGCCTGAGAAAAATTCCCAGCCTTTCTCCCACGAACGCAAGGACGAGTCGCGGGATTGTGAAAGGAGATGATTTTTGGGCAAATATAGCGCTCTTACCTCATCTCAGAAAGTCACTTTTGGGCGGGTGGGCGGACTTGGGTGGCATTTTGGAATATTTCTCTCTCTGCGCTATGCTTAAGAGATGTCTTTATATTTTCCTATGTATGTATTTTTAGCTCTTTCCAACGCAAAATTTCTGATCTACTTTTCACAAAATATAATTTATAATATTTATTATGAATGAAAACTTTCACATTTTATATCGTGTGGTGGCTTTTTTTCTGCCATGAAAGAGAGTCCTTGGAGAAATCTTTTACTTTCTTCACTCACTTTCCTTCATAACAAACCTATTTACCCCAATTTGCCATCCCTTTTTCTCCACCACTTTTCGCCACGGCATGGGAAATTTTTCACTGAAATTTCCATGTGACATTGAAGTAGAAGAAGCGGAAATTGAAAGATATTCAGGCAGACAAATTGCTGTCTTCTTATTCCTTCTCCTTTTGAGGCGCACTTTCTCATCACGCGCCGTGAATATTGATTGAGAAATTCTGCGTCCCATTTTTTTTCATCTTCTTCCCTTCTTCAAAACATTCACAAAACTCACTTTGATTGAGGAAATTAATTTAGAGAACGCACATTTCAATGAATAAATGATTTTCTTTGAGACAGAAAACATTTATGGAATTGCGCGTGTTGACAGAGGAAAGAAAAAGGAGAAAAAAAAATAATATTCACCTGTCGAATTGTTGAATTTGCCAGCATTCCTCAGGTATGTGAACAATTCTCCTCCGCAAACATACTCGAACAGCATATAGAGACTGGTGTTGTCTTTGGTGTACCACTTTCTGCCCAGATGAGAGAGAGCATAAAAAGGAGGAGGAGAGGAAAATTAATATCTCTCGTCCGTTTAATCCTCCGGCGAGTCTGTGAAAATATCGTTAGTGCTTACAGATTTACAACAAATGGATGATGGATCTCTGCCAGAATGTTCTTCTCGTTCTTAACGTGTTCCACTTGCTTCAGCCGGATGACATCACACATGGCCAGAATCTTCATGGCACAGTAGGAATTGTCTGTCTTGTCTCGACACAGACAGACGCGCCCGAATGTGCCCGTGCCTGGAAGAGAGCAAGTCGCAAATAATAATTGAATTAATATGAGACCAGCAATGAGACCAATGTCTTGGGACACCCTCCTTGACCTATTACACTCCGTGGCGGGCGCAAGTGGGTGACAAATAGGAGCGAATGGCTCTGATGACGCTTTAATGGCGGAAAGTATGTTAATTGAGTGGATGTGAATCATAATTCTTCCCATTTTTCATGCTGCAAAACATCTTTTTGCACAGAATTTCACGATATTTCTCCCTCACTCTCTATAATCAGGGAATATCAAAGAAGAAGTTACTATTAAAGACAGTTTGGCGTCGTCTCTTATATCATATTTTTTTTCATCTCTCCGAAGCGTATTTTTTCCTACTATTTTTAACCATCTCCATCTTAATTGACTATTATAATACGCTTCTCTCCACAACTCAGTTGGACATTAGCAGAAAGCAAGAGAAATACACACTCACACACTCCTTGGCTAAAAATACATATTTTTTCTCAATAAAATCATCTTTTTTTTTCTTTTCATCTAATATACACGATTATTATGTGGAGTTTTTGTGTCAAAAGAAGACACACATTTCACTCTGCAGTGTGTGGTTGAATTTATTCGAAGGAGCGCGAAACTTTGACACTCACAGAGATTATCTGTCAGTCGGACATCTTGAGTTACAGAAACAGAGAGTTTAGTCAACTTGGGTGGAAAATCACACACAATATTCCAAGAATAAAACTATTATTAGTTGGTGAAGATTGTGAAAAATGTATTTTGTCACTGTCAAAGTGGTGAATTTGTGTTGAAGACAAATTGCTTGCAAGTGAAGTGTATGTGAGCAAAAGCTCCGCCCACACGAAAGCTCCGCCCTTTTCGAGAACATTCAACAGCGGAAACATAATGAAATTCATGTGACAGTCAAGTTGATTAGAGTTGATATCATTGCTTTATAATTAACTCTCCCAGAAATTGTGTAGCAAAAGCCACTATTTGAAAGTCAGCTTATCGACTGATAAGAATTTGAAAGAAGATAGCGATTGGCTTTAGTGCCATGTAAGGACTTTCGAAGAAAAGTCAAATAGAGGGTAATTTCGCAAAAATCTCAAGACTCTATATATTTATAGACTACACATAACTTGAGTCGTCATCAAATGTGGCATGTATTTATTCCACGGTCAATCGATGTAGGTGGAGGATGTCAAAATCATTCTAATGGAGGCATCAATTCTCCCAATAGACATATTTTCGCAACAGAGATACTAAATAAGATGCGTGATTCAGCGCCGACTCGTGGTGGACTTGAGCTCAAAGGATTAAGTTGAAAAACATCACGAGAGTGGAAATTTTGTTTCTTTTTTTCCTTAATCCCTGCTGGAAAATAACTAAAACATTGTCAGATGGACCTTTTTTTTTTTGGTGGTGTGAAAGAAATAAAAGTCTCACATGATAAGAAAGAGAAACTTTTCCACCATTTTTGCATGATTTGCCAAGACATTATTATCTCCTCTGACCGGGATTAAAATGGTCTTTTATGAGTAAAATTATCACTCAGGCCGATAATTAATTCATGTAACTTCCGCCTTGCCAAATTCCAAGTTCATTCTATTTCTCCATTTCACCATTTTGCGTGCTCAAAACGCCACAACGCATCATCCTTGCACTATCAAAACGGGTCATACGTGGTGGCGTCTGCTTTCATTATCTCTCTCTCTGATGTTGAAGACTTTCCCAGAAAGCGAAAAGAAGAAGAAAAAAAAATCGAGAGCGCTCAAGTTGAAGGAAATCTCAAGTAAATCAACAGCAGCACAACAAATACGTCATGAGAAGTTTGTGATGCAGAGGCAAGTTTTCCATTAGTCGTGAGCGATTCTTATTACGCAGAAATTTGCATATTTCATATATATATTCTTTCCTAAACAAGTTGCAGAAATTGCGAGAATAGAGATTAATTGACATGAGTGGCGCATATTTCTCTCTGTGATATTCCATGACAATTGAGATTTTTCTTCTATTTGTGGTCTTGCAAATTATTACTCATAGGGAAATGCTCAAGGCTAAAAGAAGGAGGAAATCTCATGCAAGTAATTAATAAGACAGGGAATTTCCGTATTAAATAAACACTAGGAAAAAAATCACATTTTTGTCTAATCATGAAATGTGGTTTTTAGATTCCTTCCAACCTCTCTTTTGTGGAACCTATATCTCACCCAATTTTCCACAGATTTCTCCCAAATTGGGATCAAATGATAGATATTGAAATTATCTACTACTTTGTAAAACATTGTGGAAACTTTAGGTCACTCTTTGTTGGTCAAAAGCGATCTTTTGTGCGCCATTCGGTAAAAAATTCATCGGTTTTTTGATCACATTTTACTAAATATCTCCAGATTATTTTTTTCTATATAATTCAGCAATAGTTTCAGCACTTTTGGGGTTGCATTTACCCCCTTACATGCCAGAGTGATATTTCTTCTCTATCTGGCTGAAAAACAGGGGTTTTCCTCGATTGATTGATTGTTTTTAAGAAATTTTGGAGTAAAGAATATTTGCCTAAATTCTGAGAAAATCCTCTCAATTTCAATTGTAACAACATTGAACTGAAATTGAGGTGCAAGAAATCTATTTGTTTGCATCATTCTATTAAACTTCTTAATGATGTAAACAGTGTGTAGAGAGAGAGAAAGAGAATGTATTGATTTGAGTGTTAAGAAGCCAGAAAAATATAAAACTAACTGATACAGTAGTAAATTAATTACAATGATTTTCTTCTGAATTGAGATCTGGGTTATTTAGATAGGCCTGATCGTTGTGCTGAAGAAAATGGGGTCAATCAGAAGTTCAGAACCGCAAATGCACTAAATCCAATTAGATCAATCTAGCGAGAGTAATTCAAGAATGAATGTTTGGACTATTAACGTGTCTCAGAGGAGCTGAAGAAAAAGCGGTCACTTTTGGTGGGTGAAGTTCAACAAGGGAAAAGAAATTTTCCCAAGACAGAGCGCGTCTTGATTGGCAGATGGTTTCTTTGAGGCACTAAAACTTTGGGATAATGACTCGTGAAAGCTGTGTGAGGTTTTTGTTATTCGACAATAAATCGCCAAAGGCCATTATCACCTCCTACAGAGACGATTTTTTCCCCCGATGAATGACGCCCGTTACGCGTGTGTTCCTTTGTCGGCGTCGAAGCCCAACTTGTCAATAAGCATTTCCCACCTCATCACAAAATATGCCCCCATCAAATTAATGGCAGAAGCAAGTTCAAATGCTTTGCATTCCAACTCCCCCAAGAAACACCCACTTGGAAACATGCTCTCCTTATGCTCTCTGCAGGTTTTCCCCATCAACAAAAAAAAGTGTTAAATGCCTGAATTTGCTGTGTAAATATTGTTTAAAAATATATTGGCAAATATTTAACAACCGATGTGTATTTGCAGTGAAATTTAAGCGCATATTTGCACTGTTTGTTACTCAGAAACAATATTCTCGACAACATGTTTATTGGCATTGTCTGTCCGAAAAGTGTGGCTCAACTCCAAACCAAGTCGTTGTCTCTTCGTGGTGAAAAACAATCGCTCTGTCCAGCGATAAGGGAAATCCGTGCATTATCAGCACCACACACGGCTTTGTTGGCCGATCTAAATCCCATACAATTTTGCGATGGCGGCTTCTTCAGGCGAGTAAAGTTGAGATAAGATGTTATTTTAAATGTGTTTTTTACCCCTTTTGAAGAGGCCTTTGATCGACATAGGAATCCCCTCAAATGAGATACTCAATCTTAGGAGAGTCAGTACAATCCAAAGGAGATATATTATGGTCAGAAGTGGTGTACAGTTCAGTAGAAGTATTTGTTGTTTGAGAAAAAGTATTATTCTTTGCATATTTATAGGTTATGTTAGTGATTTAAGACAAACTTTGCCACGAAATAACCTTCAATATCATTCATTCTTGCAACTAAGCTGGTATAATGTGCAATTTACAGGAACAATAAGCATGAAGGTTGAAAAAATTTTATAAAGTTCCGAAAAAGGAGAAGAAAGTAGAGAAAAACACAGGTTTTAAGCACTGTCGGAGTTCTAGAAGTGTCTGTAATTCCCTTACAGAAGTGATGTACATTGTTTCGCCATATTATCTTCCCCTTGGCACAACCACTTTATGTAACGTCCTTAATTTATCTTGCAGAAAATATCTCATATTTTCTGCACTTCAGAACAAGCTTTAGGAAGATCATCGACTCTTGTCATCTCAAGTATGAATGTTTGAAGATAATAAAATTAATGTTGATTATTTTTTAGCGCTTGAAGATCAGAAAGTGCTTAATTGACTCTCCTCGTGGAGTATTTTGTCGGTCGTGTGATTCAACTCGACGAATTGTCATGAAGATTTGCAAGTAAATAAACACGAGAGCACGAGAGAGATTATTCGAGTAAATATGTAGAAATGGGTCAAGATTTGCGATTAATGAAATGCCAGGCCAATGAATGCGCGAAGAATCGCACCCTTTTTGCGTATCATCGTCGTCAGTGTGTGCGCGATAAGGAGGAGTCCGTGGGTCGGAGGCAATGTGCTGTGAGGACTGCCCGCTAAGCAAAAACGAGCCCGCGGTCAGCGTGAGCCGGCTGTACATCTGCTGATGAAATTGGGCGGCGTGACGCACGCTACTATCACTCCAAATGCATTTTTTGCCGTGTGTGTCCATCGCGAGAAACTAAAACAACGTGATGGATTTATTTATATCGCCCATCATGCGTAATCAACTTCATTCAGAGCAAACATTGCGGCTTCGCGGCTCGCGTGGAGGCTTGTCTGTTACCGATTGAATTACACACAATATCAATTGATTCAATTTTTCCGATGGATTCGCTCTTGAGGAGGCGAAAATATGACGATAATTCCTGGCATGTGCTGAGAAAGAGTCAACATGGGAAAATCATGTTTTTTTCTTCACTTATTGACCCCCTTTTTTCCTGCTTCCAGCATCGCGATCAAGTATGAAAAGTCACACTTTAGGCACGATAAACAACGGGCTTTTAAATTAAGGCAACAGTGGGTTTTATCCTCATGACTTATTTTTAGCCGTTGTGGGTTTTTTCACTCTCTCTCTCTCTCGATAATGTCATCCTTAGCAACATGAGTTGATGATGATGAAAGGTCAAAAGTCGCATATTATTTACAAATCAATTTCCATTGGAGTGCCCATTTGGCTTTATGGTTGTTTCCTCAATGAAGTGAGGAGTAATGAGCAATTTCGGGGGCTTTTGCGAAGCCACGAGCAGAAAAATTAATTAAGGTAATAGAAAGAGCGTCAGATTTTGTGGTAATTTGAAGAAAAAAAATTACTAACTCAATTTTTATGGAGTGTCATCAGAAAAGCATCGTAGAAATAATGAGAAAGTCAGAGTAGAAAATAAATCAAACAGCTCTGAACAATATTTTAGAAGTTATGAACAATCTTAGTGTAATTAATACAGTTTAATATTTTCTCATAAACGCTCAGAATCATATTTCTGCCAAGGAATATGAATTATTCCAATTTGAGTACATTAATTAGTGTTTCTCAATGTTATTTAGTCACAAAATTTTAGAATAAAAGTAGAATGCAATTGTATTGATGACTTGACGATAGAATTTGATAACTAAATGAGATTTTCCATTAGGATTCAGAAGAAATAAGACACTTAGAGATGGAAAATGTGTGATTTTTCCACAGAATTGAGAGATTTCGCTCAAAGTCAATCATCACGTGCCAAAATCCAATCCATTGTCACGAACATTGAAGGCGCATTCAATTTCAAACGAGCAATTTTGTTTATTTTTACAACATCTCACATGGTTTTGTGCGTATGTTTTGTGGCTTTCTCATATTAATCTCAACCAAAAGCCACACTCTTCTTGTTCTTTTCCGCCTGAAATGTAATCCTATTGTATAATTTTTTTTTCATTCATTTCCACAACCATTTTATAGACACTCTTCCAAGGCATTTGTCGGTGTTTCTCGGAAAAGCTCATGCCCGAGATCAAAAAGAAAGCCAAACGATTTTCCCGCGAGAGGCCTTAAGAATCATTTCTTTGGGGGAGGGAAAATAACATGAGACACCTAATTTTATTTTGTGATGCTATTTTGAAAAACAAATCTATATTTTCCATTTCAACTCGCGCGCACGTCATCAGTTTTGCAGTCACGAGCGGCGGAAACAAGATAAATTAGTGAAAAATTCAAGTCGACATTCGACAAAATCGAATTTGGGAAAATAAAGAAGGTATTTTGACGCAGATCTTTGCTCCTTCGAGCTCGCAAATAAATCCACCATCGCCCCAAAAAGTGATTTTTCCTTCAATATGGAGATCCAATTGCATGTCCACCAGTTCGCCTTAAGGCGTATTTATAGCAAAAATTTTCTATCTCAACTTTTTGAGACTTTGAGTGCCGCCTCGAGAGCCTCTTTTCGATACAAAGAGAAATTTTGTGATGTATGGTTGGTTTATTATTGGATATTTTACAGACTACACCAGGTGATTTTCATCCTCGGCAGCCGCCAAGTGTGAATGTTGGAAGAAATATTCACAATATGAACTCTTTTGATTCCACATTGAATGGAATAATCCATCCTCAAGACAGATATTTTCTTGTGCGTGCGAGCGCGCGGCTCTCGCACCAAAAATAAACCCCGCGAGATAAACCGCGATCGCCACTGTGATAGCAAGAGCTCAGGCTCAACAGGTCTTTGGGATTGTCAGCGGAGTTTGGTATCAATCGTAAAAAGTGTGACGAATTTATTTACTTGTTAGACTTGTTGACGTGCAAAACTGTTTTTGGACTCGATTGAGTAAACACAGGCTTTTCCTCTCTCTCACTCTCTCTTATCCTTCAATATTTAGAGCGATTACGGACTTGCGGGTAACCCTCGAATCGACAGGAACTGTGGGATCAATCCTCCGTGGATGAGCTTAGAATTAGCTCAATTCCCGTGGCACAAACATCGCGACTGCTTCTCGTAATGATGATCGTAGGATGATCCGCAAGTCTGTAATCGCTCTTAAGGCACACAAGAAAATCCCTCTTCAAATTTGCCTATTGTGCAATGGAAAGTGATGTAAATTCCAGCACAATCGACAGTCTCTGAGAAAGACTTATTATCAGTATTATAATAAATTGTCTGGCGCATGTTTTGGCGTCTTTATCCTCCCAGAAACACTGTCATGCACACAATATCGCTTTAATTGTATGCTAAGAGACACAGTGTGTTATTTATAGACGACTAATAAAGCTGCAAGAAGAGATATTGATGTGACAATAATTCGATAATACGCAATTATGCAACATGACTAAGAATACGCTGATCGAATTAGTAACAATAAATGCTGTGCTGCAAACGAGGAATGGCAATGAAATATAATTTCCTTTTATATATTCTGCCACATGACCAATATTGCAAATTAAAAGACGAATAATGGCTGCACAAATTGCTTTTGGTGCTCAATATTCTTTATTTTTTATTCTCCATAAAAGCCTTTTTGGCTCCGTCTGATGAATTAATGAACTTATTAATGCGTGTCCGAGTGTAATTTGCAACATTAAGTAAAATTTTGCAACACTTCCTTTGACATCTAAGCGCAAGAGAAAATGGGGAAATGCCAATTAATAGTCGCTTGATAATTTGCCAAAGTCTGGCTAATTTATAATCAAAAACTCGTCTATCGCTAAATATAAACATTCACAATTTTCCTGGCATTCCGGATTGTTGTAGTGAGAGAAAGAGTGGATTATTATAACAATTGATTGTTGGGAGAAGTGATAAAATATTGAATTTGTTTAGTCAGTGGTGGAAAAGTCGGTTAAAATGGCAATTTATTGATCTGCGCTAACTGACTTTGTGTATTTAAACAGTCGCGAATGACAACGTGAAGCATTGCCCAATAACTTGGGGAAAATGGCTTGTAAATGGTCTGCAGCGTGGCTTCAATTTGAGGATTTTGCGTCCTTGATTGCATGATTTATAATGTGTATTTATATAAGAGAGTCTCGTGTTTTCTCACAACAATGTTGACACAATCAGAATTGAACATTCCAGATTGAATTTGGCTGATAATAAATATCCTTGTCACACATTTTCATTCAAAAGTGCCTTTTAGTCTTTCTCAGTAAACTAAACAACACACAGTGAGGCAAAAAAGCTTAAAAAAAGCAGCTAAGTTAGCTAAAAAGTGTGCTAAAATTTTAGCAGACCGCGGCCGATAGAGGAAACTCAATAGCGTTACAAATGCAGCAATTTCCAGCAAAATTTTTTATTTTCTGAATTTTCTGCTGTTTTTCGCTGAATTTTGTGCTTTTTTCTGATCAAAACTTAGCAAGAAAACCGAAAGTTCAACTTCTGGACTTCGCTTAATCCGATTTCCCGTGCAACATTAAAAACAAATGTTTTTGTGGCCTAAAATAACATGTAAATCTCTCAATTTTGAGGTTATTTTTAATGCATTTGAGTGTTGTTATCTCGAAGTATATGATTGAAATGGCGCACTTAAGTGAGCATCATTATTTTGACTGATCACCACTACGATCGCTAGTGCGCTCACCGAATAGCTAAAATCTTAGCGAAAGAAAGCCAAAACATTAGCTTCATAAATCTCAACGTGGAGATTTTAGCATTTTGTGCTGCTTGAGAAACTAAATGCGAAGAGTTTCTATTTTCCTCCCTCATCAATTGATCATCTTGGCATGTTCACTTAAATCATCTCTGAGACCTAAATTTAAGCCTAACTTCTGCCAAAAGACACTTTCGGGGGAAGAAAAGCTCCGCAATGTTGTACTTTTTTTTGCGCGGAAACACACGGAAATTTGATTTTATATATATATGTAATAGTGAGAATCATCATTCACTGACCTATCCTCGTCTGTTTGAGAATACCATAAAATGCTCTCTCTTCGCCGCTTTCGCCACTCTTTCGCTCCACGTTGAAATTGATAAACAATTGTGGATTTTGGAATAAATATTTGGGTGGGAGTCTGCCAGCATAAAACTGTCGGTGGATCGTCCAAAAAGCAACACGATGAGTCAAATCCTCCGTGGCTTTTCGGGCAATTCCATTCAAATCCAGAAAAGCAACGCACACAGCGTCTTATTTTTAGAGAAAGTTCAACGCAGCGTCTCTAGAGACTTCTTGTTTGCTTATTTTCCTCTCATTTTTTTTTCTCTTTGCCTTTGCATATTAAAAAAGTTCTTTTGAGAAAACTCATGATTGCGAGTATGTGTTTGTGTGGCTTAATTATGGTCAAGAAATGGCATTTATCTTCTAAAAGCGGATGTCAATTGCAGCATTTTGCAGAAAAAACAAACTAAACAAAGGCACTTTTTTCAATTAGATTCTCAGATAAAAGCAATTTATTTTGCTTCTATGGAAAACTTGGGAAAACTGTGGTGAATTTTATGAGTGACGCATTTTACTAGAGCAACAAGAAAATTTTTCCACCATTCTTAGCTTTTTCTGCATTTCTCTGTACAGATTTAAATCTATGAAATTGAGGAAAATCCAGAAAAAACATTCTGATTAGATGAAAAAAATGCTCATTTTGGTCAGGATGAAATTTATTATTTACCCACAAAATGTGAAATTTGATCCAGAAATAGAAGCAAAGAGAAATCATTCGTGCTTTCCGACTTGATTCTGTGCTAATCAACTGACCAAAAGTCCTTTTCTCCCAAGGAATCCCTTCTGAAGTGTGTCTAGGATGTGCAAATTTGCAGATAACAAGTAATTGTTGCGCATATTTTCCATTCCCCCTCCCCCCCCATTTAATTGGGCTTCTTCACACTCACCGATAGTCTTAATCATCTGGAAGTCATCCAGCGTGTACTCAACCTCCTCGGGCTCCTCCTCCACCTCCTCCTCGGCACTCGTCTCCTCATCCTCGATCTCCTCGGCGTCCGCCTCGCTGAAGTCCGACTCCACGGGATCCGAGTCCTCCTCCTGCGTTGTGCTGGACGCAGTGTCGTTCCTCTGGCTCATCTTGCCATTCACCTTGGCCGACTCACTGCTGGACTCCTCCTCATCCGACTCCACATCGTCACTGATGACAGCCGCCGAGGACAACTTGTGGCCGAGATCACTGGCTGCCGCGGAGCTGCAGCTGCTCGTCTCGCTTAGGCTCTGACTCCGAGATCTTCCTCGCATTGCCGCCAGTGTTTTTTCTTTATTTTATTTATAAACCTCGCACTTTTGCTTGCCTCTTTCCTGGAAATATCTCAACTTCTTCTTCTCCCTCCGTGGGCGGTTCCTGATTTTCCAACACAAATATCTCACTCGTGATTTACTCAAAAAAAAGAACACAATGCAAATATGCTACGCACTCTCTCTCTCTCTCTCTCTGCAATTCACTCTTCGGCACTTTTATCTTAATATATATCTGAGCTTTTGCCTCCCAAGAGACGACTTCTTTGCTCTGCTCTCAAGACGCGTCCGCACAGTCAACCAGTCGAGTTGAATCTGAAATTAAAATGCGTTGCTCGCCAGACCGAACACATCATTCGCCTTCTCGAGCGCTCTAATCTAATCGGGCGCGCGAGCTGATGATGAGGAAAAGCGCGAGGGTGTGTGCGGATTTCTTCTGGTGCTTCGCGAACTGTATTAATATCTATTTTCCCAAACAGACACTCTCTCTCACTCACTCTCACCGTCTCTCGTGCGGACCGACGCAATTGGCGAAGAAAAGCGCTGACGTACCTCTCTTCTCTCGAGGGCCATTCACAGGGGGAAAATGTGTGCAAATATGAACTTCTTCTGTCGTGCTTTCGCAAGAGGTGAACAATTCTCAAACACGTGTTTCAACTGTGGCTTGCAACAGTCAATCGAGAGAGAGAGCCAAATTGCATATTTTCACCCATGCTTGGCTGCACTTTGTACGGATAATCACCTGGCGAGCCTGGCGAGTGTTCTTGGTGACATCGCGAGCGGCCAAGACTTCTCTCTCCTCTCTCTCTCTCTCTCTCGCTCTCCCACTCACTCGCCAGCGAGCTAGACAGATGGGGATTTGCGTCAATGGCTTGATGAGGACATTAGCGGAGATGCACAAGTGTTTCCATTAGGAAAAGATCTTTGGCCACGGCCCAAGAGAGGGAAAAGTTGGAAAGATTTGACGAGAAGATGAGATTCGCAGCCAAAATCGCACAGACTGAGTAAATGTCCAGAATTTCCCACGCACAATTCACACATCATAAATTCTTGCGCTCTTCCTCTCGCATTTCCCATCACTCTTCCTTCAATCTCAGGAGAAGAAAGTGCCGACAATCTTCTGCATTCTTCCTAGAACTCCACGTCGAATTCTATATTCAAGGTTGAGCGAAAATTTTTTTTTATTATCATTGCAATTTCAGTGGAAAAGCATTGATTTTACTGCAATGAATTTGCATTTGATTGATCAGAAGGAAAAAATCAAGGGGGAGATAATATGCCTTAAATCTGTACAACACTTTCAAACACTTCCAAATTCACCTGACACTTCTAGAATATGAAATTTTTAATCTGTTTTCCCATCAAATTCCCAAATTATAACGAAACTCTCAAGTTTCCATCCTATTTTTCTTTAAGAATCGACTTTAAATCGTTTCTTTTGAATATTTTCTCGACTATAACCTAAAAATATCATTAAGAAATCTTGAAAGACTCATTTTGACAGCTTTTCACATCACAAAATCATCCTTTTATGATTTGCAAATCAACTTAAAACTACTGATTCAGAGTCAAAATTGTCCAGAGAATTTTTCAAATGACTATTTTTGAGGTTATGTTCGACTTAAGCACAATTTACAGTGTTTTTTGGCATCAAAATGCTTAATTCTACCAATGAATAGCGATTTCTCGAATTTCAGCATAAGAATTGATGAGTTAGAATGCAAATTATTCACTAAATCTCTTCTTGATTCATTACATAACCTAAAAAAGAGTATTACGTTTGTTTCTGCGTGAAAATCGAAAGAAATTCAAAGAATCTAGATGAGTTGTCAGTAAAAAAAAAGTATTCAGGAAGGAATATTATGTGTTTCTCAGCGCTTCCACTTCTTCAGTACTTCTACTGATCTGTACACCACTTCTGACTATACTATCTCCCCCTTGGAGAAAATTAACAATTCTTTTGTGACTTTCTGTGACTTCATCTGGCATTCAGAACAAACGAAAGAGTGGAATTTCTTATCTAAAGTGGGTGAAATAGTTCTGAAGATAACACAATATTCCATTGCAATAAATCAGAGATTATTGTGGGAGTGAATTATCTCCAAGCAGAAGCACGAAAACAATCTTATTTGAGCAATGAGTAATGAATTCCTCAAGTTTTCTGAGAAACTTTGCAAAACAACTATTGAAAGAATGGAAAACAAATTGAATATTGATTGTATTGAATATATATATTTAGCAATTTGGATATTTGGATATTCATTTCAGGATCTGCAATTTAACATCACAATTCTCCTTCTCTTTGATCTGTAGAAAAAAAAAGTCAGTGGAATGTTAGAGAAAAGAACAGAAGTGAAGAAATGAAGGGAGAAATTAAAATTTCTCACACATATTTGCACATCAAAAGCATTTGAATTATCACACAAAAAAGGGACTCTTGAAGGGGGGAAAAGAAAACTAGAGAATAAATAGGTCAGCATTAAGATAAATTGCCATTGCAAGCTCTGAAGATATTGACTTTGGGCTTCCATTTACACTCTCTGGATCTCAAACAGCTTCACGTCCGTGTCATACCAAATGGCAGGCTCGATATTTCTGCAAGAACGAGGGAGAAAAAGGACTCATGAGTGGCTCCGGCGGGAGAGCTGATCACAGACTCACCTGAGATAGATCACGCCCCACATGTACGTCCGGAACCAGGCCGTGGTGCCACTGTTGGCCTGATACTTCCTGATGAGAATGGGATGCGGCACAGGCAGCAGTCCCACCAGCGTTCCGTGCTGCAGGAACTTCAGGATCTCCGACTCGTCCGTGAGGCCCTTGTCGATGCAGATCTTTTCCACTTGCGGCACCAGCACCTGCAGCAGACGCATGATCGTCTGCAGCGGCAGCTTCGCGCGCCACGACGACACCCATTCCGGCGTCGGCGTCCACACGGCAGCCGCCGCCGCCGCTGTACTCGTCGACGTCACGCGGATGCTTCCGCGCTGCGCCACGGCGCGCTTCAGCTCTCCACTGGCGGCGCCTTTGGGACTGATCGCCGGCTGAAAGACAAGAGAACGTCCACAAGGTTTAACCACTCGTTGCAACTTTACGTTTTCAAAATACGAATGAAATACGAACGAGAAGGCGTTGCAAGGCAAACTTGGGAGTTTATTTAATTAGCCTATTATAAATGTTATGAACGTAAAGTTGCAACGAGCGGTAAATCAAGATCAGAGTTAAGTAGAGATTGATTAATTTGTGTTCGGAGGAAACTTACCGAAGCGCTTGGACTCTTCGCGGGCAGTTCATCCTTGGCTTCTTCGCACGAGAGCGTGGCCAGCGTGGTGTTCAGGTCGCACAGTGTCGGCGATTCCTGCGACTGCGACGAAGTCATGTGAGCGGATTCGCGCTCAGTCATCTGTCCGATGGCCGGCGTGTCCAGGAGGGACGCCTTCAGGGTGCCCGGCTCGGCGGGCAGCGCGGGCTTTGAGCCCTCCATTGACTCCTCCTCGACTATCGTGTCGCCTTTGTTGTCCTCCTCCGACTCATCCTCATCCTCAGCGTCCTCCGCTTGCGGCGCCTTGGCGGCCACTGGCGGCGCCAGTCGCCGCGCGCCCTTGCGGCTGCTCAGACACCGCGAAATCCCACCCACGTCCGAGGGCAGATTGGCCAGGGCGTGGAACACATGGCGCTTCCTGATGATCGTGTACACGAGGTTGGAGTTGCCGTCAAACTGGTACTGAATGATGTTGTTGAAGATCTCCAGCAGGAAGAAGACCAGATGGTGGTTGGCCGGGGCGGAGTAGACGAACCACGGTGTGCTGAAGGCCTCCAGGAGATGCAGCATCTTGATGCTGGCCACCATTGAGAGCGTCTTGAGATACGGCGACACATTGACGAGGATCGTGAGGAGGCAGTCGAAGAGCGGCTGCAGCCTCTGGTGGCCAGTGGCGATGATCTTGTGGAACACCGTCACGAGCAGATCCGCGTGCGTGCCCGTGAACACTGGGATGTCCATCGGTACGGTGGCCGTGTAGGGCTTGTTGAGGCGCACGCCGAAGTTCCTCTCGCCGGACAGCAGCAGGAGAATGAAGACGCCGATGTGCATGAGGCCGACGCGCGACTGATCCGCCCTGGAGTCGTTGAGGTGATAGAGAATAGGCACCAGCACGTCCAGCACGTCGCTGCTCTTGAGCACGAAGTACAGGAACTTCTTGTTATAGTCGCAGATCTTCCAGAAGAACACCAGCAACTCCTGGTGGCAGTGGAGGCGCTTCGTGGAGTTGGGCAGGTAGCTCTGCACCAGCGGATTGTTCAGCAGGCGCGTGATGCCGCGCAGGATGAAGTGAAAGTCCTCGTCGCGGTGCACGCGACTCAAGTAGTTGATGAAGAGATTGTCGCCCAGCGTCGTCTCGTCGAAGGCCGCCGTCGTGGGACTGTTGAGCGTCATGTCGTGGTCCAGCGTGACGATGAGGATCTGCAGGCACACCTCCACCAGCGGCTCCATGGTGTCCGCGAAGAGGAGGTGGTTGTAGGGCACGCCCAGGCCCACGGGATCGTAGGCGCACACGGTGTTGAGGAGGGACGTGAACAGGGGCAGCGCGTGGCGATTGTCGGCGCTGGTGAAGTGCGCTATCCACTTGTTGGGCTCCTCGCTGGTGCTGGGCGCACGGTACATGGTCTCGCTGAAGCACGTGAGCAGCAGCTTGAGCAGCTCCGTGCGCCGCATCTCCAGGTGCGAGTGCTTCGGCGGCGACTGCGCGAATCCCACGCCGGCCTCCCAGATGTACTCGCAGCTGTCGATGTTGGTCAACTCCTCCGCCTTGTCCGGCCCGGAGCGGCGCGTGGCCACAACGGTGAAGTCCGGGCAGAAGAGCAGGTCGCAGATGGCGTTGAGGAGGCTGTGCGCCAGCGGCGTGGCGGAGTCGTCGGACTCGCTGCCCGAGGGCAGCTGCGACCAGAAGAAGTTCCGCCACTCGCTGTCCTCGAACACGTACGGCAGGATGCGCTGCATCAGGCGCACGCAGTTCAGCACGATCTGCTGCTCCGTCTGCGTGCGGCAGCTGTTGTCCACGGCGCGCACCAGGCGCTCCGTGGCCTTGTACAGCAGCGTGGCCAGATTGGCGGGATTCTCCTGGCGCAGCGCCCGGATCTCGTTGGGCGGCACCAGCGCGAACACATCCTGCACATTCGTGCTGTGCTCCGTCCAGAACTGATCCCAGAACGCGTCATCGCTGGCGTCAATTTGCTGCAAAACACCAGAAATCGATCAGCGCCTCTTATCATAGGCATTGATTTCTGCGTGGGACTTTCTCTCCTGCTCCGCCACGCATTTCTCACCTGATTCTTCGTGGTTATCTGCACTATGGCCTTCCGGAAGTTCAACTTGGTGTCTGTGTTCCCCATGGCGCGCACAGGAGCTCTGTTGCCCACTTTGCAGGATGTCCAGGAGGAGAAAGGAGGAAAAACACTGTCCTTTTGTTCCTCTGTGGAAAAAACTAGTGCGTTGTCAGAAATGACAGCACAAAAACTGAGCCAAGGCGCGTGGACTTCGCTGTATTCTCGCCGCTCGCACATCAATCAATATATGAGGGTACATAGTACATTTGGAAATACCCGCAATATCAGGGAAAACCAAGGGTTGCTCAAGTGATGAATGGACGAACCACTTCAGCAGGAATTAAAAAAAAGTTTTGTGAACAAATCTCTACATTTTCCACGGATTTTCCGGGCATCTTCCAAGTGTATTTCGATGTTTCGTGCTTGCTTCTGAATAAAAATAAATGAATCCAACCGTCTTTTCGATTAGCCGAGACAGAAACCGCATTTCAGACACATTTCGATAACTCGCTGAGATTTCCTTGCAATGCCAGCAATATTGTAATCAATCGAGAAAAAAACATTCAATTTTCGGGTACAAATTTATTGAATAAATTCACATTAGGTCGATATTTATGGGGTTTCTCCATTATTACACCTTCTCATTGTCTACATACATTGCAACAATGCTAGATTTTCAATCTAATACAATCAATTTCTTATCGCTCTCTAGGCTTATAAATACGTGTTTTTTAATCCACTTTTGATTACATTCAATATATTATTTTGGATAAGTCTTCAATTTCGTCGTAATGTCTCTCAAAAGGATGGAAAATATATATATTTGTATTTCCTTTTGTAAATGGATAAATTGGGCAGTATTTTTCACTTACATCTAAACATTACATCTGTAAATTTGTGCTTCATCTTATGATAAATTGCTATATTTTGTGTCTTCCGGGGCCAAATTCTACAATCATTACATCTTGTTGGCTTTCTCAGCAATACCGCGGCATTTTCACATTTCTATTACAAATATCTACGATAAAATGCATGAAATCCATGAAATACTTAATGGAATGTGCTAAATTCTATGTCTTGATGTGTAGCCTATGAAATACGTAAAATCCTCTCTCTTAAAAAACACCGACAATTTCCGTGGAATTATGCTGAGTACATAAAACTAAAGAAAAATTGAAATCCTTTCAAAGTAAAATGAAACCTCTCGCTGGACGGATATGTAGAGGAATTAATGCTATGCTTGCAAATAAATTAGGTACTTTCTGTCGCTATTGCTGCAATGAGAGATCGGGAAGCTGCTGTTTATTGTTTTCTGTGGACCGATAAATTCAAAGAGTCTTCAAACATTGTACTCAGGATAATTCCCACGGGCCGAATTCTAGAATCTCTCCTTGCTGGCGGCACTGTACTCCATATCGTTGAGATTTTGAATCTCCTGCAGCTCCTGGAACTTCTCATGGTCCCGAATGTGGGCATAATTGGCCGCCAGGCACATCAAATAGTGCACGAGGCTGAGAATGATGAGGAGACACGAGACAGAGGCCAGAATAAACATTATTTCAGCCGTCTCCACGGCGTCCTTGCAGAAAGCCTTCACCTCAAACTCCTTGCACACCTTCATGCGCTCCTGCGGCGTGCCGTCCGGAAACATGAAGTAGAACTGCGTGAAGTCAATGCAAGACTTGTGCGATTGCACGTCGGGTGTTGAGCACATGTTCCAGAAAATAGTGAACACAAACGTGACAATGGCCAGGAAGCACAGAATCAGGATCCACACGATGTTCAGCACATACGTGATGCCCATGAAGACGGCACAGGAGATTCGGCCGCCGACACGTGAACGCCACGCTCTGTACACCTTGTAGCGCGTCGCTCCGGTCGCCAGAAAGCCCACGAAGAGGATCATGAAGCCCAGAGCGCCCATTGAGGCGCCAATGATCACGAAGATCAGCTGCACCGCCTCAATCCACAGCAGACGAATGTGGAACACCTGATCCAGCATTATCACCGTGAGACTCGTGCCTCTGTACATTGTGCCACAGAACACGATCACGCCGATCAGGCACATCACGGTGGCGATGAGCGTGGCATAGGGAATGCGGGTCATGCACGATTTGCAGCAGTCACCTGTCGAAGGGAAGCGCTCATTAGCCTGCAACATACCAGTGATTTCCCCTCAATCCGACGGGCAATCAATTCGATCCAACGCAGTTTGGATCGTTTGATCAGAATTTGAAATTTCTTGCAGAACTCTAAACTTGTCTAAAATTGGACCTAAAATGTGCTGCGATTATTATCATTATAAGACATGTGTTATCTCCTTAACATATGTAAAAGTTTATAATAATGATTTCATGTTAGGAAATCATGAAAAACAAGCTGAGAATAGAAATCTCGCCGAGATAAAAAAAAATCAGCCTTTCTTGGTCATCCCAGAAATCTCAGTTCCCCTGAACTGATCTTGGCGGATATTTAACCACTTCCACTATTGATCTAGAAGAGTGGCGACAATTGGGTCACATCAGCAACTCTTCATGGCACAATTCCCAGCAACACTGAACGGAATGCAATTGTGTGAATGCGAAACGCACAGAACAATCGGCCAACAAAGGAATCTCAAGTCACGCTGGTGAGCTTGACAATCTCTTCGTGACAGAAGGCGCTCAGCCTACTTTGTCCGTGAAGAGTAAAGCTACCTTTTCTGCGATTCCCGTGGAGTGAAGCCGTGGAGTAGCGATCCACTGAATACTCGGATCGCATGGAGTTCTGCCTTCGCGTGGCGGCGGGATTGTTATTGTTGTACGCCCGCGTGAGCGCCCCATCTTCATCGAAATTGGTCTCCAAGAGAATTTCCTCGCGCGGATCGCGAATTCTATTGCCACTCATTTCAAATCTTCAAACTGCACACGAGTCACGAGGCAAGGATTAGGCAACAGCACAGAATAGTCCAGGTCACGGAGATGCCAGAGAGATGCAGCAATGACACTTGTTAGAATTAAACCATGAATCACTCATTACGAGTCAAGAAGAAGTGCAGAAATTACGATGAGTGCGCCCCAAACAGTTCTGTCCGTCTCGCTCGCGCGTCCATGGCAACGCGCACGTGCGAGAGAGACGACAATGGCATGGGTGGCCAATAGGCCCCACCTTGTCGTGAATTCTCGCGAGATAAGGCTGATTTATCAATTTCAGGTGCTGCTGCTTATCGCTAGAATGGTAATTGTGCGTCCACTCACCCATTTTTGCTCAATTCTGGCGGGAAAATCGTCGAAAATCGGCACAACAGCGGGAAAACACCTGTGCAAGAGAGAAGGGGAAAATTTCTCCGCTATAATGTGTGAAATGACAGCATTTCGCAGGGAGTTTCAATCAAAATTGCATGCATTGAGTCATAAGAGTGTGGAATATACCTTAATTTTGTGGGGAAAGTCAGTCTAATTGAGTATTTTCGTGAGATAAACAATCGCGCAGACACGCAGAAAAATATCCCAAAACAATATTTGGGCCACATTCGCCAGATGTCACTTTTTGACTTTTTGGGTGTTTTTCCGATTCACCCGCAAAAAGTCAGACGCTTTACCGCTTCGCTCGCGTGTGTTTTGGACTCTCGCTGCAATTTTCCAAGGCACTTCCCGCGGAAGCATGTCCAAGAGCAAGGTGACAGTGGACTGGAAGAAGCGCGTGAAGACGGAATATGCGAAGATCCGCCAGCAGAAGCGCCACAAGAGGGCGGATGAGGTGAAGAATGCGTGGTGTCGCAATCGGTGAGCGCGCGGCGAGTGTTTCCGGAAAGCGGGCTTCTTTTCTCATGCAATCTGTGTGTGTGTGCTTTCAGGACGGACATGATCAAGACGCTGGCGCAGGAGAACTCTCGCTGGGCGGCAGCGGCGAATGCCGTGTGGGAGCCGAAGGAGCTGGATCCGGCGCACTTGAAGTGCATGAAGAAGGCGGAATGCGTGAGTCTCGACGGCGATGTGCAATCCGTGCCCATCCGGACGATAAACGCCGTCACGCCCATTCCCACGATGTACACGTGGGTGCCCACGCAGCAGAACTTCATGGTGGAGGACGAGACGGTGCTGCACAACATTCCCTACATGGGCGACGAGGTGCTGGATCAGGATGGGACGTTCATTGAGGAGCTGATCAAGAACTACGACGGCAAGGTGCACGGCGACAAGGAGGGCAGCTTCATCGATGATCCCATCTTCGTGGAGTTGGTCAATGCGCTGACGCAGTATGTGGAGAAGGACGAGGAGAAGGATGTGGAGAGGAAGCCAGAGATGAGAGAGCTGCGAAACAAGGGTGTGGAGGAGAAGCTGAAGATTGAGAAAGATGTGGATGTGAAAGTGAAGCGAGAAGTTGATCTGGAGGATCCTTCGAACGGGTCAATGCTGAAGGAATTCTCACTGGTGACGATAAAGAAGGAACCGATGGAGTCTGTGACGCCTTTTCCGCCTCCAGTCATTTTCCAAGCCATCAGCCAACAGTTTCCCGACAAAGGCACTGCCCAGGAGTTGAAAGAGAAGTAATGAAGCCAATGAAGCTTATGAGAGTGGAATTCTGGAGAAGTTCTGAGGCATTTTCTTCTCTTTCCAGGTACATTGAATTGACTGAGCGAACGGATCCTGATCGTCCCCCGGAATGCACACCCAACATTGACGGGATCAAGGCTGAGAGTGTGTCCAGAGAGCAAACTCTGCACTCCTTCCAGACGCTCTTCTGCCGTCGCTGCTTCAAATACGACTGCTTTCTTCACCGTAAGTGCCAAAATCAGTGTCTTTTCCGCCTCTTATCACTCGTTTTAGGCTTCTAATCTGTGTGTTGTAGACAGTTGTGGCGAATCGCCACAACTCTTGATATTGTAGGCTTTGTTGTTTGATGTTTTTTTTTGCCACTAATTGGAGATTTTTGATCAAAATTTATCTATTTTTAGCCAGAACAAAATTTGCCGTAGTATTTTTGTGTGTGTGTTTTTTTGCATTTAGTCTTTTTTTTTTGTGCCTTTGTGTGTGAATATTTAGACCACTTTCCATGTTGTTGTTGTTTTTTTTTTCTGTGTAACTGATCCTCAGGTGTGCTGAAGGCCAGTTGTGTCCTTTCAAAACACCTCGAGGAATGCCTTGAGAGACGAAATTGTATCAAAATTACTATCATGTTCTCTTTATCTGTGAATGCTATCTTCTGCAGGACATCAGCAAAACGGTGAGTTGATGATTTTGGGTGATTTCATCGAGGATTGCTCAAGTTCCTTCGATTTCCCTGTTAAATTCCCCAAATTCATTCCATTCATTCTTGAATATTCTTCGAATTAATTAGAATTATTCCCTCCATTCCTAATTTGAACTTGTGTTTTCGAAATCAGAGCGTTGGATTTCGAAACGTGACGTCGCGGGTTCAATTCTCACGCGATTCCGTTTTTTTTCACACATCTTTTTCACTTCTCTTTCCCTTTTTGAGTAATTTTCCTTCACTTCATCGCTTCATATCAGCATTTTTCCCTGTCTTTATAACAGTAAATATTAATTCCTCTTCATGAAATATCACTAAAAACTCCATCTGATGCTAAGCATGTTTTTTTCTTAGAGTGAGAGAAAGTTTTTGACCCTAACATTCCTTTTAGCGGTTTAATGTCAATTTTAGGGCTTCAAACTTCTCCTAAAATGTCATTTTCCACATTATTTTCCACAATACTCGTTTGAAAAGCTGCTAATATTGCTTTTTCGCGTCCTTTTCATTCGAACACTCGCGTTCATAAGTTTGAATCCAGTTCGCAGCAAAAAAATTTTCATATATTTTATTTTTTAGGCTTTTTTTGTACTACAATTTAACCAATTTATCTACTTTGGGGAGTTTAAACGCCTCCCAATAATCAGTTATTCATCATAAATCAAATTAACAAATATATTCTATATATTCTATGTATTCTACTTTAGAGATCAATGAAAATAGTCTAATTTTGGCTTCACAAATTTCACTGTGCTCAATTAGTAATTCATTCAATTTCTTCTGTCCCAAGTTAACAATCCATTCCTGGGTTATTCTTGAATATTCCTGCTGAAATGGTTCGTCCTTTCCTCACTTGAGCAATCTTCGGGTGATTTACTCTCTCTTTTTTTATTGGTATTCCGGGGGAAAGTTGTAGGCTTAACTGCTGATCTTAGAGCACTGAATTGGCGCAGCAAAGCGTGGGTTTTTAATGGCGCGTGGCGTGTGTTTCCCTTTGCAGGCCTTCAAGCGTGTCAACCAGGACCGAATCTGCACAAGCGACGCTATCCTGAGCTCAAGTCCTTCGCGGAGCCTTGCAGTGCGGCGTGTTATATGCTGCTGGATGGGATGAAGGAGAAGATTGCGGCGGACAATAAGGAGAAGTCACAGAATGACTCCAGCAATGACGCCAGCTCGGAGGACAGCAATGACAGCAACAGTCGCTGCTCGAAGGACTTCCTGAGTGCCAAGGAGGCGCCGGCGCTCACGGTCGCCTCCTCGGCCGAGATCACCACACTGATGGGCGCCAGTATTCAGGCCGACTGGACGGGCTCCGATCAGTCGATGTTCCGGGCGCTGCAGAAGGCCTTCGTGACCAATTACTGCGCCATGGCGCAGATCATGCTCACCAAGACGTGCCAGCAGCTGTATGAGTTCGGCCAGCGCGAGGCGGCGGACATTCCGGCTGAGGATCTGCGGCAGGATTACACGCCGCCGCGCAAGAAGAAGAAGAAGCACCGCCTGTGGTCCGTGCACTGCCGGAAGATTCAGCTGAAGAAGGACTCATCGTCCAATCACGTGTACAACTTCACGCCCTGCGACCACAGTGGGCCGTGTGACAGCAACTGCTCGTGCATCGGCGCGCAGAACTTCTGCGAGAAGTTCTGCAATTGCAGCAGCGACTGCCAGAATCGCTTCCCGGGATGTCGCTGCAAGGCGCAGTGCAACACGAAGCAGTGCCCATGCTATCTGGCCGTGCGTGAGTGTGACCCAGATCTCTGCCAGATGTGTGGCGCCGATCAGTTCAAGCTCAACAAGATCACGTGCAAGAACGTCTCGGTGCAGCGAGGATTGCGTGAGTTGAATTTCCACAATTATTGTCGCTTTATCACTGCTCAAGTCGATGATTTGTTACCTAATCCTATAGTTTAAGTATTCAAAATCACTACGTCTTGAACGTGAACGCCTTTTGGGAGCGTCTTATGGCTTTATCTCGTTTGACTGCAATTTGTGAAGATTTTCTTAGATAAAATTCACGGCTTAAACAATTGCGCGCATCAAAATTTGATTGATAACAAGAATTATTTTTATTTTGATATTGAAATTTATTTGTCTTCTTTCACATTTCACGAATTTCTACAACATTGATAAAAACACAAATTGGCAAAAGAGTTTCAATTGACATTGAGAGATTCTAACATCCTTTTTGCAGTCTTTTTGGTTACAATTTCCAAGACATTTGGCAGCTTTTCTGATTGCTTTGGGATTAACAATGTGTGTTGATGATATGATTTGGTTTCTCGCGCAGACAAACACCTGCTGATGGCGCCCTCGGATGTGGCCGGATGGGGAATCTTCCTCAAGGACAGCGCGCAGAAGAATGAGTTCATCTCGGAATACTGCGGTGAGATTATATCGCAGGACGAGGCGGATCGGCGTGGGAAGGTGTATGATAAGTACATGTGCAGCTTCCTGTTCAATCTCAACAATGACTTCGTGGTGGACGCGACGCGCAAGGGCAACAAGATCCGCTTCGCCAATCACTCCATCAATCCCAATTGCTATGCCAAGGTGATGATGGTGAATGGCGATCACAGAATTGGGATCTTTGCCAAGAGGGCGATTCAGCCTGGCGAGGAGTTGTTCTTCGACTACAGATACGGTCCGACGGAGCAGCTGAAGTTCGTGGGCATTGAGCGCGAGATGGAGTTCCTCTGATTGTTGGGCAGAAAGGGGGCGGCGTCCTAGCGCTCCCCCGAGTCGCCGTGAACACAGTTTCTTCTCTTCTTCTGGGGTGGGATTTGTGTAGATGATGAGAATCCGGAGACGGACGGTGTTTTTTTGATACGAGTAAATTTTCACACACGCTTCCTTTTTCTTACACCTCTTCTTTGGCTTTCTGTTGATCTGCCAGCACGTGCTTGAACATGTGCTTCTTCAGGTCCGGCATGCCGAAGAAGATGGCCGAGCAGGGGCCGCACGTGAGCGTCTCGGCGGCGCTGTCGTGCGCCACCACGTGGTCCAGCAGATCGCCGAGGCAGTGGAACACGGCGGAGCAGGCGGGACAGGGAAAGCGTCCCGCGCTCGCCTGCTCGGCGTCCAGCCAGTCGGGCAGAACGGACAGCTGATGGGCGGAGGAGGAGGAGGTGTTGCGCTTAGAGAACCACTTCCAGCACTGCAGCTTGTGCGTGGCCAGCAGATTGGAGCGCCGGAAGGCGCAGAAGCAAAAGGAGCAGATGAAGGGCGCCTTCGCGTGCATCTTCATGTGCGACTCCAACTTCTGCGGCACCACGCGCTTCCGGCAGCACGCACAAGGCACCGTTCCGACCGACTTCCCGCCTGATGGCTTTGGCCTAGAGACGCACACAGATAATTTCTTATCACCGAATTTCCATAAAATTCTGGGAGGAAAAACAAGCACACAAAACATTCAACTCACTTCACTCTCTTGGCGCTTTTGTTCCGCCTTCTTGTGCTCAGCAAACAAAGTTCCGCGGGTTTATTTATTTGCATGGCGTCGTCTGTCACGGTTTCTCCTGTGGAAAGCATTCCTGTGCAGCTCATGGTGATTCCTGGCGGCAAGGCGATCTATCTGGGAGACAAATGATGCAAATTCTGCTGAGAAAGTGCTGCGGAAGTGGCTAAAATCGCCTGTGTAAACACTGAGACAACACAGAACGCGAAAACACAATCATTCGCCGCTCCATGCGACTGACTGGGAAGCCTGGAAGTTCGGGGAATCAAGCATCCCTCACGCATGCGCTTGTGTGGAATCACACACATTGGCTTGCATTGCGAGAGTGTGTGTGTGTGTTTCCAATGCGATTTCAGCCAATTCCAGCGCACAAGGGCTGAAGAGATTCCGACGAACACTTCAAAATTTGTGGGTTTCTTAGGGGAAAGCAGGGCAATTTTTGATCTTTATTGCAGAAATAAGCGAATAAATACTTCGTTTCACTCCGTTTGACTTCTATCTTGAAGTCTTTCTGCTCTAAATATTGCTTCAAATAAGACTCCAAAAGCAGGATGATTCTTAAGTTAAGAGATTATCAGCCTTAAGATGTCTCGTCCGCACACTTTCTTAGCTGGAAACAATCTGAAGTGTTCTTTTGAATTATTCGCTCTTTATACACAATTTGGTAGCCATTTTTGCACTGACAGCAATATTTCTGCAATAATCGAACGCGAATAAAGTTAAGAATGCTGAATGCCTCAATTTTCGCATTTTATGTCACACAATTCTTTCCAAACCAAGAAAATCATGTCAAATTATAGTAAAAATGGGCTTTTGATATTGCCTCATTGTCTATTGTGTTGTTTTCTGTGAAAATTGGCAGAAATCGACGTGCAAATGAGTGAAATCGGCTGATTTATGCCTTTTTGGGCGGAGCTTTCTCGTGGGCGGAGCCAAGAAATAATAGAATCCCATTCGCGGCTAAGAAATCTCCGTCAATTCGACAATTTCCGCAGACTGAAGCCATGCGGACAATACTTCTCCTTCTTCTTGACACAAAAGCACAAAAAATGCACATCTTATGTTCCACATTTTCTTATTAATTCCACATTACAAAAGAAAATCAGTTAATACTGTCCTGCGGCTTCTTGCGAATGTACGGCACCTCAATCTTGTGTATCTTCCTCATGTGTGTCCTGTGATCCTTGATGTTCCACGAGCCCTTGCCGCACACGTCGCACTTCTGCGGCGGCTCAGTCTTCAGGTGCACCTTGTCCATGTGGATCTTCAGCTGCGACTTGTCCTTGTACTCCACATTGCAAAACGAGCACTTGAACAGCTTGCCACTGTGCCTGTCCATGTGGCGACGCAGGAACTTCTCGTTGGGATACGATCGGCCGCAGCCGGACACTTTGCACTTGAACTCCTGCTCGGGGCGCTCGTGGATCTTCCTGATGTGCGCCTCCAGCACCTTCTCGCCGGTGAGCTTCTTGCCGCAGATTTCGCACATGGCGCGCTTCACGCCCGTCTTGATGCCCTGATGCGAGAGCAGGTGCTTCTGGTAGCCGCAGCTGTAGATGAAGCCCTTGCCGCAGATGTTGCACTTGATCGGCCGCTCGCCGCTGTGCGTCATCGTGTGCTGCGCCGGCGGAGAGAAGCCTTTAGCCATAAAAGGGTTTCAATGGGGGGATTTTTCACGAACTCACCTTCTTGTATCGCGCCGTGGAGCATATTTTGCCGCACACTTCGCACGTCCGGAAGCGCTCGATGCGCTTCTTTCGCACCACCGCAAGATCTGTGACGTCGTGCTGCACTTTCGGAGGCTTTTCCGGCTTCTTCTCCTTGGTGACAATGGGAGCTGTTGGCAATTCTGGCGACTCGGGCGCCTCCTCGAACACTCCTGGCTCCAGTTCGTGCTCCTCCAAGTGATTCCTGTAGTTCTTCTCATCCCTGAAGGCGCACCAGCACTTCTGACAGTGGAACTTCACTTCTCTGTGCTTCCGTCTGAAGTGGCGCTGAAAAGAGGGAAGGATTTCTGGTCAAATCACCAGCTTCAGCTCAGCATTGCCGGATTCACCTTGAGAGCATACTTCTCCAGGAAGATCTTATCACACTTTCGGCACTTTCGCACCTCTTCGCGCTGCTCATGAGAGATTCTGTGCACAGCCAGACGCGCCAGGGATCTGAAGGCTCTCCGGCACTGGTCAATATTGCACACAAACTGACATTTATCACTCTCCTCCTTCCACTGCAAGTCCTCCGTCACGAGGGTGTCTTCAGGATTGTCCCACCACACGGGATTCTCACCCGGAACGCCCGTTCTGCAGCCGGGAATCAGGGGAAACTCCTCATTGCTGAGTGTATCGGCGTCGGAGGAGTTCTTCTCCGAGGAGTTGCAAATGTCGCTGCCACTGTTGCAGAAGGGATTGATTTGTGTGGATTCCTCAGGCGTCGGAGACTTCAGGACATTCTCCTCGTCACTCTCAATCCCTTCCTCGACAGTCTCCACCTTCACATAGATCTGCTCGATGTCCTCCTGCACGTCCGGCGGCTTGAACACACTGCCCGTCGCCTCGAACAGACTGACAATCTCCATGAGGACGTCGCTGGAGAAGATCGGCGATTCGCTCTTGTAGATGCTCTCATACTTGGTCTTCACGCACACACAATCCCCGTTGAACTGGTAGAAGTGCTTCACGAGGAAGATCCGGTGGTTGAGCAGGAAAACGTCCAGGTTAGACTTCATGTCTTCTTCACTCTCTGATCATCACTTTGGGGCTGATTTTTGTGTCCTTCTCACGCCGTTTCTTGCCAGAAAACAAACCAAAGACATCCAAGACACCCTATTTCTTTTGTTTGCACTTTTTTGACAGCCGCAGTTGGAAAACAAGTGCTTTTTTACGGTTAGGGCGCCATCAGCCGGCGGAAAAAGGCCTATAGGAAATTAATAAAAAATTGTCTTATATTTTAAACACAATGAAATTTTTCTACTATTTTAAAAACTTATTAGTAAACATTCTTGTGAATTCTAAAAACACTAAGATTGCAGGAAATCTAAGGTCAATGATGAATTTACAGTTGTTTTTACTGCGGTTCAGCCTTTTCGAACCACGAAATTGAGGAAGAATCTTGACTGGACTTCTTCTTGGCGCGCGCTTCGCTGTGCTTCAGCACTTTCAGCTTGAAGAACTCCTCATTGTGGGCAGCGGAGAATCTCGTGTCGGCCAGCATGATGATCTCGCCGAAGGTTTCAATGATTCTGGTGTACTTGTTGAAGCGCTCCTTGCCAATGTTCTTCTTCGACAGGCCCGTCCAGGAGAAGGCATTCATGAGATTGCGATCGAAGATGTAGTCGCAGAGTCTGTACGCGGCGCGCAAGCCTTCGCTGGTGCCCGAGAAGCCATTGATCCTGCTCAGCTCCTTTATGAAGCCCGCCTTGTACTCCACACTGCCGAGATTCTCATTCAGCGTCTCCAGCTCCTCAATGCTGGTCATCGGGAAGGTGCAATTGAGATCAATCCGATCGTTTGTGTCGTCAAGCACCAGCTTCGCTGATCCAATATTCACGTGCGTCCGATTCACCGGGGATTTCAGCAGTCGCAGAATATTGTCCAGTTTCTTTGACATTCCATCGAACTTCCTGTCGTAAGACGCGTGAACTGCAATGATTTTGCAGGACGTGAAAAAATCAAATCTTCACCCTTGTGGCAATTCAAAGAGACTCACGAGAGACTTTTACTGCATTCTCCTGGCCAACGTCGTCAAGCACATCAGCGGAATCTGTGGATTTCTGACCCAATGAGAAGTTGGGATGATCGGACAAGCGTCGAGGAGCGTCCTTGTTGAGAGGAAAGAGCTTTCCCTTGATGCTCTTCTTCATACTCGCCAAGATTACAGCATCTTCCTCACTCCTGGACATGCGAGGCTTCTTTGTCGGTGGTTTCTGCAAATCCCAGGGAAAATCGTGGTAAATTCAAGATTATTTCCAGGCGGAAGTCATTTTTTTTTACCTGCAATTCGGCAAAAAAGTCAGAATCATCCCAAATGTCAGCATCAGAATCGCCAGAATCCTGATCAATGCGACCCACGGGCATCGACAGGGAGTCCTGCTCCTCAATCACTCTCACTTCCTCCTCCTGCTTCACGAACACCCGCTCAATTGGCCGCTGGGAGCTTCCGGGCGTCTTGTCCGGCAACTCGGACTGATCGAAGACGCTGCCCGTGCGCTCGAACAGACTCACAATCTCCATCAGGGCGTCATAGGAGAAGGCAGGGAAGCTGTCGCTGTCCCGATAGTTGTCCTCGTACTTTGTCTTCACGCACAGATAATCGCCCGTGAATTGATAGTAGTATTTCACGAGGAAGACGCGATGCTTCAGGGTGAAATTCTCCAAGTTCGATCTCATCTTTGTCTTCAGCTCACGCTGGAACAGCGGAAATTGCTCTTCAGTTTCGCCAAATTGTTGCTTCACTTTGATTTTCTGCAAATATTGTTTGTTTTTCTCACTGACAGATGAAGATTTCACTTTTTCTGGCGTGAGAATTTCGAAACTTTTCGGAATCAAAGCCTATTGAGGCCTAATTGAGGCTATTCGGAAATTTTGAATCCTCAACGTTCGAAGCAAGGTAAATAGGGGAGAGCGAGGCTCTTTTAACTCGTGATGAATTTACATGATTTGAAAGAATGTTATAGATAAGCAAATATTTTCGATAATCTGCTGAATATTTCAAATCCACAATCAGTTAAAATCTAGTATCGATTTTTGAGTGAATTTTCCAGGAAAATGAAATGTTAGAGGGAAATTCTATTCGGTCTTTTGAATGCCCTTGATTATGAGCTTCAAAAGACCGCTTTTCGTGGCATTTTGGGCCAATTTTCCCCACTTTGTGGCACATTTGGACTTTAGACCAAACATATTCCCCAAACATTTTATAATATCTGTGCTAAAGTATCCATTTTAGAAGTCTCTGATAGGAAAGCGGTTTTATTCCTCGGCTTTTTATGGCCTTGAAAAGAGACGCACTGTCCGAATTTACTGCTTTCCCATTCTCCCTCTCTCTCACCTATTGAAATAAACTCGAGTATTTCAAGACTCTAGAATATTGTATAAAATTAAAAGTGATTTGTTCCCTCCAAAAAAAAAATATAAAATTCATCGGAATATTATCATAGTAAGAGACAATAAATATTAGCCATATTAGCTTAAATTTCCATCTGTTCTGACCTCTGACCTCTGGAAAGAATAAATAAAACCCTAAAATTGCCTCATTCAATGTCTATTGTGTTGTTTTCTGTGAAAATTGGCAGAATTCGACGCGCAAAGGAGTGAAATCGGCAGAAATTAGGCTGATTTGTGCCTATTTGGGCGGAGCTTTCTCGTGGGCGGAGTCAAGGAGTAAAAAAATCACATTTGCGACTAAGAAATCTCAATTAAAAGCTCAAGATTCTTTCGCTGTGTCACTCGAACTCACCATTTGCTCGCCCCTTCGGCATCCTGTGCATCTATTGTGATGTAAAACCCGAAGGCATATTTACTGCTTGTTGCAGTTTTGGGCGAAAAAATGCAACTCTCTGCCGATGGGCTCATAAAGGCCAATGAGGAGAAAATTTACATGAGAGTCATAAAAATTTATTTTTCAGATGTTTTGCCGAAAAGACATTAAAATGAGCACACATATTTCTTAGTTATTTTTTTCCATCAGATTCTTTTTCTTTTCCTTTTTTTCTCGTTTTGCCTATGATAATTATAGTGGAGATCGATTTGATATGAAAATTAATTCCGTGCTTTGGGAGGGTTTTTTTGTTGTTGTTGTTGTTGCCGTGCTTTGAAATGTTGAGGAGATTTATTAATTTCTCGTGAATGATTTCCTCCTTTTTCTCCCATCGTCGGATGGATTCATCGTAAATTCTCTTCTCTGCACTGTGCAATTTTTGGCTGGCATCTTGGCATCTCTTTATCTTCCAGCAAACTCTTGTTCGCCTCGCTCGTGTGTGTGTGTTTGTGTTCGTGTGATGGCTTTTTTTCTGCTCCTCCAGCGTGTCCACAGTATATAATTTCATTTTTGATATTCGAGCGACTGTCTGAGTTAGGATTTTTGGCGTTTTTAGCTGCGCGCGCGATCGGCTTTTTCTACCTGGGCGTGCGAGAGAGCAGGACTTGCAGACAAGGATCGCGCGCCAGGAGTTGAAATGGATTCACCGGAGAGCAGGTAAAACTCTCCTTGCCTATCTCACCTTATGTACAACTGTTGATTCCCTTCTCTGTGCGCCTCCTTGTCGCTCTGCCTTCGGCTTTCTCTCTCCCTCTCTGGGCCAAGAGTGTCCCGGGATTTCATGGGCGAATCTTCGTGTGTGTGCCAGCTCGGCGTCCTTCTCCCCCTTCGCCCGATCCTGGCCGGCAACACTCTGTCGGATGGTGCTTCAGCAGCGATCTCTTCTTTGGCAAAAGAAGCGACAGCAGCAGCTGTGTGGCAATTCCAGGAAAATGCGACGGTGCCATACCACAGCGCCTCTCGCTCGCACCATCTTCCATGGCGCACACACAGCGAGCAAAAGAAGGAGAGAAGCGAAGAAGGAAAAAACTCTGTAAATAGATGTGGTGCCATTGGCTGCAACGGCGATACAAGACACGAAATCTAATCATCGGCAACACAACAAAATCCAGCATTTTTCTCCTTTTTTTTCTTCTTCAATCATCCTCCACTTCTCACCCTTCTTCAGCATCAGCGTGGCAACTGACCAAAAAATATCTCCAGAAACCTATATATTCACATGGAATGTTACTTGTTGATTGCAGAGGGTGAACGCGAGAAGAGCTTTTCTGTTTACATTTGCAGCATCGAATGCAGGCCGAAAAAGGAGTGAAAAACGGAGTTTTGCCTTTGAGGAATATATTCAGCGTTTGCGTTGAAATTCCACGCTATTCCACTAGTTTTTGATGGGAAAATGATTAGAATCACTCCAGATGAGATTGATATCTCACTAAAAATAGGCAAATTTCAAGTATTTCTCATTAAGATGATTTTCTTATTGAGTTTCCAGACAAATTCAGTGACTAAAATAAATTTCTCAAGACAGAATTTCGCATTATCCAAGACACATTTGTACAGAAAATCAATAATTTCTTCCCTTCTTTTGCACTTTTTCTTCAATTTAAAGACTGTAAATCATAGAGATTTTGGTCAGTTTAAAGAAAAAGACACAATCTTCATCATTTCGCTATAAAATGCGTCTTCATCTTGTTTTCACGCTCTTCTCAATGGGCAATTTAACGGAAAATCAATTAAACATGACGCATCTTATGTGTGAGGAAGAGCAGGCCTGCTTTGATTGGTGTTCCTGGGGCAGTCGGTCAGCTCTTCAAATGGTCAAAGGGCAGAGCGAGCAGGGTTAATTGGTCAGCGAGGGTCAGAGGGTTAAGTGTGACCTCCTCGTGAAGGGTCAGTCGTCCTGCCAGGTCTCTTGGCGCCCTTCTTGCGCCCAAAGATGACCCCGAGGAACAAGTCTACTTGCGCCGGGATTCCCTCGCACAGGAACCACTTTGTCACATGCCACGCAAAACCTGCCTTGGCAACGGAAAAAATCCCACAGCAAGCCAGAATATTGAGAATGGGAAAGAAGTTGTCAATTGTTCTGTGCATTTTCTGTGTCGTGAAAATGGCCGTTTTGCTGGCAGAAGAGCGTCGGAATTTGTCTTTTATCAAGTTCCCGCCAGAGTCGAGGAAGAACTTCATTCTGGGACACAATGGATTGCGCAATCGCATGGCTTGGAGGCCTGACAAGACAGCATCGAACATGAATCTGATCCACTGGGATCAGGAGATGGTGCTGAAGGCGAAGTTCTGGATTCTCACGTGTTTCACCACGAAAGAACCGCCAAAGTTCTGCACAGTTGCTCAGTTTCCGGGCGTCAATCGCATGCAGCTGGAGAGATTGAAGATTGGCTGGGAATTCTCAAGCATTCGTCTGTGGTTCAGTCCTTATCGCACGACCACAGATCGTGAGATTGACTTCCTCACGCGTCCATCGACTTTCACGCAACTCATCTGGGCCACAGTGGAAGTCTTCGGCTGCACTCTGGCCGAGATCGATCAGGACTTCTTCGTCATTGTCTGTGTCTACGATCCGCCAGGGAATCGGATCCGGGAGCGTGTCTACGAGACTGGGATTCCGTGCTCAGAGTGTGAGAACACAGAAGCCTGCTCGGCCGTCTTCACTGGACTCTGTGGCGTCGACATGAGCGGCGCAGACAGGAAAAGTCCAAATCTCTGGGTTTTCTCCTCCTTTGGCACCATTTGCAGCCTAATTGCAGTGCATTGGCGAATTCTTCTGCAAATGACAAGCAATTAGCAGTGCGAGAGAGATGGCACAAGGGTCATAATCCCTCTGGCCATCAATCTTCTGCTTTTGCATAATGCCTCACAATCCCTTGTCACGCCGGAGATCGTTATCTTCGAGGGACGGCTTGTGATCTCACTCAGTGAGTAAGACTCGAGGCATTTCTGGACATTGCGAGGAAATGCACAAGTGTTGCTGGTGATAATTGCAAATTTTTCTCTGGACATTTTGCTGTATGAATTGCATTTTAGAGTGTTCAAATATTCTCTAAAATATTGTCTAAAATCGTCTTCATTCGGGGAAAATGTTATCAAATGGAGAGAATAAATTGTTTTCCATTTGCTAAAAATATAAATGGAATGAAAAATATATGAAATAATGAATTATGAAGTCGTTGTAACTTTATTTTCCTATCATATATTTTAAGTAAGCTGTCAAAAAAGTTGAATCCATAAAAATGCGTTGCAACATTGCAATTTGATGGCAAGAAAAGACGGAAAATACCTGAGAAAATCAAGAAAATAGATAATAATGATGTTTATAGGTTGATTAGCATAAATTTATTGGATTTATCTTGTTATTTGTGCACATTTAATTGCATCAGATTGAGGTTATGTGTTTCCGCACATTATTCGATCCTTTTTGAGGAAATTTATTGGCTTTCCAAAGGACATTTTGACCACATATCACGTCTTAAACACACCCTTGTGTGATGTCTTGTTATTGGGATTCACTATTTCGTCCTGTTGAACTGAATTCATATTAAATAAAGTCCTAACTTCGCCTTGAAACGCTTTCTCGTTCGTATGTTATTCATACTCTGTATTTTACACTAGCGCCGCCAGACGGCCGCCAATATAAGCGGTAAAAAGCGTAAAGTTACAACGCAAATTCGTAGCTTTTATGAATTGAAACACGAAATCTGTAAAGTTGCAGTGTTTTTTTTACTTACCTTTCTTTTGCTAAAAATCTCCTGAAAAACCACGGAAAAAAACCTTTCATGCCAAAGTGAAAGACAAAATGTTACATTTTACATACAATCTTTATTTTAAAACAATTATTTTCTCAGTTATGTTTATTACTTGATATGCGTAAAGACGTCTTAAGGATTTGTTTGTTTTTTTTTTTCTCTTGTGATCTCCATAATAATTTCTCATTGTGAAATGTCTCCAAAAAATGTCTACCATATAATTTTTCATCAATCTAATTTCAATTTCATTTTTTTTGTACAAATGTTTGTGATTTTGAGAAATATTTTTGAGCGTTTTGGCCATCTTTTTCTTTTTTCTTTTTGTCAATCTCTCTAAACTCTAAAGTTCACTGTTTTGATGGTTTTTTTTTATTTATTTCATAAAAATAAGTTGTTTTTAAAAAATAATAATAAGTAACATATTTTAAAAAATAATGCGAAACAATTTATTTCCTTTTCTTTCAAAAATTCCAATAAAAAATGCTTAAAAATTCAACATTGTTTGTTCTCCAAACTCTTTACACCACTTCGATATCTTGTATTTCCCTTCATTTTCTTTCTTTCTTTCTATCTTTTTTTTGGTAACTATTTCGTTTCATGGAAGTAAAAATATAATTAGTTATCTGTTCACCTTAAACTATTTTTTCTTTTTCTTCTTCTTCTTTTACTCTTATCGTGATAACTTGTTGCTTTGTTCCTTTAACAACTACAATTTATTAGTTTTAATTACAAAATATTGAGTGGCATTTTTTAGGAAACAAATATTATTTTTATGCGCTATTTTGTGAAGTTGATAATTCATTTACTTTTAACACAACCTTTAATAATACATCATCAGTTTGGTATACCACAATTAATTATAAAGAGAGAGGCATAAAAATATGGCTAAAGTAGCAGGAAATTGTTGTGAAGAAAAAGCGTACAAGAGGGAAAAAAAGAGAGAGAGAAAGAAGATGAAGGGAGAAGGAAGGACGATAAGAAGGGCGAACGGAAAGGGAAACGCAATAGAAAATTTCATGCTACTTTCTTGAATCACAAATGCAGTTTTTCTTACATTTTTTTTCTTCTCTTTTTTTCTACCTTTTATCGCGTAAATCAGTTTTCTTCTTCGTCTTCTTCTAACTTGTAATTGCAATTTCTGTGTCTTCTTTTCGTCTTTCACCAATCATTGTGAAGAATAACCAAAACACTAAAAATGTTTGTCATTCTTTGCCTTCTTTTTCTTTTCTCCACTTAACTTGTTTTCTACACTTTGAAAAATTTTTCTCGATAAAATTTGTATGATATTCTTTGTTTTCTTCTTTATTACCACTTTTTTTTTGCTCCACTAAATTTAATAGAATACATGAAAATTGTTTACTCAATTTAATATGTCGAAAATATTCACTTTTAGAGTCTTTCCTAATATTTTATTCAAAATTCTCTCTTCTTCTTCTGCAATTCCTTCTCCGCAGCGATTCTCCTTCCCAAATCTCTCTCGCACACAACAAACTAACCAAAAAAAAAACATAGAGATACACAATGGAAAACGTTTTCGGTCTCTCTTCAATTTTTTTTTCTCTTCATCGTCCATCTCTGCTTGTGCATCACATAGAAAATAAAATGCGAAAAATGTGTTCTTCCAGCATTCTTTTGTGCCTAATTTTCTTCTCTGCTCTCTTCGCTATTCATCTGCTCTTCGAGGGTGTTTTTTTTTTCTTCTCTTTTGATTCTTCTGCACATATTCACATGAGGAGAGAGAAAAAAATGCGTGCAGGTACCCGAGAAAGAGACGATTTTCAGAGCTTCTTCTTCTCTATTTTCACATCATTCCTCAAAAATATATATAAAAAAAAACGTCTCTGTGGCGAAGGAGGATCGAAGGGAGGATGTTTTTTGTCCTTCTTTTCTCTTCGACAAAAATCATTCAGCAGATGAATTTCTCAAATATTAGACATTACTCTTTAGGTACTTTACATCTAAATTTATAGAGCAATTCTCAATTACACACAGACATGTTAAAAACTTCACACATGTAAAGTTTTTAACATTCGAAATTAATAAGGAAAAAACATTCCTTGCTATTCTCACTGAAACAATGTTTTAAGTGTTTTAAGTGCCACCCCAAAATGTGTAAGAGAGGAAAAATGGTGAAATTTGGCAAAATTACTAAAATTCAAGCTCATAATTGGTAAATCTGTGATAAACAGAATTTATCGGAAACATAATTTATGTTTATGCTTGAAAATTAGAGCCACAATTGCAGATTGATTCAATTTTGCAAGATATTTGCAGATTTAAATCTGTCACTCATTTGCTTTTGACACATTTCACATTCTTTAAAACAACCTCTGAAGGTCGTTGTTAAATTACACATTCTGGCGATACAAAATGACTTAACACATGTTGACCAGAGTAGCAAAGGCGTGTGTTAAACCAATATAACACAATTTTTTTTTACCATTTTTACATATATTTTGTGTGTGACTCAGAATTGCTCCATTAGTTAATATTTAATTACACATTCAATATTTTTTTGCCTTTTTTTTAATTTAGAGGGTGGGTTTTTTTTCTCTATTACGCCATCTTCTTCCACTTCATCGGGAAGTGAGACAGGTTTCTTTTTTGTCGATTGGATTTAAGGTGAGCAGAAAATATAACACACTATCTATTACGCACTCTTGAGGTCCTTCAGATCATCCTGAGGTAGATGGTTTGCTATGTTTTGTCTCCTGAATAGATCTCCTAGTTTCTTGTCTTCCTTCCTTTTGCTAAAACACTGTCATCAATTCCCCTCTTTATTAACTACTCAATTTTTTATATATATATATATTTAAAATCTTTCTCCTTTTTTTTCATTTACGTATGTATTAATATTAATTAAATATTGATTTAGCATCAAATATTTTCTATAATTTGTTTTCTTTTTTTTATTTCTCTTAAAATTCCATCATTTCTTGCCTTGCTTTTTAATACCATATTTAAATATGTTAAGATTGCTGATATGGAATCTGACTTAATACATTTAAACTCTATCGTCTTCAAAATAGTATCTCTCTCTCTCTCTCTCTCTTCAGTGTCTCTCGCATCCCCTTATTCACCCGCATTCTTCTTCTCTTTTAAGATTTACAAAATGAAAAATAAAGTGTCAGTTAAGATCGTTGGTCAATATTCTTTAAAAATTCGGCATAAAATTGCTATATTCGATTTTTTTCTTTTCTTTTACTTTATCTCTTTCAACTGTGTCTATTTCATTCCTATTATTTTTTTCTCACAATATTTTAACTATATTCAATATTTGTACTTTGCTGGCTTTCATTAGAAAAAACTCTTGTATATAGAAAAAAATAAAAAAAAACAAACAAAATAAACAGCGACAATCTCATGAGAGGTAGTTTAAGTAGTTTCATTGTAGTTTCATTCCTTTGACGGTCGTAAATCACAATAAATTGTTCTATAAGAAATCTCTATGTAGGTAAAAAATGTTTTTTTTTTATTCTTCTTAAAGTTGTATTTCTTTATCTATGTCTTGTTTCTTTTTTTTTGTTTTCTTTGCTATCTCTACTCGCGAAGGTGTACATCACACTTCGCGAACACTCCTGAATCTCTGGTCCCTGGCGCCAGTAGCGCCTTAGGACCTTTGCAATGTTGGCATCTCGGAGAGAAAGGACTTTTCTTGATCTCTAGGAATTGGAAAATAAAAGTGTTTCATCTACGAAAAGCTTCGGGAATCTACACAGAGCCACTGATTGGCTCTCGCAGAACACGCCCACTTTGATGCCCCGCCCATTGTCGTAACTCCCGTCTAACTAAAACGGTCCGTTTCCGAAGAGGAAACTAATCAGGCAATTTTGGAGTGGAAGCAGTGAAATTCATCATGCAATGTTGTTGACTAACAATTGAAGGGGAAAATTTGGCCACATTGAAAGAACAGCCTACAACTTACCGAACGCCAGGCTCTGTGTAGGTCACAAGCTCTCCCCCAAAACCGGGAAAAGGGTCACAGTACTTGTCTAATCTTCTATATATTTGCTAGAGTACAATTATTGCTCAACGGCGCTGTGAGGGAAAACCAACCGAAAGTGAGCCTAGTGTCCTAGGATGACGTTGTTGGGCGCATTTGCGGCGGCGGCGGCGGCGGCGGTGGCCTTCTTGTTGGCGTTCTTGCCGCCGCCCGACTGCTTCTTCACGCCGGCCGCCTTCTTCCTGTGCACCTCCTTGTGCTTCATGAGGTGGTCCTTGCGGATGAAGCCCTTGCCGCACGTGTCGCAGGAGTAGGGCTTGTAGCCGGTGTGGAGGCACTGGTGGCGCCTCAGGTCCGTCTTGTGGTTGAACTGCTTGGGGCACTGGTCGCACTTGAAGGGCTTCTCGCCCAGGTGCTTCACCACGTGCTCCTCGTGCGTCTGGTCGCAGGGGAATCTCTTGCCGCAGCGCTGGCACTTGTAGGGCTTCTCGCCGCTGTGGAAGGTCTTATTGTGCTGCGTGAGATAGCACGCCTTGTTGAACACCTTGTCGCACTCCAGACACTTGAGCGGCTCCTGGCTCTGGCCCTTCTTCGTGCTCCTCGGCGCGCGGCGCGGCTTCGCCTGGCGCGCCGACGACGTCACGCTGGGCGACGACGGGGAGCCGGGCGGCGCCACGGCGCCCATCTGCGGCGTCAGCGGCCGCCCCATCACGGTGTCCGGCGGCATGTCCGGCGAGAAGGGCGGCACGGTGTCGCCGATGGTGTGCGCGAAGCGCGTGACGGGTGTGTCGATGTCGAACGCCGGCGGCTCATAGCCGGCCAGCGAGTGGTACGCCTCCCGATCGTCCTCGCCGTGATCACCAATAATAGTGGGATAGCTCGCCTGCGGCTCCGCCCGGAGCAATGGGATTGTGAGCTGGCATGCCGTAGGCGTAGCCGGCCTGTACGGCGGCGGCTCCATTATTGAACTGATGATGAGCTGGCTGGATGGGTGGATGGTGTGGATGGTAGTAAGTGGTGGCACCTCCTGGTGGGACGCCGGCGTGATGGCCATGTTCAGCAGGCCCCTCGGCTGGGAGGCATGGAGGGCGGAGGGACCTGCTTCCCCGTTTGGGGGATTTGGACAGAATTGCTGTGGCTGATACACGCTGTTGCTCTGCGTCACCTGACCCAGGAGGCCACCACGAAAATCCCCACCGGTGTACTGCGCCGCGCCGAAGTCCCCGTCGCCCGCCTCCATGGCCGAGGTGGCCGGCGGCTCGGGGGCGCTCATGTGGTGGTTGTTCTTGGCCTCGCGCGCCGGATGGTGGTGCGCACTGATGGGCAGCGTGGCCGGGTCCGGCTGCCCGCTGCTCTTCACCGCGTTCTTGTGCAGCGTCGTGTTGTAGTGGCGTTTCAAGTGGCCGGAGCTCGTGAACCACTTATTGCACGCCGTGCAGTTGTACGTCTTCGGCCGGCGCGCCTCGTTCGACTTCCACGAGGAGCTCTTGGTCTGCTGGCCGCTGGGCAGCGACGACGTGGCCGGCTCGAACTGCGTGCGGAACGCCTCGCTCTCCGCCGGCGTGGTGGTGGTAGGGAAGTCCGACTGGCTCGTGGACACTTGGTTATTGCTCGAGTCCGCGAACATCTTCACGTCCGGCGGCGGCAGAATCGTCTGCGACATGTATTCACCCTTCGACTGGCCGTACTCCGCCTTGGCGCCGCTCAGCACGGGCGGCGCGTAGGGCGCCTTCATGGGTGGGAAGTACTGCGGCTTGAGCGTCTGCTGCTGCGGCATGTAGCTGGACTGCGGCTCGTGCCACATGAGGCTGTGCCGCTGCATCGACTGCAGCGGATGCAGCGAGTGCATCGGCGGCAGCACCGTGTTGTCCGCCAGCACGCCCTCGTGATGGTGCTGCGGATAGACCACCTTCTGCGAATCCAGGTCCAGGATGTCCGACGTCGTCTCCTCCTTGATGTACGCATGCTGCGGCGCCTGCTGGCCACCCATGGGATACGCCATCGAGTCTGTGTCCTGCCCATCGCCGTGCTGCGTGGCACAATGCTCATTCAGGACATTCACGGAGTCACACACGAAGCCACACTTGTCGCACTGCTTCGGAGATACCATCTGATGATCGCCTTCAGTTGCCATTTGCTGCTTTTTTGTGGTTCAGCAGAAGGAGAGAAAAAGAGAAAAACAAGGACGAACATCAAAATCGGCCACATTTTCTTATGAACAAGGAAGAAATGACAAAAATTGCCCAAGATTTTGCCACAAATTTGACGTTTAGAAGGGAAATTAAGGATTCACGTGGCAGAAAAGCTTCCTTGATTGCAAATTCATGACATTTTTCGATAGAAAATCTCCAACTGATTCTACTAATTGTTCATTTGCAAAGGAGAAATTCAAAGAATTGAAAGGTGAAATAGTCTTAAATTGCAGTCAAACGCATTTTTGGGGAAAAATTTTAAATTTTCAAACATATCTTTAAATGTTTTTGAATTGTAAATGAATATTTCTGATTTAAAAGTTCAAATAAAGTATGAAAAAGTTGATAAAATGTACTCAAAGACTGTTAAAAATCGACTTTTAAAAAGTGATATTTTCAGTAAATCAACTCAAAATCCCTCAAAAATCAATTAAAACACTGTTAAAAGGTGAATAGAAATATTTTAAGTGACACAGAGTTGAAATTCTTCAGAAATTCCACCACTTTCACCCCATTTGAGGGCGAAAGATTCGCCACTGACCCAAATTCTAATGAAATTCATTAGAAACTTTTCATTCACTTTCACTCTCGGTGGAAAATTTGCATCACGTGAAGATTTGCTGTTCTCTGTCGGGGTGCAAAAGAAGGGTTTTTTTTGAGGGGCGGTTAGAGGATCACTTTCACTATGAATAGCACAGAATGCGTGTGCATTTTTTTTACCCAGGGAAACGGCCACTGAAACATGGTGAGGAACTGCATGGAAACTTCGTCCTGCGGAGCTAATCAGTAGGTAAACTTGTGACTGTGCGGCACGCAGAGACAGGAGTGAAGCCAGGTATTTGGCGAGACGGAGGAAAAGTGGGCTGCAGAAGGTCTAAATGACCCGAAGGGTCAGAAATCAAATTTAATTACGGCAATATTTTTCCGTCTCTCGCTCTCCTCTTTCAACCCTCCATAAAAGTGCGCTTTTCTCTCTCTCACTCTCTCACTCTCTTTCTGTATTTCTTACGACGGAGCAAAAGTGAAACTCTAAAGACAAATTTCTGGACAACATTTAACAACACATCCCAAGAAAAATTCATCTTCAAACTCTCTCAAAATTCACGCAAATTTTCCATCCACCGGCGCGCGAGAGATTTTGTCCCAAAAGGTGACGAGAGTTCAATCTCTGCCTTTTCGGACATTTCTCTTCCAGGGCCAGGAATAAAAAAAATCGCCTGCGTAGGCAAAAATGCCCCTTCTTTTTCGCCATTTGAATAATTTAGCGCGCAAAGGGTGGGACGCCAGGGGGATTAAAAACACCCTCGGCGGGCGTCGGAGGCGCGCAAAAGGAGTTGAAAATTGCGTCGCTCGACCGACCGTTCTCTGGACGCCTCTTTTCTGGTCACTTCACACCAAGGCGCAGCGACTCGTGACTATTTGTACAGTCGCAAAACTTTCAGCACCTCTCAAAAGTGGCTGGTGAAATATTTAGAATGTTTTCATTGCAAATTGAGGTATTTTCTGAATGATTTTGCGGAGAAAAATCAATTTTATTGATTTTTTTGAGGTTATGTGATTAATTTAAAACCAATTCTGGCCATTAAATAACCCTAAAATTTAGAAATTTGGTGTTTAAACTAAGAATATTACTCTTTTCTCAACAAGATTTGAGCATTTTGGTTCGAATAAAACTTCATATTGACTGAAAATAGGATTCATAATCAATCATAACCTCAAAAAATATGATTTCAGTCTAAAATAATGTCTCTTTTCTTAGTTATTTTCGCAGTTTGTGCTTAAAATTGGCAAATTCAACCTCATTATTTAGTGAAAACATTGTGATATCCGCTGTAATTACTCAATTTCAGATTCGAAAGGATTAAAATTAGTCTAAAGAAGGCTTTTTAAGCTGGATTTAAAACCGCATAATTTGATCAGAAATTTTCCAAAGACAAAAATCAAGACAGAAATTATTTTTGAACAATTCCTGGGATATTGAGATCAACTCAGGCAATCTGACGTCTCAGCATTTGAAGAGCTTAAACTTGTTGAGACGGAAAAACCAAGATCAAATTGTGATAAGTTAGAAATCAATAAGAAAAGCAATTGAAGAAGTCTAAAAAATGCCTTTCAAAGGCGTTCAGAAGTCTCTGAAGTGTTGAAGATTCATCAGAGTGCAAAAGTTTTAACTCATTTTACCTGAAAGTGATTTTGCAACACAATTTGAGGAGTTTCCAAACAAGAAGAATTTATCTCTTAATCGCCATGAGAGTTATTTCTTAAGATATTTAACACTTTTAGCCACTTTTTTTTGCTCTTTCTGTGCTTTTTGACTTCTTGCGAACTCTAACGGAATTCACTCAAGTTAAACCAGAGATAAACCAATACGTTAAGTAAAAGCTGATCCAATTGTCGTGAATTTTGTTCAAAGATCCTAATGTGCAACTTCTGGTTTTTTTTCTTGAGGTTAAGACAGTTTTTAGAGTAAGTTCATCATGTTTCTCTCTGTAAATGCAAAACTGAAGAGATTCATGTACACAAGAGTATCCTAAGGATCAACCTTGAATATTGGCAAGACGACAGCGAAGGGTTGAAGGCGAGTATTGGGAAATCTTGCGGGGCTTAAGAGGTGGGGAAATGGGGTTGATTGCGGGGCTAAAAGGCGGACAGCGGGCGAGATGTTCGCCCCCTGGCGCCGGCGGACTCACCATTCTGACGGAGGTGGAGTTGATGATGGTGTCGGAGAGCGGCGCCGCGGCCGCGGAGGTGCTGGCGAGGTGGTGCGGGGGCGAGGGCGGAGTGTGGTTGTTGATGGGCTGCTGATAGGGGTGATAACGGTGTGAAGGCACTGGTTTGTACTCGTGTTGCTGCCGCGGCTGCTGGCCCATCATCTGCATGCCGTCGTAGTTGTTGAGCAGGCCGTAGCCGGGCTCGTAGGGCGGGGCGAGGAAGGGGTGGCCGTAGTAGCCGGGCTGCTGCCCGTAGCGCGCGTCCTCGAAGGCCGTGGTGGAGCAGATCTGGTGCAGTGGCGACGGCGGCTTGTTGTCGCTGGAGTCCGCCGGGGCGGCGACGGGATTCTGCTGGTGGCCGGCCTTGTCGTCGGCCGGCGCGCCGCTGGGTGTCTTGCGCTTGAATGGCTGATTGTTGTTCTCCGAGTCCGTGGGCGACACGGAGGCACCCTCGCTGGGCGACGTGATCCTCATGGTTGATGTTGGCGATGGGGCGCTGTTCCAGCGGCCGGCACTCTCATGGTTGAAGTGGATGTGCACTCGCAGCGACGCCGCGGTGTCCACCATCAAACCACAGAAGCCGCAGACCAGATTCGCCGGCTTGTGCTCGCTCGGATGCTTCTGGCTCGGCCGATTCTGACTGGCCATCTAGCGCTTCCCTCGCGCGTCACACCGCCACTGAGGAGCACATTTCCTTCGCGCCTCAGAGTCGCAAACTTTTCCGCCGCACAACAAAATGCCAACACACTCCGGACGAGCGCGAAGGGCCCCGAAGGGACACAACAGACAGAGAGAGTGAGAAGTGTGTGTGTAATCAACAGATGCTCTCGTCTCCAAGTGCCTGTCAAAAATCCTTCCTCCGGACTCACTTTGGGGCATCCGCCGTGTCTCCGGCTGTCCCGTAAGCTCCCTGCACTGGCCGATGCAAGTCCTGCGGATCAGGAAAATCACTCACTTTGCTCTCGCTCAGCGCGCTCTTCTCTCTCTCTCGCTCTGTCTCTCGGCGAAACGGCACAAAAGAAACTTTTCGGAAGAACACCAACAACAACAAAAAAAAACTGATTAAATTTTGTCCCGCGCTTTTTCTCTGGGTCCAAGGCAAGATAAACAACTCAGGGCAGAAGAGCCAGAAATTCACGGGCTTCACAAGCGCACAAAAGTGGGCAAAAGAAGAAGGAAAAATTGACGGAAAAGAAGGGAGAGAACTAAAAAGGGAAGAAAAAAAAGCGCCCGAAAAGTCCTGAGCAGAGCTCTCTCGTTGGAGTCTCTTATTATTCACACTCAAACGGTATCATTTTGGCCCACAGTGGAGATTACAGGCGAGACTCTCTTTCCAGTCAAATTGTCCCCAACAAACAACTCTTGGGCTTCCACTCTTCTGGAGTTTTTGGTCTGTTTGCCACTTTTGTCCACCACACACACGACCGCACAGTTCAACTCGTCGAAGCCAAATGAACGAACGCTGCGAAATACAACAAGACGATGCCATCCTCTGGCTATGTACTCACATCTTCACATAAGAGAGGCTAATAGATGCGCGAGCGAGACGACTATACACCATTACAGGTGTACATTTTTACTGTAGCAGCGATTTCCTGTAGAAAATAATCTCTTCTCCCGGCAAAACGAAGCTCTGTGCTGGGCGACGGAGGGCCACAGTTCGGCCCCTGAGTGAGACGGAATCATCAATTTCATATTTAATTACAATTCCATGCGATGTGCTCAAGATTCCCGCTCTGGCACTATGCAAAATACAGCCTCTCCTCCCCCTCGGGGAGCCGGACTCCCCTATACACGCAGCGTCCAGGCGGAGAGATAGATCCTAGATGGCCAGGCCAGATAGCCAGCCCACCACCCTCCCTCTGCTCGAAGCACTCTCCTCGAGAAGGGTGAATTGAATTCTGGGGGTTGCGGCAGAAGATGGGCACTTTCTCCTCTCTCACTGGATTTGGTTAAAAATGCAAAAATCAATAAAACGACCACCCTCGTGTCCACACACATCCTCTCTCTCTCATCTCCGACATTCCGGGGGCGCGCACGGTGCGGCCGGGGAGGGAGAGATGTATGGCTATTTCAAAAATTAATTCGCCCAAGCAATGCCTTTCCAAGGGGATGTGGAGGAAAAATATTTATACGCGCACTTCCACAAAGGGGACACAGCGAAGGGTTTCGCAAGACACTTCCTCAAAATGATTTCTCTTGATTGATTTATTTGAAAGTGGTAGTTTTCACCCCTTTCTTTTCAAATCGCCCCACAGCCAACGGATCGCAGAATAGGGAAGTGACGCGCACAGGGTGAGATGAGAAGAGAGCCGAAGGAGAAGAAACACATGAGAATGTTGCATTAAAAGAGTGAGAAAATACTCGAGTCGCTCGATAAGTAACACTCGGTTTTGCTTAACACAACTTTCCCATGATTTCACTGTTAAATTATAAATTATTAGCATCAATTCCGGTTTAGTATCAAATTCAGTTACTATCAAATCCAGTTTCATGTTATTTTTACAAATAAAAATTCATTTGAGATATTTAGGAAAATTAATTTTTCTTATAAAATGTTCTCAATAAAATTAGATTATCTGAAAACAAAGTTAAAAGACTAAAATATCAAATTATTATTGATTTAAACATAAATGATATTTTTTTATAATAGAAGTATTTAATTCTAGTCTTTTAAAATAAATGTATGAAATTTTTATTTTTATTTTTATTCTTATTATTATTAATTTTTTATCTATTTTTTTTTATTGAAAGTGTAACTAGGATTTCAAAAAAATTATTTTTATATTTTGTATAATCGCGATTGTATATTAAAACTAAATTCTATTTCATAATTACTTAAAAAAAACTATTTTTTTACATCTAATTTTAGGGGAAAAATAGGTTTTATATAGACTTATCAGTCATTGAACTGTCGATTTGTGTTAAAAAAGAAAATTCCCCTAAATTCGTATCGATAAGTGTCGATAAGTTCAACAACACTTGTCGACATTTCACTGAAGTTGTTCTAAATATTGATTTCTTTAAGAGTTCTTGAGGAAAATTCCCAACAGTCATTAATGACGATAACTTCTGCAACAACTCCTGCGTCTCTTTTGGATATTATTGCTCAACGGTGGAAAAAAATTGTGTGCTGCGGAAGAAGAGGAGCGAGATCATTTGTGAAAAATACGAGAATCATCCACTTTTTTTGTGTGTGTTTATCTTGGGAAATATTTAATTAAGCATCCCTCGGCTCAATTGCATCGCAGGATCTGGAGAGAAAGACGACACAGAAGCGCACAAAAGTGCCGTTTTCGGTGCATCTTCAGCGCTATTGTGGTGAATCGCGAGGAGTGTCTCAGGATGTTGGACTTTTTGGCTGTGATTTGAGATTTCCCTGTGGTTCCCGAGGAAGAAGAAGATGGTTTCGAAGAGGCACGAAAATAGAGGCGTTGTGAGTCCATTTTGTGTGGATATCCCTCTTCTGGTGAAGGGTTGGCAAAATGTATATAGACAAAAGTGAGATGGAGAGAAAATTTTAAGAGGAGATCCTTCTTCATCTTGAGGCCAGCGACAGTGTGGAGTTTTTGGGAAAAGGCAGGCAGGAAAATGGTAAATGTGTGATATGTTGAACACAGTTTTGGGCCTCTTTCTCTCTCTCATGGCTCTGCCGATGTCCCTCCGGCACACAGGGCCAAGGATGGTAGGGAAGGACGCTGAGGGGAGACGCGAAGGGATGACTCTCGGGTGGTGGTATTTGTATTTGAGAAGGCACACAAGAGTTTGCTCGAAAACACCCCGTTGCCGGCGAGTGTGTGGTGTGAGTTAAAATACACACATCAGCATTTGCATGAATTTTCTCTCTCTCCCTCCTCGCACACCGCCTCCCCCCCCACCTAGCCACCCCTTCGCCTCCCAACCCTTGGCCATGGGCCAGAGGCTGGGTGGCGAAGAGAGAGAGAGAGAGATGTGGGCTGAAAAGCGAACAACCCTTTCCCAGGACGAAGGCACAACCCCACCTCCTCCCTCGCTTCACACACGCTGAGATATTCCCAGCACTCGAAGGGTGGGTGGGGGGAGGGTGGATAGAAGTTGCCCAAGCACGAATTAATGTCATGGACATTTACTATGTGTGTACTTTACTTGTACACATTCGGATCCGACACCCCCGCCTCGGATGCCGTATAGGCAAAATTTCCAGCCGCACTCGCTCTCGAATTTCTCTACATAATCTAACCCCCGCGCCGTAAATTCATCCCCCAGCACAGAGCGGCACGTATCTTAGCCACGAGGCGGCCCAGGACATGGCGAGATCTATCCGGGCGTCCTGGGAATGCCATTAAATATCCATGTGAGTGCGCGCGCGAAATTCTACATTCATGCTGGTGGAAAATTCACAGGACGGCGGGGGGCGCAGGACAGAGTGGACGCGCGGGGCGGACAAATAGAAAGTATTTGGGGCTGTCGTATTTGGGGGGCGGGAGAGTGCCCGAAAAGCGCTCGCTTCCCCGAGCGCGCTTCTCCCCCTTTTTCAATGTATTTCACAAGACCGCTTCGGACACTAAGTCTAAAATTGAAGAAAGGGTTCCACAAGCCACCCCCTTATCCTATATGTAAAATACATAACATTGAAACATTCAGTTTTCGGTCGGTCGATATCTCAAGTAGCCTCCCTGCGTCCACCCACATCCCCTCACCCCTTGCGAGTTTGAGAGGCCCCGCTCTCGCCCCCCGATCCACTCCTTTCCCTCTATGGCTCTCTCCCCCCAACCCGTCAGTATACACATTATAATCGCCTCTGCTGGCTGCCGCTTTCACTTGCCTTTCCCCATCGTCTCACCAGCGCCCGGCCTTCCCTCGCAGTCTTCCACTTTCACTCTCGCCCTATGGCCACCCACTCAGCCATCACAGCACCACCCGCACCCACACCAGCGCCCAGCATCAGTGTGTGTATCACGCACTGTAGATAGGGCTGTGTATATTGAACGACCAAGCCGCCCCGACCCTCGCTTCCACCCGCACACACCAGTTAAGAGACTGGCGCTCCTCTGCTGCTGCCGGACTAACATGAAAATGGAAATTCGCGTGGAAGCAGAGACGAATCCACCGGACGGGCGCCGCAGCATCCTTTCGCCCGTGCCGCCACGGGGCGATAGATGGCTCTGTGCCGATGTGAGCTAGTCAAACTGAGATCTGTTTCTCTGGGGAATTCGGCCATGTTTGTTTTTCTTCAATTTGTTGTTTTCAAAACTCCCAAAATAGTGTTTAAAGCAAATTGAAATGAAATATTTGTAGTTAATCTTAAGTTTAAAAATTCTAATGTTTAAAATTTTTCATATCCAAATATTTAAAACTTTTAAAACAGTGTTGATTGTTTTAAAGTGTTTAAATACTTCAAATTTGATATGATAATTAGTTTTTACTGAAAGTCTATTGAATATAAAGATTTCCACAGCTTTCACTGGCGCAACATTGGATATCTGCAGAGGAATCGGTGCTTGATAAAATCGCTGTGCGTGGCATTTGTGCTGCAAATCCTCTATTAGGCCATGCAAAATCCCATTAAACAAAGTCCTCGTCCATTAAACCCAATGCAAGGGTGGAAATTTGCCTGAAAAGTAGCGATAGGGTTGATGTGTTATCACCTTTAAAGGCGTCCAAACTCCTTGAGACGCCCAACATTGCAATACATCCACTTTAAAGTGTTCTGAATGCGTCCCTGTTTTATGTCCACTGCGCCGCGCGGACGTAATTTAAATTTCTCTCCTTGCGTCGCTGTAAGTCCAAACTTCTACATTTTCGCATGTTCCGTATAAACGTAATGGATTTCAATGCTTCCAACACAAATTCCCCCTTTTTTCCTCTTGGCCAAGTGTGTGCGAGAGAGGGAGAGCGAGCAAGCACACCAACTGAGTCTCGGGGTACCCCCAGTGAAAATACACCCCATCCCCCCAAACATCTCAGATGCTGTGTGCGCCCTTTACTCTGTGGCCGCCCGTCGCACTCGCACAGCACACTGGCCGGGCGCGCGGCGTCTCGCTCGCACACAGGGTGGCGCCCCACACCGCCACTTTGTACAAACACACGACTTTTGCGATATCTCGAAAGCAGGTCCACTCCGAAGGGTGTTTGGCTGAATCAGTCCACCCCCCCTCACACCCCATCCACCCCCCAGCCCAGCGCTTTAACACTCTCGCTCTCGCTCACATCCTTCCTATATTATTCATATAAGTCCCCCACACTTCCCTCCCCCCGCCCCACGGGGATGCTGGCCTCACCAGATCGGCCCCGGTCTATATGCTAAGGAGGTCCCCTCTCGTCCGCCCACACGTCTCCCCCGCCGCCCTGCCGATGCTCCTTGTCCACCCCCGGCGCCCCATGTGAAAATATATGATTTTATGTTAAACTATATGCTGTTTTACATACGCACACACACGCACACGCACGGCAGATGGGAAATGTGCGTAGGCAAGAGAGCTGGGCAGTGTGGGTGGCCAAGGGCCATATAAGGAGTGGAATATGTGCTGTCTCGGGCCCCGGCTAAAACTGAAAACACACTTTCCAGGGGTGGGTGGCTTTTTGAGAGCCACCAGCCAATCCAATAGTAGTGTACAATTTCATCAGCCCACCCCGCCCGGCGCCCACACCACGGCGCCGTCCAAAAACTTACCATACCAAAAAGTACAAAAGGGGGTTGAGCGGGGGTGCGGGGGTTGCGTCCGTATCTCACGGAGAGCCGAGAGCCTGTATAGCAACGCCGCACTTGCCGAAATATCTCTCTAAACAGAACACAAGCCTGTGCCCGAGTGGCGGGGGCGCGCGCCCAGAGGGGCTCTCAATGGGGTTTTCATCTTAAATTTAAACTTTAAACTATACAAACACACACACACGCACGCCATTTCCACACACCCCCGGCAATTGCCGAGAAACCGACGTTCAAGTCATTGGGAAATGAATGTGATTAAATTTCAACATTGCCGAGGATGCTGAGATGATTCTGGCGCGCTTGGAAACTTGCCTGTGAGATAATTCTGGTCGCCTTTTGATGAGAGAAATTGAGTGGGTTGACTTTTATAGTGGAAAATCATACGAAGAGAGAGTGTGTGTTTCTCAACATCACAAATGGACCTTTCCCAGAGGCACAAACTATATATCCCATTAATACCCCTTACAGTTAAGGGCGTTTCCCCCCATATTTGGCGTGGCTTCTTGTCGCAATTTAAATTCTCAACTGGCCCAGAGACTTTTGAGAAAATGGAAGTCATATATCAACTAATTGGAGTGGCACACACCCAAGAAGGACATGAAGAAGAAAAAAATGGGGAGAATTGCACTGTGAGGCACTTTTGCACAATAAAAATATCCTTTCTTCCTGCAATTTCTACCATGTGACGATGGATTTTTGATCATTATTACAGTAAATCAGTTCCTGAGAAATCCAAGGACTATATTGCCTTGACAACACCAACAATCAGGACATCTGATTTATTGCCTTCACTTCTTGCAACATTCTGGAAAAAGAGAAGTCAATTTTCTAAATTTACCTCAGCGACACGAAAATATCTGGTTAGTTTTTCTTTTGGTCACGATTTTCGTCTCAAATCAAGAAGTAACGTAAGATTTTAGTTCATGCAAACATTGCTTAATCTTAATTGATAAGCCTGTGTTTGATTGGTTTTCTGTCAATTGACAAAAATAACCGTATTTCAATGAAAATCAATCAAATGCTTCTTTACAAGCTTGTTTCTTGGGTGAAACTGCAGCAATTCTGAATTATTGTCAAATTAGAAGTAAAAATGTGCGAAAAAGTAGAGAATTTGACGGAGAAATTGGATTTTTTTTAATGAATTTCCAGTGCAACTGGGCGGAGCATTCTAGTGGGCGGAGCCAAATTGTCAAAAAAATTCAATTCAATTAAATGCTCGATAAATTGATTTGCTGCAGATAATGAATAATCTTCATCTTTCCTCACTCTTTCTTCTTGGTTAATTAATGAATATATTGAGATTCTTTTTATGCGCAAAAATCCTTCCGGTTTTTGGGTCAATTAAACTCAGCTGGAGGCGGAAAATGATCTCAAGATGGTTGAATTTCCATGAATTTCTCAGTCACTGTCGTCAGAATGTCCAGGGCTCGTGAACCAGGTCGAAAGGGATGCTTTTTTTATGCTCGATGGAGTGTGATTGAGGAAAATTGGGAGAGAAAAATAAATACAGAAAAGAAGCTGGACTGCATGTTCTCAAAAGTGAGGAACTTGCCAAGAAAATGTGTGCGTCTTTCTTCTTCTTTTTTTTCGCCTCTCCGTTGGCCGAGGGAGAAAATAATCGACAACCCTTGCAAATTTTCCATCATTTTCTCATCGTTTCGCCTCGTCCTCCGCACACAGGCCACCGGGAGAGGGTGGAAATTCACGAGAGATGGTCGATTTAAAGTGATACATGGACGGACTCTCGCCCTCACATGGACGGGAGAAATTTTCACTTTCTCTCACTCTCACTCGATCGATTGCAGAGGGTGAAATCGCCAAAGGATTTCCCATTCTATTTTGCATTAATATTGAAATATTCTCGCTCTCCTCTCTCTTCCTTGGGCGTTCAGTGAATTTTTAACGAGGACTTTTTACACCAACGCAAAATGTCACACATTTCTGCTGGGATAATGGTGTGAAAATGAGAGAAAATCTATTATCAGCACAGAAAGTCTTTGATTTTCTCCACTCTCATGGTTGAAAATCATTAAAATTTCGCACTTTTAGTGCTTTTAGTGTAGGAAAATCAGTTGAAATTCAATCGCCTCTCAACAGGACTGAGGCGCTCTCTAGTGGCCAGCACGCGACATTTCCCGCCGGTTTCCAGTCCCTTCAGAGCGCTTTCAGCTGTCATCGAACAGTTTCCACAAACAAATCCGCGTGATTTTTGGTGTTTTTGGCCGCGATGTCTGGGCAGGATTTGCTCTCTGACCAGGGCTTGAGGCTCGACGGGCGACGTGCTGGGGAGCTGCGGCGGATTCAGTGCAAGCTGGGCGTGTTCAGTCAACCGGACGGCAGTGCATATCTGGAGCAGGGAAACACCAAAGTCCTCGCCGCCGTTTACGGGCCTCACCAGGCTTCCTCCAAGAGGATGAACGTGGAGGAGGCGGTGATCAACTGCGAGTACAGCATGGCCACGTTCTCCACGGGTGAGCGGAAGCGGCGCACGCACAGCGACAGGAAGTCCAAGGAGATGACAATGCACATCCAGCAGGCGTTGAGCGCTGCCATCAAACTCGAGCTCTATCCGCGCTCGCAGATCGACGTGTTCGTGGAGGTGCTGCAGGCGGACGGCGGCAACTACTGTGCGGCCATCAACGCCGCCACTCTGGCCCTCATCGACGCCGGCGTCTGCCTGCGGGAGTTCGTGTGCGCGTGCACGGCGTCGCTGGCCAACGGGAAGGTGCCGATGATGGACGTGTCGCACATCGAGGAGGTCAGCGGCGGAGCCACGCTCACTGTCGCCTCCCTGCCGTCGTCCGGGAAGATCGCCTTCCTGGAGATGTCCCAGAGATTCCACCTCGACGATCTGCCCAGAGTGCTGGAGCACGCGCTCGCGGGATGCCGCGAGGTGAAGCGCGTGCTGGATCAGGCTGTCCGGGAGCACGTGCTGCGCGTGGGCTCAGCAGGCGACTGGGGCGCTATCACCAAGTAGAGAATAAAGTATTTTTCCGCTAAGAAACTGCAAGACTTTTAATCTTTGTCACTCCCTCAGCTGGAAAATGACTCCATTTGCATTTTTAACCCTTGCAGGTAACTAGGAAAATGAGATTTATTTGAATTCCTGTCTATTCTATTTATTCAATTTATTCATTCTCGAAGCATTAACAGGTGAAAATAACGTGAATCTATGTTTCTAATAATAATAATAGATAAAAATGCTTCAGATTTAGCTAAAATCTGTGCTTTCTGAGGTGGTTTTTAATGGCGTTCAATGTGTGAGCAACATTTTTCTTCAATTGCTGAGCTAGATAGATTTACTAACTTGACTGTGTGTCCATAGAGTATGTCGATCCAAACGACAAATCACTTGGAGAGTCTCATCAGCACCATCAAGTATTGATACATGGCTCTGAAGCACTGGAAAAGGTGAAAAATCGACAAATAAATCGCTTTACAGAAGACGCTAAGGAAAGACGTTTGCTTACTGTGATCAGCGTCTCGAAGTTGAGTGGGAAAAAGGACATTGCCGACGGAACGACGACATTCTGGAGCATGTGAATGATGCTCGAGTACGTCTTCTGCTTCCGCGATGGCAGCAAATACCACTTCGTCCCATTGACTCGCATCTGCACTCGCTCCACGCGCATCATGTAGATTTCGCCAAATGTGCAGAGCGTGAATATTTGCCAGGAGAAGAGAACAACCAGCACAATTCCGTTCATCCACATCTTCTGCAGCAGCACGAACAGCGCAATGGCGTCACTAATCATGCTGCTGGAAATCACCACATAAGAATGGAAACCGAAGATTTTGTCCTGAATTCTCATGAATTTGTTGTGCTTCTGCAGCGCCAGCATAATTACACGGATGTAATCATTCAGCTGCTTGTTGTTCACTTCAATTTCCTGATCTTGTCTCTCCAAGAACGCCGTGAGATCTTCACAGGCGACGGCAATTGCCTCAATCTGTCCACACCCGATGGCAATGGAGTTGATGAACATGAACTCCGTGATGAAGTAAATGCGATTCCAGAATATTATCATGATTATGTAGTACGCGAGATTGATGGCGTATCCCGAGGTGGTTTTCTCGTCCAGCACGGGCAGAACAGAGATGAGCGGCAAGAGTTTGGAGCCAGCCACGGCGTAGGTCAGCACACACAGCATCACCAGACCCGTGCCCAGCACAATGTAGATGCGATGGACAATCGGACGAGCCCAGTTGCAGAATTTGATGTACTTCTCCAAAACACTGCGTGCTCTGGCGTTCTCCTCGAAAATGGCGGCGAAATCGCGAGCGCAGTAAGCGAATTCCGCCATGTTTGGCCTGTCCGAAATCTGCACGTAGACTTTGGCACAACCCTGAAGCATCATGCCAAAGGCGAGAATGGCTGTCGTCATATCTTCCAGATTGTCGGAGAATCGATAAATGGACGTGGAGGTGTTCACAAAGTATGTCAGTGAGATGATGAGTGTGGCGTAGGTCTTGATGTTGTGGGACGTGACAATAGCGCCATGCTCAAAAGTGTTGCATCCGGTAAACTGCAGAAGATTGCTCTGCTGCAAGAATGTATCGAAGCACGCCAGAGCCAGACTTTCACGATTTTCGGCCATTTTGAGAGTGGAAAAAATGCAAAATACACCAACAGTGTCGATGCGAACAATCTTTCTCTGAAACTAATACAATGCGTCGCATGCGCCAGTTAATATCCTTAGTTTTGTATGCATGGAAGCTAGAAGGCTAATTAAACAGGTGCAAAAGTCTCGCATAAAAGTTTGTAATTGTGTTGAGAGTGTTTTTACACGTGGAGAACAAAGTTTTGTCATTGGTGTTTGAAAGGAGGTCATGAAAAGCACTCATGTGGATTACTTTGCGGGTGAATTGGGATCTCTGGAGTCAATTTGGAATGTGACAAATGTGAATCGTAATTTTTATTTTAAGTATTTTCGCTGAATTCCTCGAAATATCTTGGGGAAAACTAGTCAATAAATGAATTAAATATTGGAGCAATTCTTAGTCACGCAAGAAATATAAAAAATTTGTTATTTTCTATTCTGATTCGCATGTGTTAAACCATTTTTTAACGCTTGAACGTGTAATTTTAACACGATCTCCAGAGAGATTGTTTTAATTAATGTGTCAAAATCAGAGTGACAGATCGGAAACTGCAGATTAACTTATAAAAAATGCTGAATCTGCTGGTGAAATCATTCAAAACTCTAAAACACTGTCTTAGCGAGAATACAAAAGTGTGTTTTTCCTTGATTTTAAAAATTCCTCGTATTATCCACGTATTATTTACACATCAATCACAGTAGCGAGTTGAAGAAGAAAACTCAGTTTCTTCATGAAAGCATTTTCCCCGAGGAACTTTCACACATGAATATTTTAAATGCACCTCTTTTTGGTGTCACTGTGCGAATGCGTATGAAATCCAGGTAAGAGAACTGCGTCGAGAGGTTTTCTAGTGTGAAATCAGTATTAAAAGTTTGCTTCAGAACAGATTGCAAAAGAAAACATTCCAAACATTCTAAAAGGTGTATGAAGAATGACTCAATTTTAGAGTCAAATGAAGTCTTATATGCTAACGCAGCCCCGCCGCGAAATTTGTTCCTGCGCAAACCTCAATTTCAAACTCTTCTTCGCGATTTATTTATTCATGCTGCGATAATCACACCAATTTTCACACACTTATCGGAACGCTCAGGACTCGTAATGAATTCACGTGATTAAATCGATTTGATAAATAAATATATCAACAGAATAAAGCGCTTTATTGCCTACTGAAAGTCACTCAAGAAGTCCGCCAGGAGTTTTTCTCTGCTGCGCTCTCGGACGGCGGCAACGAAGGCGTCCAGCACTTCTCGTCCCTCGAGGACACCCTTGAGATTGTGCACGGTGCCGTCCTCGATCCGGTGGTCAGTCACTCTGTCCTGGTTGAAGTTGTACGTGCGGATCTTCTCGTTCCGCATGCTCGTGCCCACTTGCTTCTTGCGCGTGCTTCGCGTCGACGCCAGCTGAGCCTCGAGTTGCACTTCGTAGAGGCGCGCCTGGAGCTTCTTCAGCGCCAGCTCGCGGTTCTTGATCTGGCTCTTGCCCGCCTGGCACTCCACCGCCATCCCGGACGGCAGGTGTGTGATCCGCACGGCGCTGTCCGTCGTGTTCACGTGCTGCCCGCCGGCGCCGGTGGCGCGCTTCGTCTCGATCTTGAGATCCTTGTCGTGCAGCACGACAGTGACGTCGTCCGGGCGCGGGATGATGGCCACGGAGACGGTGCTGGTGTGCACCCGACCGGACTTCTCCGTCGCCGGGATGCGCTGCACACGATGGACGCCTCCTTCGCGCTTCAGCGACTGAAAGGCGTCCTGACCAGTGATGCACAGACTGGCATGGCGAATGCCACCGATTTCCATCTGATCCTCCTCGAGAACCTCAGTCTCCCAGCCCCTGGAAAGCCGACTGTAGCATTATTCGCCTGGAATAGTCGAATTCCTAACGACAATTTACCTGAAATCACAGTATTTCGCGTACATGTCGTAAAGATCTCTGGCGAAGAGCATCGCTTCCTTCCCACCAACGCCAGCAGTCACTTCCAGGACGAATGACTGATAGTTGTCACCCTCGGATTCATTCACTAGCGCCTGCAGGAGTTCCTCGTGAATCTCACTCAGAGTGTTCTTGAGTTCAATCTCCTCTTCAGCGGCCAATTCCCGGAACTCCTTGTCTTTCTCCTCCTGTGCGATTTTCCTCAATGTGGCAATATTCTCCACGATCCTCTCCCTGCGGTCTATCACCTCGCACATCTCTGAGAGCTGGTGCCATCGCCTTCCCTTGTGCTGACTCTCGGAGAACTCCTTCCGGATCTCTTCCAGGTACTTCACAAACGCCTCCTTTGACCAGATGTCAGTGGAATCACTGCTCAAACTGGTGCTGTAACATCTCTGCTGTCCAACGGACACTGTGGCGATGAATGACCGCCTCAGAGTGGTCAGGAAATGGGATTTTCCGCCAGGAAACAGCTTTCGCAGCATTTCAACTTCGTGTGGAAGATTTGTGGAAACTGGAAAGTTTGTTGACGAATTGACTGAAAGTGCTTTGTTTACATGTGGTTTTAGTGCTTTTTATACAATTTTAAACAAGGATAATCACATTTAACCCGCTATGACACCGACGAGAAAGTCCTGTGACAATGAGGAAGATGAAGTTTCGCCAGGAAGGATTGAAAATCCGATGAAAAAAGCACAAAAACAACAGAGGAAGAAACCTAACCTAAAAATCCGTGAGAAAGCAATGAGAAAATGGTTAAATTTCCTATGAAAAATGTAACTATAATTTCTTTATTTGATTGTTTCAGGCAAGAGGAAGGTGTTTCGCATGACACAGGAGAAATTGGACAACACATTGAAGGCGCTCAAAGGTGAATCAGAAGCTTCTCACTCTGGATGTTTTCAGTCACTTTCCTCCAAGTCCCGGAACAATCATCCGCTGCTGTCTTACAACAGGCTTCTTCAGGAGCTGCAAAACTGTGCTGACAAGCAAGATTGGGCTCTATTTGCCAAGTACATTTTGCGCCTGGGCACAGGTCATGTGGACAAGCGATTTAATAATGTGCATTTGAAGGTAAATCAATTCCCTGGGAAGCATTGCGAAAAGTCCTCTGAAATGTCCTTTTCTCCTTGGCAGATGGCAATCATGGGTCTGGCATTCGATCCCATGGCAAGGAAGAGCAATCTTCTGTGTGAATTCATGGAGATGCTGATGAGATATTGGCGCCAAGAAGGTTTTCTTCCAGCTGAAGAGGCGACGAAGAGGATTTTCTCAATTCTATAAGCACCACACAAAACACCCCGTAAATCAGTCACATAATCGCCGATTGTTCGATTTAACTCTACGTGAGTGAAGAAAGTGGTGAAGAGCCTGGGAAATTCTCAAGATTGAGGAGTCGATTAGATAAGCCATTGCCTATAAATTTAGCAATCGTAGTAGAATTCTCGAGTAATAATCAGTTGGTGAAGCAATGGCGATCAAGTTGGTTGTATTTGGCGCGCTTTTGGCCACGGCACTAGGTAGTGTTCTTCTCTGCCAGGATTTCACGCACTAATCACTCAAAATACTCTGCAGGTCTGCACGTGCCGGACGCCAGTCCTCGAATTGTGGGCGGTTCTGACGCCTTTCCCGGCCAGTTTCCTCACACGGTGTCCCTGCGGACGCTCAATTATGCCCACTTCTGCGCCGGCAGTCTGGTGTCCATCTCCTGGGTGCTCACGTCGGCGCACTGCACGCTCGGACGTGCGGACGACGGCGTGATCGTGGTGGCGGGCAGTGTGCAGCTGAGTCAGTTCCAGGAGGAGCGCCAGAGTCAGCGCGTGGTGTCGCATCCCAACTTCAACGCCAACACGATGGCCTACGACATTGCGCTCGTGCACACGGCACAGCCCTTCCCCATCACGCCCAGCATCCGGCCGATCGCCATGGCCAACGGCACGCTGCCGGCGGGCATCACGGGCGTCCTCTCAGCCTGGGGACACACTTCGGTGAGTGCGATTAGCCCACATTCCCATCCATCACGGCTCTTATCACTCAGGCGATAAATGAACTGCTCGTCACAGCTTAATTCCCCGATCGCAATGAATCGATCGACTCACTTTTGATCGCCACAGAGGCGTAGTGAGCCCCGGAAGTTGGAATTTCGGACTTCCTGAAGATAACTTTGAAGCTCTAAGCTAGGATTTCACACAAAGGAGCTTATCAAAATGTTGTTAGTTATTTTCAGCAATTTGCTTGAACAAATCTTCATCACCAAATTACTTGATTCTGGATTTCTTGAATCTTATTTTGGTGTTAGATTTGGGATGCAGAACAACTTCTACAGATTTCATTCGTTGGCAGATTGTCAATTTGCCGACCAACCATAAGTGGTTCTAAAGTTCACTTTTTATATTGGGACAAAGTGGTGGGGAAAAAAATCCAGTGAAGCGTATGTTTCAGTTGGAACATTCAACAGCAACACCGTGATTGAAAAGATCATTTTCAAATTTTTTGATATTTAACCTTCAGTATCCCGGCGGAGAGTTGAATGACAATCTCCAGTGGCTGTTCGTCTCCACCATCGGTCAGGACGACTGCAGGTCGCGCGTCCCGGCGGCCGATCAGTCCTTTGTGCACGACAACACCGTGTGTACGGTGCGCGAGAACCCAGGCCACGGTCTCTGCCTGGGCAATCTGGGCGGCAGTCTGCTGGTGGGCAACTCCATTGCCGCCGTGGCGTCCTGGCACATCGGCTGCGCCGTCGGTTATCCGGACAATCACGCTCGAGTGGCGTCGCACATCCCTTGGATTCACTCCGTCATGATCGGAGGCTGAGCAATAAATCAATCCCTGGATATTTCCCGTGTTTTCCTCAATGGTCTGAGCTCGGTGATTAGATTAGATACGACGGGTGGCTATAAGTGCTGTCCAGTGCTGGTGCAGAGCCACTCCATCATGAAGTTCAGTGCTGTGATCCTCCTCGGGCTCCTTGCCTTCTGTCGCGCCTCGCCGCAGGGCCGCATCGTTGGCGGCCAGGATGCTACTCTGGGGCAGTTTCCGCACATGGTTTCGCTGAGGATCGTGGCCTCAGGAAATCACTTCTGCGGCGGCAGCATCATTTCCTCGCGCTATGTTCTCTCGGCCGCTCATTGCACGGTGGGTCGTCAGGCGGCGACAGTTCACGCCATCGTGGGCACGATCAATCGTCTCCAGGGCACCGTTCATCCAGTGTCCCAGATCATCGATCACGAGGGCTACAACGCCAACACGCTGGCCAACGACGTGTCGGTCCTTCAGGTCGCGTCGCCGTTCGTCTTCAACAACATCGTCAGTGCCATCCAAGTGGGATCCGCTCACGTGGGCGGAGGAGTGACGGCCTTCGTCTCCGGATGGGGCCAGACTGTGCAGCCCAGCGACGAAGTTCCCATCTGGCTGCAGTGGCTTCAGGTGTACACACTCACTCATGAGGATTGCCGTGCCAGGAAACCGCTGCCGATCAGACTTCTGGTGCACGAGAACACAATCTGCACATTCACGATGGCCGGCCAGGGTCTCTGCTTCGGCGATTCAGGCGGTCCGATGATTGTGGGCAACACCGTCGTGGGAATTCCCAGCTGGGTGTCACCGGGATGTGCTCAGGGACGTCCAGATGTCTACGCCAGAGTGTCCAGTCACAGGGACTGGATTATCGCCAACACGGATTTGTAATTTGACTCAAAGAGAATGAATAAAGAATAATTGCAGAGAGAATTGGCAAGACTTAAGCACAAGAAAAATTATATTTTTCAAACGATGGAATCAACGGTGCTCGCAAGAACTGAATTTTGAGCACAATTTGAATCTGATTGTTTTCCCTTTTCATCGAGTTAATTTTCCACTATTTCTTTCACTCTCTTCTTGGTATATCTTTAGTTTAGAAAAGTAGTTTGCCCAGCACTCTCCGAAGATCATCTGCATAAGTGATAACGAGAACAGGAAGAAGAGGTACCAAACTTCATGTTTTTAAAAGAAAGAGGTTGAAGCCGTTAAGGCAAAGCACGTAGAGAGAGCTTGAAAGCATCTGTTATGGTTAAGTCTTGTTTCAAACGGGAGAAGAAACAAAAGAAAGCTTTCGGAGTCCGAAACGGTAACATTTTCAGCAGAATCTTGTCTAAGCTACTTGAAAGCTTTGAAAGTTCAGGTTTCACATGACTGGGAAGAAAATGCGCCTAAAGTAGAGTATAAAAGGTATGGTGGGAAAATCCACCTGTAAATTGATATGGCCTATGAATCCATCTATTATCAATCACACAACAATGGTATTTGAAGTCTTATCATGATCATTAATGGCTACTTAAGGTTTTTATTGACGCTACACACGAATAATCACCAAAATGGTTAAGATTTACACGGCTTCAGTGACGGTTTTGGTAGATAGTGTGGTTGGAAGATAATTGATTGGTGTTTTTTTTACCAATCATACGCGCTTCTTGGGATTTTGCGAGATCCTAAGATTAGATAGGCTACTGAGTATGGGAATCTGGAGTATAAAAAGAGCTCGAAACCTGATCATCCAGTTCAATTTGTTGTTAAAGATGAACAAGCTCAGTTTGGTTTTCGCTTTCCTGTTCCTGGGAGTGGCCCTCGGCCAAATGCTCCCTGGAGAGATGGAGTACGTGCAGCCGGAGCCTGTCTACGGTAAGTTGATCCGTTCCCGAAGTCTAGGATCGTGGAAATGCTGAAGTGTTTCCTTGCAGAGCGCCCGGCCGAGCCTGCGCCTCTGGGAGTCTACTTCGAGCCCGATGATATGGACGACAACCCCGAGTTCCAGAGCCGTGTTGTGGGAGGAACTTCCGCCACTTCTGCTGCCCAGTTTCCGTACCAGGCCAGTCTGAGGACTGCTGCCAACGCTCACTTCTGCGGCGCCACGATCATTGGAACCAGGACTGTTCTCTCCGCTGCCCATTGTACTGTTGGACGTGGTGTCGGTGCTGTTCGCGTTGTCGTCGGAACCCACCTCCGTCTTTCTGGAGGAGTTTCCCATGCCGTCAACAGGATCGTGAACCATCCTAGCTACAACGCCAACACCATCGCCTTTGATGTGTCCATCGTGCAGACCAGCGCCACTTTCACCTTCAACAACAACGTGCGTCAGTGGGGAATTGGATCTGCCCACGTTGGTGGCGGAGTCACCGCTGTTGTTTCCGGATGGGGCCAGACTTCTCACCCTGGAAGCCTTCCCAATGCTCTCCAGTGGGCTTCTCTCACCGTTCTGACTAATGCACAGTGTCGCAATGGACACACCGCCAACAACGCTCAGCTTGTCTTCGACCACAAGATCTGTACCTTCACTCGCACCGGCCAGGGAATCTGCATGGGCGACTCCGGCGGCCCACTTGTCATTGGCAACAACGTCATCGGAATCCCATCCTGGGTCATCCCATGCGCTCGTGGCTTCCCAGATGTCTACGATCGTGTCTCCAGCCACAGGAACTGGATCATCTCGGTCATGTAAACGACACAAGCATCTCTATCTAGGACAGAACCATTCCGCACATGATATTCTTATCAATAAAATGCATCATTTAAAAAATTAATAACCTGTATTTCAATACTGAAGGCTATATGGAGATTTTTGAACAAGGTGCACAGATAGAGTCTTGGAGTTATGAGACGCAGGACCTAAAGGAAATTAGCGAAACAGATTGAGCTCGTTCCTTCACGCACTCGCAACCCTACTGAAATACACAAGATTTATTGATTCAGTAGCTTCGAGAAAGACGAACTGCGTCAAGACGAGGAGACGAGGACTGTTGATTGAAGAAAAGAAGTGAATGAGGAAACGTAGTTAGTTCGAAAGAGACTATTTATCTAAATAGACCTGTAATTGAGGTCGACGAGAAGCCAGCGGTGGGAAGTAGATGTTATTACGCACACTTGTCAGTGTTCCTGTCCAGAAACATCTCATGGCCAACAAAGGTCAAGATCTACAGAACCATCGCCAGTGATCACTGATCAAGCCTTCGATTTAATACTTACTGATCAAGCCTTCGCTTGATCAGTAAGTATTAAATCGTAACTGTAGGTTTCCAGGAATCTTGACGGATGTTTTTCAGTCCTTAAGATTCCTTCCTCATCCTTGTTAAGTGATTATTTTCACATGGGAATCAGCAAGCTATACAAATACTGCTAAGTACCTGCCATTGCTCATATATCAAACTGTTATTTCTGATAATTCAACAGAGTTTTAATGTTGTGGAAATGGCGTCTATTACTGATAAATGTATTTTCACGAAGTATAGGGAATTACCGTGAGTAGAATTATGACAAAGCTATTCGTATCTAAGAATGTGTACCTTTTTAAACTCTCCTAATCAACTACAATAAATCAATTAATAGATTACTCGATACAGTCACAATATTGATAAATAGTCGAAATGATAGACTGCTACTGCATATCAGTTGACATATAAGTAAATAATACTTTACACACCAATTCCGTTGCGTATTCAGCAAATCTCCATAATGTTGATAAGAAACTACATGTGACTATTTATAGTATCGAATCAATCTCTGCATTTCAAAGTTTGGACTTAGTAAACAAAAGATAATAGTTTCAAAATCTGATATGTGTATTTTTCATAAGATAAGTCTGCTTCACAAAAAGTTGTTGTCCAGAGTAATCACGCAATGAGTCGTTTACATGACCGAGATGATCCAGTTCCTGTGGCTGGAGACACGATCGTAGACATCTGGGAAGCCACGGGCGCATGGGATGACCCAGGATGGGATTCCAATGACATTGTTGCCAATGACAAGTGGGCCGCCGGAGTCGCCCATGCAGATTCCCTGGCCGACGCGAGTGAAGGTGCAGATCTTGTGGTCGAAGACAAGCTGAGCGTTGTTGGCGGTGTGGCGGCTGCGGCAGTTGGCGTTGGTCAAGACAGTCAGGGAAGCCCACTGGAGAGCGTTGGGAAGGCTTCCAGGGTGAGAAGTCTGGCCCCATCCAGAGACGATAGCGGTGACTCCGCCTCCAACGTGGGCAGATCCAATTCCCCACTGACGCACGTTGTTGTTGAAGGTGAACGTGGCGCTGGTCTGCACGATGGACACATCAAAGGCGATGGTGTTGGCGTTGTAGCTAGGATGGTTCACGATCCTGTTGACTGCGTGGGAAATTCCTCCGGAGAGACGGAGGTGAGTTCCAACGACAACGCGAGTGGCGCCAGTTCCACGTCCAATCGTGCAATGGGCAGCGGAGAGAACAGTCCTGGTTCCAATGATCGTGGCGCCGCAGAAGTGAGCGTTGCCAGCAGTCCTCAAACTAGCCTGGTACGGGAACTGGGCGGCAGAAGTAGCGGAAGTTCCTCCCACAACACGGCTCTGGAACTCGGGGTTGTCGTCCATATCATCGGGCTCGAAGTAGACTCCCAGAGGCGCAGGCTCGGCCGGGCGCTCTGCAAAGAAACACTTCAGCATTTCCGCGATCCTAGATTTCGGGAACGGATCAACTTACCGTAGACAGGCTCCGGCTGCACGTACTCCATCTCACCAGGGAGCATCTCGCCGATGGCGACTCCCAGGAACAGGAAAGCGAAAACCAAACTGAGCTTGTTCATCTTCAGACTGTGACTTACTCACTGAATGCGTTTCTCAGAGACTTCGTGATCTTTTATACCAAACTCCTGCTCATACTAGACCTGGTGCAATCTTATCGTGGTGGCGCTTTCTCCCCGCGAGCCAAAACAAGGTAATCAATAATCAAATTGCGAATCCTAGAGATTATTAACATCTCACCGCGTGGGTACGGAATCTTTATTTATGAGACCTCTTGAGTCAGATAAAGGCCCAGTAGCTATTGTATCATGACATATCACGGCGCTAACCAAGTCCTTATCGGACACTTTTTCTCGTAAAAACCACGATAAAGTTTGGAGGCAGTGAGTATGAGCGTCATGCGATTGGATTTCCCCAAAAATACTCACGTACGGTTTTGGTACTTTTCCTCTCTGTAGTATTTTTGATAAGCTTTTGAAAGCTTTATCTTCACAGTGATGATTCCTGGCGCCCCACTTAACGAATCTGGGCACCGTTGAAAGCTCAGTCCGATAAGTTCCCTTCAAAACTGTGATACTGAATGCTCTTAGTTCTAGACTTCAAAACATAAGAGAAATGAAGTTCCTAAAAGTAGATGGATTCGGGACCGTAAGAAGTTTCGTAGGCAAAAGAGAAATTTTGCTGAAACAATTATATTCTGATATGCAATATATATATAAAGCTTTCAATTAGGAACTTTTCCGTAAGTCGGGAGCCTTTAGTCCTTGCTTACATGACCGAGATGATCCAGCTCCTGTGGCTGGAGACACGGTCGTACACGTCCGGGAAGCCACGGGCGCACGGGATGACCCAGGATGGGATTCCGATGACGTTGCTTCCGATCACGAGCGGGCCGCCGGAGTCGCCCATGCAGATTCCCTGGCCGACGCGCGTGAAGGTGCAGATCTTGTGGTCGAAGACCATGCGAGCGTTGTTGGCGGTGTGGCGGCTGCGGCAGTTGGCGTTGGTGAGGGTGGTGAGACGCGCCCACTGGAGAGCGTTGGGAAGGCTTCCGGGGTGGGAAGTCTGGCCCCATCCGGAGACAAGGGCAGCGACGCCTCCTCCGACGTGAGCAGAGCCCAATCCGATCTGGCGCACGTTGTTGTTGAAGGTGAACGTGGCGCTGGTCTGCACGATGGAGACGTCGAAGGCGATGGTGTTGGCGTTGTACCTCGGGTTGTTGACGATCCTGTTGACGGCGTGAGAGACTCCGCCGGACAGGCGAAGATGCGTTCCAACGACCACGCGAGTGGATCCGGTTCCGCGGCCGACTGTGCAGTGGGCGGCGGAGAGCACGGTTCGGGAGGCGATGATCGTGGCGCCGCAGAAGTGAGCGTTGCCAGCAGTCCTCAGACTGGCCTGGTACGGGAACTGGGCGGCGGAAGTGGCGGAAGTTCCTCCAACAACGCGACCCTGGAACTCTGGGTTGTCGTCCATATCATCGGGCTCGAAGTAAACGCCCTCGGGCGCAGGTCCTGGCGGGCTCTCTGTGAGGAATGTCGGAATTCAGAGTCCCAGTCTGGACTAGGACAAAAGAGTGTTCTTACCAAAGAGAGTTGGGACTTCTTCATAGTTGAACTCCGGCGGAAGTTCGCCGATGGCGACTCCCAGGAACAGGAAAGCGAAAACCAAACTGAGCTTGTTCATCTTCAGACTGTGACTTTCTCACTGAATGCATCTTCGACACAAACTGGCATCTTTTATACCCAGTATTTGATTATAAAAAAAATCGATTTATCTAATCTGCGGAAATTTACCTTAAGTCGTGGCGCCAAGCATTTTAAAGTCAAAATAAGGGAATCTACAACCAAATTGGTAATCCAGGAGATTACTAATTCCAGATGTTTTGATAGGTTATTTATTGCACATCGTAAAATTGATAAGCAATCTGAAGTCCCCGTGAGACTGACTTGATCCCAGTCCATCGCCGTTTGATTCCAATGCAAACTGTTATCATTGGATGGCGAAGATACAGAAATGGAGGCAGTGTTCGCGTATACGTGACTTGATTGGTTCACAAAAAATTACTCACAATTCTGGTAACTTTCCTTTCTCGTAGTATTACTGATAAGATGTGGTGTGATGTCGTTATTATCGAAGTCATATTTTGTTTAATACATTCGTCGTTTTATTCAAATCTTTTTTTGAAAGATTTGCCTGTATTATATAAAATGTTTTTTTTTTATTTAATCACTGTATATGTATATTTGAAATATTGTTTTTACTTACTATTTTATATGATTTTTTTTAACTTATGTGGTGTTTGACTGTGTTATCATACACACAACGTCATATTCGTAGTAAAAGAGTTTAGGAAGGCTTCGCCAAGCATACAAGGGTCCTTATCAGGAGGGAAAACCAATCGTATGACGTTCATTTTTTTCTGTTTACGTCCCTAAAACACTTTTGAGATTATTTTTTATAATCGAGGGTGTCAAAAATTCATACATTCGGTAGATTTCCATTATTTTTACGCTGATAGTAACACGTGAGGCCATTTGTGCTCTTATCATATGGAGTACAAAAAAAAGCAAATTTCCATATCAACTTATCTTGGCTACTTTCGTAAGAGATCTTCACTTGATTACTGATTAATTGATTACTATGTTTTGACTTCCGAGGATTAGGCGCCACAAGAGTGAAACGTATTTGATAAGATTAGAATCGGAAATTGAGTATAAAAGATGCCAGTTTGTGTCGAAGATGCATTCAGTGAGAAAGTCACAGTCTGAAGATGAACAAGCTCAGTTTGGTTTTCGCTTTCCTGTTCCTGGGAGTCGCCATCGGCGAACTTCCGCCGGAGTTCAACTATGAAGAAGTCCCAACTCTCTTTGGTAAGAACACTCTTTTGTCCTAGTCCAGACTGGGACTCTGAATTCCGACATTTCCCACAGAGAGCCCGCCAGGACCTGCGCCCGAGGGCGTTTACTTCGAGCCCGATGATATGGACGACAACCCAGAGTTCCAGGGTCGCGTTGTTGGAGGAACTTCCGCCACTTCCGCCGCCCAGTTCCCGTACCAGGCCAGTCTGAGGACTGCTGGCAACGCTCACTTCTGCGGCGCCACGATCATCGCCTCCCGAACCGTGCTCTCCGCCGCCCACTGCACAGTCGGCCGCGGAACCGGATCCACTCGCGTGGTCGTTGGAACGCATCTTCGCCTGTCCGGCGGAGTCTCTCACGCCGTCAACAGGATCGTCAACAACCCGAGGTACAACGCCAACACCATCGCCTTCGACGTCTCCATCGTGCAGACCAGCGCCACTTTCACCTTCAACAACAACGTGCGCCAGATCGGATTGGGCTCTGCTCACGTCGGAGGAGGCGTCGCTGCCCTTGTCTCCGGATGGGGCCAGACTTCCCACCCCGGAAGCCTTCCCAACGCTCTCCAGTGGGCGCGTCTCACCACCCTCACCAACGCCAACTGCCGCAGCCGCCACACCGCCAACAACGCTCGCATGGTCTTCGACCACAAGATCTGCACCTTCACGCGCGTCGGCCAGGGAATCTGCATGGGCGACTCCGGCGGCCCGCTCGTGATCGGAAGCAACGTCATCGGAATCCCATCCTGGGTCATCCCGTGCGCCCGTGGCTTCCCGGACGTGTACGACCGTGTCTCCAGCCACAGGAGCTGGATCATCTCGGTCATGTAAGCAAGGACTAAAGGCTCCCGACTTACGGAAAAGTTCCTAATTGAAAGCTTTATATATATGTTGCATATCAGAATATAATTGTTTCAGCAAAATTTCTCTTTTGCCTACGAAACTTCTTACGGTCCCGAATCCATCTACTTTCAGGAACTTCAGTTCTGTTACTTTTTGAATTGTGGAACTGAGAGCTTCCTGGAAAAGTGCCTCAAGTGGGAGAATTCTGTATGACAGTTTTGAAGAGAACTTATCAGACTGAGCTTTTAACGTCTCTTAACAGCGACAGGCGTGGTGCCATATAGTAACTAATTGAATGTTAATAATCTTGGGTTGTACTATATCAAATACTACAGCAAGAGAAGATAAAGAAATCGTACGTGAGTATTTTGGGGACATTCTGGTCAGCAGAATCTTTTTAGAATCCCATTGAAAACACACCAAATCTCAGAAACTGTCGCGGATGAAAATGTCTTGCCACTGGGATTCAAAACATCCCTCGGAAATCAGGAAAAACTCCTGGAAATTTTTTGCGATTAGTCTGAAAATTGCGTATGATTTACAGCAAAAACTATTTTCTAACTTCCATGTGGAGGAAAATGGCCAGAAACTGGATGGAAGTTGGAATATTCTGCCCCTATAAAACACTCTTTAAGTGGAAATTTTACACTTTCGGCAAAGACATTGAACAGTGTCACATCAATGATTGTCCCCAATTTTTGCATTTGTCAAATACAAAATGATCTCTTTTCAGTTCAAGATCATCGCAATTTCGTATTGACAAATTTCATCCCAATTTCTTCTATTATTTGCACGAGAAATACAAAGTAAGAAATATGCTCTAAATTCTTCATAAACCCAGACATGAAAGTTTTCTTCAAGATCATATAAGAGACTGCGAATGCTTGAGAGATTCCCAGTGAATCGTGTGTCGTTCAACAGATAATCAACGTGACAATGTGGCGTGTTTTAGTCATCTTTGGTGTTGCAATTCTTATGTCTTCTGTGCTGGGACAGAATTGCTTCTATAATCAGAAGTTTGGTGTCAATCCAACGCCTCTCATCATGCCCAACGAGCCTTATCAGCAGTACAAGGGCGGCGATTCGTGCGTTTGGATGGCAAGGGCGGATCTTGGCTATGCTCTCCAGCTTACCTGCAATGTCATCGTGGCTGGTGGATTGATGCCAGTTTGTCCGGTGGATTACTTTGCCGTTTCCCTCACGGGCAAGGCTGATGTCTCCGATGGCATCAAGTTCTGTGGCAAACAGACAATTTCACAGCGTTCTCAGGCGGGGCGAATGACAATGAAGCTGTTCTCGTCTCAGGATTCACCTGGCGGAACCATTAATTGCTCCATTCAAGCCGTGCCGGACACTTGCAATTGCGGCAGGAGAAATCGTCCGGTAGGATTTATCAAGCTGATCAAGGCTGTAAGAAATAGAATCAAAGATGATTTGATGTTTCAGGCTCGCATCGTTGAAGGACATCAAACGCTGGCCAATGAATTGCCAATGGTGGCGGCTTTGGTGCCACGCGGAGAGACTCAACCCTTCTGCGGGGCAGTTTTGAGTAAGTTATGTTGCAAAATCGACTAAAATGGCACCAGGGAGGCCAAATATTGAGAAAAAAGTGGGGGTCAGTTTTTTGTCCGGTTCATAACGTCTAAACAGCAAGAGATATCGACATGTGATTTGCACTAAAGGTTCAAAGTGTTGTAAAATTCAATCCCCAATTCATCTGTCCGCCATTTTGAACATGAAACAAACAGATTTTTCTCATTTATTCAGCCTCTATGGCATGGATTTGCCTCAAATTTTAATGTGTTGTAGCTGGCATCAAGACCTTTCCAACAAACCCAGGCTTAAGGCTCTAAGTCCTTGCAAATCCTAGATATTAAGGATCAAAATTTGAAAATGGAAATAGTCATAACTCTGATTCTAATTCTCCAATCGGAATAATTTTAGGTTCATTGGAAAGGTCTCGTAAAATGATATGTTTCGCCCAAACATTATAACTTGATACAACTACCGCTAGAGGCGCTAATGTTGGAAAAACGATTTTTTTTAAATCACGGTTTTACAGACCGTTTTCTCTGCTGTTTACCAACCGATTTTGATAATTTCTTCACCAAAAGACGCGTCTTGACGATATTTAGTTGATTACATCCACTATTAATCTGTGACGTCATCAGAATTGCAGCTTCTTCATCCACAATCTTACTGACTTCGTTCTGTCTTTCTGTCTGGTTCTTCTGGATTTTCCCAGTTTCTCAGTTTCGCGCTCTCACAGTTCGTCGTTGTGTGTTCAACAGAACCATCGACTCCTTCGACATTGTCGTTGGTGAGCATGATGTCTCAACGGCCAGTGAGTCAGCATACACGAGAAGATACACCATTGCTGAATACACATGCGTGAATGGCTGCGATGGTGATAAATACTGGGATGATATCGCCATGATCAGGACGACGAGTGAAGTACTCCTCAACGTTGGCGTGGGAGTCACTTGTCTGCCCTGGAAGGAGTACAACAAGGACCAGGACGCACTCAGTGGCCAGAGAGTTGAAATCACTGGTTGGGGCTTCACGCAATTGACCGCCTCTGATCTCACCTTCCGCACAACTTCCGCCACTGAAGTCGACTACTCAAGTCCAGTGCTTCAGGATGTCTTTGTCGATGTCATCGAGTCACAGGACTGCATGAAGTTCTACTCCAATCTGCCGACCGACAAGATGTGCACTTTGACGCCGCACAGAGGAAGTTGTCGCGGGGATTCGGGCGGAAGTGTCTTCTGGACGCCGCCGGACATCGAGCGACTCTACACAGTGGCAATGGTGGACAATGCATGGATCATGGATTGTGCCACAGGATGGCCAGGACTCAATACCAGAATTGTCACGAATCTTCATTGGATTCTCGTGAATGCGCCGGAATCTAATTTCTGCATTGTTTAAACTGCAAAAAGAATGGAAATATGTTGCAAATACATTCTTATGTTAGGAAATCATTTTTTTTGGAAGAGAAAACTAAGAAAAAGCACGTATTTTAGCTAAAAAATGCTTCTTCTGTGTTTTCTTACTTCATTCTTGAATCTATTCTGTTCCCGTGAATAAAAAAATTGACCATTCCATTTGATTCAATTTGATGATTCTCAATTCTTTGCCATTTTCTTTCTGCTCAGCTGTTGATCATCAGTGTGTCTATTCCACTGGCGGCCACTGTGGCGTGGAACTTGTCAGTGTGGAAGATGTGGTGTTGAATTATGAATTCGGCGCGTGCGTCGTGTGGCGCCAAAAAAGTCAGAGTGGTGCAACCTTTTCTCTCTCGCGCTGAAGAGCGCGAATTGTGCTGTGCAATTTCAATTCAACAATTCCCTCGTGCGCTTGTGTGAGTGCAAGAAAAAGACACTTTACCCCCCACTCCACCCCCCGCACGCCGTCATTCGCAGTGCCAACGGAGTTTGAGCGAAGACAAGCAGAACGCTTCGGTGGCAGTTTCGATTGACTTCTCATTGTGCTCGCACGAACGCGCGCGTGATTCTTCTCATCCTCACAACCACACTTTGTGGTGTCTCTCAGAACTGTCCGGGTAAAAGAAATCTCTCTCTCTCACTCTGTTCGCCATCAGCTTTTCTTCTCCGCCGATACGCGCGCGGGGGTGAATCGCGGAAATTCGAGTGAATTTCGCCTTCGCTGAGCCACCAAATTGGCCTCTGTTGTGCGGGTCGAAAATTCTGGCGAAAGACGGCGGCGCTTTTCACGGTTTTTTCTCTGTCGGTGAAGTGCAAAAATATCTTTTCTCCATCTCTCTTCGAACGGAATGCAATTTTGCCACGAAACATAAATATTTACGTGATTTTTATTCGCATTCCTCTTCTCTCTCTCTCGCTCTCTTTGGCTTTTCTCCATCGCGAGCCCTGAAATTGCATTGAATATATATATGTATATATTGTTTTACCATTTGCGCACTGAAACTTAATTTCACTACTTTGGCACATTTTATTCCCAAATGAGAAGAGAGAAAAAAACGAGATTAGCAGAAAAAACTACGGCAAGAGAATTCTAAAAATAAACATTACGTTGAATCTTCACGAAGATTTTTAATTCGTCTCGTTTTCGTCACTTCTTTCACATATCGATTCCCTTTCAACACAGAAAAAAAGAGAAAAAAAGAGAAAAAAACGTGAAGCCACAGGAATAAATAAAAAAACAACCAACACAATTCTATACAAGTGTGACCTTTTCTTCGGTTTTTCTCTTCTTCTGCCACGGAAAATGGTGTAAAGTGTTGGTGAGAAAAAAAAAGTGCTTCTTGAATTATATATTCATAAAAATTGATAAGAAAGCCACAATAGTGAAGTTGTTGTATCGTTTTTTTCTTTTCTTCCTTCTCTTTCTCACAATTTGCAGAGAGTGAAAGTAATATTCTGAAATAATTCTTACTCAACCCTCTTCATTCGGTCATTTGCCGCGGAAAATTTGCATTTTGAGGAAGTGTACTTTAACACACTTCAGTGCCGACTTTGTGCTGCGAGAACACCTTTTGCAAGGGGGAGATATTGTGGTTGGAAGTGGTGTACAGCTTTTTAGGAAGTGTTAAGAATAAAAAGTGTGGAAATATTTACAATATTTGCATCATAAAAGCTTCGGTTTGAACAAATTGAGACATTTTCTAAATTATTTTTACGACAAAAATCAATTTTACTGCTTTTTCTAGGTTATGTGTTTGATTTAAAACAGTTTCTGGCAATTAAAACACCCTCAAAATCATCAAATTTACTTTCTATTCTTTTCTGTCCTTTTTTTAATGCAGAAAACTTCTGAAATATTAAGAAATTTGTGGGTTAAATCTTGAAAAAAGCACAATTTAAATTAAATTTACTGTAGAAAATTTATAGCTTCGAGTCATTTTCATGTTTGCAATGCAATCAAATCACACTTCATTCACTCTGCCCTGAATTATCGCACGTCATTTGATTGACGTTGGAGTGCAAAGTGGCGGCAAAGACTCTGTGCAAAGAGCTTGGAAAGCTGCAAGAATTGGGCCAAATGCAGATGCGATGAGAGCTTTACTGCCAATTAACACTGACAAACTGTGAAGGTGCGATAAATGGACGAAGAGCTGTTTTTTTGCTGGGAGAGACGCTAAATGTCTTAATGTCAATATTGGGATTGGTTTGGAACTTTTATTGTCCTGCAATAGAATAATTCACATTGTTCCATTTGACGCCGTTCTGTATTTATAAACACACTTTCCGATTAAGCATTCCTTGCGCGCGCGTTATCGTTTTGGGAAATGTTGGGTGATTTGTGATAAGAGCAATTGAATGTGGAGAATCATGATTTTTTTCATTTGATTATTCAGCGAAATAGTGTCGCGCGCGCTTTCGCTTTTTTTTGCTGGTTCTATTGAGGAAGCCGGAAAATCGATTTAGACTCAGATTATAGTATCATTGACTGGGGATTCGATTTAATCAGCAATTTCAGGCTGTATTTCACTCAATTGATGATATCACGAATTGATTAGAGAAACTCTTTTATTGTCACAGAAAAGAGTCATCAATTTTCCACTGAAATACCAATACAAAATCCCAGTAAAAAACCATCGTTCTGATATGCTCTGCTGGATTCCTACAGGAAACGTCCATGAAAAATCCCCTTTGCCAAAACGTGAGACAATAGGCGGACAAATCCTGCAAGATTCCTTAACCCTAAGAGCAAATCTAAGGAGTATATCAAATATTAATTTGTGTTTATGACGCTAATATTGATCGGAGGATATTGAAAATCCTCCGTGGAAAATTCAGCATGAATTTGCGTATTTCCAAATTGTATATCTCATCGTGACATAATGAATCAAAATTCACTATGATATTGTGAATAATTTTCTCTCAGATGAGCATATTTTTTTGTCCATCATTCTTCCCTTGCGTAATCGCTCATTTGTCATTTCGTGCCCATAAACGAGCGCAAAATCTCGAATTTTAACCATTATAAGATAGCATCAATGAACTTCCACTGAAATCATCACAACACAGAGTCATAACAACTGAATGACTCTTTCTTCTCCGTGTCAAGAGAGCTTTTTTTGCTGCTGCTCTTTTGACTACTCTTCTTACCAAGGGGGAGATAATATGACTCAAATCTCTACAACAATTCCACTGCAGAATCTTCAACACTTCAGAGACATTTCCGAATGCCTTAAATAGGCATTTTTCATCGTTTTTTTTTAGAGTTTTGCCTGCAGAAAATGCTTTAAAGAATTCTAAGAAAATTGTGAGGTTAGGAATTGAACTTAAAAAGATCATTTTTTTTGGACTTATTTAGGTATTTTTAAACTTGAAAATGAGTAAATATAGTGAATCTCTGTATGTGTCTACTAGAAATTGAGCTTAAATTTCCCATTTTAAAGCAAAAACAAAGAAACATGTGGTTTTTTGAGGTTATGGTTGGTTTTTAAGCTTTTTTTTCAAACAATATCAAGTTTTTTTTCGATCAAAAATGCTCAATTCGTTGGAGAAAAAGAGAAATAATCCCAATTTAACCACAAATTTGATGACTTTGAAGGTTATTAAATTGAAAAAATCTGTTTTAGATCAATCACATAACCTCAAAAAGCAATCAAAGTGATTTTTTCTAAGACAAAGCCTCAATTTGTTGAAACTGAAGTTTTTGTAGTTCAAATATTTCAAATATTTTACATTTTCCAATTTCCAAACACTTCCTCAAAAGCTGTACATCACTTCCGACCATAATATCTCCCCCTTGCTTCTCACAGATATAGAATGGTTTTTGTTTTCTATCTCTGCGTGTGACAAAGAATACTGTTTGCGTGGCAATTATGTGTGCAAAGGTGAAAGAAAGACTCATTTAAATTTGTTCTAAAGACGAAAACTTTTAAAGAGAGAAAAATCCTCGAGAAACCTTTTTGCCTAATTAAATACGCCCCATTTGCTGTTGTGTCTGTGTGTTTTTTTTTGTACATTTGTGTTCACACGCAAATTACCATTGAATTTGCCCTTTATCCGCCTTCGAGGACAATCCCTTGAGCTTTTTTTCACTCTCACTCTCTCTCTCTCTCGCATTTCGGTGAAACGCCACCGGAAGAGGGAAATGATGGAAAATCGATGGACGTAATTTTGACGAAGGGTGATTTACTTGTACGCAATGTCACAAAGAATTTCTTCCCCGAGCAAATTAATAATTAAAATGTTTTGTTGCCACTGGATGTATAATTATATAGAATTCATAATTTAATTCTACATTCTGTACAATTGATTTATTAAATTATAGAGAATCACATGTAAAATTCATTTGTGTGTGTTATTTTAATGAGGATCAATTCAATGAAAGAAATAACAAAGTTTCCCCGACAATCTTACGAAAATTCAATTAATTATGGGATAAAATAATCATCAGTAGTTGATAAGGTGACATTCCAAGGGGAAGAGAATATGCAGTAAAATTGTACACGAAGTCTTCTCAGGTTTCTATTCGGTATTTCTATTAAAATCCTCTTAACACCGCTTTTTAACCTAAAAAGATGTGAAAAACAATTTTTTCCACCAATTATTGTGTTAATTCCTTATGAAAGTGACTTTTTAACGTTCTCCGAATGAAGTGATTGAAACACTTTCATATCCAAATACTTCAACTGAATTGTACACCACTTCTTACCATAATATCTCCCCCTTGTCACACAGTTTAACGGAATAGGAAGATTCTTTGTGAAAAGGAAATGCAGGATTGACTGTAGAAAAGCAATTCAATCGGGATTGAAAGTTAATTCAATTAAAATAATGTCACATTTCAATGTTCGCTGTGTGAATTTAGCTGTATCATGTTGTCAACATTGTCCCAGACACACAATCAACACCTTCTGCCTCGCAGAGACAGAAAGATGAGAGTCAGACGAATCGAATTGAACTTGTTGCATGAATGCTTGTCGATGATGAGAAACTATTAATTGAATCGCGCGCGAGTTGGGAAGTGAAAAGGCTCTGCTTTGGCAGATTCACACATGCAGACGAGTGAATGGGTTGAATTGAGTTGATGTGTGGTCTAAAAATATCCTCTCGCAAAATCTATAGGCGGGAAAATGGGTGAAATTTACACAAATTGGTCGCTCAAGTGTTAAAAATAGACCAAGAAACACCGAATTTCCCCCCATTTTTCTCCTTCACACAAAACCGCGCGCGCTCGAGCAACTTTGGATTGTCTCAAATTTTGCAACTTCTTCTTCTTTTTCGTCTTTCAATTGCTGGCAAGTCTTGTTTGGTGGGCAAAAAGGGAAATTTCTTTCACAATGCACACAAACACCCAACAGAAGTATTTTTTGGCAAAGCAAAATGACGCCTTTTAAATGGACATTTTCTTGGTGGAGGTCAAAATCGAATTCTGCTCTCAATTATCGCGAAATTTCCCGTGATGATTTAGTGGAAATAATGAATGATTGGAAACTTATTGTGATGTCGGTAAAAATAACACAACATTGACTGTGTATTATTTCAGTTATGCAATAAAGCAATTTCTCTACATGAAATTGCATAAATAACTACACACGTGTCTCACAATACACAGAGAAATTCTCATCAAGATATACATTTCTTGCACTAGGGGAGAGTGGGGCACAATTGGACAGAACTTGGGGACTAATGAAAGGTTGAGGAATGAACTCATCGCGCAATAAAAGGTCTTTTAAGGGCTAAATTAGCACAGATTTGACTTACAGCTTTGATTTACTACTGATTATTTTACTCTCAGAAATAAACTTAAAATCTAGTCTCAATTTTTGATATATTTTTCTAGGTTATGTGACTGATTTAGGACTAAATAACATCTTAAAGTAGAAATTCTTACGTTTAAACTGAAAGAATTTCTTTTTATTGATAGAATTGCGTATTTTTACTCAATAAAAATTGTGATTTTAGGGAATAACGCTAAAGTCAAACAAAACCTCATTTTTAAAAATTAAATTTTAGCGATTTTGTGTTAAAGATAAAAATTTAAAGGATTCTGATCAAGAAAAATACGCTAAAGTATAAGTTTAGGGGAAGAATATCAGGAAAAATTGTATGAAAATGTGAATTTGAAAATTTTCAGTCAGATTTCGGTTAGTTTTTGGTTAGATTCGAGTTATTTGTTGATTTTAGTCTTTTTTATAAACAATCTTTCAAACAATCCATGGAATCTGAAGTCATGGGAAGTGTTAAAGTTTTTTCATACAAATTGTAGAAGTGTCAGGAAGTGGTTTTTAGAGTTTAGCCTTTTAAGCTCTTGTATTTTGTTTTGTATTGTGATAATAAACGTTTATTTTTCATATTATTAATGTATTTTTATCAGAATTGAGAGAAAAATTAGTTTTTTTTTAATGAAATTTCTTAAGTTTTCTTTCCATTAGATAAATCTACTAGCCATTAAAATTATTCTTGATTACACTTTAAAAATGACTGAAAAATTGCAGTCCAAAAGTTTAACAGAAAATTGTCCAAAATAATCCCGAAAAGTTAGACATTTTTGGGCAAAAATTCCGCGGAAAAAAACACAAATTCACACAAAGGGTAGGAAAGCCCTTGGATTTTCCTAAAGAGAATACAAAATGCTAAATAGAATTTTCTACCCTTCATATCAAACTCCCCCGCTCTCCCCTATATTGAAGCGTCGTGTGCTCGATGTTACATTTTATTCTTTTTCAATACCACTGCCGAATTACCCGCAGTATTTTATCGTAAAAACTTTAAATAAAAAGTTTTCTCTTCGTATATTTCACGCGTGGGCGAAACTTACTAACAAATCCACAATAAAATTGTGGGGAAGAAAAGCTGGATGGAAAGACAGTGATCCAGTGTTAAGAATTCTATTATTGATCTCCTTAGAATCTCCCTTCTCTCTCTCTCTCTCTCTCTCTACACCCCAAACAGTGTGTGTGTGTGTGTGTGTGTTTGAGACACTTCCAGGGGGAGGAGAGAAAAAAAAAGTGCGCGATTTTACTGTGATGATAGAATTAAAGGGAAAAAATCCGTGTTCAAGTGCGTGAAAATGATTTCGAATTATGGCCGATCTTGCGGATCAGATCGATGATTACATCTGCAGCTTCGAAGGTGTTGGCGATCTGACAATGGATACACTAGCAATGTTGATCTTTGCATGGGCGGTAATTGCCCTGTTTGTGTTGTGGCTGTGCAAATTTTTATACAACAAATATGTGAAGAAGACAAAGACGGACGCCGCATTATCTGCACCAGCAGACGCCAAGAAAGTCACTGCAACAGCAGCTGTTGCGGTCGCGGATGCAGCTGAAAAGGGGAGGCGATCTGAGCCCAAGGAGATTCTCTCCAGTCGCGAAATTCGAGTGAGTTTCCTGTTTGTCGATGAATTGCAGCATTTCTCTTGAATTGCTTCTCTCCTTGGCAGGAATCCTCGGCGAAGCCCTTGGGCAGGGCAGTCGTGCGAGGTGGAGCGAAAGGTGGAGCAGCTGGATATGTTCCGCCAACTCCTCCAATGCGAAAAAGACTCTCGCGCAAGAGTCCTGGCCCCGAATTGCGCCGACCGAGTCGAGTTATTCAACCGCCCAGCAATGTTGTCGGGCCAGAAACGGTGAGTCCTTTTCCAGGCACAATTTGTATTTGTATAAAATAATCAAAAAATTATTATTTTGATCCGTTAAATTGAAAAGTAACTAAAAACAAATTAACTTGAGTAAGAAGTGATCAAAAGTCATGCAAAATTGATCAAAATTGTGCTCGAAGTAGGTGATAAATGTGCTCAATTGCGAGCACTTCGTCTCAGCAGTAAATCAGCTGAAAATCGGCTGATTTTCTCAGCTCAATACGTTTGCTGGGTAATTCAAGAAATTGCCTTGTTGAAATGCTGTTAAATTAACAATTCCAAATTTAATTACAAGATCACTGAATTCTCGCGAGACGCAACAATATTTAATTAATATTGTTTTCATTTTCGCTTCTTAGACTTCTTGTTGCTCAGATTTTGTGATTATTATTACTCTTTTCTTCTCTTACACTTCTTTTCCTCCACACTCCATAGATTTCTGTAACATGGACAAGTCAAGTGTTTCGCTGGCTCTACAGTGATCTCGTGATCGTCAATGAACTCCTTCACACTTGGGTGCAAACTCTCAATGAGTCCATGAAGAAATCCGTCGAAGAGGTGAGAAATTCCCAATATTTTATCAAATTTTCTTTTCAGCATGTTGCAGAGTGTGTGCTTGAGCGACAATATTATTATTATTACTGCTTCTATTTTTAATGAGCTTCTGACCCACGAGAATTGACCTCTTGTGTGCGATTGGAAATGTGTTTTTTTGAACAGTATGCAGAAGATATGGTGAAAAAATGGCAGAATCAATGCGCAATTTGAGTATAATTGGATCAACACATTTATCAATATATGCCTCACATTCGCGCCCATTCAAGGGGCAAATCACAAGGCGATTTTCAATGTTCTCTAATCAAATAGTGAAATTTTTGAGTAAATTAATAAAAAAAATGATTATTTTTCCAAGTAAATTTGCAAAATAAACAAATTTTCAATTAAATAAGCAAAAGAAAGAATATTTTCCAAAGTAAAATCAAAAAAATTATCAAATTCGAAATAAAATAATCAGAATTTGTTCAAAATAAATAATTCCTAATCAAATATTGAGGAAATAATCAGAATTTGTATAAAATGAACAATTTTTAATCAATATTCGGAAAATAATAAAAAAATAATCAGAATTTGTATGAAATAATCAAAATTTGAATGAAAATCACAAATAATAAAAAAAGGAGATTGAATAATCTTCAAGTTAAAGGTCTCAACTTGCGACTGATTGCCCCCTTGCGCCCATTCTTCTCTCCCTCTCGTCAGCTTGATTGCCATACAAGGAGCGCGAGCGCGAGCGCATATATTGCCTAAAATGTGGCAAATTTTATTAGCCCATTCAATTAGAATTTGTGAGGAAAAAAGAAGCACAATGCCATGGACAAATGACTTTCCAATTCACTGATTTTTATGTGAGCTTGTAATGCCTATTAAAAGCATCTTCGTCATTGTTGCCATCATTGGAAGTCAGCAGCAGCAGAAAAAAATCATCTGTCTGAGGATGACTTCACACTCTTTCATGTGCAACTTTTCACCTTCGATCGCGTCATTTTCGTCTTTTTTTTCCACCAGTTTCGATTGGCGCAGAAAAAAGTCATGCGTATTTAAATATCAGAATGACCTGAAGAAGTGAGAGAGAGAGACTTGCTTCGGCGGATTGATTAAAAATGGAAATTGAAGTCGAAGCAAGATGACAAAAGTGGCATTAAAAATACAAACACACGCTTTGCGCGTGCTTTTAAGGAAGCTGAGATTAATTAAAGATCTTTTTCTTGTGGCTCAACATCAAGAGTGTGGCAATCTTAAAGTGGAAGTAAGTGAAGGAAAACTGAAAATTTGGAATCTAAAACCAAGAAAAACCGAAATTGCATTTTTTCAGCAGAACAAATTAAAAATTTAGCGATAGAACTACTGTTATGGCCTGTTAATGTTCGAACTTTGAACTCTAAAATCTAGGAAACCAAAGGACTTAAGTCCTTAAGTGTTGGTTCGTTGGAAAGATCTTAAGATCAGCTATAACATACCAGAATTTAGGGTCAATCCATGCCATAGAGGCTGAGCAAAAGTGAAAAACATGTTTTAGAAGTGTTCAAAATGGCAGACAGAGTAGCGCAGATTTGAATTTGTCATAGTTAAACTGTCGACATTGCAGTTTTTATTGTCTTCAATCGACGGATGATACAATGACCACACTTTATTGTCAAATTTAGCCTCCCTAATGCCATTTTAGTCAATTTTGCGACATTTGCTTTTTCGCTTGATCACAAATACAGCTTCGACTTCAAGATGACAAATGTGGCATTAAAAAAAATACATAAAATCGCACAACTTTCAAGCACCAAAGAGTGAATAATTAAAGGCCGAAAGTCAATTCCCGGGCGGACTTTGGTGTCTCTCTTTGTCTCTCTCTCTCTCTCTCTCTCACCAGAGATTTTAATCCATTGGATGTTGGGAAAAGTCATGGCTTTAATTACTAATCCTCACTACGCTTTGCATTTCGCATCTCGTCGTCAGCTTATTATTAACAATCAATTACTCAGTGGTTGTAATGAAATTTCCTCAACTGTTATTACATCTAACACACCGGCAAATCGCTTCAAACCATGCATTATTGATTATTCAAGGGGAAGATGATATGGTCAGTCGGTGTACACCACATCCTGACACTTCCACAATTACCGCGGAAGAATCACAGACACTTCAAGAACTGCAGCAGTGCTTAAAATATGCGTTTTTCCAATGGTTTATCCTTTTTTCTTCACATCGTAGATTTTTTCAATCGCCCAAAAGTATTATAACCTCAAATTTAGGAGTTCTTGTCTTAAAAACACTCAAATTAAAAATATTTTAAGGCGAATGATCAACCAATCATCATTTGGTCGCTAAATTATTCTTCAAATTAGTTCTTTTCAATCACTTTCACTTCTCAAATACTTTAGCTGAGCCTGTACACCACGTCTGACCTTAATGTCTACCCCTTGTGATCATTAAGCTTACAGAAATTTCCACTTCAAGACAGTTTGGCTGAGATTCTTCAATTCCTTCTTCGGATGAACATTTCTAACAACAATTCCTCCTCTTCAAACCCAGAGAAATTATCCGCACAGCTTTTTCTTAACTCTTCCCCAAAAGGCTTTCGATTGTGATTTTTCTTCCCAGCGCAGAATTTCTCAAAAAAATGGCAAATCATCCACAAAGCACTGGAAATGATATGCAAAAAAAAACTCTTCAAGATTCTCTATAAATATCTCCATTACATTTCATGTTTTCATGTGAATATTTCTCTTCTCTTTCTTCTCTCTCTCTGTCGTTGGTCTTTTCGGGGTTGTTTTATGGCGCACACACAAGATGTTCCTTCAAGATTCGACTAATCAGTCGAATGAGTTCAACACCAGCGCGCCAGAGGCAAGTTCTTTTTGTTCCCTTCCAAAAACCCACAATGAAATCTCTTCCAGTCTTTGCCGAAAAAAAACACCTCATTAGATTCTCTACAAATATATTATAAGAATAAGACTAATAGAATTTTTTCTTTGAATTGTGTGTGTGTGAGAAAAACACGTCCTTCAGAAGACTTCTTTCTCACTCTCGCATCAATTGAAGTGTTTGCAAATTGCAAGTGATCAATTTGGGTCATTAAGTTTACTCACCGTGGCTTCTTTTCTTGGACCTCATTTTCCAGCACGGAGTCGCCGTGGAGATTGTCAGAGTTCTTCCAGAAAGTCCTCCACCTCAGTTGACCAACATCTTCTGTGCCGCCGACGAGAATCGCCAAAATGATGTGGTGAGTTTTGCGCGCATTCCATGCCAAAGTGTCGCATTTGCGGCAGCTTTTTTCCTGCAAGAAGAAAAGCAGAGAATTGCGTCAGAAATGAAACAGTAGCGAAAAATTTTTATGAACACCCTGAAAAAAATTTGGCAATTTTAGTGCAAAAAATTCAATATTTCTTTCTGTTTTTTCGTTAGTTATTGAAATTTTAACTGAAATATCGCCCAATTAATTGATAAACTGAAACTATTCGTTTCCAAAGATCAATTTTTTAGTAGTAAAACAGATCAAGAGTAAAATATACAAAAGATGAAGAAGTCTTCCATTTTGAATGTCTTCTAGACATCACAAAACCGAGTGAAAGATCATAAAATTCTGATGATTTTTTAAAGTTCAGGTGGAAGTGGAAACTTGCCAATTTTTTTGTGATGTCCTAAGTTTATTTTTCGCTACTGTACATTCATAATTTCTCGTCTTCGTGATTGAATTCGCGGTTGAATGGCTCGCGCTAGTCTAATTCCTCCTCTTCTCTCTCTCCGCAGACAATCACAATGGACTGCGAGTGCACGCCTGTGCTGCAGGTGAAGGCCTTCCGCCAGAAGTCTGGCAAGGTGGAGACGTCGCACTACAAAGCCACCGTGTCGCGCTTCCGCGGCCGTCTCACCACCAAGATGGACTACTACAAGTTACTGGGCGAGATGCGCACCGAGGGCTATCCGGACATCCGCATTGGGCTGAACAGCATTGGCGCCATCAAGGGCGCCACGGATGACGAGACGCATCTGCAGGAGGTGATCGCCGAGATCCTCATCGCCGCCATTCGCTCCACCATCTATCCCGTGGACTTCTCCATCTACTCCACGTGTCCGCGGCCGCTGGAGCCGGAGCCGGTGGAGGTGCCGCTCAACTATCCCATCCACTACGACTCACTGGCCACCAACATGGAGCACCTGAACGACGCGCGCGCCAAGCAGAGCCTGGAGAATGGCGTGGTGTCGTCGGGCAGGCGATTGCTGGTGAAGGTGCTGAAGGGCGACGGCCTGGCGGCGGCCAAGGATCCCTTCTGCGTCGTGGAGATGGACGAGCCGCCGCAGAAGAACCAAACCGGCGTGCGTCAGGGCGTCAATCCATTCTGGGATGAGCACTTCCTCTTGTAAGTGGAAAATGCCGAAGGTTGCTCAAGTGAGGAGTGGACGAACCATTTCAGCCAGAATATTAAAGAATATAAGTCAAAATTCCATGGAATACACAGAATGTTTGATGAAGAATGGAAGGAATTCACTGTGTTGGAATTCTGAAATTCTAGGGCTACGCAAGCTCGGAAATATCTGGAATATTGTAGGAATATTGGAATAATTAAGGAATATCGATGATACTGCAGAATATTTTGGAATATTTTCAATATAATCAGGAATAAAATAATAAAGAATATTGAAATAAAACACAAGAATATATTCCAATATTCCGGAATAGCGGGCATTTGAGGCGAAAAAACTTAATCTCTCTGTTAAAAAGCAATTTACGAAATTATATTTAGTGTTTGAAAGTGTTTTAGGTGAAGATTGAGGGAAAAATATTGATATAAAGAGATAGAGTGAAGGAAAATAGTCGAAAAAGGAAAGAGAAGTAAAAAAAAGAGTTGTGAAAAACAGCAAACCGGAGGAGAATCGAACCCGCGACTTCACGATCTAGATTCTCTTATGGGAGATTTGCGCTAAAACTTTCTGTCAATTCGTTCTGTGAAGTCTTTCTGTCTTGACACGATTTCGAAAACATAAGTTCGAATTAGGAATGGATGGAATATTTTGGAATTATTCCAAAGAATATTCTAGGAATGGATGGAATGGAATCTACTTTCCTCCAACTTGAGCAATCTGCAATGAAAATTGCATTTCTAACCCACTTCCGGTGCATTTGCAGTGACTTGACGAGCATGTCGGCGGAGATTCTCTTTGAGGTGTACGACAGAGCCACGACAAATGCCGAGGGACAGTCGAAATTTCTGGGTTTGGGTCTTGTGGGAATTGATGAGTTGTCTGTGGGACCGGCGTCATCGCAGATTCTCACACTTCAGCCGCGTCCCTATGAATCTGAGGCCGTCAGTGGAGCTATAACAGTTGAGGTGAGAAAAGGAAATTGATATCTTAACTTGGAATCACCTCAATTGATGTCTTTTTCTTGCTCTCTGGCGCGCAGTTTGTTTTCATTGAAGGAGCCGAAATTCCCGCAGGACGTCGTCCGTACAAATTGAAGAATGCCCTCAAGATTGACACTCATTCACCATCATTCACTGGTAACTATTAAGTTTCTTCTCAACTTTAATCCCACAACACATCCTGCTCTCTTGTCCACACAACCACACTTCTTCAGCCGACCCGGCAAAGAAGCCCCCAAGAAATCTCTCTTCAATCAAATACATTGCTCTCCATCCATCCATCCAGACACCGCCAGCCAGAATGGACATCAGGGTGACATCGTGGACACGGCCATCAAGGCGCTGGAGGGTGGCGCGCTGCACAACAACGGCCACCCCAGCAGAAGCACCCTCATCATCCACAGCGTGCAGCGGGTGAGTTCCCACTGTCCTGCGCGCATCTGCAGTGCTCTTCTTCTCCCCGTGTCCAGAGAATGTTCTGCCCCTTTTGCCACTCTCCTTTTTTTCAATTTTTTTACATTATTATTATTATTATTATTATCACTGTTATGTTCTCTCACCAGCGGCAATCCAATCGGCCAATGTTCAAGGTAAATAGGAGAAATTCTCTCTCATTGCTTCTCTTTATTATTCCATCATGATCATTTTATTTCGTCCTTTGCTGTGTCCTGGAAGGAATTGAGCTCGCCCACTCCTCAAAAGTCCCATTGAATCGTTACATAACCTTAAAATAAAGATTTTTATGATTGATTCTGTGGGAAAATCGACGTAAATCCAAAGAATCGGAGTGATTAGACAGTAAAATAAGCACTAAGGGTAGGAATACTGCAATTTTCTTAACATTTACACTTCTTAAGTGCTTCATCTGACTGTATTATCTCCCCCTTGTCAAACAAGTACTTTTGCGAGCAAATCTACGAGTGAAATTCTCAGCAAAATGTGTTCGCTGGGATGCGCGAAAGCACTCAATTTCTCACAGGGCCTGTAAAATTTTCAACTACCCTGATAAGAAGGGCAGTTGATTATGCGTTGAGCTGAGAAGAAGAAAGCCAAATTACCTCTGCTTGTGATTTCCTTATAATTATGATTGATTGCCGTGTGATTTTCTTGTTGCCACTCTTTTTTCACTCTGATTAGAATCCTGATGTCCCTAATTGTGTGATTGCGAGTGTGTGCTTTTTGCAAGTGTGTCCCAATTAACCGCAAGATGACCTGTGTGTGTATTCCTCAAAGGTGGGCCTTAACGAGAAAGGCCAAATAGAATTGGACGAAAGCGCTTTGGCCAATGGTGAATCGCAAGAGGCGCCAGAGGAGGAAATCATCACACCAGTAAGTGAGAATGGTGATTTAGACAATTCCTGTGCCACTGCCGTCACTGCTGAAGTGCAATCCAATGGTTTCAATTCACCAGAAGAAGTGGTAATTATTCTTGCATTGCTGATCTTCTTCTTTCACCTCTCTTTTCCCTTTGTTTTCTTTTGATTTCTTTTCATTCTGCGTGTGTCCTTTATCAATTTTCTTTTTATTGCGGAGGCTTCGTTCTTTGAATTACTTATCCACACACAAACACACTAACAGACAGAATGGCAGGAACAAGATGAGATTGATACTGATGACAACGTCTGTTGTTTGGTGTTCTCTTGCAGCCTGGCGAGCCAATGATGCACTCATCGCCAAATGCCACGAATGGCCTGAACGTGAATGGCAATCAGAGGGATGGCAATGGTTATCCAATGCCAGCGACGCCGCCTGACCAGCAGTTGCTTCTCGAGGACGATCGTGGGCGATCGAAGAAGAAGCGTGACTTCTTCGGCACACTCAAGAGACGGTAAAACATCTCCCTTATTCATTACAGTTGTACTTGTGATCGCACGAGATATAAAAACTCGCAAAATCGCCTAAACTGACATCAGGGAGGCCAATTATGACCAAAAAAAGGGGGGTCACTTTTTTGTTCGTCGGTCCGTCGTAAATGGACTTAGTAAAAGGTCAGGTTTAAAGTTTTGAACTTTAAAACACTGTAACTTTGATTCCATTTGTCCGATCATTACAATTTTGAGCTCAATTTTGAAATCGTTCGCTTATCGCGTCTCTTTTGTCTCTAATCTTCCACATGTTTGTCCTGTGCAGATTGGGCAGATCCAAGAGTCGCGCCAAGTCAATGGAGCGCGACATGATACCAATCGATGCGGAGAATCCACGCGGTGAAATCCGCTCGATATCAGCAGATCGCGGAGTGTCTCTGGTGAACAACAACAGCACGCTGTCGTCCGCAGGTTGTGCCCCACAGCAAAGACTTATTGTTCCAACGCTGGATCAGTCACGACGATCGTCTCTTTCAGAATCATCAGCAATTAGTGGCATTTCGAGCGCCAGCACCAAAACCTACGTCCACGAGGCGTCAACACTCGTTCTCGAGACCATTGAGAATGGCGTGAAGCGGTGAGACTCACGCTCAACATCCCACAAAAGGCAGTTTTAATTCAAAAACTCTCTCTTCATCCTCCCTTCGACAGGCACTTCCTGGTTCCACTCTCGATAGCTCAGAGGCCGCGATGGCGTCGCAAAGGAACGAAATTGCACATTTACAATGATCACACTTTTGTAGCGAAGCATTTAAGTGGGTGAGTTTATTTAGTTCATTCCCACGAGTTCTTCTCTGCGGAGGAATTATGATAAAAGTGTCCTATTTTATCCGAGTCGTTTTAGGAGATCGTTGATCAATTCTGAATTCCCGCTAATATTTTTTTTCGCCAAAATGACGCGACATATTCCCAAACAAACTTTCGTTAAGTCTCTTCTAAGCTATTTAAAGGGGGATTTACTGAGATTTTTGTGAAAATTAGGCGAATTTTCTGACAAGAATGACAGAAGTGACAATTTTTGCACTTTTTACGCCTTCCACGGCCATTTCTTCACGCAAACTCGCTATGAATATGTTCTATTATCAATAGAAAGTAATTACACAGCCTATTATATTTATATTTATTATATTTATATTCTCTCTTTTTACTTGATACTTTTTCAATTTCGATTAAATGCGTGTTGAAATATTAATCAATTTATTGGGAATTCAAATAATTCTCGTGATTCCTTGATAAATTTTTCTCCATTCCATTGAATAAGACTAAAAAGACTCTAAAATTGTACTACAAAACACTTAGAATGCGTTGTTTAACTAAAAACTACAAATTGCTAAGCAGATGTGTTCAATTTCGCGCCAGAATTCTCTATAAGACAAATTTTATGGGGGTTTTTTTTTTAACAACTCTGTATTTTTTCCATAAATTAGGGTACTTTTAGCATAATACCATCGCTGGTGTCGTCTATCTGATCTAATCAATGACATTATATAAAATTGCACTTGCAGAGGTCTTCTGTGTGATGTCTGCAATCGATCAATTCCACGACGCCCGGGCAAGCAGGGCTACGAGTGCCGCGACTGCCAGACCAAGTGTCACAAGCAGTGCCACGTGAGGGCGCCACAGGCCTGCACGAACCCCACTGTCCTGTCCATGGAACTGTACGTATTCCCTTAGCCACGCCCCAAGCTTTCCCCCGCCCATCTTAGGCTTTCCGATAAGATCATATTTATTGCGGTATGAGGTATATTTATTTCTCACTCTCGTCTCTCTATTGTTATCTCTTTCGAAGGTCATCGCTACCAACACTGACAGAAAATCACATCTAAAAAAATACAATATTTAATTTAAAAAATACCAATTCTTTATGATGTAAGCGTTTTTTTCGTGTCACATCTGCTCTGTTTTATTCGTAAACACTAATCGCATTTATCCTTCAAGCTTTCCTTTACTTTAACTTTTCCTTCCGTTGAGCTTTGAGTTTGTTTGTGAAGTTTTCCCGTAAAATTCTTATTTAACAAGTAAAATGATAAATTTAATATTAATCGCATTTTAATTGTCAGTAATATTGTCATTGCGAAATTTGTGTATTGTTGTCAATCAAGAGCTTTTCACAGCTTTTTTTTCTGCCAGTGAAATTCCTCTAACATTTAATCCCATTGCAAATTAACACAAAATTTGAATATTATAAATTCAGTGGCAAAGCCAACAATAAAATATATCAATATTAGGCAAGTAATTGTAATCGAAATTCCCAATTTTGTCACTGAACAATTTGACGGGTGAATTGAAAAGTATGGAAAGTCAAGATCGCCAATTGCTTCAAAATTTGTCGAATTCTTACACTTTCTAATGATTCATTAAAGTGTTAAAATTGCTGTATAAGAATTTGGATCGTTGCAATATTACGGAATTTGTATTTCAGTTCTTAAAAGCTACCAATTTGCGTTGCAACTTTTCGCTTTTCGTAGCTTATAATTGAGTTTTCTGGAACACATAACCTCAATTTAGCCCATTGAAATGTAACAGAAATGAACGAATAAATGTAATAAAGCTGTATTAATAAAACTTAAAATATAATTTCTCTAAATTTCCTCGTTTTTCATGTGAATTTTCTGAATTGACTTCAAATATCTACGTTTAAAACGTTAAAGATCTCGTAGAAAATAAATAATGTGAATCATAATCATAATCTTGCAACACATTTTTACAAACTAATATTTTTGACAGCTTATTTTAAATATTATGAAAGTAATATTGCAACGACGCCTTCATTTGTAATTTATTGCAATTTTCACTGAAATATAGCAAAAAATCAATTTTCTACCATTTCTTTTCATCAGATGAAAAATTTTGAGAAAATATCGAAATTTTCATAGTATTCGATTCACTCGTCAAAATATTCTATTCACTGCAATGCGAATATTTCGTTCGATTCACTTATTTTTGCCGCCTTGTTTCGTTTATGTATTGAGAGATAACATAAATAATTTATATATGAGCAATTAACAATTGAAACAATTCTTCGTGCCAGCATTTTTCTTTGCATAAAAAAAAAACTCCAAAGGTTGCACAAATGGAATTTCTAATGCGTGAATCTTTTCGTCCATGTTTTCAGATCAAAGCTGAATTCTGCCGCTGCCGATCGGAGTATTCGGAAACTCTGACAAATAGCCGAGTAGAAAAGTCTACAATTTTTCCACCAACACATCGGCAACTCTCAGTCTCTACAAACCATCACATGACGCGTTGTTTATGTTTGGGGGAGGGAAGAAAAAGAAAAAACAGCAAATGCGCGGGGAAAACACGAATATAATCAAATTACTTGTAGTGCTTGTGTTAAATTTTTGTAAATGAAACAACAACAGACAAAAAGAACAATTCTAACTCTTCAATTCTCTTTCCAACACATTTTTCTCTCTCGCTCATTCTCACTATTCACAGACTCTTCATTCTCTCTCTCTCTGTCTCTCTCTATTCTTTATCATTCAGTCTGATTCATTTTTTAGTGCTTTAGTGGGCAACAGAGCAAGAAGGTGGATTATATTTTTGTGTTACTATACATTAAATATATATTATAAAAAAAAGAAAGTTTTTTCAAGTGATTTTGTGACAAAGTTTACGGATTTTTTTCCTTTACATTTTTATCTCTTTATTTAAGTTGGTTTATCTTCATTCATAGGACATTTTTAACTTTGTAAGGGAAATAACATACAATTTAATACCTCTTATAGTAAAGTGAAGAAAAAAAGTAATATATATATAATATACACACACATATATATATATATTTAAAAAGAGAAAGAAAATATATTGTAAAATTTGTTGTAAAATATTCTTGTGAACAATGAAATACGTGCGACATTTCGTCTGTTTTGTGTCATTTCGCAACTCAACCATCGATTCAAGGGGCAGATATTGTGGTCGGAAAAGGTGTACAGCTTCTAAGGAAGTGTTAAGAATTAAAAGTAGTGAAATATTTACAAAAATTTGCATCAGAAAAGCTTCTATTTCAACAATTTCAGGCATTTTCTAACTTATTTTTCTTAGAAAAAATCAATTTTATTGCTTTTCTAGGTTATGTGACTGATTAAAACCCGATTCTGGATATTCAGAAAACCTCTAAATCATCAAAATTTTGTTTAAGCTGGGAATATTTCACTTTTTTTGGCACAATTGAGCATTTCTGCTCGAAAATCTTTGAATTGGATAAATTTTGGAAGTTAAAAACAGCTTTAAAGTCAAACATAACCTACAAAATGTCATTTTAGACTCTTTGGTTAATTATTATCGAGGTTTGTACTTTATTATCCAGTAGAAACATTGTAATATTCCTGAAATGTCTTTAAAAGCGTCGATAAGTGACTGCAGTTTCTGAAAGTGTGTAAATTTGTGGCACATTATCTCCCCCTTGCCCTGATTCTATCGTTCTTATTGTGGCCCAAAATATTGTGACACACAAACACTTGAAAGCGCAGGGAAAAGCGATATGGAAAAGACGCCAAATGATATTGGCGAAAGGCAATGATGAAAAAGTGATTCACGTTGTGTTTGTGTGTGAAAATTAGAAAGAAAATATGACGATAAGATAGTAATTTTCGTGCTGATTCTATCTACGTCGTCGTGAATTGTGTATTTTCCGCCATAGAGGCTGACAACTAACACTAATCAGTTCAAACTCAATGACCTTTCTGTGTGTGGAAATCGCACGGGCATTAGCAAGAGTGCTAAATAGTTGATGTGACAACAAGACAATTAACAACACCGCGAAAAGTCATTTACCCAAGTTCCAGCAATTAAGCAGAGGATAAAAGGGTTTCGAAAGATCTTTTTGTGATATTTTAGAGGTTATGGTCGAAAAAGACGCTGAAATAAGCGGTTTTAAGTGGATTTTTACAGAAATATCGCATGGAATCTTAAGATATTTAATATAATTTGCAAATTTTTGTGGAAACAGTCTAAGAACTTCAAGTGCAAAAATTTACCCTCAAGTTTTAGATGGATTTAAATAAAATCTTTGTAGGCGTGAAAGTAATTTCTATAGACAATTCCTCAATTTTTACCCTATAAAAGTGGTGAAATACGACAATTTACGGACTCACCGAATATTCTGCTGGCCAATCACCCAAGATTCCCCCACTTGTCCGCCCCTCGAGCACTCGGTTGAGTGTGATTAACCGCGAGCGACTCTCGCCAGCTGATCACCTCTGTTCATCAGTATCAATGTGACCGCGAGTCTGGGCAGTGCGTCGTCGCGGAGTGAGAGTGAGAGAGAACAATGACTTTTCTGGGCAATTGGCAGAAGACGACAAAGTCCCTGCAGGAGCGCTTCGGCTACCTGATGGGCAAGGAGCTCATGTCCGACATGACCTTCCTGGTTGGCACCAATGAGGTGCGCATTCCTGGCCACAGACTCGTGCTGGCCGCCAACAGTCACGACTTCTACAACGTCCTCTACCACTTGCGACCAGACAGCATGGAATTGCGCATCGAAGACGTCTCTGTGGCTGTCTTCATGCGCTTCCTGGAGTATTGCTACACAGGACACATTCATCTGGAGCTGGACAAAGTCTTTGATGTGCTGAAGTTGGCGATGCGCTTCGAAATGCGTCACTTGGAGGGAATTTGCATCAACTTTGTGGTGAGTTGCGGATCCAGAGAAGAAATGTGCCCGTAAAACCCTTGATTTGCGCGCGCTTTTGGGGAAGTTGGAATTTACTGTTGCTTTTCTTTCTGTGCCCAATTGGTTTTATCGGAATACTTTAGAAATTTATAGGATCTTGACCTTGATACAAAGTGTTTGATTTTAAAATTTTCAAAATACTTTTATTGACATTAATGCCTCAGGTGTTAGTCAAATAAACTTCTGAAGTTCTAAGTGGTTTTAGAGATTTGTAAGAGCTTTCCAAAGAGTCCAAAATCATTAAAATCGGACAAATAGAACCGAAGTTAGAACGTTTTAAAAATAGATAGATAGAGTTGTGGCCATTTTTATTTTCTAAATTTGGACCCTGGAAATCTAGGGTTTGAAGTGACTTAGGTCCTTAAGTGGTATTTCGTTGAGAAGGTCTTGAGAACAGCTAAAACCTACCAGAATTTGAGTCCAATCCGTGCTAAAGGAGTTGAAGAAATGAGAAAAAAAATGTATTTTTGCGGTTTTCAAATGGCGGGTTTGACAACATTCTTAATCCCAAGACAAAGGAAGTTAATAATTGACGATATAAAATCCTCAGGACCGCCTTATGAACACGCAGAATTGCTTGCGATTCCTCAACAAGAGCTGGCAATTGGGCTGTCTTCGACTAGTGCAGAAGTGCCAGGAACACTTGGCGGACAACTTCGGCGATGTCCTGAGCAACAATCGTCTGCCACTGGACTTCCCCGAACTGCCACACGGCGCCGTGAAGTGGATCGTCGAGCTGGAGACGCTGCAGTGCGACGAGAAGTCCTTGTTTGACGCCGTGATGATGTGGTCACGCCGCGAGTGCACGCGATGCAATCTGTCCGTGACACCGCAGAATATGCGCACCGTCCTCGGTGATATCATCTACCAGATCCGCTTCCCCACGATGACCACGCAGGAGTTTGCCGAGTGCAACAAGACGTATCCGGAACTCCTGTCGGCCGACGAAATGACGAAAATCATGGTCTTCAGCGCCGTTCCAGCGGCTCGAGTGCGCTTCAATGTTCACCCACGCCTCGAGGCCACCTTCACATCTCTCTACCGGGACAATGGCATCCAGGAAGTGGCCACAATTCGAAGGATTACCAAAGGTAAGTCAATACACGGCGATCAAGTGGTTCTTCTTTATAACTCCGCAGCAAGGGGGAAATAATACATGTAAACAGTGTTTACCTAGATAACCTAGAAGAGATCTAAAGAACCCTTATTTTTTGGAAAGAAATCTAAAGTTTACACTAATTTATATTAAAATTGAAGCTTTTATAAGGAAATATAACAACACTCTTCCATTTAGAAATACATCTTTTAATAAAATGTGAGGTTATGAATCTGTTAAAAATATTTTTGCTAGACTTATATTAGTCTATGATTTATTACTTTCATCAATCTTGAAATTCAAACAAACATTTAAGAGGTTATCTTTAACTTTAGATCAGTTTTTAATATTAAAACCTCCGCAATTGCGTAGTTTATCTGACCACAATATCTCCCCCTTTGCTTCGCAGCTCATCGTGTCTTTGACGATCACAATCGCCATGGAATTCGCCTCACCAGCTCAAGACGCATCAACATCTACGGCTTTGGCATTGTGGCCAAGGAGGGCAAATCAATCTACGGAAAGTGTTCCGTTTGGGATGCCGAATTCTGTTTTCAATTTCCCGACGTCAAACCCGATGTGCGTCGCAAATTGTGGGAAAACTACGAAATCATCTACGTGATCTTCAAACATCCACTCACACTGGAGTCCTCGACGTCCTACGAATTGTCCTTCTTCAACTGCGCCAATGTCTGCAGTGTGGATGAAATTGTGCGCGAAACGGTGCGCAAGGAGGAAATCACGTTCCGCTTTGAGAAATTTCAGGATTTTGCCGCCATTCCTGCGCTTTTGTACAGAATTCTGCGCTAAGAAGATTCAACACTTCACGCTGAGTCACTATGAGAGACAAGGGGGAGATAATACAGTCCAGAAGTGATGTACAGCTCAGTGGAAGTTCTGAAAAACCTACAATTCTCCATACAAAACTGTCAAATTAAACCTGCATCAATTTTAATGCATGATTAAACGAGATGGCGTAAAGAGCCTCATTGACAGAATTAAGCATTTGCATGCAATAAATAGTGCTCTTCTCTGAAATCGAACATAACCTCAAAAATAGTCATTTGGACTTGAAAAATGTTTATTTAGTAAAGATTTTGACTCTAAAACAGCAATTCTTAGTTCATTGTCACATCATAAGAGATAATTTTGTGATCTAGAAAGCTTCCACAACAGTAGAAAACTGAAAGCATTGGAAGCTCTGCATATCTTCTTATCGAGAAATAGAAATGTCAATAAGAAGGAAGATTGTGCTGACGTTAGTATGATCTAGGCCTGTTTCTGTCAGCTTCCACAAAGCTGAAAAGCTTCTAAACTCAGTCTTTTGAAGTTTTCTTAGTGATATTTTGAGGTTATGGTCGGAAAAGATACCCAAAAAAGCGATTTAAAGTGGATTTTTGCAGAATAATTGAATGGAAACTTAAGAGATTCATTATAATTTGGAATTTAAGGCATATTATCTCCCCCTTGATGTGAGAGACATTAAGTGTGATATACAAAACATACGTTATATTTGTTTGCAAGATAAGAAACGCTGCAGGAAACTTGTTAGCTTTATATATTATTCGGATATTTCCTTATGGATTGAATAAATAAATAAAGAAAATAACTTATTGTGCCACAAATGAATTTTTATCTCTTTCTCGCCAACACAATTTTCTCACCTCGTTGGAAAACAGGTCAATGGATTACTTTACTATCGAAAATGATCTCTTATCTTTCGTCCCCCCAAATATTGGATCACTTTCAATTGTTGCGTCAACACAAGACGCATTTGAGAGGAATTTTTGCGGAAAGAATGAGTGTTCAATAGAGACTCCTTTAAATCATTCAGACATGTCTTCGGCTCTCTTATCAGCGCGTGTATTGCAAACATTTCTAAACGACCGCACGTGACTCGGATATTACTTCTCACGAACACTCTGTGATTATCATATGACGAAAAAAGCAATTGCCCTCTTCAATTTCTCATTGTTTCGATAGGAAATATTATTGCTCTGCTTGCATTCCATTTCGCAAAAGTCTCAGACTCAATTTTGGCTTTTATCAAGGGTCAGATATTGCGGTCAGAAGTGGTGTACATCTTCTGAGGAAGTGTTATTAATTAGAAGTGTGGAAAAATTTACAATATTTGCATAATAAAAGCTTCTGATTCAACAAATTAAGATATTTTATAATTAATTTAGCTTACAAAAATCAATTTTACTGCTTTTATACGTTATGTGATTGCTTTAAAACACTTTTTGGTGTTCAAATAACTTTGAAAGTTATCAAAATTGTGTTAAAGTTGCACAAATATTTCTCTTTTTAGCCAAACTGAGTATTAAAAAATTTCAAAATAACTTCATATTTGATGGGAAAAAGCTTAAAAGTCAATCAAAACCTCAAAAACATCATTTCAGTGTAGAAAAACATTCCTTTGCTTAGATTTTTCCACGATTGGTACTTAAGAGTGTCAAATTAACCTTAGTTTCTAGTACAAACATTGTGATATTCGCCATAATTTCTCGTTTTTAAGGTTTGACAGGGTTTTATTTAGGCCAAGAAAGCCAAGAAAGATTTTTAAGCGCATTCATAACCTCACAATTTTGTGAGAATTTTTCTAAACATTTTCCAAAGGCAAAACTAAGAAATAAAGAGAGAAATTTTGAAATTTTCTTTCTATAAGCAAGAGCGATTTCTGAAATGTGAATTTTGAGCCTTTTAAATCATCTGGAGAATCACTGATTCATCCCAAAAGAGAGCGCATTTCAAGTGCCCCACTCTGTGTTACTCTCCAAACTGTTTGAATTGAATATTGACTCTCAACGATTTCCGATACCACGCAATCATCAATTGCTATCAATTGGCTCTCTTTGGGCTGAGATTGCTGAAATGGGCATCCCGTTAGGACTGTGGCAGTTGCCCACTGGACACAATGGCACCGATCAGGAGAGGCACAAAGTGAGTGTAAATAAACTTAGCTTGACTTCTGTGATCACAGAATCATCCTCTCTTTCTCTGCTGTTCTTCTTCCTCAGACGCAAGCTGGCCGGGAATTTGGACGAGCGCCAGGCACTGTGGATTGGCTTCCAGGAGAGAATCCCAGAGCGCTTCCAACACCTGGCCAATGACGCCAGCTTCGCCGATATGCACTTCATCGTGGGCGCTGAGCGTGTGAAAATGCCCGGACACAAGTTGATCATCGGCATCTCCTCATCGGTGCTGTTCAGACAGATGCGCACGTCTTCTGCCATCGAGATCCGCGATGTGTCGCCGAGTGTGTGGCTGAAGGTGCTCCAGGCCATGTATGGTGGGCAGATGGAGACAATTCTCACCGCTGAGACGGTTCTGGGATGTCTGAAGTGTGCCAAGCGATATGATCTCAAGGATCTGCGCTATCAATGCATGTATTTCATCCGGCGTGAGCTTCTGCTGCAGTCTGACGATGACATTCCCGTCAGCATGCTGGACAGCGTCACCATCACCGAGGCCATCAACATGCGCCGCGAGATCTTCACACCCGCCACCACTGCCGTCAGCACAATCCAGTGGCGCTGCCCTTTCCGGCTGGACGCCCACGGTTTGGGCGCCACGGAGTTGCGCCGCCTCGTGCAGATGCACATGCGGAATCTGGAAGTGAGCCACATCTTCAACACGGCCGCGGATTGGTTCCGCACGGAGTGTCGCACGCGACGGATGCCGAAGAAGCACAAGAGGATGGATGAATTCCTCCTCGAGCGCTGTCCGCGACTCAACTTTCCCGCCATGACGCCCGGACAGTACAACAGATGCATCGAGGGCAGTTGTCATCTCACCGCTGAAGATGTGGAGCAGCTGCACGAGGTGGCGCACAGGAAGCGTCGTCTGGCCATCGGGAATCGCCGGCAGATGCACGGACCAGCGTCCGGCATTGCCAGCCAACGTGCCAAGGCGGGCATCTACGAAGTGCCGCTGATGAAGACCATCCGGGTGATCAAGGAGCCCGACTCACTGGAGATCCTCAATCGCACCATCATCAGCCTGACCAGCAGCAAACTCATTGTCATCCATGGATTTGCTGTGCCGGTGCGAAAGGACACAGAAGCCGGCTTGGCTGTTCTCTCCATCTCACCGCGGAACAGAACACTGACCAAGACCACCACGAGTGGCATGAAGCGCCTGATTGACCAGCAACACGATCTCCTGTACGTCCTCCTGCACAATCCCATCCTCGTGGAGCCCACGATGGAGTACAAGTTCAGCATGCGCGCCCTGTCCGGCGCCTGTGCCGCCCTGGGCGAATTCTACGATGAGATCGTGGTGAATGACATCAAGTTCACCATCAGTGGCTTCCAGCAGACCTTCACGCACGCCCTCTTTGTCCTCTTCGAGGATCCACGCATGTACGCTGACGTCACGGCGCTCACGATCATGGATCTCATGGCGTTCGTTCGGCGTCCGCGTCGAGGCTCCAACAGCAGCCCGGAAGATCAGGATGACCAGGAAATTGAGAGCAGAGTGTGAAAGAGAAGAACTGCTTTTTTTTTGTAAAGTACAACTAATTGTATATTTTAACCATGACGCTCTTAAACAATAAAAGACAGATTAATAGTGATTTCTTATTTCAGTTCATAAAAGTTACGAATTTGACCGTTATTACACTGCAAAGACACAAGACGCGTCTAAAATGGCGCTCAAACCTTGAACTTCACTTGCCCACATAAACACGAAAGCAATTCACTTCCGGAAGCTAATTGTGTAACTTTGAGTTTAAGATTTTGGGCGCAGCAGTAATTTGAAACTTCTTTGCGCATTCTTGGCCCTAAATTAATCTCCGCCACTGTACAAACGGTTTGTTTTTCAAATTCGTGAAAAAAAAACATAGAGCTTTAGACGAGTTTGACAGCCGGCTGTCAAATCTGCGCCCGGAAAAGTGTGTTTATGTTTACATTTTTCAAGTTTTCTTCAACTTCAGTGTTTTTGCCGGAAATTTAGAAAAAAAACTGGCATTATTTCACGAGAAATGTGATAAAAATTAAACTTCAGTGAGAAGAAGGTGAGAAAATGAAGGAGAAATCACACATTTTATCTGCCAAACATAATAAAACTTTTTTTTCCCCTATTTTCCAGTGCTTCTGAAGTCTGCATTGACCACAAGAAGTGGAGTGTAAAGCGTTGGCACTCTCAGGACAATGGCAGGCAACAATCTGGGCTCAAATCACTTTGCCATGCTGGCGAAGTCGCTGAAGATGCGTGAGGAGTTGCGCCACAGGGACAAGCAGGATCAGCTGGTGCAGGAGTTGAACCAGCAGCAAGACATCTTCGTGCACACGCTCATTGGCGCCCGCGAGCTCGAGCTCCTCATCGCTGAGTTCAATCCCGCGCGGTGTGACGAAGTCAGCGCCGCCGATTGGATCAGAGATGTGGAGAAGTTGGGCAGCATTCATGGCTGGGCGACGGATCAGTTGCTGCTGTTCGCCAGCATGAGATTGTCCGGCGTCGCACGAATGTGGTACGAATATTCGCTGGACAACATTGCGAATTGGGAGGACTTCAAGCGGGAGCTGCTGATGAACTTCCCCCGGACAATCGACACCACAGAGATGCACGGGAAGCTGATGGCGAAGAAGCGCGGCGCCAGTGAGACTCTGGAGGAATATTTTCACTCAACTGTGAAAGTGGCGAAGCGAATGAAGTTGACTGACGACTCAATCAAGGATTATCTCATCAGAGGTCTGCAGAATCCGAAGCACGAGGTGATTCTGTCCTCCATCGGATCCTGTTCACTCACGGGATTCCTTCAGCACATGGTGCGCCTGGAGGAGGACTCCAAGAGGACAACTTTCCAACCCGGTGAGCCTGATTTTCAGTCCTTTTCATAATTTCAAGTTTTCAAGCAGGAAAAATGAGGAATTGACAATAATTTCTATGAGATTAAGAAAATATTTTCACATTTTAATATATTTTTGTGGATTTATTCCTAAAGAATATTGAAAAGAAATTTTTTGTTTTATAGAATTCAATGAAATTCAGCGGAAATTCGATGAAAATTTTTCACCAAATTCGAAAAACAAATCTTTTTTCTGCTAATCATTGACTAAAAACCTAAAAACAAAGATATTTCGTGAGAAGAGAGAGAATATTATGCACGAAATGCGATATAAATGGCGTCCCTCACGCCAACTTTGCTGCCCTCTGGCGGTGATATGTAGAGAAAATAGTCGAATATGAAGAAAATATTTAAATTTCATTTGATTTCTTTCAATATTTTGCCTGAAAATAGTCAAATTTTGATTGTTTTACAATTTTGATTGAATATAAGACAGAATCGATTTGAGTTTAGTTGAATTTCTCTTGCATTTTAGGCTCATCGCAGCCTATGTCGAAGAATTTCCCGCCTGCGCCACAAGCAGGACCGTCAAAGTTCTCAACAGTGCCGCCAGTGAAGCAGTTTGGCGACTCAAAGGAGTTTAGCAAAAGCAAAAGTGTGGCTTTGAAGAAGAAAACACACTGTTTATTCTGCAAATCCGACGATCACATGGTGTCGAAGTGTCCAAAGATGAACAAGAAGCCAAAAATCACGACTGCTTCGCTTCCAGCGTCACTTGCTAATCCGAAGAAGGCGTTCAGTGAGGCGGAATTGGAGTATTTTGCGAAGATGAAGGAGGAGAAGAAGAACAATTGGGCGGTGAAGATACAATTGGATGATTCTTCCATACTGAAGATCAGACGGATTTTGGATGATTTCGACAAAGATGCGCCGGAGTATAAAACGGTGCACAAGAATTATCAACTGGTGAATGGCAAAGTGTACTACAGAGACAAGGAGGGTTTGCGTTTTGTGGTGCCGAAGCAATTTCGCAGTCTCACGCTGAGTTATCATGATTGCACAGGACACGCTGGCTATATTGCCACACTGAAGCACTTGCAGCGTCTCTTCTGGTATCCACAGATGAGTGGAATGGTGACAAAGTACATCAACAGCTGCATTTGGTGCAGACACAATTCGCGCGGAAGAGCCAAAGCGAAGGGCGCCGTGAGCAATGGTAAAGATCAGTCGAAGAGATTGATGACAATTCCCTTCTATCACGTCTTCTTGCACTTCTTCGGTCCCTACGCCAAGACCACGGCTGGACATGAGTTTGTCTGCGCGATCATTGATGTGCGCACGAAATTTCGCATCCTCAAGGAAGTTTGTGAGCCAACGGGGGAAATCGCCGTGAAGATTCTCAACTTGTTGGCCGAATACTTTCCCACGCCCACTGTGATCATCACCCAATCGCCATTTGTCGCGGACAACTTCAAGGCCTACTGCACGGACAATGGCATCACGCAGAGACTGAATGCCGATCTCAATGTCATGATGACGGAAACGCTGAAGGACATCGATGACGCGCTGAAGGCAAAAGGCGATGGACAGCCGTGGGATCAGCGATTGCCACAGATTCGGGACAAGATGAATTCGACGCCAACGGCGACGAACTTTCTCGCGCCCACCAGAGCCATCTTCCACTACATGCCGTATGACATTTTCATGGAGAAGATGAACAGCGCCATGGCAATGGATCGACCAGAGTTGATCTCCATCGCAGATGAATCGGAGGATTCCGACCAGGCGGAAGACGCGGAAGCGGAACCCAAGGCAGAAGCAAATGAAGCAGCTTTTCAGCGCGGCGACGTCGTCTTGCTCCTGAAGCAGACTGTTAAGGAAGAAAGTGCTGAGAAACCGCGTCCTCGCTATCAAGGTCCGTACGTTGTTAAGAAAGTGCTGAAGGACAACAAATACATCGTGTGCGAGACGAATTCTATGCGACGACAGGCCAAGAAATTCGTCAAGGAATGTTCGGCTGATGAACTGAAGAAATGGCCACATTATGATGTATTCAAAGAGTTTTATAATACAGTCGTGTGAGATGTAATAAAAGGAAAATGTCGAGGTTATGTTTTTCACGACGGTTTATGTCATATTTTGGATAATTTGCCTTTGCAGTGCAAATTTTTTTTGCAATATTTTCCGGGTCGCTAAAATAAACAACTAGAGAATATTTACGACCCTTTTTAATGCACTTCCATCCGAAGAAAAGGACATAAATTGCTCGTTTCTGTTGCTGACAAAAGTGTTCTTGATTAATACGATCCGAAGCATCTGTCCGGGTGTTTTTCTTGACAAATATTAAAAATTCTTGTGCTTAAAAGCTTTTAGAGGTAATAAATAAATATTTTCTCACGTTTATTGTCCTCAAAAAGACTGAAAACCTTGAAAAACTTTTTAAAATGTGTCAAAAAATATCGATTATGTGCCGATTGCTTCAATTCTTGCAATTCTTGCAATTCCCTGGAAAAGCCGCCTTTGATTGATATTCATAATTCATTTTCATCGCGTCAGTTGAAAGAGGTCGATTTAAGTTTCTCTCACTGTCTTTACAAAACCTGCCAAACATAGAATTTAGACGAATTGGCGCGCTGTCAAAATCAGCTGTTTCGTTTCGGATTCGGCGTTTGTTTGCAATTGTAATTCCACAAGAAATTAATAATTGTAGATTAAAGTGTGATATAAAATATTAATAAGTGTGTTCTTTCTGTCGATTTGACAACACGTTTTGAGGAAAAGTTATAGGAAAGTGAGTAAAATATCTGATTTTTCTGTTCACGAACGTATTGTGTAATTATAAAAAGTCGGCATTTTGCAGTTTTTATTGTAATTTTTCCTTGAGTTGTTGGAAAATTTTGTGTCTTCCGCATTAGAATATTTTCTAAACTCTATACATTGCGAGATTCTGAAGAAAATTCAAAAATACATAAATGCTTTTAAATTACACTGTAATTTATTAATTAACATTCTTTGTAAATTATTGTAATAATTATATGGATTTCCTTTTTTACGCACAGCACAGAGAAACAAATATGTCAAATAATATTGATCCGAGATTCTACAATTTTGCGGGATCATCGCAATCCAATGACAATCAATATCAAATGTATGGACAACAGAATTTCCATCAACACCAACACCAAATGCCATCTCAACAGCAACAATTTGGGCAGCAGCAGCAATTCCAGCAATTGCAGCAGTTCGTGAGGCAGTTCCAAATGCAAAATCAATTTCAGAATCAGCAAAACTATCAGCAAAATCAGTCATTTTCTCAAGCACCACAAATTGTCCCTCCTCCGAATCCGCCGAATCTCTCCTTTGACCAGCAAAGCCATTGGACACAAAATCAGCATCAGCTGAATCAGGAAGAGCGAAGTTGGCAACAGAATCAAAGCACTGAAGAGCCGGAAGAGCATCCGCATGACGAACATCGGGAACAGACGGAGAAAAGATCAAACACACAAAAGCACATCAAGTCAAAGATTCACTGTCATATTGGCTGGCGTGAAATTCAGCTGCTCATCAGGGAATTTAATCCAACGAAAAATCGCGATTTGAGCGCCAACGAGTGGACGAATGAGATCGAGAGATTGGGCAAAATTCATAAGTGGGATGATCTGCAAATGATGTTGTACGGAACAATGATGCTGAAGGGCATTGCGAAGACATGGTATCAGTACTCACTGGAGATGATATCGAATTGGGAGGACTTCAAGCGTGAATTGGTGAAGAATTTCCCAAAAACTGCCGATGCGACTGACATTAATTCAGCACTGAGAGCAAAGAAGCGTCGAACTGATGAGACGCTTGAGGAGTATTTTCACTCAACTGTGAAATTGGCAAAGAAGATTAAGCTAAATGACAGTGCCATCAAAGATTATCTCATTAGAGGTCTGCAGAATGCTAAGCATGAAATAATACTGTCTTCAATTGGATCTTGCTCACTCACTGGATTCCTTCAGCACATGCTGCGCCTTGAGAAAGATTCAGGCCAACAGTCTACTTATCATTCGTCGAGTTCCAACTACAAACAAGATCGATCACCTGAGAGATCAACGGGGAGAAAGAGACCTTATTCACCCTCGTACTCTCCCGGTAAGAAAGATAAAGCGGCTAAGCCGGATAGGATAAGAAAGTGCTTTCTGTGTTTGTCCGAAACGCATTTGGTGCAAAGTTGTCCAGAAAATATCTACAAATCCAGCGTGAACACGAAATCTGACCAAAAAGGTGATTCAACGGCGAAGAATTGCTTTATCTGCGGAGAAATTGGCCATTTGGCCAAAGAATGCCCAAAATGTCCATTGCCAACCGCAGATTCACGAGTTCTGCAGCACGAAAATGTCAACAGACGGATAAATTTGGGCGATGATTTTGATTTGGAGATTGATGATGAAATTGGAGATCAGATTGATGAAGTGTTGGATCTCGCTCAAATGTAGGCAGAAAAATGTATTTAAAAATGAAATTAATAAAAATTCTTGTAATAAAGTGTATTTATACCCGGGAATTATTTACCTTAATTACAAAGATGCACAATTTTACACGCCACACTTGAGAAACATCGAATTTTAGACGAGTTTTGGAATGACAGCGCATTGTTGGTGTTTTTTGTTCTTTCTGCACTCACAGAAGTCTCACATTTCCTGTGGAATATCGGCAATCTTTCAACAAAAATCTTTGATAAATTCATCCACTAAAAATCCCACTTCTGATTCACATTGAAATACATCTGGGAAAACTCTCAAGGAACAGGTAAGAAAGGATGGGAAAGTACGCTTTGATTGGAATTACCATCAATAAGGACATAAGAAGCCAATTAAATCTCTTTGATGCTAAAGAGTGATTTCCCGCGTGAGGAAAAAGGAGTTAAAGCGAGGAACTTGTGATGCAGAACTCAATCGAAGATGTGCGAAAACCTGTGTGGTTTTGCCTATGAACTCAAATAGAGTTTCAAGATGTGTTCTTGGACGCGTTTTTTTGTGCCAGAGGAATGTCAGGGGACATTTCTTCTGTGTGTCTACTGTGTGTATTGCAGACAGCAGATGAAGATCTGCGCGCATCTTTAATTAACCACAGGATTCTTTTGTACAGAATCAATACTTTCGCATTGGAAGAACTTGAATGAATTGAATGAACTCGTAATGTTCATTTACTAATACTATTATTTTTTATTTCCAATTATTCGCTATTTCTGTAATTTTAAGTGGGATTTTAACTTCGTTCATCCTTTTTTTGCGTTGAACGATCTTTACAAGTGAATAAAATGTTTGATTCATTTCATGTTGGGAAAAAGCAATTTTCATGATGAAGAAAAGCTTACAGCTGACAAATTCTTTTTACAGTGAAAAGTGTTGAAAAGAAGAACTCTTATAAGAGTAAAAGACAGTGAGAGTGAAGATATATAAGCCATTCGTTGGTCTTGAGCATAATCTTCTGCTTGCTATTTCAGGAATTGGTTGAAGAATGGCAAATAACGCCTTTGATCCTTCGTACTTTGCCGCATTGGCGCAAAGTATGAAGAAGCGCGAGGAGACGCGCGAGAAGGAGAGGAGAGATTTGCAGCAGCAAGAGGAAATCAAGACGGCCATTCACGCTTTTCTGGGTGCGCATGAAATTGAGCTGCTCATCAGAGAGTTCAATCCGGCCAAGAATCCCGATTTGTACGCCTCTGAGTGGATCAATGAGATCGAATTGCTGGGCATCATACACAAATGGGAGCCATATCACTTGCTCCTTTACGCCAGCATGAGATTGTCCGGCGTCGCCAGAACGTGGTACGAATATTCGCTGGACAGTATCAGTGACTGGGATGACTTCAAGCAAGAGTTGATCAATAACTTCCCACGATCCATTGACGCGGGCGAAGTGCATTCCAGGCTGATGGTGAAGAAGCGCGGTGCCAATGAGATGCTCGAAGACTACTTTCACAACACTGTGAAGTTGGCCAAGAGGATCAAAATGGACGACGACTCCATTAAGGATTACCTCATTCGTGGACTGACATCGCCGAAGCACCAGGTGATCCTGTCCGCTGTTGGATCGTGTTCCCTCACGGAATTCCTTCAGCACATGCAGCGTCTCGAGATCGACACTCGCTCGCCTCGGCGTCAATCGCCTCAGCACGAAGACTCCCGTGACAGATCACGCGAGCGTGCTTTTCCGCCACAGCGCCGTCACTATTCACCCGACAGAACGTCGAGTGAGCCGAAGAGAGTTCGGCGGGACAAAGAGTGCCATCTTTGTGGATCGCATGATCATTTGGCTGCTCAGTGCAAAAGCCGAAGTCAACATTTTGATAGAACACGATCAAAGGAAGTGAGATCAGACCAACACGCCAGTTCGAGGAGATCCAGCAATCCAGGCAAAAGAATTTGCTACAATTGCAAGAAGGGTGGCCATGAGGTGTTGGACTGTCCGATGCCAAGGCAACCACAGCACAATTCAGATCGGAAGAAGCATCATTATGGCCAAAGGAGAGGCAAATATGATGATTCTGACTCAGAAATTGATTTGGACGCTGTCAATGTTGATAATGAGGCTGAAGATGATGATTTGTGGAGAATATAGTAAGTCATTTTGATCCAATGAGAGAAAATATGGCTAAAAACATCCATAATTCACGCTTTGTAAAGCCAAAATCAATTATATTTTATCGTACATACTGCAAATTTTTTTATTTCCTGGAAATCAACTGGAAACTAACTAAAATCTATCTAAAAAGGATTTTCTTCCTCAAATTGCAGATTTCAGTATCTTTTCGAATCATAACCTGTAATAAACATTGAATATTCTTAAGAGATATTGACGAGAATCTTTCTAATTCAAAATTGCAGCTGTTTAGTGAAAAAATTGAGATTATGTTTGACTTTAGCGCTTAAACTGCTTGTTTAAACTGCTATTTATGCTAAAAATAAGTCACATAACCTATAAAAACTTGGCTTGTTCCCTTGACTTTGACTATTCTGTTGAATAAACATCACTTTGTTCAGTAATAAATAACGTTTATTTAATAAATTCACAACAACTGTTAATCACCTGACAAATTCGTGCTCCTCCTCTAAGAGCGAGTACAGACTTGTAGGTTAGCCTCGAATCGATGGGAAATGGGATCAATCCACTGTGGATGAGCTTGGAAATGTGTAAAGCTCAAATCAGCGATAAATCGTGGCTGAACTGGCGCTAAACACAATCAGGAGTTATTCTTCTTTGTCGACACTAGCGACAATTTTGCTTCGCGTGCCTTTCGCAGCTGTTAATTGATTTATTTTATCAAAAAGCGTGAAATTTTGCGAAAAATGGAAGATTCGCAGAAGAATTTAATGATTTTGAGATGCCACGACAAATAATTTGCAAGATCTCCGCCATTTTGTCCATTTTGAGCTGTCAAATTATTCGGGGAATCATTTGAATTTGGCTAACCCCATAAATATCGGTTGAATCTTCGATATATCGAGGGATAAGTCGCGTTTTTGGCTCAACCAACTGTCAGACACACTCGAGCTCTCGCTTATCCTCTCTTGGATCACCTGCAAGTCTGTAATCGCTCTAACAGATACTGACTGGGTAGATAAAAAAAAACAGAGTTAACTCGTAGTTTGTTTCCTGAATGTGTGTTCTGGACATCAATTGCACGTGACGCCATTGATGTAGTCCTGCTTCTCGTGGTGCCACAATTTGACTAGATCCTCCACATTGTCTGACCGCTTGAACAGGACACCAAATTCTGGACTGAGGCGCCACGCGAGCGCCACAGCTTGCCGTGGCCAGTTCCAGAACACGATGGCCTTGCCCAGGATCTTGAGATCCGCCACCAGTGTGTTGAGGTTCATCGCCACAGTCACGTCGATGCTCTGCACGTAGTGTCCATTGATGATGATCAGGGACACTGTGTCCGGTGCATCGAGTGTGTACTTGAGCACCTTGTACTTGAAATTCTCCGCGGCGGAGAACACCAGACTCTGATCCGGTGAGATCTCCAGCAGCGCCGTGTCTAGGATCTTGCGCACATCGTGCGCCGTCGCGGGTCGCGCGGTGGTGTACAGGACAAAGAGGAGATTCACCGCCACGCCAATGACAATGCCATACTCCAGTCCGAGGATGAGGCAGGATATCAGGGTGACCATGAAGGGGATCACCTCAATGCGACGCGTGCGCCACAGCTTGAACAGCAACTCGTACTCCACCATTGAGAACATGGCGGCCAAGATGACGGCGGCGAGAGTCGTCTTGGGGATGAAGTAGAAGGTTTGGGCGAGAAAGCCCAGAGCCAGCAGAATTATCACACCCGTGAACACACCGCCGAGTGTCGTGCGAACGCCACTGGTGTTATTCACCGCTGTCCTCGTGAAGGAGCCCGTGATGGGCATCGAGAGGACGAAGGAGCCCATGATGTTGCACATGCCAAGGGCGATCATCTCCTGTGTGGCGTCCACGGTTTTTCCCTTTGCTGCAATTGAGAAAAAGGCAATGAAAGGTCGTGATATACTATATGAAGTCGTTACAGTTACTCACAGAAGGCTTTGGCCACTGCGACACTCTCGAGAATTGACACCAACGGAATGGCCACAATTCCCGAGCCCAAAGTGTGGATCATTTCGCTGAAGGAGACAGTTTCGTTGGCCACAACAGTGGTGAATGGCGGTGGTCTGAACGGTGGCAGACCCGAAGCCACATTCCCCGTGAGCGTGAAGGGCGTGTCATCGTGATATTTGTACAGAAGATACGCCAAAACAGTGCCTGTGATAACAGCAATGGCATTTCTCGACAGTGAGAAGTATCTGAAGAACAGCCGCCAGCGCTGAATGCTATTGAGTCGCTGGAAATATTAGAAAATATGTGATAAAAAATGGATGAAAGTTTAAAATGAAGTCTCTGAATCTAGTAGAAAATACACAAAGGCAAAAAATCCCCTAAATGAAGAAATGGGAAAAATTAAAAGAAATCAAATGAAATTTAAATATTTTCTTCATATTAAATTCAAATTAGGATATTTGATTATTTTCTCCACATATCGCCGCCAGAGGGCAGCAAAATTGACGTGGGGGACGCTATTTATACCGCAAAATCGCGAGAAATCAAGAAATGATTGAATAATCACAAAAACAATGGTCTCAAAACGCGAGTAACTTCCCCTTGAGAACCCCCAGAATTGGAGGACTTCAGTGAAATGTCCCAGTGAAAGGATTTACCTTCAGGACTAGGAGAAATGCTACAGTGCAGACGCCTAGAAGTGTGTCCCAGAGCTTAATATCACTGATATGATGGAAGAAATTGCTCCACGCCTCGATGAAGTCGTTGGCCTGACCCGGCAAGCCGAAGAGGGACTTCAGCTGTGTGCTGGCAATCGTAATGGCGGCGGCTGAGGTGAATCCTGCCGTCACCGGAATGGAGATAAATTGCACCAGGAAGCCCAGATTCAACACGCCCAGAAGGAAAATCACAACGCCGCTCAAGAAGCAGCTCAATACTGCATAATCAGGACTCGCCGTGACGTAGTGAGCCACCATCAAGGACATGATGGCAGTTGGACCTATTAGGTATTATTAAATTAGGTATTATGATCTTAAATCTAATCATATTTGAAGTGCTTAAATCTCTGAAAACAGATAAAACCCGGATTAAAGTGTGATAAGTCAGAAATACATGTAAAAAAAAACAGTTGGAAGAGTCTAAAAAGCGATAGAAAATGCCATTAAAGACGTTCAAAAGTATCAGGAATAAACTTACCAATTGTAATATCTTTGCAGCTGCCAAAGATGAAGTACATAAAACACCCCATAAATCCAGAATAGAGTCCATATTGAGGCTCAAGTCCGGCGACAACAGCATACGCTATTCCCTATTAATTGGTTGAGTTAAGTGAGTGAAGAAAAACAGTGAGATTCCAACATTTTACTGCCTTTCTCTTACCTGTGGAATTGCCGTCAAAGCAACAGTCAGTCCAGCAACAAAGTCAGAGAACAAATAGTTCAGTTGATATTTCGGCAGCCAACTTAGCACAGGAAATCTCTTAAGCAGCGTCGATTTGTCACAAAATCCTCGAACTTGTCGCTTCAATATTGGAAGTATCGCAGGAAATTCTTCACTAAAATCCTCTGGCGGCGCTTCTGCAAAGAATATTAAAACATTTAAAGCTGTTCCAGCTGGGAATATTGAAGAATATTTGGGAATGAATGGGAATAAAGGGCTAAATTTCATGGAATACGAAGAATGTGGGATGAAATGAAAGGAATTTACTAAGTTTTCGAATTTTAAATCTCGAAAAACATGCTGTGAAGCCAAAGAATAGAGAATAGAGAAGAATATAGAAGGTGAATCGAACCCGCGACACTTGAAGATCTTGTGCAAAATTCTCTTATGGGAGATTTTTGCTGGAATTTGTGCAAAAAATCTTTCTGCCTAACGACGATTTCGATAAATATAAGTTCGATTTGGGAATGGAGTGAATATTTGGGAATTGTTCGAAGGGATATTCTAGAAATGGATGGAATGGAATGGAATTATATGAGGAAAACTCGAGAAATCCTCGATATTTGTAGATTTATTTTCCATACACCAAAGAAATCATCACTTTTTTCCCTCACTTCAAAATACTTCTGAACGGAAATGTAAGTGATTATGGAAATTTATTTACAAGCTTTGATTGACAAAGGCATCCGACGATTTATATTCACGAAACATTCTTTATTGTTAGGCGACAATAATGCTGTTTTTTTGTCAAATCTTTTGCCAGCAAATTAGCTTTAATGCTATGAAATGAATGGTATTTATCATTCTCATGCCGAATTGTCTACAATTCTTCAGTGCCAAGCAATTAAATCTGATAATGTTACATAAATAAATCCAATCCAGCACACATAATTAAGTTTTTAACACTCTGTGCCTTGTTTGACGAACAATTTAATCCCTAAATGACCAATTTTATGCTACTCTGTCACTAATTTGCCCATGACAAATTTCCCTAATTGAAATGATAATCAATAGTGCAAATATTTATCGTGAGTTGTGAGCGATGTTCCAAGAAAGCTTCGCGAGTAGAGTAAAGTGTGACTTTGAACATACACCAAATGCATGACCATTTATTTGATGAATCATGGTTTATTTTGCAAATTATTGACCACAAACTTCACAGTACTTTTCCCCAAAAATGCTCTTTCTCAGGTGATTTTTTTCGCAAAGAATGTCACTTCTGTGAAATGTCTTATGGTAAATCCCCAACGAGAAAGACGATGGGAAGAGCAAACAGCAAATTGTAGAGTTTCTACCAAACAAGGGGGAGATAATACAGCCCAGAAGTGGTGTACGAAGTACTTAAGAAGTGGAAGTGTTAAGAAAAAAACCTTTCAATCATGCTTTCCAGCGTGCTTCTTTTTCTGACTAATCATCCTGATTCTTTGGATTTCTTTAAATTTGTGCAAAGAAACAATCTTTTTCTAGGTTATGTCACGAATTTAGTGAATATTTTGCATTCTAGAACATCAATTCTTTATGCTAAAGTCACCAAGATTGTTAATCATTGGCAGAATTAAGCATTCTCGCGTTCTCGCTTAGTGCCAGAGCTGTCTAAAGAGTCCAAAAACCATTTTTGTATGATAATTAAGATTGATTAACATGAAATTACAACATTCTACGAAAGCACAAGAATTGTTAGGAATTCTGCATGTGATTTATGGTGTACAGATTTCAGACATATTAACACTCCCTTGTGTGTATTTATTGAAAGACATGTAGTTTGATTATCAGAACTGAAAGTATTATTTAATTTGTTGAGCAAACAAAGATAAAGCGATTAATTTGCATCACAATCTTCAAGATTTTTACTGTCTTCTCAACTTTGCATAATCTTTATAAATACTGGAAAAATTATATGTACATTTTCACTGTTTGTTTTTCTTGATCAACAACGATAACATCAGCAATTTGTAGTACATTATAAATTATTGCCAATTAATCGCCTACTTTCTGTCTGATTACATTGCAAAGCACGATCGCTAATCAATGTGTGAACAGAAGTGCTTCTTCTTTTCCACCGCGCTTCCCCTAAGATTTATCAGGCGACAGCAACAATTTCGACAAACTTCCATCCGGTATCGATCCGAATTTCACGCGTGCCATCTGATAAATGAAGAGGCGTTTTGATAAACAGAAGAAATCTTGTCGCGATGGGAAATTGTTTGGATTACAAGTCATTTTTTTTATCTCTGGCGCATTCACGATTGCCACTCCAAAAATGTCTTAAGTGTTTATTCTCAAGTCACAGAAAATCTATTCCGTATCAATTTTGACACATTTTCTCAGGCTCGTCTCGCTTTCTTATCACTTTGTCGTGAGTCTGTGAGATGCATATTTAATTAATTTCGATATTTCCTGCTGCTTTGCATTTCGGAAAAGCGACTAAAATGACCTCAGAGAGGTTGGAAATGATGAGAAATATCATTTCTGATCAACTTCTGACCGCAATATCTGCCCCTTGAAATAGAGTTATCACATCCTTTCATCCTGGGATTAGGTGTTGATATTTTCTTTTATAGGCTTGTTATTGTGAAAATATTTCCCTAATCTTTTGGCCAATAAAAATTGAAAATGATTCTTCATGATTTATTGCCTTTTTTGCCTTCTCGCCTGATTTTTTTCTCGCGGCGCTTTTCGCGATAACGCATTGCGTACAATCTCAAGGAGTAATCTAATGGCGGAGCATCACTTAATATCGCAGTCCTTGGCGGATTTCATATCAAAACAGCTTTGCAAATAGGAACAACAAAAAGGTGTTTCGCGCGCATTTTCTCTACTTCACACATCTTTTTGAAATGCACTTCATGCTTTGATATCGCTGAAAAGTCCCTCCTCCCGCCCAGTTTATGATCCATTGTGTTTATCTGTGCTATTGTCGAAACCGACGGGTGAATCGAAAACTATGAAAAGTCGTTTTATCATTGTTTTCGTCTTAATTTGTTCTTCTTGTGTGGAAATTTTGAAATTTTGCATCTTATAAAACAATATATATGAAAAATCTTATTTTATTAATTGTCATGTTTTACGAATGAAAAATCGAATATTCAACAGTTTTTCCAGGAAAAATGTCTCAAAAATTGCAGTGAAACGCATAAAACGCCTTTTAAGAAAATAATTTTTGATTTTCAGAATTATCGTAAAATGTTTTTTTAGACTTTGAATAAATATTTCAAAAGTTCAAATAAAGTATGAAAAATTGATTTTTTAGAACTTCTTTTTTGATAAAATTGTCTGGAAAACTATTAAAAGTCATCTTTGAAAAATAATATTTATTGTTTTCAGTCAAAAAATTTCAATAAATACCAATAAAATCAACTAAAATAATAAATTCAGAGCAATATTTGCACTTTGAAGGACGATTTGAAGGCGTTTTGAGGGTTTTGATGCTAAATTTCGAACTTGCTTTGTTGAAAAATGGCAATTTTTAGGCTTTTAATAGTTTTCTTTTCACCCGTCGAAATGTAAAAACGTTCATTGCATAATTTAGCAATTTTGTTGTGAGTGTTGTGTGGAAGTTCAATGTCTAGGACATTGAATTTCCCGCACGTTTCACGAAAAATACACAATTTTTCCTTCACACTTTTGCCGATGCATCTTGATTGTTGCAAACTTGACCTACATTTGCAACGTCTTTTGAGATCTCTTGCACGTTTCGATTACCTTTTCCTGTCACTGTTATGGAACTCCTCGAGAATACCATCTTTCTTGGCGCGCGCGCACGTTTGTGTGTGTTTCTTCCGCAACTTCTCGAGTAAAAAGATTGCAATCTTACGAATTTCTCAATATGGAATTTCCCACGGAATAATTATCACTCTCACTGAATTAATTTTCTTTTTTTTCGTCTTCTTCTCGGCTTCAAGTGAAGCCAGAGCACGTTCGGCTTCAATCAAAGCATAAATTCAACTGATGAGAAGTCTGTCCGATAAACCCGCGAAACGATCCCATATACTTCTCCAGCCTTATCTGTCTGTCTCGCTTGATCGTGAGACTTTTTTTCCATACATTTGTCAGTCCCGAGTTGACGCTTTTCTTGCGCCTCCGCATTCAGAAGCACAGGAAAATACATTTTGCCAAAAAGGGTTGCTAATATTGGGGATGCAGTGTCACTTTGGTGAATCTTCGGTTCATTATTTTGCTGTCTCTTCAAAATTTACATACAAAAATTATTGAAAACAATTTAAAAAAAAATAAGGAAAATGTGAATTTTTCACCTGAATAAGCTTGAAAAAAAACCAATTAATATGCAAAATTGCTTAAATACTTGATCTTTAATCGGATCTTTAATCGATTTTACGCAAGGTTTTACGCTAAAAACAAGTGTGAAACCGGAAAAATCTCATAATTTCTGTACATTTGAGAATCCTTAAAAAATTTTACGAAAATGTGATAAACAATACGCCATCTGTAGTCGAAAGTTAAGATCAAAAAACCATAAAGTGTCCTTTAATCGTTCGGTATTAAGAAGTGTTTCTTAAACTTAACCTCAAATTGCATTTTTCTCACAAAATATTCAAATTTCTTTTCTTTTTCTTAAATAATTTCCAGAATATAAATCCTTTACTTAGTTTTTCCCATTAAATTTTCTGTAATAATTTTTTAAAGTTTCCATAAATGATCTTCAATCTGGTTGAAATCATTCTCTTTTCTCTTAACGCTCTAAAATCTATCTTCACAATACAATTTTCCACCTTCTTCTCAAAATCCTGCACAGAATTCTCAAGTCGTGTCTTCAGCGGAACTTTGAGGCACTGGAAATGTATATTAGCAAACCCCTTTGTTTTTTTTTGTCAGTGCGACAAGTGAAAATCATTGCGAAGCATTTGCAGAAATTCCACTGATGCATTTACTGAATGCGCGATTTTATCAGCACGCGCACTTTGGCGGAATCTGCAGAGCCGGAAAGTAAAGCCGCGGACAATGTCACAGGTAAGAAAACCCCACACAAATCACCAATTTGGGTTGCAAGCGATAAGAAAGCTCAATCGAGAGTGTTGTAATTGAATTAAATGTATCGCCGGCCTGAGGCGCCTCGCAAGGTATTCCGGCCACAGATATCATATATCACGCTGCCTTATCGCGCATTTTATTGCTTCATTCGCGAATTGGGCATAATCACGGGCGTGGGAGAGGAGAAAAAAAAAGAGAACAAACAGCAATAAAAGCATCCACTTCCGAATCGCCACTTTGGACTTGCATTACTTTGATAAAGAGATAAAATTGAAACTTCACAGACAACAAAAAATTCGCCTTGACTAAAGTCATATGGAGAGTAGTGAAAATACCCGTCGTTAATTAAGCATGTTTTGTGAATAGAATAATCAAACAAGGCGATATTTAGTTGTGCTTTAAGTGCTAATCTTAAGCATTATTGTTAATAATGAACAGGAACTTTTGCAAATCACAAGCGTGAAATTCTGTTAAGAGTATTTTTTCTTCTCATTCGATTTGCTTCATTAAACTCTTAAATGTTGAAATGTTGTTAATGTTTTTTTTCAATTTCAAGCTATGATTTTACTTATAAAGAATATCAATAAGTGAATCAAAAACATAATATGGCTCAAGTCTGTAGAATTTGTACGAAAAACTCTCAACACTTCTCAAGATATCAGACTTCAAGGATTCAAAATATTGCAAAAATTGAAACACTTCCACTTTCCTTAACTTCCACTGATTTGTACACCACTTTTGATCAGAATATTTCCCCCTTGGTGAAAATCACAATTCTTCAGGAGATCAAAAGTTGAAAATTTATCGTTAAACCGTGTAAAAATTTTCCGAATTTACATTAAACACATTTTATTAGTTCAATTAAAATGTTTTTCATTGAATTTTAATCATTAATCATGACTTTGAATTTGAAATAATGGTAAAAATACAGAATGACTTAAATTCGTTCAATATATTCCACTTTTACCACTTTTGCAATCGTAATTTTAATCAAAATAATTAAATAAATTGCAAAACAAGGATTTTATCATATTAATAAGTGTTCATAATTATTTTCCAGTCACAGTAATATTTAATGCGACAAATTAATGATGAATTTATCATGTGAAATCATTCTCATCACTGTGATAAAAATTTAGTCACGTAAATTCTCAATAGTTTCGTTGAATTCAAAATCAAATTTTGCCTACATTTCGGCGCCACTGAGCGGATTTCAACAATGTGTAACATCTTATCTTAAGAGCTCTTATCTCTCCGCATGTTACGCGTGTGTTTAGCATGGGCGTAATTCCATAAATCCGCACATGTAAATTCTAATTTATGACAATGAAAAGGAAAATTTAATGTGTTTTTTAGCCAGTAAATCTCCCGTTTTCCTATATTAGAAATATTGCCATTTAGCTCATCGTCAACTTCGCATTGGCATTGACGATCCTCATTGAGCCAAGGAAGTGAATGAGTGGAAAAGAGAGAGAAGAAGTTCTCCTCTGACAATTGTTTTTGAGGAAGGAAGTTAAGTGAAGAAGGATTACAACTTGCCACAATTTCATTTTATACCATAAATTTATTATTATTGAATTGTGACACTTTATTTCTCTTCTTGTTTTACACTTGCGCGCGCGCACGCGGTGCATTTTATTGGAAAATATGGTCGAAAGCCAGGTTGAAAAAACAAGCTTTTCACACAGAAGATGAAATATAAATCACAAGGTCAAGGTGTTGAAGGTATTTCGAAGAGCCACGTGAGTATTTCCCATTGCAGACACGTTTCTTTTCTGCTTATTCATTACATTTTTTGACACTCACGATCATTAAACTGGTAATGACCCAGTCAAAAAATACGTTTCACTTCGTTTTTTTTCTTCTTCTTCTATTGGAAGGTGAACTCTGAAGACTCCCCGAAAATACCTTTAAGAAACCACATAAAGAATTTAAAGTAGGTTTTTTATCTGTCAAATAATTTGGAGTAAAGCATGAAATTCTGTCACATGATATTCTCGAAAATAATTCAAGTGCAAAAATTGAGTTTTTTCAGTCATCTAACATGTGATTGTCGATCAAGGTAAGACGCTTCTCAAGGCCTCTGATTGACTCCTACAGAATCTTAGGGTGAAGGGGGGAAATGTTAGAGAAAACCGGTTGATTTTTGACTTCAAAACACACGAAATTCCACTCGTGCACAAGACAATCATGAGAGCATTTATAGCTCTTGAAGATACATTTTCAGCCGCAATCTCTTTGGGAAAAGTGAATAAATAAATTTCGATTTCTAGTACAAGATTGCGATAAATATTGATTTTCTGAATTTTTGATGTCAAAAACACTGAAAATTATGTTGAAGTCAAACATAACCTCAAAAATATTGAATTGAACTTGGAAAATGTTAATTTAGATCAATTTTGCATGATTTTATCATCTAAAATGCTTCCAATTGGAGTCTTTTAAGATCTCTTAGTGTTCTTTTTGAGGTTATGGTCGGAAAAGATGCTGAAAAAAGAGATTTTAAATTGATTTTTTTTTCAGAAATATCGAATGGAAACTAAAGAAATTCATTATAATTTGGGGATAAATGTGAAAACATACGACAAATTTCATATTCTACAAGTGTCAATCAATTATAGAATTCCTGTACAGAAACTGCCCCGCATTCCCCTACTGCAATCCAATGTGAATCCCTTTGTTTCAACTCATAAAGCTCACTTACCAACTATATTTAACTATTGCTATTGACATAATCTCATTTAAGTCACACTCTTCGAATATCTTCACGTGGCAACACAGAGAAATTGACTCATTAAGAGATTAGAAAAACTATAGAAGACTTGACAGAGAGTGAAGCAGTTTATAAACGTGCATTTTCACGTAAACAACAATATCAAGAGTGAATATTGTCAATATATTTCCAGTCATTTCAAGTCACAGCGGCGTTAAATCAATAATACTATCTAAAAGTTATCAGCATTATGTCACCCAGAAGACTTGCAGGATTCAATTTTAAGAGTTAAGGTCTGCTGAGTGTGAAAAGTCAACAGCGATTCACAATTATCGCAGCATAGCAAATGCGACCCAGACAAGCAGCGACTTATGTTGCGCCGTCTATGAAATATGGGGGCTCGTCAAATGCCTTTTACTTCCATTTTTATCGTCACACTGAGGGAAAAGCGGGTGCAGAAAAAGTCCAATGTTTTCTTGCATTATTCTTTGCTCATTATATTATCCCGTAAACATGTTTAATAGAATGAATTTCAAGGAAACTAACAAATAGAATGAGACAGTAAATTATGAGGAAGACTTTTTCCACATCACTTTATGACTTTTCTTTAACACACTCCTCACAGAATTACTACTTTTTGAGGTTATGGTCGATATTTTGATGATATCATGAGTAATTTTCCGCAATTAAATTAGAATCTTGTCCAAAAGTTTCCCCCATAAAACTTTTTATTACGTAGAATGGCACTTCTCAATCTGTATAAAGAGTAAATATGGAGTTTCAACACGAAAATGGGCGGGGCTTCGAAGTGGGAGGCGCTTATGAATTGAACAGTTTTATTGTGTGTTATTTTTTGGGCTTTTTCACAATGTTTGATGTCCTTAAGGCCAACAATTGACGAGAATTTAGACAAAAGAGCCTTTATTGTTCAAGTAAAATAAGTAAAGATCACACAAGAAGGAAAATTTTATACTAACACTGCCCCACAGCGGGGCAGAGTAGTCATATTTATAACATATTTTCATTCTTCTTTAGAGGAAAAGTCATGAGTTTTAATGCCCAATGCAGGGCATTTTCTGAAGCTCATCCACTTGCCATTCAATTAACACTCATTCATACTTGTATTGCTAGCGCTTGACCGAAAGTCACTCCGCTCTCCCCTAAATCACACTTTCCCACGCAACAAAGCCCGTGGAAACGTAAGAGTTCAATGAGCTCGTCAAAAGTGAGGAAAGTGACTGCTGAAGAAGCCCACAAACATGGGAATATCTGGTCAAGGTCGAGCGTGTGCCTTTGGCGGATGCTCAGATGATAAGAGTGTATAAAGTCGGAAGAATGAAAGGAAAAATCAGAGCGAAATATCAAAGTAAACTCAAAACACACAAATTATTATTCTTTGCCAACAAGAGAAGAAGAAGCAGAAAAAATGGTGTTTGATTTTATCCTAAGTGAAAACAGCATCAGCACAAAATGATGATGACTTACAAATATTCTTATCAGGAAAGTTAACTCACCGCCACTAATTCCAGTGTACATTTTGCTTGAGATTATCAAAGGCGTGTGCTTGTGATAGGGAAAGAGATTCTTTTTTTTTTACAATCCACTTTATATCTGCTTGAGGCACGCTTGGTCAAGATTTTTGGTCAAGATCTTGGTGAGAAACGAAAAGAAGACAGAGAGTTGATCACAATTTGAGACACACAATGCTGTGAATTACTGTTTATCCCAAGGGGGAGATAAAATGTCTTAAATCTGTACACCAAACACTTCTAAAGATCTAAAATTTCTACATGAATCTCTCAAGTTATCATCCGATATTTCTGTAATAATAGACTTAAGAACACATAACCTTAAAATATTACTAAAAAATCTTTAAAAACTCCATTTCTAAGCATTTTTCATTTGCCAAATGAACTCTAAACTGCTGATTAAGAGTCAAAATAGATCAAAAAGTGTTCTAAATGTGACATTTTCAAGTTTAAATGACTCTTTTTGAGGTTATGTTTGAATTCAATACATCTTGCAGTGTTTTTTGGCATCAAAAGTTCAGAAACTAACGATCTATTTGACTTTAGCATAAGAATTGATGTGCTAGAATGCGAATTATTCACTAAATCTCTCTTTAATTAGTTACATAACCTAGACAAAAAGATTAATACGTTTGTTTCTGCGTGAAAATCGAAGGAAATCCAAAGGATTTGAATGATTTGTCAGTGAAATTGGCACTCAAGAAAGGAATATTGTAAGCTTTTGATCATTTACACTTCTTAAGTACTTCGTACATCACTTTTGGGTTGTATTATCTCCCCCTTGGTTCTTCCGATCGAAAGAATTGGAAAGAAGATCAAAACTCTCTTAATCCCACCTTTGTTTCGTCCACAAATTTCAGACAAAACGATTAATTGTGTTGCATAATTCTCTCTCACTTTTTGTCTATTTGCTGGAATTATATATTTTTCGACTTATCAATCGACATTAACTCTCCGCGCGCGCGATAGTGGAAAAAAACACAATATATTAATTTCCCGCGAATCGCACATTAACTCCTTCACCCAAAATTAAACAATGCCACAACAGCAGATGAGCGCCAGTGACTCAATGTGCCAATTGGAAACAGAGCACTTTAAATTGAAGGTGAAGATCTTCATCATCCGAAATAAGAGGTTGAAAACACCAGTGAAATTTTTACATGTGATAAAATTTTTCCATCAATTTGTCACGCGATTTCAGAGCACTGTGAAAATATTGAATGAAACACACGCGAGTCTTCTTCCCAACTCCGCGATTCTTTGCGTTCCCAAGAAAAGGTCTGGTTTGGGCCGAAATGCAGACACAACTGACGCTGTTCGTGTGCTTGTGACGCGAAGTCTATGCCATGTGCGCTGGAATTCGTCTTTTTTTCTCGCCTTCATTCAATGAAAAACCGAGCAACAGGTCGATTGGCGACAATGTCGCCAGCGTGTGGCGAATAGTGTAAACACGGCACACACTGACTGCCATGGAAATAAGTCAGCCGTGCTGTTGCTGAGGACACTTTGACCCAGTTTCACTCCACAGCTTCGCTCCATTTTATCTCCTAATCATGCATAAAATGCCACAACATTCTATTGTGAAAATGTGCAACGAGTGATAAAGAAAATCAGAGGAAGAGTTTGAAGATCGCGCAATAAAGTGATTTGTGCACACTTCTCTATTGTTCTGCTGTGTGCGCGTTATCGCGAGGAAAAGAGGAGGATTTTCCTTGAATTAATGATTCAAGGGGGAGATTTTATTGCCAGAAGTGGTGTACAGATTGGAAGAAGTCTTAGGAAATTGGAGTGTTTCAATCCACCAAATCACTTAAACACAGCAAATTGTGCTGAAGAAAAAGAAGACAATTTTATTTATGATAATGCATTTATTCTCACTGTGAATTTTATATACAGGCTTAGATGTGTAAATTTTGAACACATGAACATAAGTCAATGCAAATAAATAGAATGAATTACAATAATTCGCAACTGCTTTTGACATCAGTCGCGAAAGTGTTAGAAAATTCAGTGTTTTCAAAGGTTTTTCTTTTCCTTTTTTTTTGTTCTCCTGCAATTGGCAATATTTGGCACCGAACAATAAATATTTATAAATCTTTATGCATCTTAAATTTAAAAAGTCTAAACTAATCGACTTTTCTACCCTTTTTTATATATTTTAACTGGCTAGAGTAATTCTTGTCATGACTTTTCAATACAATGTGAATAAGTTTATGAGATGTTTTTCTTCTTTCTTCTTTCATTCTTAAGTATCTTAAATGCAGTATACATTTTCCATAAATATTTATATATATATTTTATATATAACTACAAATTGTTTCAACCTACTTAAATGTATTTTGGAAAATCTCTACTTAAATCATAAATCTTAAGTAACACAATAAATATATTTCATCTCTGTATTTTATCGTCAACTCAATATATTTTACACAATATATTTAGGAAAGAAACTGAGCTTTTTTTTATCTTGTTGTTCTATAAGATCTAATGAATCACATTGCTGTGTCTAAATGTTAAAGAATTAATTTATTACAAATTCATTTAATACATTCATATATGGAGCAATTCTTAGTCACACAAAATATGTTAAAACTGTGTTATATTGGTTTAACACACGCCTTTGCTATTCTGAGTCAAAATTTCACCATTTGTGTTATTTTCTATTCCAGCCAACATGTTTTAAGCCATTTTGTATCGCCAGAATGTGTAATTTTAACACGAAAAGCAGATTGACAGATGTTAATCTGCAAATATCTTGCAAAAATCAATCAATCTGCGATTGTGTCTCTAATTTTCAAGCATGAACATGAATTATGTTTCCACTAAATTCTTTTTATCAAGATTTTACTGTTTATTTACATGAATTTTAGGAATCTTCCCAAATTTTGCAATTTTTTCTCTCTAACACATTGTTTATTCCTTATTCATTTCAAATGTATTAAACTTTTACATGTTTGAAGTTTAGCATTTTTGTGTGTTACTCAGAATTGCTCCAAGATGTTAAGTTCTTCCTAACAATTCCATAACACATTTTGGAAAATTCATCTCTCTCTCTCTCTCTCTCTGTTAGAAAGTTTATGCATTTGATTTCGCAGATTTTTCTTGGCTTAGTATTTCCTGTTGTCGCGCAAGTGGGCGCGCTTCCGAACGCCCTTCTTGAGACATTCGCCCCACCAAGAGCGCTGCTTGCAGTACTTTTCGGGCTTGAGAATGAAACACTTGGATTGCACGATGTTGAAGAAAATCTTCCCAACGATATTTGCATCAGGCGAATCTGCCATCTTCAGGCATGTTCGGAATCTAAACCCAGAGAAAAAAAAATGAAAGAATTTCCAGTTAGTTCCTGTGGCTTCTCGTGCAATCGCACGGCGTGCCGATCGAGTGATTGAATTCTCAACATGTCTCCCCGTCATCAAGCACACAATAAATCAAGAAACCATTGCAAGAGGCGTCGAGACTCCTCTTCTTCATCTTCCACCCCATCCAGGAGATTGATGTTCGTCACAGCGTGATAGGGAATGCAGAAATATATATTGTGAGACTCAGTGAGGCATAAGTTGCACGATAAAAATACCTTCTTAAACGCTTCCACGCGATGCGAAGGAAGGAGAAATAAATACGCCAAGAGTCGCATTGTAATCAATAAAGAGATATCAAATGTTTTGATTTCTTGTCGTCCAACACGCTATGAAGGATGTCTCTCAATAAATGAGGAAGAATCCTTGGCAATTTATCCTGTTTTGTGACAATATCTATTTAGACATATTTTATTAATCACCTGAGATGTTATTTGTTCCACTCAATCTAGTGCCTGACACAGACTTGAGGCTTAAATCTCGTCAGTAAGCTTCAAAATAAATCTTAGGGGATCTTTTTGTGCTGTTTAAACGCAATTAAAAGCGATTCTAGTCAGCCATTTTGTGTTGATTTCAACCAGTTTAACTGCCACAAATTAGTGAAAATACGAATTGGCAAATTGTTGCTCAGTTCATTTTGCTCAGTTCAACACAAAAGGAAGCATGTGATGTTGAAGGGAAAGCCTTTGAATATTCCGCTGTGCAACCGCACGACAAACCCCAAAAGTAAATTCTATCTGCTCATCGTGGAATCCCGAGGGTGACCAATTGAATTAGGTGTTTATGAGCCGTGGATAGGGTGAACAAGTGGTGAGAGATGGGCGAAAGTGAACAAATGACCTAGGCCAATTTGAAAATGGATTCCTTTGGGACTCACAGCGCGCTGGAATCGCATTTCTCCTCATTCAACAAGAAGAGTTTGAAGTTCGAAGGGAAGAAATGTCTTTTATTTCCTCCAATGTTGTGTCTTTGTCATAGAAAACCACAATCTACCCTCCAATTTGTCAACTACTCCGTGGGTTTTTTCTCCACTCTTTCTGCTCTGGAGAAGATCTTAATCTCATTAAGAGTCCTATCGAGTCAACCATTCCCGATATCCTCAGATATATATGTAAAGATATATATGTAAAGATAAAAACCCATCATCGACAATCCCTTCCAACGAGTGAGAATTTTATTTATTACACTTTTTGAAAATCCACCCACAAGACGCATTGAAGCACCTAAAAGAACTTCTTATCGATAATTTATTGAAGTGCCTTCTTGCACACGACAGATTTCCTTGACTTTCTGCCTCCTCTTAAATTGTCTCCTCGGCCTTTTCTTCCTCACGCGCGCATCCTTCCCAGGGGATGGAATATATACACACCAAAAATTGCCCATCTTAGCCATTCACCACACTCAACATTTCATTCACACTTCCCAGAATTATACGGATAAATTGTGAAGTGAAAGAAGGGCGATTGAAGTGTTCAGGGATGTTTTGGGGGCAATTATGGGGGATTTTCCTAATTACATTCACCAAATCTCTGACCATTGATTGACCAGTAAAAGTGCTACATTGACAGAAAAAAACATTCCCGCAATTTGGCATGAAATCCTTTTTGTCGACTGATCAGCAAGAAGAGTCCTTTGTATTCGCATTTCCTCTCAAATTCACCGGCCAAACTGTGAATATTCACAAGTCACAAATTGTCTTTGTCCCAATTGAGTTTGACGAAGCGCAGCTCTGTAATCGCACAAGAAATAAAATGTCGCAAAATCGACGAAAATGACACGAGGGAGGCTAAATATGACAAAAAACGGGAGGTCATTTTTTGTGGTTTCCGTCCGTCGGTCAATCGGCAAAAAATCCTTCTGCCGCTAGAGTTTGGTGATGTCAAATTTAACTCTCACCCTTCCGACCGCCATTTTGAACTCCAACAAAACACGTTTTGCTCATTTCTTCGGCCTCTATAGCACTAATTGCTCTCAAAATTCAGTATGTTATAGGTGGTCTCAACACCTTTCCAACGAATCACCACGTAAGGACCTCGGTCCTTCCGGACCCTGGATATTAGGGATCAAAGTTTGAAACTTTAAATTGCTATAACTCCAGTTCTAATAGTCCAATCTGAATAATATTGAACTCATTAGATAAATCTCTTAAAATGCAATCTTTTATCTTAACATCATAACTTAATACAACTACCACTAGAGGCGCTTTAGTCAATAAAACGATTTTCAAAAATTGAAAACCAAATATCTCTATAACTAGACTATGTATTTTATTTAAATTTTAGTATGTTGTAGTCCAGGCCAAGACGTCTCTGAAAATAGGTTATAACTTATCACCGATGCAATAGAACCGGAGTTATGACGGTTGAAAGGTTTGATTTAAAATACTTTATAACTTTAGTTCTATTTATCCGATTTTAATAATTTTGGACTCGTTGGAAAGCTCTAGCAAAAACCTACAACTAGAACAATAGAAGTTCTTTTGACTACTGCCCTGAGTAGAGCCCAGTTCACCCATAAGCTAGTCTTGGCATTTGCCTATCACGTCCAATATGTCTGTGGAGAGGCGAAAAGAGAGGAATTGGCGCACAAGGAGAAGATTTTGGGGAGAGAAATTGAGCCCTCTTAGCATCCTCGCAGGGATTGATATGTGTTGTTTCGGACATTAAGTGGTTTATATATCTTCTCTCCCTCAAAATTCAATGGGAAATTCGAGGGACGTTGAATCAATTGAATCTCTGGCTCACAATCGATTGACATTAAATATCTCCACCCTTCTTTCATACACACACAAAATCCCAATTCTCAGCCGTCATACCTTCTGTACGGCATCAGCAGTCGCAACACAAAAGAGATTAACACATTTAACACTCGATAACCTCCTTCTCGCTCACGTCAAAGTGCCCATTAATTCTAGGGGAGCCACGATTTAGTGGCGGATCGAGAGAACACTTTTCGTTCACTGATATGTAAATTGATTCCACTTAATTAGTGGCAACACTTAACCCATCGCCTCTTGTGATGGTCTTACAAATAAACTCTCCACTGAATCTTGCAACGCTTCCTCAATCTTAATATACTTGTACTTTGTACTGGCGCCGCTAGGCGGACGCCAATATATGGTGTGAAAAGGGTAAAGTTGCAACAGTAAATTGATAGATTTTACGTATTGAAGTTATGAAATCCGTAATGTTACAACGACCTGGAAAAAAATCTTAATCTTCACCCTCGCGTCGGTCGCGCAAGACAGACACAAAAGAATAGTTTTAGAGTGTCAGACGACGCGAAGAACACATTTTCCACTCAATGATAAATTATTTCTTCTCCACACCGCAGTCTCAACAAGGTGTCACAATTATGGGTGAATAAAGGAGGAAATGTCGAATCCGTTAACCGACACTTTCCTCCATAAGTCACGATCTTTATCATCTTCTTGTAAGAGCGATTACAGACTTGCGGGTGATCCACGAGAGGATAAGCGAGAGCGAGAGTGTGTCTGACAGTTGATTGAGCCATAAAACGCGACTTATCCCTCGATATATCGTTGGTTCAGTCGATATTTATGGGATTCCCAACAGCAGCGCACTTGGCCAAAAATGCGCCAAATCATTTGACAACTCAGGAAAGGCAAAATGGCGGATCTCTTGCGCATGATTTCCTTCTAGCGAAGTGATTTTAAAATCACTCAATTCTTCTGTAAATCATCAATTTTCGCAAGTTTATCGTAAAATTTCATGCTTTTTGATAAAAATAAATCAATTGACAGATGTCACGAAAGAAAATTGTCGCTAGTGTCGATAAGGAGGAATAACTCCTGAGTGTCTTTAGTGCCATTTCTGCCACGAATTATCACTGATCTGATCTTTACACACTCAAAGCTCATCCACTGAGGATTAATCCCAGTTTGTGTGCCGATTCGAGGGTAACCCGCAAGTTTGTAAACCCTCTAACATTCTTCTAGAAGAGATGAAAGGAAGAACAAAGGGAAATCTATCAACCCTTCATCCAATGATGGTTAAATTCACACAAATAATTAATTTAAAAAACCCACTATTTTCTCCTTACATTTCCACACACTTTTTACACCTCCACAATTCTTCACACACAGTAAAATTGGTGGAGGAAAATGTATTTTTGTGTCAGCAAGATTGTGGTGGAAAAAGAACCACTGTCAGCCGATTCTTTCTCAACAAAACAATTGCTGGGACATTCAACAGAGAAATATAGAGTGGACGCGAGGGCATTTTTGGGGTGGGAGAAAAGTAGGGAAATGGCTTAATCGGGCAAAATTCACGTTTCTTCCGGTTGACAGATTTTTCTACACACACACACAATAAAGAAGTCACACAAGAGGCTCACAATGGAAATTTTCACATTTTTCGAACGACGAGGGTGGAAAATGAGATTTTATTCACTGATTTTTCTCTTTGCGCCACAGCAATTTCCCCTATAATGTAATTTTTCGCATACACAAGGAAATTATTTTACTGTTGCTCAAGACACACTCTTAAACAGATAAGAGAAATGAGTGTGTTTGGCTTGCATTATAACAATGCCAGAGCGCAATGCATGAACATAAAAATCAATATATCAAGATTATTTTAACGTCTCTCTTTCTCATGGTGGAAATTTTTACGTGTTCTGCGATGAGCATTTTATCATTTTCTTTTATGAGTTGTTAAATAAAAATGGTAAAAAAATAAATTTAGACACTTTTTGCCATAGTTTCGCTGATTTTCAGTCATTTGCCAACACCTTTGAGTGTAAAAAATCACTCTAAAATTATGATATACAAGATAATCAACACTGCCCCACTGGCAGGTACTGCCCCTCTTTCCTCTATGAATCACCACAAGTCTTCAGCAAGTGAAAAGTATTCAAGAATTTGCAATATTAGCTTCACAGCTTTAATTTTCTATTGATTTTTTTAACTTTAGAAATTAATTCTCATTCAATATTTTTTTTAGGTTATGAGACTTTTTAAAATGTAAAATAACAGCCTCAAAAAGAAATTTTTGCAGTGAAAATCAATTTATTTTCACTTATTTAGTAGAATTGTGTATTTTTACATCGCTAAACAACGAGAATGTCAAACATAACCTCAATTTTTCACTAAAAAAAACTGTGTTTTTGAGTCAAAGTGATTCTAACGTCTTTGATAAGTTCTGAAAAGTATTAAGGATTGTGATTTAACCCATAAATACAAAACAGTTTGACATGGATATCTATTGAGAATTCAATCATTTCGATGGCAGAAGTAATAAATAAAATACCGAAAAAATATAACGAATAAATATATTCAAAATAAAGCTCAAAAAATGCCAATAAAAGCCCACAAAAACAATAAAACCCATACATAAAGCATAACAAACTATAAGAGAAACAATAAATAATGTGAAATGTGAAGTGCAAGAGTGATTGGATGATGGAACAGGTGCAAAGATGATGAGTGTGCCTTACCTGTAGTCACATTTGCAGTGACTGAGTGTGCCGACGCGCCAATTGAAAATGCCATACTTGGTCTGAAAGCCTGTAATCCAGAAGGGACAGGACTTGTCGTGCTGCCGACAGCAGCGATCGGCTTTGGAGAAGCCGCCCATGTCTGTGTACTTGGTGGCAATGAATCCACGGCCGCACCACTTGGTGTTGCCGATGATCAACACATTCGACAAGTCCCTGCGCTGTCTGGAAAAATGCCACAAGGAAGATTCGATGGGGAAAAGGCAAGACATAACAAGAGATTGCTCATTTTCTTCTCTTCTTCAGACTTTTCTTCTATATTGTTCTTGTGTTTTTGTGAGTGTCTCAATGTGAAATGTGTTCTTTTCCATCTTAAGAAGGATTTTGGCATTTGTATAATCTTAAAAAAAAAATCTTTGGAGGACATTGGCTTGGGATTTCTCCAGGAGGAATAACACGGGAGAGTGAGAGAGTCTTCTTACCTTCTTCTCCACCCCCTCCCACACTCTGTGCCTCTTTTCTCCCCAAAACCACGCATTGTTAATCCAATGAGAGATCAATGAAAGGATATTAAGAATGTCATCTCTTAAAGTAAACAGGTGGAATGGTCATAGTGAACTCTTTTCCTGCTCATTTAGTCACACACACAAATTTGATTTATTTACCTACTCTAACCACAAGTGCACTGAGAAAAAATATGGCAATTTTTCCCAATATGGCGTCTGAATGAAATCAAAGTTACATTTTAAAGTATAAAACTTTAAAGTGTCATAACGCGAGTTCAATTGCATGGTTTTCACGTGAAATATTTCACGTCTCTCGTGCTGGTTGCCATAGAATTTCTTCAGTGCACTTTGCAAGCTATGAATACTCCGCATACCAAAAAAAAGAACTATAAAAATACGAGCGTTTCTATAGCAAATCTAAGAACGAACTCTAGCACCATAAATGCAAATGTCTTAATCTTAGGTGACAAAGAAACCAAAGTAAACTTATCGCACCTTCTGTCACAGCTACAGCTGCTGAGTGTGTAAAAGCGGTAATTAAAAAATTGCCACTTTGTTGTCATCGCGTGAATGCTGAGCTTACAGTAATCGTGTTTCCGGCAACACATGTCCGCCTTCGATGCTCCCCCCAAATCCTTATAGACGCCAGTCCCGCTCCCCGTTCCACACCACTTAGTGTTGGGCATTCTGAACATGTCAGACAGTGCTCGCTTCCGCCTTCAATTTTTGTCATTTTCGTGCAAAAGTAATTCAACAATATTTTAATAATTCAATCATCAAGAAATGCAGTTTTTGTGGCAAAAGCGAGGAAAAAAGATGGCGCAAATTTTCATTAATAAATTCATGTGAAAAGCTGATCAAATCTAGTTATCGTGCAAAAGATGTTTAATGAATCGGTCTCCCTTTCTCTTAACTTAAGAGAAACATATCTCAAGCTTGCTGTTAAGATGCTGGCTATGGTTTTTTTATTTGTTGCATTGCACAAGGGGGAGATAATACAGTCAGAAGTGGTGTACAATTCAGCAGAAGTGCTTAAGAAATTGAAGTGCCTGAATAACTTCATTGCGATGCGTTTAAAAGTCACTTTCAAAAGGAATTAACGCAAAATTTTTTGAGAAAAGAATTATTGTTTGAAAACTTTCTAGATTATGTTATGAATTTAGGACAAACTTTTCCATTAAGTAACCTCAAAAATCATTCATTATTGAATTTAATCTGGTTTAATTTGCATTTACTGTCGCAATGACACAAGATTTCAATGTTAAAACTGTGTTAATTACGCCAAGATTGTATCATAATCTCTAAAATACTGTTTCAAGATACAAATTTTGTCTATTTTGAGAGCTTTTTCATTGATTTTTTTTAAATCTAAAATTTAAAACAGATAAATATTTGCCAGATTTGGCTTCTAAAGATTCCAAAGAAGGAAAACGCATGTTTTAAGCATATTCTGGTGTTCTGGGAAGTGTCAGAAAGTGGTGTACACAGTTTAGCCATATCATCCTCCCCTTGGTAATGCATGTGAAATGGAAAGAAATCGCATTTTCACTACGTGAACCTACATTATTTGCTCAGGGATGCAGTGCATGATGAATGGATTGGAGCTTTTCCTTGAGCTTGCGCACAAGCAATTTCCCACCCAATCGCAGAAATTTGCTACATATACAAAATCGAGGAGGAAAAATTGCGTATGAAAAGCTTCAGCTCCTCCGGTGTGAAAACAGGAGGGAAAGTAAGAGAGACAGGTATATGTGTGTTGTGGGAAAGATTGCAATTTGTCTGGTGATTTTAATGGTAGAGAAAGAAGGAAACTTTTGGATTGTGTTTTGTGCTTTCGTGCAAGGATTTTTGTTTTTGATCAAAATGGATTAGTTTTTCTTCTGTGTTGAAAAAATAAATAAAACTTCACACAACTAGTAACTTTTGAAGTATTTTACTGGAAAAATGCCACAAGATTAAAAAATTTCAGGAGATTGCTAATATAAGATGCGCAGAAAATCTTCAAAAAAATTTACTACACTTTCTCATTTTACACCCACAAAATACTTATTTTTTTTTTACAAAATCTTCTCCCAATTATAATATTTAAAATATTTTCTTAATGTTCTAATTTATATATTCTATATAAAATTAGAAAAAATTATTTTTCTCCCTTTTTTTCTCTAAATTTCATGCAGAAATCTTGGGTTCGTCATTGTTACACTCAAAATCTATATTATCAATACCCCTTGCAAAATTATGATTTATTCACACTTCATGTGTCAAAACTGTTGACAGTGAAAGCAAGAAATTATTTGGCATTTCCAAGTAAAATATTCCAAGTATTTGTGATATCTATAAAAGCTGGATGCAAAATCAAAGCTCACCGATTGAGATGTTCTGAGGCATTTCTCCTCACATCCTCATCATTACTATCCAGACCACCAACAATCTTCTTCAGCTCAGCGTGACGCACATTGCACTGCTCCTTGACCTCCTTCATGTCCATCAGCGCCACCAGATCCTTCGGCACGTCCTCCAGTGTCCTCAAATGCACGAATGTGAAATTCCTCATGCCGAATCGCTCGGATCTCCTCGTGACATCGTTGACACTCTCAAAGTCCTCCATGTCCTCGAAGGCCATCCGATAGCTGGACGGAATGGCGTCATTGTCCAGGAACTCACGGAACTCGTGCTGTGTCACCGCGGGCAGACTGTACTGGTGGTGATTTGTGGGATGATTTGTAAAATTGTGCGATCGGGCCAAGGCCACTTCGCCATTGAATTTGCTGATAAACTCTTGAATGTGATGCTTCTGCCGTATATATTCGCAATCAATAAGCTTATCATCGCCGGAATAGATAAACTGAAGAAATATGTGACCATCTGTCAGTTGCCACAAGCTCAGTGACTTCCTGCAAGTGAGAGAAAAAAACGAGCAGCAATGAAATCACAGTCAAATTTCCCATAATTTTTATTTTAAACACGAATTATAGCATGAAATTGAACTTATTTGCTATTCTCAAGTCATTTCTATCTCGCAAAATTACCATTAAGGAAAAAGTGAAGTTTGCAAAGCCAAAAAGGCAAAGATTTCAATTCACAAGATGCAATTTTAAATGTCACAACTTGCTATAAAATGTCTGATGGACGCGGAAACAATTTGGAGGTTATGTTTCTCACCAAGGGGAGGATGTTGACCTCATTCTCTGCACTCAAGGCTTCGTGAGTAGTGAAAGATAAACTTTTTTCACCAAATAACCTCAAAAAATCATTCATTCTTGCATTTCAGCGTGTTTAATTTGCATTTATTGACATAATAGTAATGAACTCTGTTGAAAATTATAAGATTTCAATGTTAAACTGATGTTAATTATGTTGAAATTGATCATAACCTTTAAAAAACTGTTTCAGAATACAAAATAGTCTATTTTAAAAGTGGTTTTATTGATTATCTACTGTAAAATGGCAATCTTTGAAAGATTCTTATACAAAACCTTAAGATAATTTTTGGATTATGTTCTAAAGTGCATCCAAAAGAGCAATTTAAAATTCAATCACATCAAAGTATCCTTTGGAAATTTCAAATATTTCATAAAAACTGTTTTTTTTACAAGTTTTCAGACTTATTAAAGTAAAAATTCCGTCTATTTTGAGTGAAAGAGCTCTAAATTTGAAGTTATGACACGGAATAGAAGCAGAAAAGAGGAAAAACGCATGTTTTAAGCACTGCTGAAGTTCTGAAAGTGTCTGTGATTCTTCACAGAAATTATTGAAGTGACAGGAAGTGGTGTACACTGTTTAATCGTATTTTTTCGCCTTGTTTACCACTTTTTTCGTAAATTGTGTGAAAAAAAATCACATCTGAAGCGGAAAGAAAGCTGTGAAATTGCTTCTTTAAACTCTCAAAAAAGGGTAATTTCAGTCGAATCTCGTTGCAGAGCAGAGAAATCAAGTGTTGGTGACCAGAAGTCACGTGCGCGCCGGCTTTTTGCAAATATTGCATACAATGTTTCACACACAAAGTAACAACAAAAAGACTGTTATTCGCTACCAGGTGATCATGATCGCCACACAAACAGTGGCGATCCAAGGAAAACACTCTTTCATTCCACCTCACATTCTCTCCCACAACGCAATCTGCCTCTTTCTTCTGCATTCTCCGCGCTTTTCGCACACACTCGCTGATGTGGCACTCACGAAGTGCGCGCGCTCTTCAAATTAACATGCTCACTTTGTCTTATCATCAGCCAAGATCATCACTCTTCCTCAACACACACGCGCGCGCGCACTTCCTCGGGGGCTCTGGGAATTGGGTGAATGAATTGCCGATGATGATGATGATGAGACCACTTTTCGCAGGTATTTTCAATGAGTCAGGCGAAAAAAAGATCATCCGACAAGAGCGACTGTCAATTTTATAACATACCGCTAAAAATACACACAGAAAATTGTGTAATTTCGCGGGGAATCGCCGCTGACGCATTGCCGAAGAGTGGGGAAAATGAGTCCACATCGTACGATCATATGACGTCACGTGAGCGCAACAGGTGAGGAAATGGCAACTTTTAGCCGCCACGCGGTGGAAAAGGAGAGACAAGATCACCCGATTGGAGTGGGGATTGCGCGATCGTACGATCTTTTTACCAATTTTAACACGGCACCACGTAGTCAAAGAGACTGAGAGAGAGAGAGAGAGAGAGATCGTCTGAGAGAAGCCGGTAAAATTGGGTGTCTTTAGTGTGAACTGCAAAAAATCCCTCCGATGCATTTCAAAGTTATCTTTCTTCTTCTCTGTGACCGAAAAAATTTCTAGGGATTCCAAGAAACACGATCATACGATTCCTCAGGTAGACGACCTGTCTCGCATTTCTGCCGCACATTGAATTTCTTTTAATCTCCGTTGCATACAATATTTCATTTCTCACCAATGCGCAGTCATATAAATTTTAAACACTTTTTGTGGCTTGTGAAATGTGAAAAAAAGCAAGTATTTTAATTGTAATTAAATATTATACTGAGAAATGTTCAATTTTTCAAGTGTTTTGCAATTGAGATTCCTCAAAAATCGACTATTTGTCCTTCTTGAACTGTCTCATCAATGAAAAAAACCTCTTTGACTGCACATTTTCCACCCTCAATATCACCACTGTATGTTAAGTGAAAAGCAACCCTTCTAGATTTTTTTTCTCTGCAGAAAAAACAACGATTCTATTGACAATTGTCAGGAGAAGGTGTGTAAAATAGCAAAGGATTCTGTCTCTGTGAATGTATTTTTTCAATGAAGACAGAAAATCCCTTAAAATGCACTCGAGAAGAAAGGTGTAGAAAAAACACCTCGTGGAAGATGTTAAATCGGATTTCACAACACTTTCAGCCGCACATTTGGTGATTGAAATAACATCTTGGGAAATAACATTGCAAATCCACCCACAATCAATCACATGACATTTTTCCCTCACATTTGGATTCTCCCAAGGGGGAGATAATACAGTCAGAAGTGGTGTACAGCTCAGAGGATATATTATAGAAAGTGGAAATGATCAAAAGCTTGCAATATTCCTTTTCTGAGTGCTTTTTTGCTGCCAAATTATTACGATTTGACGATTTTGAGTCTGAATCAGCAATTTTGAGTTCACTGGCAAATCATAAAAGACGATTTTGTGATGTAGAAAGCTTCCACAGCAAGTATCGGAGGCCCTACACATCTTCTTATCGGGGATATAGAAATGTCAATAAGAGGGAAGATTGTGCTGGCGTTGACAGTTTCGGCTTTTGAAGATCTCTTAGTGATAATCTTAGGTTATGATCGGGAAAATATACTCAGAAATGAAGTTTTAGAGTGAGTTTTTCTTTTATTTAGTCTATAACTTGGACATTTTTGGAAGTATTTAGGAAATGGTGTAGATATTTGAGGCATTTTATCCTCCCCTTGAATTTTCCTATAATGTTTTCAAATTCAAATACAAATTCAGCAGAAGGTGTGTTTTTGATTTTGAAATGTCCACATTTTTTTTCATACTGTTGTGTCTTCACAATATTAATTACAAGAACGAGAAAGAAAGAGAATAAAATAAAGACATTGGAAGTGGCGTGACACAGTCTTGACGAATTAATAGATATTCTTAAGCAAAACCAGCAAAACACAAAATAAACAATGAATCAAATTACGTAAAGTATTTATTAATAGAAAATGCAATTTATTCAGTAGAATGAGAAATATGAGAATTTTAATTGTAATTGCTCAATTTCAGTGAGAATAAAAATGTGCTTCGCAAAGCACTGAAATTCATGACATTCTCGCGTCACAAATGATGACTTTCGTCTACCTTTTTTTTAAATTAAATTAAATTGAAATCAATGCATTTTTGGGAAGCTAATGAATTATTCATCATCTTGTTCTTTATCACATTCAACACTTTGTCCGCAACAACTGAAGTCATTTGAGGGGGAAAAGAAAAAGGAGAAAAAAACAGTGAAAAGTCATTAAATCACGGTCAATTTGTTATTGGCAGTGTTTCGAGAACAGACAAGAAATACACCATTTCCCTAAATCTGTCCAGAGATCTTTAGACCATTGACCAAAGCATAACTCAGCAGACGAAGATGTTCTTTTTTATCTGCCTACACGCACTTTTAATTCAATATTTTATAAACATGCCATTTAGGAGGCACACTAGAAGTCAAGGGGGAGATAATATGACTCAAATCTGTTCCTAACACTTCCTCGGATACTTCTAGAAAAGCAAGAATATTAATTTTTCTGAGCAACATTTTAGAGAAAATGTATCAATTTGTGGAAAAAGAATGTTTTAGAATGCAAATATTTTAAATATTTCAACACTTTCAATTCCAAACACTTCTTTTAAAGCTGTACACCACGTTTGACCGTAATATTTGCCCCTTGCTTAGAATTTATCTCTCTTTTTTCTTCTTCTCCAGATTGTGCGCATTCGAGTGTGGTCGACGAATTGGTGAAGAACAAATTTTAACATAATAAAATGTGAAAGAATCTGACAAATATTTACGACGTGTTGGTCATAATTGATTGAATTGCACCAAAATAGGGAAAAAAGGCCGCGAAGTGAAGAATTGGGTGGATTTTAATGATCAATCGATTTGATGCCACATTGTGTTAAAATAACTATTTTATCGCTTTTCCGGAATTTTGTGTCTGTTTCCAACAATAAAACCTTTTTTCTCTCTTTCTCATCTTGTTCCTTTCCCAATTTCTGTGAGCGATCAAAGAGTTGAAGAATAAGGAAATGCAATCAAAGATGCATCTTAGATGATTTGCAATGGATTTTTTCAGTCAAATTTAATCACTTTTTCTATTAGTTCGCACAGAAAAGTTGTTTAAATCAAAAGCCAAAGGACAAATTATAGTCAATTTCCAAAGGAAATTGAACGCAATTAGTTAATTACAATAAATTGCTAAGTTTATCAGGTTTTCCAACACAAGAATCTTTGAACTCTGCCTCAAAAGCATCAAAATTCATTTACAAAATATTTACAAATTACTTTATCTCACAAAAATGATTTGCCAAAAAAGGCCGGTCAATATTAAGATGCGGTCAAAATATACTGATAAAATGCTTTCGCGCACAAAAGACCTTTGATCACTCAACGTTTTTCTTTAATTGTTGCAACACCCAGAGAAAAAAAATAGAGTAGAATTGAAGCGCAAAAAGAGAGAAAATGTCAACCAGTGAAATCCAGTTTGAAATTCAGTAATTCCAATCCAGATATCGAGAAAGGCGCACATAATCTTCATGGGGATCGACTAAAGTGCTTGCGACAGATGTGATTGATAGAAGAAAGAGTGAAATGAAGTAAGAAAAAGAAACATACGGATTACGATTGGTGTCAATTGGATCAAAACATTGGATTAGAGGTGACAAAAAAGGTGCCCCAAAACTTACGTGGTTTGACTGACGCTCGTTTGTTTCCCAATCAATCCATTGAAGCTTATCCGCCGCTCAAATTCACCGTCCGCCAGATGATCGGTGATAAGGAAGTTCTCCTTCGGAATGTGTCTGTGTCCGGCGATCGAAGATGCCAGAATACTTCCAAGAACGCTCAAGAGCGCTACAAATCCAAATTGCAATCGACGCATTGTTGCTTGTTTTTTTCTGCAAAAACACCGCGCAAAACAGCAGATTTTCAATGAAAAATTGTGTTTTATCAAGTTGGAGAAATTATTCTTAAGATTCCCTCATATATATTACATAATCAATTCCATCTATTCCATCCATTCCTTGATATTCTATAATATTCCGGCTGAAACAGGGGAATTGGTTCGTCCATTCTTCACTTAAGCATTCCTCGGTGTTATCAGACAATTTTACGACACTTCATCTGTGCGTCATCAATTAAGATTAACAACGTGCAGACTTATGTAAATTACAATGTTGAAAAATGCGTGTGTTTTCGTGTAAAATCAACAAGTTCAAGTTCAAATGACGAGTGATTTTCGCGCTAAAATAGATTTTTGTAATAAAATCTCTTTCTCTCTCTTTCTCGTGTGTAGGACTGAAAGGTCCAACGCACTTCCTTCCTTGTTGAGCTGAAGAGAGTGTCGAGGAAGAGCAGAGAAAAAGTCGCCCAAGAATACATTTTCAATGGAAACGTGCGCGTTTTTCTCTCGCAAGCCAGCCTTCAAAATTAGCAAAAGGTCGCGAGCATCTTGTTGAATTTTCACAGCATTTAACACACACACACACACTAAATTTTGAGCAACGAATCGCAATTTATACGAATTCATAATTTTAAAGTGTAGAAAAATCAAAATTCGACTTTTGATAGTTTTCTACACACCCGTCGAAATGCAAAACTTTGCAATTTCCATGACTCTAATTCACTGAAAAGTCACAGCGTAGAAAAAAATGCATCAATTCACCTGGTTTAAGTGGAAGAAAAGTCCTTTGATTTTTTAGTTGACAGTTTTTCTCTAATTTTTTTTCTTCACATCAAACTCTGTCACTTTGACACTCTTGCATCTGTTTTATCTCCACTTTTCTCACACACAAACATATAATTAGGGCATAATTAATTTGCTGTTTGACTGCAAAAGTGTGTCTCCTTTTTTGCGTAACCTCCTTTACGCAATCCACACACAAACACACACACTCAAATTATGCTTCAATTAAAGGCGCTCGTCGCCTGATTTTAATTAGTCACACACAGAAGAAATGAAGCACTTTTTCGAGATTCGCCGTGCTAAACTTGAATCACGCGCGCGCAAAACCGCGCTAAACTGTAACTGAAGAAAATTGAGCGCTGCGCTAAAAAGACAACGATGATCGGTGAGAAAAAAGAGTGTGTCTTGCAAATAGCTAACGCAAGTTGATCGAACCAAGACAGTCAGTTGGAACTGGTTGGAAATAAATCCACAAAAGTCCCTTCAATCGTTCAATTTTCACCACTTTGCTGAACTATTTCTCTGCCGTCGTCGTCGAAAAAATGGAGTCAATCTGTGGTTGAAACACCTCAACTTTTGCACGCAGAGGCCGAAATAAAATGCGAAAGTGCCCAGAGAGAGACAGAGAGACACTGTGATAAACCGGACTCTGGGCTGAGCGTCCGTTAGCGCCGAGAGACAAGAGCGGAATGGAGTTGAGCCTCAACGGAATCACTTTCTGGCGCGCACTGAAGCTCAAACGCTTCACCTGCGCCACTCGAAGTCACACTCGTTCGTCGCTCTCGCTCGCACCCGTGTCGCCGTCTCGCTCTCGCCATTTCTCAATATTTCACACAACATCCCAAGGGAAAAGTCACTCGCAAGTTGAGACCACTAACAAGAATTCAAAAATATTTGAATAATTATGAATATTCGGAATATTCTGATTAATTTATTGAAAATAATCATTTTTTTTATTATCATTTCGATTATTAATTTGATTATTTAGGTTTTTTTTCTAATTTTACTTGGGAAAATAATCATTTTTAAAATTTTTAATTCAGAATTTGATTATTTTTCAATTTTTCTGAGTAAAATAATAATTTTTAAAATTTCTAATTCGGAATTTAAATTTTTTTGTAATATTACTTCAGATATTAAAAATTTATTTTTTTTAAATTTGAGTATTTTTCAATTTTATTTGGGAAAATAATAATATTTTGTTTTTTTTTTATTCAAAATTTGATCATTTTGTAATTCTACTGGGGAAAATAATATTTTTTTTATCATTCAATTCAAAATTTGATTATTTTCCTCAAATAATTAGAGATTAGACAGCGTTAGGTTTTTGTCAAAAATCGCCCTGTGATTTGCCCCTTGTAATCCCCAGAGAGAGAGACAGAGAGAGACAGAGAGAGAGAGTGAGAGAGCGCAATTGTGCTTAAATGCCATCGCGAGCTCCCCTTTCGGCGATCGCAACGGGAACTCCGCGTGGCGCCACATCGCGCGTGCTCACCTGGGTGGATGATTTTGGTCACACAGAGTCCGCGCGACTGAGGAAAATGAGGTGATTTTCTGCACCTCAAGTACACATAATATGAAAACAATGTCGTAACAGTCATGCAAGCACATTTGGCGCTTGTCTTCTCTGAATCATCCAGAGCAAACACACACAAACACGCGTGTTATGTCACGACATTATGCACGCTTTTTTGGAGGAATTTCAGCAAATGTTTCAATGCTTTTCGAGGACTCATTATCACTTCAAGGCATACTCAAGGGGGAGATATTGTGCTCTAAATCTAATCCAGGCTTTTCAGCTTCTATGAACTTATCGTCCCAGAATTTGTTCAAGAATAATTTCAGTCTTGAGTTTTGTCTCTGGGAAATGCTTTGAAAAAATCTTCATCAAATTGTGAGGTTATGAATCCAGCCGAGAAAACTTTCTTAAAATAATTTTAATCATATCGAATTTGATAGATATTGACGTTCAGTTTTCCATTTTGAAGCACAAAACCATGGAAATAACTTAGCAAAGAGACATTCTTCTACACTGAAATGACGTTTTTTTGAGGTTAAGATTGACTTTTAAGCTTCTTCTCAACCAATATGAAGTTTTTCAAAGCCAAGTAGTTTAACATTGCTAAGAAGAAGATAAATATTCTCAGTTTTAACACCAATTTGATAATTTTAAGGGTTATTTGAACACTAGAATCTGTTTTTAATCAATCACATAACTTAAAAAAAAGTTCTTTAGGTTTATTTAGACAACTTTCTAAATAATTTTGACTGTGAATCAGTAATTTTAAGATCATTGGCAAATCATAAGAGATGATTTTGTAATGTTGAAAGCTTTTACAATAGAATTTTTGAAGATTTCTTAGTGATATTTTGAGGTTATGTTAGGAAAAGATGATGAAAAATGCGTTTTTTAGTCGTTTCTTGCGATTCTTGCAGAAATATCAAATGGAAACTTAAGAGACTTCGAGTTCTAGAAGTTATCAGGCAAATTTAGTAGTGATGTACAAATTTAAGGCACATTATCTCCCCCTTGACTTCTAGTGCAATAGTTTCTGTTTCGTCATTCTGAATCAGCCATCGGATGATTTTTGCTAAAAATAGCATAAATCAGTGAAATATTCGCCTTGAATTCATCTCCAAAATACGATTGATTTTTTTTGTTAAATTCGAAGAGATTTTTAATGTCGACAAATTAGTTGATTTATCAACTTCGATTGCATGTAATTGGAATGTGTGAAGCATTTTGCCGTCTGCTCACAAATGTTTTCATACAGCAACAAAAATGATGCACACAACTTAATGGAATTTGATTGACTTGGACCACATTTGGTATTGAAGAGCCGCGCTCAGCGTAATTAAACTGAAATAACCTCGGCCAATTGACCTGTCGCCGATGGGCTGAGGAGGAAAATCAGACGAAAAATTCCTCAGCACGCAAATTCCCAAAACATCACACCATGTGGGAAATTTTGTCCCCGCGAAATTCGCCTTAATCATGATCGAGTGGCACACGCGTTCTTAACCTTGATCAAATATTGGGTGGTTTTTTGCGCCGTCCTCATGAGCTTCTCATTGGCGCTGAAGCCACGTGAGCGCCCGAAATTAGGGCTTTGCACGAAGATCTTGCGTTGTTCTAGAACATTGCCGCCGAACCAACACAATCGCAAGAATTGCCAGCGAAGTTCAAATGAATTTCCAATGCACACTTTCGTGCTAAATTTACAGTCGCGACGATGACTGGGGAGCTCATGTCGTACGATTCGCCTGTCCGCCAATCAGAGTGAGTCATTTGGCGTGAGAAACACTTATGATATATAGCTTGGCACATAGCACAAGTGGTTTTATCACATTTTTGCTCTCTCAGCGATATCTCAGCCTAGCCTGTGATGAAGGAAAATGTAAATATTGCGCAACGACGCGATAAGGCCAACAATCAGTGACGATTAAGTGGATAATTGGATAATTTTTATCTCTGCTAACATATTTTTTCTTTCCTTTTTTAACTCAAGTTAACGACAGACAATTATATATGTCACTGTCTTTCTAAACTTTCTTCTCCACACCGCGGCTGTATCGGGTTTTTTTTTACACTCGAACACACCCTCTTTTTCAGCCTATTGCTGTCATTGACAAGGGAGAGACAATGTGGTCAGAAGTGGTGTACAGATTAGCAGAACGCGCATTACAGAAAGTGAAGTGAAAACTTTCCTTTCTTCTCACAGATCTTTACATGAAATTCCAAAATAAACGGACATTTCGCGGCGTCGCGTGTCTTGTTTTGAGACCAAGCGTTGATCTTCGCTCGATCGCTTCCATTCATACGAAAGGAAAGATCAAAATTTTACTGGAAAGGAGTAATTTTGAACTAGAAATATTCTAATTAATCAGTGTTATTTAAAGATCCAAAAGTACTAAGAATATCATAAAATATTGCCTGAAACGTCATTTGGAGAGATTAAAAACACAAATATAATGTTTTCAGTTGATTTCTATGTTTATCAAAATCCTTTATTTCTAAAAACTTCTTCTTCTTTATGAGTGAAAATATTTCAACAGGCGAAGCAAAAACTATGAAAATCACAATTGTCCTTTTTCAGGAGAGTAAATTGATAATTTTGCATTAATATTGCTGTGAAATATGCCAACACTTTACCCTAAAACATCAAATCTTTCCAATTTAAATGTTTTAGTTGATTTTTTTGGTTTTTAATTAAATTTTTGAC